GGATGAATTAGATTATGTATTTGGAAATATCTATGAGAAGATTAAGAATGAGACCGTGAGAAACACAGAATGGTCATTGGCAAAAACATTAATGACATACTGGACCAATTTTGCCAAATCAGGGTGAGTAAACTATGAATAAGTCATTTAGTTACATTATTTGTTTTTAATCGGGGTTTTATAAGAAATAGTGTCAGTGTATACACGGCCATTGATTAATGATTAAGCCAAGTCCTTTAGTTTTAAATTTTATGTTTCCGTCTCTCATTCGTCTCTTTGTTATAGAAGTTTTTTTCTAGATAGCGACACGGTGCCGCTAGGAAAGACGGTGTTGCAGTTTAACATAATGACAAAGGAAATCCATCGCGTTGTTTATAAATAAAAAATCTGTTTTGCTTATTAGATTTATTAGAAAAAAACTTTTAGTATACTAATGAAAGTCTTTTGTACAAGCACATTCCTATTGAGGGGCAGTTCTTGTTTCCATTTCGAAGCTCTATATTTACTGTTAATGAACTTTAAACGTTAGAATTGATTCCCACATATAACCCCCACCCATTTTTAATGTTACCTGACAAAACTGAACTTTAAACGTCAGAATTGATTCCCTCATTTCACCCCTGCATATTTGAACTTGAACAAATCTAAGTGCACGTAGGTACAGATTTACTCAAGTGTTTTGTACTTTTACGTGGGTATGTCTGGATAAAATTTAGCAGTTTCATCATTGTACTAGTTACTTTATCATGCCTGTCTGTGTACCCTTGTCACTCGATATGTAATATTATCTTGATGATATAATATGATATGAACGCACCATCAATTGACATAGTTAATATAAAAGATTTTTTATTTATCTTTCAATGAGGTCATGAAGAGCTGATTCCGGTCTTGAACAGCTGAGAAATATCGCATTAAAGCTGAATGGCCATATGGGTCCTTTTCGCTTCCGTTTGGGTAATAACGTAACTTTGTTCATCAAAGACGGCAGTAGATCCGATACGCATCGTTGTCAACATGCCATTTATAGAAAGCAAACTGATTGCATATTTAGATGTTTTCTAAAAGGATGATGACGGTAAAAGTTTTACTCCGCTTTGTTGCATTTTGAAAAAAAAAACCTTTGGATGTATTTGTCTATTTCAGAAATCCAAATACGCCTGTAACACCAGATGTTGTTTGGGAAACGTATGACCGTCAAGCTAGAAAGTATATTTATCTTAAATCAGGCGAGGTAGAGGTGAGAAGTAACTTAAATAGACGTCGAGCTGAGTTTTGGACTAACTATCTACAGGGGTTAATAAAAAGATACTCAGACTTAAAACAAGAGAAACCCAATCGTAAACCTACATAAAATGCTTTTATTTTAAAATCTTATTTATTAATGTTAATTGCTGGATTTGAATTTAGTTTATTCACAATGGTCAAAAATTCATTCTTGTAGAACTTTAATCCAAAAATTAAATATTTTAAATAGTTGGACTTTAATTTATTGACAACATTCGACCTTTAGGAGTTAAAAACCACCTAGTCGTTATTTTCTGATCCTTAAAAATCTGAATATGTAACGGTAAAATCAATTAAGGTGAAAATGTAAGAGTAAGATAGCATATGACTGAGTTTAAAACCACCAGTAAGTTGTTCTGCAAGAGGAAGTTCATCAGGGCCCGGTTGTTCAACTTGTCGTTAAATTTAACAATGTGGTTAAATCACTTAACGACGTCGTTATATTTAACAACCGAAGAAGTCTTTTGTTCATCGCGTCGTTAAATTTAACGCATGGTTATGTCATCGTTAAAATGGTCCATATTTAAGCCACCTAGCAGCGCATCGTTAAATCATTAACCTGTCGTTAAATCAGTCATGTTGGCTACTAGGCAAGTTCTCATGGTCATGCCTCACACTTTAAACATAAAAAAGAATGTATACAGGGGTACTTTATGTTCAAAAGATTCCTTCTGACTTAACCACAGTAGAAAAAGTCATTTACCGATATAGGTAATCGTCTTGACAGTGACCTAAAAAGCGCAACTAATAAACAAATAAGTGAAGCAGCAAGTATTCATTGCCATGCGCTTTTATGCAAGTGGTTCCTTTCTCTAAATCATTGTGTTCCCATTGTTAGATAATCGTGACCCGGTGACATCCAATTTCTCAAATGAGAGAGAGACAGAGAAATGGGGTTTAACGCCCACTTGACACAAACTAGGTCATTTCAGTACAAACACATGGTTCAATTTTATTTCAATAATTTGCTTGCGTGTAGGGGTCTTTAGCAGTGGGAGGAAACCGGGAGACCTGGAGAAAACCCTCGAGGTTGGTGTTACATAATAGCAGATGTTATTGATAGTTATCGTGCCATCTTGACACATGAAAGCAGAACTGATTGAAAATATCCTTGTGGCGGCTTTTGGCATCCATGGTTGCCCATAGTGTACGCATTAGTTGGCCAGTATTGTGTAATGTCCTTTGTCTTGTAACGTAATCTGTACTGAATGTTTAATCTGGTATATGATGCAATAAAGCCAGCTGCACAATCCCTTCGATTATCCTTTGTCTAGAAAGGATTTAAAAGCAGGAATCAAAAGTAGATAGTTCAGAGAAGGCCATGAGCATCTTGGGTTAAGGCTAGAACCAGGGCCATTTAAGTTGGTTGGAATGGGGACCACGCCATTCTCGAATCCAGGCCAGAGAGTCGAAAACAAAACTGTTACAGACAAGGAACCTAGTAATTAAGTATTATTTAAGAAGTTTTATACATGATTTTTTTTAAAGAAAAATAAAAGTATTATAAGAAGTTTTAACCAGTGTTGTCATCCAGAACCGATTCAAAGAACTTAAAAGTGTAACATATCAATCGGCGCCGTGTACCAGAGTAACGTTCGAAGTCCTAATCACTAGAAGATCAAAGAATTATATTAAGACGTAAGTCGTTTTTCTAAATCCTAACCATGGCCACGGTTAAAGGACAATATTGGTGTCAGTCATTATCACATATGTGATAGAAATGGTTAAACACATTCCAAATATAAATTTAACACAGAGATCATTGCTACGATAGATGCGTTATGAAGCATTCAAGAAAGAGAAGTTTTCTCTTATCTAGTGAGAGTCAATTATTTTTTGAATTGTCAGATATCCTCCCACGGTCTCATATACTTTTGATCTTCAAAGGAATTGTTAGCGAGCAGAAATTCGCCCGTGAATCTGTTATCACTCGTCACTTCAGTTAGTTATATAGAAGGATAACTCGTGTTTTCCTTTTGGTGGCAGACCACCATTAATTTCCCCATTGACTTCAATGTTAATTCTGGCCTCTTTGCCTATACCTCCAACTTTTCCCCAAATTTTCGTTGGGCTGAATGCTTTTCACTACAGACAGAGGAACAAATGGTCATGTCTTTGCACTACAATTTGTATGAGGCTGACCACCAAAATTTTGAGACACACAAACTTGAAGAAGCATACTAAAAACATGTAACTAGTTGCCGTACATATCACCGTAGCTTCACCCATCATCTATGTTTTATGTTTTCATTAATTCCTCTTTACCCTTTATCCGCTGTTGTTACTATACTATGTGCTATCATAATTAATCTTAGCATACTTAATTTGATAACCCAATCAAGCTAGGGTTTCATGATTGTTAACTTGTGGTTTCTCTTATCATTGTTCAATGTACGTATATATAACACTGTCACAATTCTTTCCTCATTTGTAAAATGTATGCTTGATAACGACCAGTGAATTCTTGTCAAAACGTCGTGTGTATAAAATATAGTGATTGTTATCCATAGAACTGTGTTGTGTTATATTATGTTCAATCGCTAAACCCCATTCAAAGACTATATCAAAAAGATTCAAATTATTGGAATATTGTTCGGGGGGTTGGATGGCCGAATGGTTAGCACGTGCGCGCTGTATCATAAGACCTGTCATTGAGTCAACTGGCGTGGTTTCGAATCCCCGGTTGTACGTGACAAGGAGTAGAGTCGCCTGTCCAACCTCGTGGGTTTCCTCCCACTGCTAAAGACCCCTACGCGCAAGCGAATTATTGAAATAAAATTAAACCATTTAGTCCCGAAATGACCTAGTTTGTGTCGAGTGGGCGTTAAACCCCATTTCTCTCTCTCTCTGGAATATTATTCAAACATTGACTGTCTTTTACCTTTTTCTACAAAATGGTCCATTTTTGACACTTTGTTATAAAAGTATGCTTTTCCTGAATTAATATCGCATTTGATAAGAAGAACATATCTATTCTTTTCTGGAAATCAAATGACACTTCGGATAGTCTGTTCGGATCGGAGGCCATGATTGTGCTTACTTTCTATTAATTGGTGTCGATACCTGCAATTTCAGTCAAACAAATCGCACCCGTGGATGTCTGTATACATGTATATCGAAATGATGGCTAGTTATTTTGAACAAGGTCACTGGGTAAAATGATCGGCGGTTGGGGGGATGAGGTGATAAAGGAGGGAGATAAAGATATCCTCACATCAAATAAAATTCAAAATACGTCAAATCTTCTTGTATGTGACAAGGAGTAGGTTTGCCTGCCCAGCCTCCTGGGTTTTCTTTGGATCCACCGGTTTCCTCCCACTACTAAACACCCCTAAACACAAGCTCTCTCCCCCCCTCTCTCTCTCTCTCTCTCTCTCTCTCTCTCTCTGCCTTAAAAAGACAAATGTGCTATTAATTGTGAAATTAATTTCAATTAAATCAATAGATAACACATATTAACGCATTCGAAAAAAAAAACACGGTTCGAAAACTCACAAAGTAGTAATGCCAGGCAAAATAGTAGTGAGATTTTAATTAGATCGCTCTAAAAGAACACCCTCGTCGACAAACCACAACACATACATGTACATTGCCTTTAATACTTTGGTTTGCACGTTTACTTAAAAGTTGAAGACAAATGTATACACAAATATAGATTTATTGCCAAAATTCCGTACAAACAATATCTTACAAAAACAATAACGTATCAACAATATACACATTATGAAACCATGTCATGTTCGTAAATACTCGTGTATGTGGTTACTATTTTATATATTTCTATATTAATGTTATATACACAAAGAACTCATTCCGTTATATTTCACTGAATAGATCACAGATTCTGTTCTTTAAAAACGTTAATACTAATAATTAACAAACACTGTGTGAATATTGTAGACCATGCTTTACCAAAAAAGAAAAATAGAAGAGATTCGTCCTGTTTAAAATAAAAAAAATATTAAAGAACTTTACCATCGAATCTATAATAGCGTGGGATAGTAGGTGATTACTACATGGCATCATATTGTGAAATGAAGTACATTGTACATTGATTATCAGTAATTTTACCAAACAAGTACAAGCGTACCACATGGACCGTCGTCATCACAGCCATCTTAGAATTGTGACGTCATAATATGAAAAACATCAATGTCTTTAATCCAACATTCTCCGTTAGAAATACACAGATTCGTATCACAGATAGTGGCGTAAGTTGTTCTTAATCTTTCTAGCAATTGAAATTGACAATCACATCGAAAATCAATGTAATAAATAAGTAGTTTTTACTGATTTGATTTTCCAGTAACCCAGAACTTGTAACATTTAGAAACATTTTCTGTGGACAATAGCGGGTCCACATTCGTCATATTCCTGTTTCGAAATCCACATTTGTTGGAAGGTTGAGAGCGATGCTAGGATAGATCCACCAATCCATACTGAATATTTCCTTTCTGGAGCAGCGATAATTTTAACTTTGATAGAATTTGGAACAATGGAAGACAGTTCTTTCATCATTCTATCTGCTATACCTGAAACAATGTTACATCAAATTGTTAAGCCATGATCAGAAGACATGAAATGGAGTTTCAACATCTTACTTTACGGCACCAACTAGGCTAATCCCAATTGTTACAGGCTCTTTTACGGGGTATCAATAAGAACTTTTTTCATCTCATCCGGACGATTATACACCACGTTTTGCCAGCTAGCCCCCCCCCCCCCCCCCTGAACTAACTGTAAGGAAGACCAGACTGGATTATCCCGAAGAGCTCCTTCAATACGCCAATTTCGTATCCACTGTGGCTCCTTCGTGTGCAACCTAATACAAATTTAAATAAACTGAGGGAATTTTAGCAATATTTCTAACCCGAGTCATTTCTTAGAGCTGTTTAATTCTTTATCAGGAGAAATTAAATGGAGCTTCAACGTCTTACTTTACGGCACAAATCTGGCTAATGAAGAATGGCATACACCATTATGACTTCGCATCGAAGCCCAACTACTACAGGCTCTTTTACTAATTAAAATACCAATGAGAACAATGATGGACCTAGGTTTCCCGTCACATCTGAACGACTATACACTTTTCCGTGCCAGGCCCTCTGCCCAACACCACTAACAAGGGAAACCGGGCGGGAAATAAATACCCACTCCGTAGCTACTTCGAGGGTAAACTTATACTAAATCTGCATAAAACGATGTAATATTACCAATATTTACAACATGAGCTGTTTAATTGAATACGTTTTGTGTAATTTAGAAAGAAGGCAATTAAAACGTTTAAGCTGGAAAACTAAGAAGATCATGGTACATCTTCTAAGTTTATAAAATACTATTTTTACCTGGAAACATTGTTGATCCGCCTGACATAACAACATTACTGTACATATCCCTTCTAATATCAATATCACAATTTGAAATAGAGTTATTCACCATTTCGTGGATACCGCAATCTTCACGACCTGTAATAAACGTGCAAACCTTTCTAGATTAATATGTGCGATCAATACTTTACTTGAGCGTGTGTGTCTTTAGAGGTGGAGGCAACCGGGGGACAGAGAGAAAACGTCCTTTCGACACATACTAGACCATTTCAGGATTTTAAAAACGGAACAATTTTATTTCATTAATTCACTTGCGCGTAATAGTGGTCTTTATTAATGACAGTAAACCGTGGACCTGGAGATAAAACTCTGCGTGGTTTGGTAGACAATTCACCTCTTCGTTACGTAAATGCCTGGGGTCGAAACTACGCCACTTGACTCAATGGCATATCTAAGGCGCCCGCGTTAGACCACTGATGTCTTTAGATTACCATCTGTGCAAGGCAGTAGATTAAAAGCAAACAAAAGCTTACCGGCAAATGAAGGTTGAAATAAGAGTTCGGGACATCTAAATCTTTCGTTACCAACAGTAATAAGAGAACCGTCTGGTAGTTCGTAACTCTTTTCTATTGATGAAGAATTAACTGATGTGGCCATCTCATTCTCAAAATCCAAAGCGAGATAACATAGTTTTTCTTTCATATCTCGAACAATTTCTGTCTCGGCTGCAATATATTAATACATTTCTTAATAAATATATATGTTAAAATCGAAATACTATCACTTGAATTTTCCATGTGATTAGAAAATTGTTGATGAAGTCAACATTCGTAGCAATATACTTCTTAATTGATCGTATACTTTTAAAACATTTAACAACATCCATTACTACTTGTCGCTTTATTTACGTTGTTATTTATATCTCGGCTGTACATGTAATATATTAATTAATGATACATTATGGGAGATTAGTTAAAGAGCTGGCAATTATCACTATAATAGTTAAAACTAGATAATGTAAAGCAAATTTGCTGAAAATTTCAGTCAAATTGATCCACTATAAACCGAGATTTTAGCGATTGAATATTGGGGCTAGCCTCGATCATCATTACTAAAGTCGGTAGGATAAAAAAACATAGTCTCGGTTATCCACTTTTTGATTTAATTATGAATGGAATTCGAACAGCAAATCGGAACGTAATCCAATAAACATCGCAGGCTAGCGATGCCGTCGAGAGTTGATTATGGTCTGGATAAGTTAATTAATGTCTAATTAATAATTTAGATAACATTTCAGGCCTAATGAAAGACCTGCAATAGGCAGATTTAGCTCTTGCATAATGTATGTTTAATTTGTTCCTAAGTTGGTGTATGTTAAAATTGAAGTACTATCAATTGGATTTTCTATTTGTGTAGAAAACTGATGCTGAAATTAATATTCGTAGAATGTATTCTTACACGAATCGTCATATGCTCAAACATCAAACAACATCCATTACTGCTTGTCGCTTTATTTACGTTGCTATCAAAGTTTGTATGCGAAATTTAAGATAAACTGAAAGAAAATAAACTTACATCCAGTGGTGAAGCTATATCCACGTTCATGTAGAATACGTTGTAAATAGGCTGTTAAATCTCGTCCAGCTAAATCTATTCTTTTAATGGCATGTGGTAAAGCATAGCCTGCAATACAGATTTAAAAAATACACAAATTGTTATTGATTTATTGGTAAAATTATTAAAACTACATAATTCATTACCCGAAAATTTATATTATAAATCATTCAATCGGTTGCAATTTTATTCCCAAATTACTGTAATATATGTCAAAAACGGAATAGGTTAATTAAATGATTACTTTTGTGATAAATAAGAAAGGGCTATTTACCTTCGTAGATAGGTACAACGTGAGAAACGCCATCACCAGAATCATATACTACTCCTGTAGTTCGACCAGATGCATAAAGCGACAGGACCGCTTGAATTCCAACATAAAAGGCGGGTGCATTGAAAGACTCGAACATAATCTGAAACGGTGTAAGTTATAACAATGCATTTTGTACTAAACATATTTTTCAGTCAAATTAATGTAATCTAACCAAGGCGTCGCACATGGGTGGCCTTTAAAACCTGGATATTTACTTCTATTTTTTTAAAAAAAACTTTCAGATTACAAATCGAAAAAATTACCTGCGTCATCTTTTCTCTATTTGCCTTAGGATTAAGGGGTGCCTCGGTTAGTAAAACTGGATGTTCTTCTGGTGCAACTCTTAATTCATTATAAAATGTGTGATGCCAGATTTTCTCCATATCATCCCAATTAGTAACTATTCCATGTTCTACTGGGTATCTCAACGACAACATTCCTCTTTTACTCTGGGCTTCATCTCCTACATAGCAATCTTTCTGGCCCATACCAGCCATTACAGCCTGTTTTAAACAGAGAATAGAGATATCAATATATCTGAAACATTTGTGATAATAACCTAAATCTAACATTAACAATGAAGGTGAAATTTCGAAATAATGTGCTTATTTAAAGTAAAAAAAATAACAATATGCTTATTTAAAATAAATAATAAAGTACAAAATGAAGTAAATTAAATCTTGTTATTTGTAAAATGATCAAAGAATGATCAAAAGCGGCGGATCATGTTATTACTATAATAATAAAGGGAATTTACCTGATATTTTGGTCTTCCAGTAAGAGCGGGAAACACCGCTCTTGGTGCATCATCACCAGCAAACCCGGCCTTGCACATCCCTGATCCGTTGTCAATAACCAAGGCAGCGACATCATAATCGTCAAAACTCATCTTAATTGTATCTTGTTGACTTGTGGAAGTAACGAGTATAGAAATCTGCAAATTTATTAGTAGATTATTGAAAAAATATTTATTGTAATTTTAAAAAAGATATTTTTAATGCAAAACGCAAAAGAGAAATTTCTTTTATTTGTACTTTGTAACAAATTCAATGTCTGCTTATCGGAGAATAAGAAGTAAAATATCATATTAATATAAATAATTTATTATTTAATAAAATAAAATATCTACATCATAACATATTTATATTATGATGAGAACGCAAAAGTAATAAACAGTAAGTATTGCTTATGGTGTTATTGAGAGGTATCTATAATTTAAAAGGAAAAAGAAATCTTACCTTCGTAAAAAACTATTCCAACGTTTGTATGCAGATAAAACAAAGTATTATAATGTTTGCCGCGAAAACATTTGTATTTATATCAAGCTCGATCAGTTCTTGGAAATTAATCACCTATACCATATACGGGTTAATACAATAGACCAATACCCCAAGTTACTATTTATAGCTATTTGTCACATCGTTATTCGATAATATACTATATCTGTGTATATGTAGTCAACGTAAGCTTCTTGTCATACACCTGTATTGGGCTCAAGGTATAAATATAATATGAAGTTAACGATGTACAAAATCGTAATTTTAAGGGTTTTTCTCATAATACAATGCATCTTTCAAAGTATTTTTTGTCACCTAATTATTTATTATTAGGAACAATAAGTCATCTGTATAGAGTTTATGTATGCGATGTGACTATTGTGCTATTAATATAGGACTAAGACTAGTAATTATTTCCCCTTATTTCACGAATGTAGTGCGAGTTATAAATAGACAATTTTTCCCTTAATTTTTTTCTCCCCTCTTCCTGCATTTTTGGGTTGACTTTTTGGTCTAGAATTGGAGAAAAGGGATCAAATTTGCAATTTCATAGCAGTTTTGGGTAATACTGATGATATTACAGCGGAGGGATAGGGGGTGTAAAGTGTCTTTCTGCAGAGCAATCATTGTGTCGGAAGTGAGATTTTCACCCCTGTCAACTTCAAATCCGTGTAGCAAAAAATCTAAACGGTCAACCCCCTACAAAATTATGATGAGGAGATTGCCAAATGTTGTCCCCATTGTGCCTATAAAGATTGGAACCAACGGAATGTTGAGCAAAAAGCTACAGCCTGTGATGTTACAGTCATTTAACATTGAAGTCAATGGGCAAATAATTGCTAGTCTGAATCCATATAAATGATTCACCAGTTACCTCCCTTTACTGGTGTTGTCACCAACAGGGCGGCATTTAAAACGCCCCACCCCTGCCAATATCTCAAGACAAAGCCTATTTGAATCACAGAAAAATGAAGTATACTGTGATTATAACAAAATACACATATCCATTTGCAAAACGTCGCATACATAGATTTGAATAAAGTAAATGTACTTATTTTTAATACGAGTTAAGAGAAAGAAATTTGAATATAGATAATATCATTGATCGAACATTGATAATATTATTAGCACAGGAATTATTTTATTTCAGTCCTAAAATAAATAATTCCTTTGTTATCTGTTCTTTTGTCAAATAAACATTTCTTCTTGTCTTTTTCCTTTTATGGTCGTATACAGCATATCCATGTAGATATGACAGCCGTTACCTTATATGGCAACGTTCAGCTGACGGCGGTATGTTTAAGATCCATTCTGTACCTTGTAAATATTAATAATGTCTTTAAACATTGCTGCGTTTACCTGATATCCCATGGTTAAATAGTAAAGAGCGAAGTGTATTTTAAAAAGCCGTTAAACATTCGGAATACAATATATGCACCGGCTATGATATAAAGCAAAGGCGCACATTTCACAATTCTTTTTTTTTGATAAAATGGGTATTTAGTCCAAGTGTTTTTCGGCTAGATTCATGCAGTACGGGTACTGCAAGCCACGTTTCCATATATTCAGAGACTAAAATATACGTTATATTTGATCTAAATGCTACTATTATTATGCAATTAAGCATATATCTACATGAAGAATTGGCTGGCTTGTCAGAATAAGTTAATGTTATCATTACATTATTTATTTTAAAGATGCATTATTCAAGAGCTAAATCTGCTTAATGCAGATATTTCGTTTGGCCTCGAATGTTATATAAATCATTATTTATACATTTATTTACATGCCAGGCCCATAATCAACTCTCTAGAACTTCAAATGGTTTTGGTTTCCAACAGATTTAAATACAATTGGTAGTTAATGATTTAATTTAAAACGGATAATCGAGACTTTATTTCTTATCGTAACAACGGTCGAGACTACACTGTTCCGCAAACGACGACATCTTTTTTTTTCAAATATCCTTTATTTTTTTCAAGGGACTATTTCAGACTTTTTGTACGGAGTACCGTCATAAACATCATCTGGATGAAATATTTCGGGTCTATATTGAAAATCAAAATTTTCTTGAAACTGCTTTTGTTTTCAGCTATTTTTATAGGCCTAATGAATACACATTGCTAACATTTTTATGACTTCATAATTACCCCTTCGAATCATTTTGCCTGGAAGCATAAAGATACACTGACAATTAAACATTGGACGTATTTACTAAGTTTTACATTAAAATATTTTATAATAAATTGTATGCACTATTTATTCACACTCATCGGAGTGTTTAATCTTTATTCAATTGTACACTAATCCACAACTGAATGTGGAAATGTTTGATTGGAGCTTATGATTTGTTGCAAATGGTACTCCATAGAAAATAATTTCCCATACAAAAGTTATATTTAGGTTACAAATCCTCAAAATTCTTATATTCTAACATAAATGGATAATAATCTATCCAAAATTTAGAAACAAACCTTTTTGTTAGCATTTACCAACACTTGACAACAGCAACCATGATAGCTTAGATTTTGACAGTTCTGTTTTCATCAATTTATAGAACGCTCTATTCACATCAGTCGTATAAAGACATGATTGAAGAAAAAATGGCGGACCTCAACCGTGTGGTAGGAAATCGTACACTACCTGGAAACAAAAAAGCGACTCGAAAATCAAAGACTCGACTACTGTACTACATAGATCAGAGTATCAATAGAGAGATAATAGCAGTCCCCAACTTTTATCGTTTTGTCTGTAGGTGTAACCGCGATTGGGCAGGAAGTGATGAAATTGAAATTTTCGTTTACATGATAACACGCGGGTGTACGACTTTTAAAGGGGTATTGACAGTGAAATAGTGTATTTTGAGTAATGTAGTTCATTTTGGACTTTTGTATTCAAGGGCCACTATTCTGTGTAGGAAAATAATATGTTCAGCCTTGTTGGTGTCGAGACAAGTTTGCAACAAGTTGGTATCACTTTACCTTGCCCTTAACTTAGTTCGATAATGAGCATTATCTGTGTAGACTAAGCAGTGTTTTGGAACACGATAACAGTGAGATGTGATGAAACTCGGGCCACAGTTTCATTTCATTGATACTTGACTAAATTCGTAATGAGCATTTTGTGCATCGCCTAAGTAGAGTGACTGGTTGATGCCATACACAAGATAAATATACAATTAATTTTAATTAATCACAAATAAAAAAATTACACATACTAAAGCATTTGAAAAGACATAGTTCGAAACCCACAAAGAAGTCAAGCAAGGCGAAATAGTTATGAGAATTAATGAAGACGGACACACGCTATTTAGTTTACTATGAGGTAAATTTTGCCCAGACAGCGGCAATACGGCCTACAACTATTTCAAACTCCGTCTAGAGTTCCATTACGTGTACGCTTACACGAGACCACGGTTCCTTTCCATCCCCATCCACCAGCGTCCTGCACCACTGACAAGGTGATACAAGGTAATTTTTCAGCCAGCATGGGGACAAAACCAAACTTCTCAGGTACCGACTACGGTTATTTTAAATTCCAGCTTATTTTATCCGAATTTAGGACGTTTCGGCCAATGGACATTTGGGCTAGGGCATTTCGGCCTATGATATTTCGTCCTAGGGCTTTCGGCCACGTTTAAGGACAGATGACGTTTCGGCCAACAGATTCATTTATGGTAAAAATGCAATTGCATCAAGTTGTAAGAAAGGTTGTAGATTGTCGCCTGTTGTCATGAACCAAGAACTATCTATGTTAAGTTTTTGTAGTATTTGGGGTTCCCTCGGTCTATGTTGAGCACGGCCGAATGATTAGGGTGTGGGTGCTGTATCATAAGGTCTGTCATTGAGTCAACTGGCGTGGTTTCGATTCCCCGCTTGTACATGACAAGGAATAGGGTCTTCTGTCCAGCCTCGTGGGTTTTTTCCGGGTCCCCCGATTTTCCCCCACTGCTAAAGACCCCTACGCGCAAGCGAATTATTGAAATAATTATTTAAACATAAATTATGTTAGTCCTGAAATGACTATAGGGTGTCTCGAGTGGATGTTAAACCTCATTTTTATTTCTCTCTCTTTCTCTCTCTTCATGTTTTGTCTGCATTTGTCAATGGTAATAGCATTCTCGTGTGGTTCGTAGATATGTGTTTTTTTATGTCATGATTGTCCATGTTTTTGGATTATTTGGTGTGGATTATTGCTGTATACATTTGACTGCGTCTCTTTGTTTTTGTAAAACTGGACGAAACGTCCACTGGCCGAAATATCCTTGGGCGATATTACACTGGACGAAACATCCTTAGTTGAAATATCCAATGGCCGAAACGTCCGTCCACCAATTTATCAAGCAAGCTACTTTTCTGCATCCTCGACCTGTCCCCTCGCGTTTTCGCACATATGCTACCTCGCCTTGGCCACACTGATCAGCAGTGAATAATCGCTAGGCCGCTACAATCACTGATAAGGATGACATCAATGCGACTTAATGAGTCTCAAATATTAACTTTTTTCTCCGACAAATTAAATTCTAAAACATTTTTTTGATGTATTAGAAAAATAAATAAAGACGTTTGACGTATTTGTAGGTAAAAATTATTTCCTATTTAGTGTAAATGGGTATTAAAATGACTAAAAGGCAGCATTCTGCCCGAAACAGTAACGTCTTATGTAAACAATGCACGCGCCATTCAGCCAATGATGGACGCCGCGTGCTGTGACGGCACGTGTTAAAGGCAGTCATCTTTTACAGAGATATTAGAGAAGACTAGTAATTCTCTGTGAAACAGATTGCGCCTTGCCGTCTCGTCGAGATTATGAAATGGCCACAATAGGCTTCCACGCTTAACTGATAAATATTAACTCATACGCACTGATTGGCCTATTATCAACATTCTAAATTTATTATGTTCATAAATATACGTCTATGTGGTTACCAATTTATATAATCCAATATTAATGTTATACACTCAAATAACTTTAAAAGAAAACAATACTTCATTACAGGACAATTCACAGACTCTATTTTTGAAGAATGTTAATTTATTATAATACTAATTATCTAACACTGTGTTTTAAAATATTGTAGACCATGCTTTATAACAAAAATGTGGGTGGCCGAATGGTTAGCGCCTGTGCGTTTATCATAAGGTCTGCCATTGAGTCAACTGACGTGGTTTCGATTCTCCGGTTGTACATGACAAGGAGTAGGGTGGCCTGTCCAACCTCTGGTTTCCTCACACTGCTAAAGACCCCTACGCGTAAGCGGATATTGAAATAAAAGTAAACCATATGCTAGTCCCGAGTGTATGTTAGTGTTGAGTGTACGTTAAACCCATCTCTCTCTCTCGCTTAACAAAAAAGAAAAGTAGAAGAGATTCGTCCTGTTTGAAATAAAAATAATATTACAGATCATTACTTTGTAAACTATCTCTAGGTAGTAGCTTATAATTAGTTGGCTTCTAATTGTGAATTAAAGTTGAACACTGATATTTTAATATGTGCTTTGATTATCAGTAATGTTACCAAACACGCACGAGCGTACCATATGAGCAGGACGTCATCACAGCCATCTTGGAATTGTAACGTCATATCAAAAAGACCATCGTCCTCTAAACAACATCCTCCATTAGAAATACACGAATGCGCATTATTGCGTTATTATAATACATTTTTAATTTTTACAGCAATTGTCATTGACAACCACATCGAAAATCAATGTAATAAATAAACAGTTTTTACTGATTTGATTTTCAAGTAACTAAGAATCTGTAACATTTAAAAACATTTTCTGTGGACAATAGCGGGTCCACATTCGTCATATTCCTGTTTCGAAATCCACATTTGTTGGAAGGTTGAGAGCGATGCTAGGATAGATCCACCAATCCATACTGAATATTTCCTTTCTGGAGCAGCGATAATTTTAACTTTTATAGAATTTGGAACAATGGAAGACAGTTCTTTCATCATTCTATCTGCTATACCTGAAACAATGTTACATCAAATTGTTAAGCCATGATAAGAAGAAATGAAATGGAGTTTCAACGTCTTACTTTATGGCACCAACTTGGCTAATCCCAATTGTTACAGGCTCTTTTACGGGGTACCAATAAGAACTTTTTTCATCCGGACGACTATACATCACGTTTTGCCAGCTAGCCCCCGACACCACCCCGCCCTGCACTAACTGTAAGGAAGACCAGACTGTATTATCCCCAAGAGCTCCTTCAATACGCCAATTTCGTATCCACTGTGGCTCCTTCGTATGTAACCTTATACTAATTTAAATAAACTGAGGGAATTTTAGCAATATTTCTAACCCGAGTCATTTCTTAGAGCTGTTTAATTCTTTATCAGGAGAAATTAAATGGAGCTTCAACGTCTTACTTTACGGCACAAATCTGGCTAATGAAGAAGGGCATACACCATTATGACTTCGCATCAAAGCCCAACTACTACAGGCTCTTTTATTAAGATACCAATGAACGACTATACACTTTTCCGCGTCAGGCCCTCTGCCCTACACCACTAACAAGGGAAATCGGCTGGGAAACAAATACCCACTGAGTCTCTGTGGCTACTTTTTGAGTAAACTTATACTAAATCTGCATAAACCGATGCAATATTACCAATATTTACAACATGAGCTGTTTAATTGAATACGTTTTGTGTAATTTAGAAAGAAGGCAATTAAAACGTTTAAACTGGAAAACTAAGACGATTATGGTACATCTTCTAAGTTTATAAAATATTATTTTTACCTGGAAACATTGTTGATCCGCCTGACATAACAACATTACTGTACATATCCCTTCTAATATCAATATCACAATTTGAAATAGAGTTATTCACCATTTCGTGGATACCGCAATCTTCCCGACCTGTAATAACGTGCAAAACGTTCTAGATTAATATGTGTGTGTGTGTGTGTGAGAGAGAGAGAGAGAGAGAGAGAGAGAGAGAGAGTACGCGGCAGTACCCGGTGGACACAGAGGAAATGCCCACTCGACACATCCTAGATCATTTCAGGCTTTTGAAAATGGAACAATTTTATGTCAATAATTAACAGTGGACCATGAGATAGGCGACCCACCTATGTCACGTACATGCATGGGATCGAAACTATGTCACTTGACCTACTTGACCTTATGATCTAGCGCACCCGCGTCCGATCACTGATCTTCTTAGATTTCAAGCAATGATTGACAGTTGACTGGGACCAAACGGAAACTTACCGGCAAATGAAGGTTGAAATAAGAGTTCGGGACATCTAAATCTTTCGTTACCAACCGTAATAAGAGAACCGTCTGGTAGTTCGTAACTCTTTTCTATTGATGAAGAATTAACTGATGTGGCCATCTCATTCTCAAAATCCAAAGCGAGATAACATAGTTTTTCTTTCATATCTCGAACAATTTCTGTCTCGGCTGCAATATATTAATACATTTCTTAATAAATATATATGTTAAAATCGAAATACTATCACTTGAATTTTCTGTTTGAATTGGCGAATTTAATATTCTAGCAATGTACTTCTTACACTGATCGGGTATGCTTAAACTTTCAAGCACATCCATTACAACTTGTTGCTTTCTTTACGTAGTTATCATGTGATATTTAAGATAATCTTAAAAAAAACTTACATCCAGTGGTGAAGCTATATCCACGTTCATGTAGAATACGTTGTAAATAGGCTGTTAAATCTCGTCCAGCTAAATCTATTCTTTTAATGGCATGTGGTAAAGCATAGCCTGCAATACAGATTTAAAAAATACACAAATTGTTATTGATTTATTGGTAAAATTATTAAAACTACATAATTCATTACCCGAAAATTTATATTATAAATCATTAAATCGGTTGCAATTTTATTCTCAAATTACTGTAATATATGTCAAAAACGGAATAGGTTAATTAAATGATTACTTTTGTGATAAATAAGAAAGGGCTATTTACCTTCGTAGATAGGTACAACGTGAGAAACGCCATCACCAGAATCATATACTACTCCTGTAGTTCGACCAGATGCATAAAGCGACAGGACCGCTTGAATTCCAACATAAAAGGCGGGTGCATTGAAAGACTCGAACATAATCTGAAACGGTGTAAGTTATAACAATGCATTTTGTACTAAACATATTTTTCAGTCAAATTAATGTAATCTAACCAAGGCGTCGCACATGGGTGACCTTTAAAACCTGGATATTTACTTAATAAACATTTATTAATAAACATTCAGATATCAAATCGAGTAAATTACCTGCGTCATCTTTTCTCTATTTGCCTTAGGATTAAGGGGTGCCTCGGTTAGTAAAACTGGATGTTCTTCTGGTGCAATTCTTAATTCATTATAAAATGTGTGATGCCAGATTTTCTCCATATCATCCCAATTAGTAACTATTCCATGTTCTACTGGGTATCTCAACGACAACATTCCTCTTTTACTCTGAGCTTCATCTCCCACATAGCAGTCTTTCTGGCCCATACCAACCATTACGGCCTGTTTTAAACAGAGAATAGAGATATCAATATATCTGAAACATTTGTGATAATGGCCTACATCTAACATTAACAATGAAGGGGGAAATTTCGAAATAATGTGCTTATTTAAAGTCAAAAAAAAAAAAAAAAAAAAAAAATAAAGTAAGATACATCTTATTATTTAAAAATTGATCAAACAATGATCAAAAGAGGGATTTAATAATAATGGTATTTTACCTGATATTTTGGTCTTCCAGTAAGAGCGGGAAACACCGCTCTTGGTGCATCATCACCAGCAAACCCGGCCTTGCACATCCCTGATCCGTTGTCAATAACCAAGGCAGCGACATCATAATCGTCAAAACTCATCTTAATTGTATATTGTTGACTTGTGGAAATAACGAGTATAGAAATCTACAACATTTATTGAAAAAAATATTTATTGTAATTTTAAAAAAGATATTTTTAATGCAAAACGCAAAAGAGGAATTTCTTTGATTTATATTTTGTAACAAATTCAATGTCTGCTTATCGGAGAATAGATAAGAAGTAAAATATCGTATTAATATAAATAATTTATTATTTAATAAAATAAAATATCTACAACATTTATTGAAAAAAATATTTATTGTAATTTTAAAAAAAGATATTTTTAATGCAAAACGCAAAAGAGGAATTTCTTTGATTTATATTTTGTAACAAATTCAATGTCTGCTTATCGGAGAATAGATAAGAAGTAAAATATCGTATTAATATAAATAATTTATTATTTAATAAAATCAAATATCTACATCATAACATATTTATATTATGATGAGAACGCAAAAGTAATAAACAGTAAGTATTGCTTATGGTGTTATTGAGAGGTATCTATAATTCAAAAGGAAAAAAAAATCTTACCTTCGTAAAAAAATATTCCAACGTTTGTATGCAGATGAAACAAAGTATTATAATATTTGCCGCGAAAACATTTGTATTTATATCAAGCTCGATCAGTTCTTGGAAATTAATCACCTATACCATATATGGGTTAATACAATAGAACAATATTAATTTCTTGGAAAAGGGATGCCCCGAGTTACTATTTATAGCTATTTGTCAACATAGTTAATCTATAATATACTATATTTATATATATGTAGTCAACGTAAGCTTCTTGTCATACACCTGTACTGGGGTCAAGGCATAAATATAATACACCTGTATTGTGGTCACTGTATTACAAAATATATCAGAATACTGAATTATTATAATCTGAAATTATGACATAATCAGCAATATGTAAGTTTTTCTTATAATGCAATACGTCGCTTAAAATATTTTTTATCGCCTAATTATTTGTTATTAGGATAAATAGATCATCTGTATGAAGTTAATTTATACGTGTTAAGCAGACGACGTGACTGACTATTGTGCTATTAATAGAAATGATTCACCGGTTACCTCCCTTTATTATTGTTGTCGCCAATAGGACTGTCTATACTTATTTATACACCCATGTATATATGTATCAAGAAAAGTCCTATAGAATATTGATTTTATAATAACAGAAACGCCAATTGATTTTTGAAACATCGCATACACAGATTGAAGTAAAATAATTATGTATATTCTTTAATACGGGATATTTTGATGAAATAAACTTGAATATATACACTATATATATAATATTGATCGAAACTTAAAATATTAGCACAGGAATTATTTTATTTACGTCCATAAATACTTTTTTCAACAACCGTTGTTTTGGCATATAAGCATTTCATGTTTTTCTCTCCTTTTATGGCGGTATAAAGCCTATAGTAATGTAAACATTACAGCCACCATTACCTTATATGGCAAGGTTTAGCTGACGGCGATATGTTTAAGTTTAAGGACCATTCAATGATTTGTAAATATTAATAATGTATGCACTTTTTCCTGGTCGTATATATGCACCTGTTATTACCTGATATGACAGGGTTAAATAGTAAAGAGTGAACGATATTTAAAAAATCCGTTCAAAATTCTAAATATATATGTAAGGACGATGTATAAAACAAAGTGTTTTATTTATAAAATGGGTATGTATGTAGTGCTGGTGACTTTCGGTTAGATTGTTGCAATACAGAATATGTATTAAAACTCAGTTGTTCCCATATATCTGGAGCAGTGGTGACTAAGAGATTATAGCATATTAATCAGTAGTGCAGGGCAGACGGTCTGGTAAGGGTGGCGTCTATCGGATTGGACGATAAACCTAGGTTCCGTGTAAACGTTGGCATACACGTATAAGAGCCCTAAACAGTTGGAATTCGATATAAGAGTAGGCCGTAGCACCGCTGTAAGACAAAAGTCTGCTCATAGCACAATGCAAGTTAGTGCCGAAAAGCAGGATGCTAAACCCCATTTCATTTCAGTTCAGTTCTCATATCCTGAACGTAAATCATGTTCTATTTAATATAAATGATATAATAATTATATAATTACAAGCACACCCGAGTATATATCTATAGGAAGAATAGATTGACGTGTTCAAACAACATTGAGGAATTATTATTACGTTATTAATGTAAGTCACATAAAGATGGCTACGTGTAACGAGTAGAAACCAAAATAAACGTTAACGACCATAATGTATCTTTTTGGGGGCACTTTTCCTATCGTTTGTTAGTAATCCAATCTCCCCATACTCTGTACCAAGAATAAAACGTGGTAAAACATGGGTATTAGTCTCAATGTGAAGCATCAACACGTATAAATATCTTAGTTACACTATTAATTAGAAAATTAAAGTAAAATTATCAAATCCCTTTACAATAAACCAAATGTAAAGATTGTATAATGATAATAGAACTTTACGTTCAATAATCTATAATTTATAAAGCGAGCGATTACCGTATATGGTCATACATATATGTGTGAAAGTTCGCACCATATATGGATAAAGCAGAGAGTATGTGATCAGATAAAGTGAGAATACCATATAAAAACTATCTTAGTACCATATTTGTTGAATTAAAAACATGCTTAGAATATGAATAGACCAATAATCATGTTAACGTCAGTATTTAAGCTAGACTTAATTTCATCTACTAAATAAAATAAACAAAGTTTAGAGTTTCCAGCAACTGCAGGAATCGTTAGCATAAAAAAATAATATGCTCAATGAACAGGAGATAAATAAAGTTAGTTATTCAGAGAGAGAGAGAGAGAGAGACAGAGAGAGAGACAGAGAGAGAGACAGAGAAGAAGAAGAAGAAGAAGAAGAGAGAGAGAGAGAGAGAGAGAGAGATGGGGTTTAACGTCCATTAGACACAGGCTAGGTCATTTCAGGAGTAACATTTTATTTAAATAATTCGCTTTGGCCTAGGGCTCTTTAGCAGAGGGAGGAAATCGCGGCGAAAACCCACGAGGTTGGGCAAGCGATCTTACTCCTTGTTACCTACAAGCGGAGAATCAAAACCACGCCACATGACACACCTTATGAGATTTTGGGAGTGACATATAGTTCAATTTCATTTCATTAATTCGTTTGCGTAGGGGTATTAAACAGTTGGGGAAACAGGAGGTTCCGGAGAAAACCCACGAGGTTGGAAGGCGACACAATGACCCCCCCCCCCCGCAACACCTAAAGGAGTACTGACAGTGGTTCAGTAAGTAAGGTGCTCGCTCACTAACAACTGACCTAGACATTGCCTCTTATCAGTGGTGTGGTGTAACGTCAAGTCGTTCACGTCGGATGACGAATCCAAGGTCTAGGTATGAGTGGGGACAGTTCCCGTGGAACTTCTTTTGGGTGACTATCTCTAACAAACTATTTTGAGGCAATTAAAGGGGCATTATGGAAGATTAGCTAAAGAGCTGACAGTTCACGCTATAGTTGATAACGTAAAGAGAATATGCTTAAAATTTCAGTCAAATTACTTCACTCTGTGCCGAGAAAACCGAATTTTGAAAACACTGTAGCCTCGATTGTCATTATTGCCGTTGTTACATAATAATCAAAGCCTCGTTGATCTATTTTTACGGTTAATCATGAACAGCTGTTGAATCACAGATCGGATTCAAATCTGGTTAAAATCGTACCAATAAATGTCTAATTAAAGGGCTAATCCCTATAATTTTTTGGAGAATAAAACTGTTTAATTTAGATTTAAAATCCCTGAAAATCTTCTATCTTAGGGCCGAGCAACTAACTCAATATTTGTGATAAGTTTTCAAACAACTCTTCATCTGGAAATGGAGACCGGTGTCCCAAGCTGTATTATGCGGTGTCTAGATAAAACCAGACATTTTTTGTATAAAAATAATGTGTAGGTGAAATTTACCTTTCATTATCAAGTACAGCATTTGGGTCATTCACTGTATAGACCTCTCAATGAACGGGAATCGATTATCAGGTCTCCCAACGAAACAATTGACCCGAAATCTTAAAAGGGTTACGTGTCCGGATAAGCAGTTTTGATGGTCACGTCCAAACGACTCAATATTTTGAGCTGAAATTTTGAGATACGGTCAATACACCATTCCTCGATGTTTTGGCGTTTAAATTTCATACATACTCAGACTTTTATTTTTGAGACTCTGTTCAAATAAGGGATAGTCCCTTTAATAGTTTATATAACATTTTTAAAGCCCTAAATAAAGACCTGCAATTGGCAGATTTAGCGCTTGCATAATTCATGTTTAAGTCTATAAACATATTTTAGTATTTTATTTAATTTAATAAAATCCTAGAACTTTTGTTCCTTTAACTCTAAAGCTTCCTCCAACATATCCTGTTCTTGGCATTCGTACATTTGGTTGAGAACCTCCACCATATAGATATATAGTACCTGAAATGAATATTAAAATAATTACTATTTTATCAGATAGACATTTAATAGCAGTGACAACACCATTGAGATGAATGACTTTCAAATTTGCTTATTGATACTAAACACATTATGGATTAAAATGTCGTAATGGTTGTTGTAGATATTTTTGTCATTCGAGTTGTAGGGTCAGTCGCGGATTCATAATATTTGGATATATCAGTGTGTAAATGCTAATTTGTGGTGCGTATTAAGACAGGAATATAACAAAAATCTCAAATATACATGTTTTATAGAAACCAGCCTGATTAAAATATAGATCTATAGTTCCTGTCGTTCTTTATACTTTAGATGGAATACACTACATCGAGATCTGACTCGTTGTAGTAGGAGGTCGCATCAGGGTCAGAACAAGCGGCTTTTGACCCTACGACGTCAGACATTTGATTAACAAATCAGCGTTGATACTTCTAGAGGGATATCCACTATTCCGTGCCTCACACGTCAAGAACTCGCCGTGACAGACCGTTTCATTTGCGAATCCCTTACATCAACCAAAACGCGGGTTATATAACAACTCTTCAGAACCCTAGTGTAGTAAAGATAAGTAAACCGAATTGTTGAAGTGTAAAAAAACGAAACGAAATAGGATCTGTGATTTAATCAGATTGTATAGAAACGTATTAAAGATGAATTTTTATACTGAACAGGGTAAAACGTTTTGTTACATTTATTCCGATATTTAAACTAACACTTACCTTCTTGAACAACCCATCCTTTATCTTCTGTAAATACCGCCATATTTTGAGGAGTTATGTTACAGGAAAAAGTACCCATTTCTCCAGGTGCTGTTGATATTCTCATAAAGTTAACCAGTTGAATTTTAGGAGTAGTAATACTGGTGTTATAACGAATGAGAGGAGTCCATGATACGTAAATCTGAACAACCTATAGAGAAATATTATTACATGTTTTAATATCCCACAGTTTGCTGCACATTATACTTCAGAAGTACCCACAGAAATCTTCCCCAATCGAATTACCAAACTGATTTTGAACCCCCTTTTCTGAGTAAACAAATAAGCTTAACTTCAAAAGAAACGCCGAGGGGTTAATGTGGCAGACAAGTCTAACAACTTGATAGAGTTGTACATATCACGTAACAGTATACACTGTCGCCATTGTTCAATATTTAACCCGACTATGGATAGTAAAACGTTCGCAGCTACACATGACCATACAAATCATTTCAACATTGGCAACGTCACATTGGCACCAGTCACTGTCATTTGGGGGATCAATGTAGATCAACTAGCATAGACTTCTGTCGGCAGTAAAACCGTATAAAACGGAATCCCCACCTTAACAACTTACGCTATACCGGAAACCGAAATGAAATGGGGTTTTAACGTATTACTTTTTCGGCAAAACTAGATCATAAACGATGCATTACAAAATTATATGACGATTTATGGCATAATCTATCAGTATTAATGTCCATATCAGCACTCTTTTATACATAAATATAGAATATCCCTATTTAGCATGCATAATTGTAATCAATTAGATGGACATGCGTATTGTGAACATGGCTCTTCTTAGTGGATATCCTTGATTTTAGGATATCACAATAGCCAAGACATTTGTAATGACAAACACAACAGTACATAAGTTCAATATACTAGTAAAGAAGTAGCATGGCAAGTGACTGATATGCTAGGGAAGTGGTATCGGATCCTGCAGACAGAATAAGTTCTTTGTGAAGTGTATCTTAAACATATTTACCATATCACCGACCATACTGCCCCCATTTTGAAAAGTGTATTTAATTGGAAGGACATCGCCAGCATTAATCACATCCGGGTAGTCCATGGTCATATTATTGAAAGCAGTATAGGTCATACCGTAACCAAAAGGATAAAGTGGTTTACCAGTAAAATATCTGTACGTTCTGTTTACCATTGTGTAGTTTGTCATTGGCGGTACCTGCAATCCATAATATATAGTAAAGCTGTGTTACAATGCTACCGATATGTTGTTAAAGGACCTAAGTCCGTAACTCAAAATCCTCCAAAATCTTCGACATCGAAAACACGAATTATTGGTCAATTTAAATCAACATTGATGATGTAAACTTACCGGGAAAAGATGAGCTTCTGATATCCGATATTTAAGATAAAATAATTTTTTTAACATTGGTACACGAATCGTGTACCATAATGTGCTTCAGCCCCAGTTGTATTGAGAGACTCGAGGGACGAGGCTAGACACATTGCACCAAATCAAATGGAGTAAAGTAGACTAGAATAACTAGACGCTAGAAATTTGCACTCGATTGAGATTGCTGACTTATTTCGCCGAACATAACTGATTTGAAATTGGAGTAAAAACGGAAACCATTAAATGTAAATCAGTTTATATACATTCATATTACAGTATTATATGCGTTGCGACCCACTTTTGTGAATTTCTAGGTCCCAAATGTTAGCGATTTAGCTCCTTTAATATCATGACATACAGTTTGAGCAATCAGTGTAGATGACAAATGACACTCATGGGTTTGATAGTCAGATAGTTTGGACCTTAAAGAAATATATTTACTACCTCTTCTTCATAACAATTGATAAAATGTAAACATATATGGGATGATGAATGTTGATCTGTTCCTATGAAGATTTTCACTACCCGGGGGCACACAAATAGGTAAACAATTATTCTTAAAAACAAATATGTGTGTAGATATTTCCTGCTAAAGATTATTTCGTTACCCCAGGGATTGGACGGGGTACTTAAATCGCAAGGGCAAGTGTGTTCATCTTATCAATAGGTGAACTTTACGGTGTTATCAGTGTCGGATATATCGCGCATCAATTGGTCTCAAATCGTGAAGAGCGTCTCTTTCCCTTAACATATAAAACAGTACAGGAACCTCTTTACCTATGACCAGCTTCATACAAAATAAAATTGATAATTGCTTATTTTACCGTACAATTTCTCTAATTTAATTGTTTTGTGGATTTAAGCGAATGAAGTATTTAGTATTATATAATTTAAGAACATACAACCAATGAGATTTTATAATTCATTATACATACACCTTACATTTGGTGAAGAAGGTTTCAATGTGTAGTTATATTATCAGATGTTATACTCTTGAAAATGTACCTGTGTGGAAGATTTAAACCATGTATATGGTAATCTACCAAACTGCTGAGCGTTAGAACTGGTCAGAACCTTCCTGAGAGCAACACCAGTCGACTGTCCTGGATAAAATGCCGCTATGATGGCACTTATATTAGGAGTCTGATCAGCCCACGATATATTTACTGGTCCAGCATTAAATGTTATCAAAATTATTTTGGCGGAACCACCTGAAAAACAGATTGTATCACGCAGGCAACACAACTGACACAATTTATATTTACAACAGACAGATAATTCGTAGTATTTCAGCATATGTCGCTGGTAATTTAACAGATTTATTTAAAGGAAATACGATCGTTGGGGACATATGTAAAAGATATACGGACATTAAAATTATTGATCCTAATACCCAGCTATGTTGAACGACACCTTTAGATGATTTATCCTTAATAATAATGGACTTGTATGTGATATATTATTATTGTGGCCCCAAGGTTTTCGTTTACCCAGTAAAATTCGGTTTCTGAAATTAAGGTCCAAACCACTGCTTCAGTTTGCTATAAATAGTGGCCAGTGTCATGCATGAGCCAGTGTGTAAGCTTTCTACATCCACTTACCAAATTTAACAACGTCTTGCAATAATTGTACCTGTTTACCAGGATATTCTATATCTGGTCTGTCATTTGCTTCTGATTCGACGGGTGTTCCTTAAAATATAATCCATAAATCTATATTATATCCTCTCTCTTCTATCTTACAGTACAAGATACATGACTGTACAAGATATCAAAATGAAATACACTGCTCAAACAGAGCAACACCAGTAGAACACATCACCAAAGCATGGTTCATAATGTCAAATAGATATATCTACTTTCGCCAAAACCTAAATAAATTAGTTTACTCTTTTTAAATCAAAAATACCAGATTACCTAAGCCTAGACACACAAAAACCACGTCTACGCCTTGTACTGCTGTTTGTATAGAACTTGAATCATAGGTAGAACATTTTGTGTCTTTACATCCACTGGCATAGTTCGCCTTGGTACCAAGTGATGATAATCCTTGCCGTGGTGTGGTAATAAATTTTGGATCTGGGTTAGCACTGTAATCACCACCTAACAGATGACCCGCATCAGCAAACGGCCCGACAATCTAAACACAAAAACAAAGGGTTTTAATCTGTATAATGGCCCAACAATCTTAAATAAAATAGCAACGCATTTATATAGAATTGGTCGGATGTTGTATTTATTTGCTTTTCACATATTTGTGGTTTTAAGCTCTCGTATTCCATATATTATGATATCACTTTTTTCCCTGCAAACTTATCCCAGAAACTAACCGCGGAATCTTTCTGAAACATATTTTCCGTTTCTCACCTTTCCATACCAAGAGGATAATATTGGACATTCACTAATAACTTACAGCTACACTGTTATATGTGGTTTGTGTCAAGGGCAAGAGTCCATCATTCTTCAATAAAACAAAGGATTTCATAGCAGCTTCAACAGCCAGGTCTCTATGACTTTGTTCTTCTATAACAGATGTATTAATGTAGTTATAAGGATTCATCTCTGGTGGATCAAATTCTCCTAACCTCATTCTGGTATAGAATAGAGGTTTTACTCTTTCTCTTACTAAATCCTCTGATAGTTTTCCTTGTTGTACAGCTTCAGCTAAAATATTTAAAATCCAATGTTAAATCCCTGGTAATGGTAGTTACAATCGTTGAAAAGGTCACATCGTTTAGATTTCTTTTCTTATTCTTGATTTAATTTATTTTGATAATTTTCAAATGTTGTATTTTAAAAATCAGGAGATTCAATAAGTTTGTTGCTGGCCATAATATGATACAATCAAAGCAGGTGGTTTGTATTTCATAAACTACTTTAATTTGTTAAAGCTTCGCATTTAGCATTTTGGTAGCATAGGTTGGCTACGATCTTAGTAAGAATAATATTTACTTAACTTAGTAGTGGGCTGAGGGATAAGGCGAAGATGGTGTTATTGTGTGTATAAATTTCTGTTTAAGCAAAAACAAAATAATACTTGCTAATTGACATAAAAACTTCATTTTTTTCGGTGCTTCCTGCCAGTTCCAAATTACACCCAGCGTTTACCGAGGCAGCTGCGGCATCAACTGAATTATTGACATAGTGGTGCCGAGATACAATATTTTCTATAGCTGTTTCATCACTGACAACATAACCTTTAAATCCCCATTCCTTTCGTAGAATATCTGTCAACAGCATTTTGTTAGCACAGGATGGTACACCATTGATACTAAAATAAATGAAATAGAGAGAAATGGGGTTTAACGTCCCCTCGACACAGACTAGGTCATTTCGGGACTAACATATGGTTAAATTTTATTTCTATAATTCGCTGGCGCGTAGGGGTCTTTAGCAGTGGGACGAAATCGGAGGACCCGGAGAAAACCCACGTGGTTGGACAGGTAACCCTACTATTTGTCACGTACAACCGGGGATACGGAACCACGCCAGTTGACTCAATGACGGGCCTTATGATACAGCGCGCATATATGCTAACCATTCGCCCCCCCCCCCCACTAAAATAAGTATTGTATGCAATATTTTTAATTTAACATGTAATTTCGGTAGGATACGTAACTAGTACCAAACGTCTAAAATGTGAGATTATAGATCGACATTACATTCCATCCGTTGGTCCGTTCACACTTGCTTGTGAACGTGATGTTCTACATTTTCCATCCAATGTAATCGAATGAAACTAATATGTGGATGTAGTATATCCTGCACGAGACGGTGAAGAATTAAGGAGACGACATTATATTGGGGAAAATGCATACTTAAGACAGTTACAAAATTAAAGTAGAAACTTGCTGACAGGAATGCTTCACCGGGGGTCATATATCCAACCATCGTGATGGATTAACCAGCTTATAATTTCTTACCTGTTATAGCTACACATGAGACTAAAGGTTCCTGCTTCTACACAATGTCTGAAAGCTGGTAAGAATGTTGTTCTCCAATCTCTCGTAGACACCTAAATAACCAATGTCCTCTTATTAATGCTTGAAAGTAGTAAGGGTGTGCTGCTGTGGTATATGTTTCTGTGAGTTTTAAAGTATTGCTGAAATTTCAAACCTAGCCGGTAAATGTTACCGAATACCCATAGCACAATCTTATTGGTAGATCTTATGCTAAAACAAAAAGAAAACGTGTTCTGGGAAACAATACATGAATCATTTAATATTACCACGGAGTTGAAGCTAGCTCTCGCCGCGGGTATATTTTCCGGACCTCCATGAACATCAAAATGTTTACAACCCGCTGAAGCTCTCACATATCTTGGGTGATCTCCTTGTAGTCCATTAACATAAGATGTTGATAACATTCCACTAAGATATGGATCTTCTCCATACGTTTCCTGAAACAAATGACAGGTTTTGCTATGAGGATGGTGGTGTTTCTTGGAGGAAAGCGGCTACTGTCAGCGAAATTATTTTCATAGAGATTTGAGGCGAGATTGTTTTAATCTATTCAATCTGATGTTATGAACTATTGCAACCAAATACACATTGTTTCTCGTAGATAACTAAACATTGGACAAGGTAAAACTACTGATGTTCCTAGCAAAACCTGGTTGAATGAGTGCAAGCATCTAAAGGATGTAAGATCGTTTTTAAAGAGATACGTTTTTATTATAAATTTGAATTATATATATATACTATTCAAAAAAAGTAGGGGATATTTGATTTTGGGGGCATAATACTAAAATATGCAAATGACTACGAAAAAAGTCACTATAGAACCTAACAGAAGAAACATTTCCAGTCACATGTGACGCCCAAACGCACCAATAGCTACCGCATGGAATGCAGGTGATGCTTGGGATCATCATGGGGGTCCAACCCAAGATTTGCACGACTCTGACTTTGAATGTTACAGTCATTGTGGCATTGAATTCCAGGGTGGAAACATCAGTTTAATTGTTTTAGTGACCAGAAAACAAATTTTGATATGCGTCGGCTTACCCAAAATGAAAGGTTACGTGCCCTTGGCATGCTACAGATCGGCACAACACAGGCGGTTGTGGCGCGGACGATGAATGTTTCTCAGTCTGTCATAAGCAGGCTATGGTCCAGATACCGTGATACACAATCTGTACAGGACAGACCACGCTCAGGTAGACCAAGGGCGACAACTCAAGCCCAGGATCGATTTATCCGTACCTTGGCCTTGAGAAATCGTGTCATCACAGCAAATCAGATCAGCGCTCGTCCTCAAACAGACACTGGTGTGAGAGTGAGTGGCCAGACGATTCGGAATCGACTGCATAGGGGTCACCTTCGCGCCCGACGTCCTCGCGTGATCCCTTGTTTGAGAGATCATCACATTCCGGCAAGACGTCGTTGGTGTAGGGATCGTCAACACTGGGATAATCGACGCTGGAGCAATGTGATGTTTTCAGATGAGTCAAGGTTCACTGTTGATTTTTTGGACAGACGTAGGAGGGTGTGGCGTCGTCGAAACGAGCGCTTCCAAGACGTTAACGTCATCAGACATGATCGATTTGGGGGTGGGTCTGTTATGGTGTGGGGAGGCATCACTGTTGCTGGAAGAACGGCTTTACATGTTGTTGCAGGGCGTGTTACAGGCCAGTACTACCGGGACAACATCTTGGCATCCATGTTGTGCCGTTCGCACGACGTCATGGCCGCCGTTTCATCTTCCAGGATGACAACGCAAGATGTCACAGGGCCAGGATCGTTACAGGTTACCTCCAACAACAGAACATCACCACATTACCTTGGCCAGCACTGAGTCCCGACCTCTCCCCCATCGAGCATGTCTGGGACATGCTTGGACAGAGGTTACGTCAACGTCAACAACGTCCTGCCAATGTCCAAGAACTTGCTGCTGCGTTGCAACAGGAATGGGACAATCTGGACCAAAATGACCTTAGACGTCTCATTAGGAGTATGCCACGTCGGATCAATGCTTGTTTGGCAAACAGAGGAGGATTTACCCGTTACTGACTTGGTTGTGATGCTGTGGTAACTTTGCTGTTTGACCCCGGGTATCATTTTACCCTTATAATGGTCAGTCTGTGCCTTACTTAGTCTAACGATCATTTGGAATAAATAGATGAATGTGAACTTCATTTCATTTTGTCATTTGTTTCTTCGTCAGTTTCATTAGGTGACTTTAATAACACTTAAAAATCAAATATCCCCTACTTTTTTTGAATAGTATATACATGTTGTAAAGAAAGATATTGTGATATTTATTTTTCATTTTATTTACTAATTTGTGACATTTTTTTTGTATAATTGATGTATACAAGTGCACTTTTGTGATGATATTTAGTTTGTGTCGTATATCCTGGCTGGTGCTGGTGTGTCATTAAACACCATTTTATTTCATGTCATGTCTATGCCAAACCTCGGGTGAAATTAACAGCAGTTGAATCAATGACCGATAACATTTGAAGGTAATAATATACTGACCTGATTTCTACCCCATCTTGGATCTCTCATTATGTTGATAACTGGTGCGAAACAGCTTAACCCAGTATGGCCAACATAGCTGTGATTCTTAACATTAGCATTGTGTGTAGCTCTTACTTCCGTTGCCGTTGCCTCGGCCATTCTATACAGCAGTGAGGAGCTGAAGTTTATGATTAACGTTTAGCAATAGAAATACGATGATGAGAGTTACTATGTTAACGTGTCGACCCCACCAAGGTTTTCACAGATTTGCATTGAACAATTCATAGTTACCGATTGCCGGGCAAATGATCATGAGGTTGCCATCAAGTTAACATACGTCCACCGCCAGCTTCGTCGTTCTGTAATAAGACTTTCCATTTCATGATTTTCCCATAATATTTCTTAAAACCCTCAAAATCGACAGGACAATGCTTACTATTCCTGTCCACGGCTTGTATGGTAAGCAACAATGATATCAGTCAGGACTAATACCCGGGGAAGTACTTTTCGTGAAAACATCTCCAGCCCAATACTGACTTTTACTGAATATTTGTACTACAATACTGAATATTACTGAAATCTTGGTCAAATCAATTTAAAACTGCATATCAAGAGTTAGTAAAAGTAACGAACAGGAAAGACGACAATATGCGATTTAATAAAACTGTGGCCATAAAAAATAGATAAACATATCTTACCTCCAAGTAGCAGCCAGTCCAATAGACTGTGGATACGAAGTGGCATTCTGTCCAACATCTCCATGTAAGCATTCAGTGTCCCACTGATACGGCCCGATGCCTAGTCTTGGTATCGCGGGAGCCGGTCCATTTATACCAGCACCCCCTTTAGCCATCTGTAAGGTTATCTCATCTAAAGTCAACCTTCCGACCAAATCATCCACACGAGCATCCCAGGATAGGGAAACATCTCTAAATGGATAATCCTGGACAGACCACTCAACCAGGAGGAAAATACAGACAACGTTCTTCAGCAAGAACATGTTGGGAAGTGCCGTTGCTGGTATTTTTTTTAACGATTTCTTATCAGCTAATCTACATTTGTATTGTTAACTCGTCGCTAGATAAGAATGACTTAGATATAGCTATCAACTGATTTAAAGATATGGATTACAATATAGGGTAATTGATACAAGATTTAAAGATAATCTACTTGAAATATAAGAGAAGTATGCAAATCTATTCGCCTTATGTCCTTTAAACGTAAACTTTATTTCATCAATTAATTTTAGTTGAATACTGTTGATCGCTTACATGTGTGTGTAGTTTGTGCGATCAATATGTTCTATATCATTTTGGCATATTGATGTCAGAATTGGAGTAAGACTCTACAGTTAGTGTCTATTTATAGCAATACTTTATTTTCCCCTCGTTTGCATTGCAATTTTTGTTGGCCGTTAGGTCTAGATTCGAATTTACATTTCCTGTCAGCTTTCAGTGAATGTTCATGAAGTAGAAGGACCAGAAATGAAACCGACGCTAATTAGTAGAGCAATCACCTCAAACTGTTTCACAAAGATCTTCTAATATCTCTGTAACAGATGTATTCGACACGTGACCTCACATCACGCGGCGTCAATCATTGGCTCAATAGCGCGTGTATTGTTTACATAAGACGTTACTGATTCGGGCTAAATGGTGAATTTTACTTATTTTAATACCCATTTACACTAAATAGGAAATGATTTTTACCTACAAATAATTCTTTATTTATTTTTCTAATAAATGAAAAAAATGTGTTAGAATTTAATTTGACGGAAGAAAAAAGTTAATATTTGGGACTCATTAAGTCGCATCAATGTCATCATTATCAGTGATTGTCGCGGCCTAGCAAAAATTCAATGCTGATCAGTGTGCAATTGCCTACGAAAATGACATCCAATCCTGAAGATTCATTTGATCGAAAGGTCAACACCTCGTTAAATAGTCTTATCAGATAATATTTTCATGTATATATATATATATAGTGCTCTTTGTAATTAAAGCAATCGATATACCCCCGCCACTTCAATAAGGATTAAGATAATCGGGATGTTCATAAAAATTGTTATAGGCCAAGAAATGTCACGGGTTTAACATTGAAGTCAATAGGGGGACAATTACTACTTACATTTCAAATAAAGTGGGGATAGGTGGCCGTGTGGTCTAACGTGTCTCTAGATCATGGTATAATCAGTTATCTGTGTAAGTCATGGGTTCTACCCCACCTTTGTATATGTCTGTAATTCTCAACCAGTGTGCCGCGAGATCTTCCGAAGTGTGCCGCGAAATTTTGAACGGCACACAAAGAAAATGTGAAAAACCATGTGCTCCAAATTGAGTATTCTTTGTTGTCTACTGATAGGTACATAGCTGTGTTTTATTCATTTAATTTGAATCATTCTATGTCTACGGCTCGTCTTCGTCTATGGTTGTATGTCGTTTGACATACCATGTTTATATATTTTGCAAAATTCAGATATTTTTCATATATATTTAGCCAGGTGTGTCACTTGTTCATAAAATGTAGGAAAATAAGTGTCAATGATGTCAATGATACAGTCACAGACATATTAGACATTCACAATGTACCTATTGCCAGGACGTCATCACATAATGTATACGCTCTGGCATACAGTATTAACTCAAAAATGTTACCTTCAGCCAAGGTATATAGATATATTATTATATTAAAGAATTATTAATATTTGGATATAAGTTATAAGATAATACCTTTTGTTATAGAGTTTAACTTTCAATCCCTGATTTATATCAATATCCAACTACATATTTTAATCCCCATCTGGTCAAGTTTAACGAAAACTAATACTAACTAAATCTAGTATCATTTACTGATATCGATATAGAAACACTAAAGAATTGTGGGAATATTTTTAATAAAGAAAAGTTGTTTTTTATCAAGTGGAATGAAATATATGTAATGTTCGCATGAATTATTACAGACATGACTGAAAATATAATGCAATACCAAATTAAAGGTGCATTATATAAGATTAAAATAAAGAGCTTGGCGTTCTTACAGGTTCAAAAATAGATAATGAAAAATAAATATTTATTGAAAATGTCATTCAAATTAATTTATTCGGAAAGAAGTTTCGAGTGTTTGAAGGTGTGACGTAGATTGTTTATTATCGTAGCAACAGTACCTTACAATGTTTCGATTATCCATTTAATCGCTAAGTTTTTAAGCCTCGTGTGTGTTCAAATCCATTTAAATACGGACACCCGATGGACTAGATATGGGCTTGTCTCGTGAATAAATGTCTAAATGATAAGTATGCAATAGATTGATTTAGTTCTTACATAATGCACCTTTAAGTTAAAGTAAGTATATTATATTCTTTGATAACATTCGCCTTGCAACCAGCGTAAGAAAGATATATCAATCTAGCAGGTATACATTTATCATATCGACGATTTCTACTTTAATAGAATCCTAGAACTTTAGTGCCCTTAACTCTAAAACCTCCTGCAGCATATCCTGTTCTTCTCATTCTTACGTTTGGTTGAGAACCTCCGCCATAGACATATATAGTACCTGAAATAAATATTAAAATAATTAATAAACACAAAAGCAAAGTATGGAACACAGTTACTATTTTAATTAAAGTGACGTTTCTTTGTGGTTCTCTCTCAACGTTATAAAGAAAATGATGATGAATATAATATACAGAAGGTTTATATACAAAAACAAGTAACAACTAATTACCTAATAATCAGTAAGGAAACTATTTCAGTATATTGAGTAAAGTCACCGATTAAAAGGAAATGAATCTTGTAAAATCATGTACACAAAACAAGTAACAACTAATAGCCAATATCTCGTAGGAAAAAATGTTGACCGGACACCCTACTTTTATTTCGAATTCCAACTTTCAGGGGCTGTTTACGTACTCGCCAATGTGTACACTGTACACGGGGCCTCGTTTTTCCTTCTCACCGGAATGACTACACACTGTCCATGCCAGGCACTTAATTCTGCACCTCTAAAGTGGAAGAACCAGACCGAAAAATCCCAAGGAACTTTCTCGGCCAACTCCGGAGCGAACACGAGACCTCCCCGCTATTCAGCCACCGTTTTACTCACTGATCCACCGCAGCTCCGGGTTTATAATAGGTTTTGCATCCAACCCGAAAGAAAACCATAATGACACATACCTTCTTGGACAACCCATCCTTGATCTTCCGTAAATACCGCAATATTTTGAGGAGTTATATTAAAGGTATAAGTAATCATTTCCCCAGGTGCTGTTGATATTCTCATAAAGTTAACCAGTTGAATTTTAGGAGTAGTAACACTGGCGTTATAATGACCGAGAGGAGTCCATGATACGTAAATCTGAACAACCTGTGGAGAGTGGGATATAATTATAATGTAATAAATTGTAGCACTTTAGGAATGAAAGAATGAATGATAAGTGGGGTTTAGGAACTTACTTTTTTTGCACAACCGTGTGCTCTTGGGGATAATTTGCCCTATGTGCACGCCCTCGGTCCGATCCTCCGTCCTGCAGTACTGACACCGGGACACCACGTTGGAACTCGGTCAACACCGGGATCAAAACGACTATGTACCTTAACTGACTGTGGCTCCTCAGCATTTTAGGTTGTATAGGTTAGATGGGGGTAGCCCGTTTTTGATTTCATAATTGTATGTAGATACATTATAATATTGCATAAAGCCCCATTATTTGACAATAAAATGAAATAAAATAATATATATATAGGGTCTCAATATGTTTGCAGTATAACATAATATTCAACTCAAAAGGGTTATTAGGTCACAAATTCCATCTACAAAGAGATATAACCCTTAGTACCCTAATGTTTCTAGGTAACTACATTTTTAGGGTTCATTTGCATATATTTGACCACAGTATCAATGAAAGGTTTCTAAAATACATGCTTCAGCTTACCTCATCAGCGGAAACCTGTCCATTATTTTTAAAGGTGATATTAAGTGGAAAGACATCGCCAGCATTAATCACATTCGGGTAGTCTATATTTGTATAACTGAAAACAGTGTAGGTCAAACCGTAACCAAAAGGATAAAGTGGTTCACCAGTAAAATATTTGTACGTTCTGTTTACCATTGTGTAGTTTGTCATTGGTGGTACCTACAATGAAGAGATTGAATATGTTGAATTGATACTACTACTGATACTGATACCATAAAATGCATCTGTAGTCCGACTTACACAATTCTAGAGAAACCAAATACCAAAAATATCAAACAGAACCAAAATTACAAGTGTGCCCTTTTATTTATAACGTGTTATTTTGGCAGCACCTAGTGTCTTTGTGCGACGGTCCAGTGGGTAACATGAACGCTGAATACAAAACAACTTCCGCGGTTAAACTGATACCAATTACTTATCAACCGGACATTTCGCAAATGAACACTTATGGTATTGAATTATACAAGTCATTGTTACTCTAAACTAATGTTTAGTATAAAAATGATGCAGCAGTCACAAATTACCAATTATGTATTATGCAACTAGCTTTATAAGATGTCACTTTTAGTGTGAAAGCGTGACTATTACTAGCAATCCTCCACTGCTGAATATACAAACACAACTAATGACAGTGTATAGCACTAGACAGTCACGGTTTTAACTGACTTGACATAACAATCTGATTACTAACCATTTTAATTGACTAGTAAACACTATCCTTATAAAATGTTAACTGAGTTAAACCTACTTAATCACTACACCCGATTATTAACCATTTTAATTGACTAGTAAACACTATCCTTATAAAATGTTAACTGAGTTAAACCTACGTAATCACTACACCCGATTATTAACCATTTTAATTGACTAGTAAACACTATCCTTATAAAATGTTAACTGAGCTAAACCTACTTAATCACTTCACCCGATTATTAACCATTTTAATTGACTAGTAAACACTATCCTTATAAAATGTTAACTGAGTTAAACCTACTTAATCACTACAACCCGATTATTAACCATTTTAATTGACTAGTAAACACTATCCTTATAAAATTACGACTTTGGCTTGTTTGTGGCAAATAGTTTCATTATTATAAGTCACGTTTTCATGTGTTTATGCAGAAAATTGCATTCACAGAAGTTTTATAAGTGAATCTTCTGTACAATTTTGTAAGATAGGTACCTGTAGGGAAGACTTAAACCACGTATAGGGTAATCTGCCAAACTGCTGAGCATTAGGGTTTGTCATAGCATCCTTGAGAGCAAGTCCGGTAGACTGTGCTGGATAAAATGCTGCAATGATGGCGTTTACTTTAGGATTCTCGTCAGCCCACTGTAAGTTTACTGGTCCAGCATTAAATGTTATCAGAACTATTTTGGCAGCCCCACCTGAATAAAACATATTTTGGGGTGTTTTGGTAATTTTTGGATACATATAATACATAAACTTAAGTCAGTATGGCACAATTATTTGTAATTACTTAAGATCAATTATTTATTTCGATTTTAAAGAGGAATGTAAAGTGATGAAATCTCATTAAAATATGGATCATAATAGCAAGCCTTCTGAGATGACATGTTTTGAACGATTTTGCTTATCTAAAGCATTACCCGTTTTACTAAATCTAATAGAAATTAATACTGTTTTAACTCGCAACAAAAGCTGTGTTGTGTGTTTAAAACATTTTTATGAAATAAACGATAGGAACTCCGGTAATCCGTGATATTCTATGACTCGTTGGGCGGATCTTCAACAAAAGAACTCTAGTTTGAAAGGGTTAATAAAGTTCCTAAATAGAAAAATAATATGTGCTGTTATTTCGTATCCTCCTCCTTAAATAGGCCGTCCAATCAGCTGTTTGAATTGAAGATTCCCAATATCTATTACTGTATATTTCAAGATAAAGCGCGAACCTTAAGTATCTTATTTTCACTACCAAATACACGGAAGGGTAAATATAAAAATTACGTTTTTAAATATAATCAAGGTGAGTACTGACAGTTTTAAGCTTTCGACATTTTGTTACTATTTGTCAAGACTTACGCGAAAACTGACAGTTTAAAGTTCTGAGCATGCTGTTGCTGTTTTTCATTATATCCAAATGGTGTTGATAATACAGCTAATTTAGATTCTTTAATAAATATTCTAGCGTTTCAGTAAACCTTTTTATGTTCCTTAACTCCCATCAGCATAAATACTATTAAAGTACGGTTCTCTAGTCGATCGCTGTCATAATTTTGTTTAGTAGTGTAGTAAGGGCACCTTATTATCATTCGTATCATGTTACCTTAATACTGATGACCTAATATTTACAATATAGAAATATACGAATAATTTACCATATTTTACAACGTCTTGCAATAATTGTAACTGTTTGCCAGGATATTCTATATCTGGCCTATCGTTACCTTCAGCTTCCACTGGGGTCCCTTAAAATATAATCAATTAATATATTATTCATCTCCCATAATAGGTAACTGATAATGAAATATAAATTTTATTCAAACGATTAAATAATAAAGTAAGAAAGGGCGATAATGTATTTTTCATCATGGGCGCAGACCACCCTTAAATTCCACGAATGTAGTTCTAATACTAGTCTTTCCATCTTTTATTCCTTTTTGTATGGCCAGTTCTGTCGATGTTTTTTTTTTTTAGAATCGAAGCAGGGCGTTCGAATTGACATTTTGTGCCAGGTTTTGATACATGGTTTAGAAGCGGAAGAATACCAAAGTTAGGAGGTTGGTTATGGGGATATGTAGGATGATTGTTACATGTTTTTTTTATGCATTTATAACGCACCTAATCCCAGACATACGAAAACAATTTCAACGCCTTGAACTGCTGTTTGTATAGAACTTGAATCATAGGTAGAACATTTTGTGTCTTTACATCCACTGGCATAGTTCGCCTTGGTACCAAGTGATGATAATCCTTGCCGTGGTGTGGAAATAAATTTTGGATCCGAGTTAGCACTGTAATCACCACCTAACAGATAACCCGCATCAGCAAACGGCCCGACAATCTAAAAATAAAAACAAAGGCGTTTGTACCGGTGTTTGGCTTTCGGTCGTTTAATCTGTATAATACACAATATTCACCCATTTTTATGAAATAAAGGATAGGAACTCCGATAATCCATGATATTCTATGACTCGGTAATAAACGGACAGTCCCGAAGTGGCGGAACTGCACTGAGTTGACGCTACTCTGGCTATCTCAGAGTATATACAGTTAAATCTGTTCGCCTTATCTTAACTAAAATATAGCCCTTTATATTTTTGTTGTTGTTTTTTTGTGTATCAAATACATCAATAAGAAACTACATATATATGCAAATTTTTGTGTCTCTGGGTCAAAAATATGGCTCATAAACAGTGATTGAAATTTGAGTAAATTCTTAACTCGGGGCCAACTGACATTAAAGTTAAAAAAAGGTAAGTACCCCTTCCAAATACCGAAATAGAAAAACAGAACTTACAGCTATACTGTTAAATGTAGTTTGTTTTAAAGGCAACAGACCATCATTTTTTAATAAAACAAAAGATTTCAAAGCTGCTTCAAAAGCGAGGTTTATATGACTTTGTTCTTCTATAACAGATGTATTAATGTAGTTATAAGGATTCATCTCTGGTGGATCAAATTCTCCTAATCTCATTCTGGTATGGAATAGAGGTTTCACTCTTTCTCTTACTAAATCCTCTGATAATTTACCCTGTTTGACGGCGTCAGCTGAAATATTAACGCTCAGTGCCAGTCTGTGCATTTTTGTCAAATGCGCCATAGCTGGACAGGCAAAGTGACATTATTAGGCTTCTTGGTAAACTATGGATTATACCGGTCATATTAATAGACGGTTGGGGCTATAGAGATCTTGTCAACGATTTGAGAACAATCTCTTGTGTAATTAATACGAGAATTTTAACTCAATGGTTGAAGGTAATAGTGGACCGATGGGAAGTCCAAGATGATCTAAAAGGTTAAAGATCCATTAGTTAAGAGTTTTATAAAGAGTTGACCATTCTTGCTATAATAATTCAAAAATAGATAATAAAAAAAAAAATGTTGAAATTTCAGTCAAATTACTTTGTTCTGAACGGAAGTGTCACTGTTGGAAGTTTGGACTAGAAATATGCATCAATTGTGTCTGCACCGTCTATGAGAATTGGCTATCGTTTGATCGACAGACGATAACTCCACCCACATATTCTCAATTATCAAGTAATATGCTCAATGGCTATGGTAGCCTCGCTTGGCAGGCCTTTCATCACCAGTTTCCGGTAGTGACATCTGTTTAAATCCAAACTGTATCCAAGCCACCCATGGGTCTACAGGGCTGATTTTGAGCTAGTCGAGTAAATAAAGGTCTAATTAATAATTTCTATAACATTTGAAGCCTAAATAAAGACTTGCAATGGTCAGATTTAGCTCTTACATAATGTATGTTTAAGTAAAGGGTTGATTATACTTACTAAAGGGTTGGAAATACTTACTAATGGACATAAAAACTTCATTTGTTTTCTTAGGTCCTACTAATTCTAAATTACATCCAGCGTTTACCGAGGCCGCCGCTGCATCTACAGAGTTGTTGACATAATGATGCTGGTATATAATATTTTCTATAGCAGCATCGTCACTGACAACATAACCTTTGAACCCCCATTCGTTACGTAGAATATCAATTAGTAGCATTTTGTTTGCACATGATGGTACACCATTGATACTAAATAAAATGGATTACATTTTGCATATGTATAAGTTGCGACTAACAAATGATACCGCTTTTATAACAGACATAAACAAATATAGGTTATGGACTAAGTCTAAATCAATTTCATTAGTGGTTGAATAGACTATATTGTACAGTAAAGATGTATGCACATTGTGAATAACATTTTCAGTAGGTTTGACAGTCAAAATAATACAACCTCCGTACCACGACAGAAATAAGACAAGAATTGTCATTGTATACCTGTTATAGCTGCACATAACACTAAAGGTTCCTGCTTCTACACAATATCTGAAAGCTGGCAGGAATGTTGTTCTCCAATCTCTCGTAGATACCTAAATAAAGAAAAGGATGTTACGGTGCTTATGTCTGGAAGTGGAAAGACGATGCTGGTATGATTAAAGGGTGGGCTTCTGATATCCGATATTTAAGACAAAATGAAACTTTTAAACTTGGCACACGAATCGCGTGCCAGAATGCTTTCGGGCGTCATTTGTAATGAAGCGACTCGATGAACGAGGCTAAACATATCCAACAGGAGAATACTGCCAATGTAGACTGGAATAACCTGACACCAAAGACTGCCATTCAATTTCGCCGAACATAACTGATTAGAAATTACAGTAAAAACAGAAACGATTGAATGTAACTCAGTTTAAATTTATTTAACATTATTACATGCATTGCGACTCATTTGTATCCATTTCTTGTTGCCAAAGAATAGAGATTTAGCACCTTTAACATACATATTTAATTGAGTTCGTATTTTACCAGCAAATATATATAAATATATAGCTTTTACCCAGCTTTAATAAATCTTCATTTTGCGGCTAGGATAAAGGTTTCTAAGAGTTTATAAAGCAGAATTATCCAGTTTTATTCACTATTTTTGGACAGCTTCTTTTATTTAAAAGTTTGTACCAGACAGATTTTAAAGATTAAATAATAAGGTTTATCATACTGGTACATATAGGTAATATGCGCTCATAAAGTAGGTGTGATATACACGAATGATACAAAAATCGTGCAATATTACCACTGAGTTGAAGCTGAATCTGGACACGGGTATATTTTCTGGACCACCATGAACATCAAAATGTTTACACCCAGCTGTAGCTCTCACATATCTTGGGTGATCTCCTTGGAGTCCATTAACATAAGATGTTGATAACATTCCACTAAGATATGGATCTTCTCCATACGTTTCCTGAAACAAATTACTTTCAAAGACTGTTTTATTTTTCAGATCAAGAAAATCCCTCAATATATATCCATGAACCCAATTAATTCCTTCCTAAATTATATATGTGTCTTTTTATATGGGTGAAAGGTGGATCAGAGGCAAAAAGCTGCTGAGGGACAATCATACAGAAAATCAGATAGAAGTAAAAAAAATGAAGCAAACTGTACTGACATACTTCATGTGAATGAGCAGGAGCTGCGCTCAATGGTTGATAAGATAGAGTTTCCTGTATTTTTGTATTTACAATGTCATTGATGCTTTGCTTGATGATCAGTTTTTACGTTTAAGAATTACAATCTGACACTAACCTGATTTCTACCCCATCTTGGATCTCTCATAATGTTTATGACTGGTGCGAAACAACTTAACCCTGTATGGTCAGTATAGCTATGTTTCTGAATATTAGCATTGTGGACAGCTCTGACCTCAGTTGCTGTTGCTTCAGCCATTCTATACAGAAGTACAGGACTGAAATATACGATTGTTTTCTTTTAATAACAACCACTTGGTAAATAAATCAACAACTACATCACGAATACTAAAGAATACTATAATTACACATCGAATGAACGAAGATAATTTCCCTGAATATCTCGAATTTTGTCCCAGAACACACTCACATATCGCACCGCATATAGGGCAATTCATTTCTCCAGTCCTCGCAATCAGGAAGACGCCTGTAGATATATGAAGTAAAACTGAACTTTATTCTAAATATTTTTATAAATCACACTATTAAAAGACGAAACTTACCTCCATGTAGCAGCTAGTCCAATAGACTGGGGGTATGAAGTCGTGGCATTTTGACTGACATCTCCATGTAAGCATTCAGTGTTCCATTGATATGGCCCGATGCCTAGTCTGGGTATTGCCGGAGCCGGTCCATTTATACCAGCGCCACCTTTAGCCATCTGTAACGTCATCTCATCTAAGGTCAGCCTGCCCACCAAATCATCCACACGAGCATCCCAGGATAGGTTAATGTTTTTAAATGGATAATCCTGGACAGACCACTCAACCAGGACGAAAATACAGACAACCTTATGTAGCCAGAACATTGTGAATAGTATCCTTGCTATTCAAATCTTTTCCTTTTATAGATTTCTTATCAGATAATCGCATTAGAATTGTACAACAATGGACACCGGGAAACTGATGACCCATTTATACTTATTTAAAGAGATATATAATCGTCGATTTATGCGTTTATTTCAATGCATTTTGTTATGCTTAAATACACAAAGTCTGATTAATTTAAATGAACTAATACTAAATCGCCAATATTATATTAATCATAGATGATAATTAAATATATCTGAAAATAGAGGATCCAGTGGCAAATGCGGTGTCTATCAATAATGGTCTAAAAAAGAAGAATATAAATGTAATATATTGTAAATTTAGTAAATTTAATCCAACAATTTGTGTTGAATAATTTGATAAAGGTAGGCTACGGGCGTAAACGACAGGTATATTTACCAATCTGACATACAGTGTATGGATTACAGTATAAGGTAACTGATATAAGTAGTTTAGTCTTGGGATCTGTTCGTATGTTTATCTCATTCAAATGTAAGATGACCGGGCCTATCTAAGTATTTCAGTGGTATAAGTAAATGTGATTCGGGATTCCTAAAACCCATTTTTTACTCAACTCAAAATCTGTAACCTAACATAATTGAAATACTTAACGAAATTTTTGGACTTGGTGAATGTACTGTGTCAAAGAGTATACTAGTGACGTACGTGGATCTTGAATTGTATACCTAAGCTTGCTGCAGACATAGACTTGCAGAACAACTTTAGGTGATCAAATTTATGGACTTTTTTGTTTTAAAGTTGAACATTGCTATTGTTTGTTGTGCTCATGTTTTGTTTGTGGTGTAATGAGAATAGGCGGGTGGGGGTGTATGGGAGAATTACAACTGTCAAGGGTTGAGCAAGCGTGTAAAAAAAATGTGTACGAAAGTATGGGACATTCTCGCCGCTAGCTATATATTGACAGTTCTGCCAATTTTGGGCGATTTGTATACTACGTTTTTAAATAGTATTCATCTCTAAATACATTTTGTATAATTATCACCACGTGGGTATATTTAGATAATTTCAATATAATGACACAAAATTCTAAATATTTATTTACTACGACTAAAATACAAAGCTAATCTTGATTTAGTGAATGAATTATGAAGAATTATATATTTATTTTAAGTTTATGCGTTAGAAAAATCCCAACACTTTTGTTCCATTAACTTTAAATGAGCCAGAGTAAAATCCAGTGTCTCCCATTTTTGACGGAAATGGTTGTGTTCCTCCGCCATAGATGTAAATAGTTCCTGAAACATTCAAAACGTGTGTTTTAATTATACACATTTGTTATTATATTAGATTTTAAGTAAATCGGTTCTTTTGTAACTATAAAAGTGTTTTTAAATCTGACATGTAGCATTGGGTTTCCCAGAGAAGCATTTCTTTGTTTACCACATGGCCTAAAATAAGGTTAAATTCTCCTAGCACGGATCTTCTGTTCGCGAAGCCGACCGCCAGCGAATTTTGAAAAACACTGCTGAAAAACGGCATCTGTGGACTATTCTGGCGCGGTTTACATAGTAGTTTATTTGGCTATGCGGAGCGGTTTTTTAAGCGTGCAAAATCAGCACTAGGAAGATAACATACAAAATTCTATCAGTAACAAGGGTACACATGAAAATCTGATCATTGTCTTTTAAAGTCTCTTTAGAGAGTGAATCTGGAAAAACTCCTTTGAACCATGCCTGCTCAAGTGCCTAAGGTGCTGGGTTGTCTCTCCGTTCTGATTCTTCATCCAGTCATGGGCTGCTGACCGAACATCAAATTCAGACAACAGGATATGTTGATGCGAATGTTCATTGAAATGACGGTCATATTTAAGGCTCCTTTTATATTTAGACAACCGATAGGGTCGAACCTCACCTTCTTCAACTACCCATCCTCTATCTTCTGTATATACAGCCATTTGTTCTGGTGCAATATTAAAGTAAATTATATTTTCAAATTTCGGCTTAGTGGATTGTCTGAAGAAATCTACAAGTGTCATTCTAGGTGTTGGTACACTGCTACTTGTGCCTTTTGATCCATCAAGAGGACTCCATGATATGTAAATTTGAACGATCTGAAAGTATAAAGGAAGACTAATAAGATATTAGACGATGTACATGTATCTTTAGTTAAACATGCATTATGCAAGAGCTAAATCTGCCTATTGCAGGTCTTTCTTTAGGCCTGAAATGTTTTCTAAAGTATTAATTAGACATTAATTAACTGATCCAGGCCTTAATCAACTCTCGATGGCATCAGATTTCTCCGATATTAAATAGATTAGAATGGTTCAGCGATACTTTGATTTAATCAAATATGGAGGACCGAGACTTAGCTTCGATCAACCAGTACGGTGGTTGAAATTATTGCATACGTCTGCCAAACCTTCAAAGGCTAATATCTTCGCTTGCAATAGAGTAATTTGAATGAAATTTTCAAATTATTCATTTTACATCATCTACTTTCGAACTATTATAGCAAGAATGGCTAGTTCTTTATCTAAATCTTACATAATGTATCTTTAAATAAATATAATGAGAATCCATTATATTTTAATATGTGGCTGGATAGGGCTTAATTCAAGAATGGCTAACCCTGTGCGCAAGTCATAATAATAAAGTAAGGCAGTAAGCCTACACATTATTTTTAGTGCTTATATTACTGAAACAATGACGTAAATTTCAGAACAGTTATGTATTGTTGGCCCTCAATAATTTCCTCATAAATAAAGTGTCTTTTTATACTGTGCAGACGGCGGAACTGCAGCTGGTTATATGTTACGTTGCCTGGTAAACTATTTTATCATACCTCATCACCATTTACGTGACCAAAGTTGAAGAAGGTTATATTCAATGGGAGAACATCGCCAGCTTTAATAGAAGCTGGATAAGCCATGTTACTGTAATCGAATGTAGTATAGGTTAAACCATAACCGAAGGGATATAGTGGTTCACCATAAAAATATCGGTATGTTCTGTCTACCATAGTATAATTTACAATTGGTGGAACCTGTAATAAGAAGTTAATTATAATATTATGAACAATATGAACACAAATACATATTAAAAATAAGCAAAACCATGAAAATATACACAGTTTCGGCGGAGCAATTAAAGCAAAAATAGCACCAGTTCAATCTTCTCTTCAGAACGGTCGAATACAAAAACACTATAATACCATTTATCAATTGCAGACTAAAATAAGTGTATCAAGTAATTAATTCGGTCACGTAAGTAAACTGGTGAGAATGTACACTGGTGACTAAAAATTGGTGAATCATCTCTACCTGATCAGCGGAAGAATACCATGTATACGGCAATCTACCAAACTGGGGTTTATCAGAACTGGTGAGAACATTCCTTATGGCTACCCCGGTAGCTTGTCCCGGATAGAAAACCGCCAAAATAGCAGATACTCTATCATTACCATCAGCCCATTGAATATCTACAGGTCCGGCATTAAAAGTGATTAATATAATACTCGCATTCCCACCTACAATACACGAAATATATTCACCATCATCCCTCGCATGCCGTTCTTGTAATTAATCATAAGATGTATTGAATCATAAATAGACCACAATCTGGTCATGTGTTCTAGTAACAGATTTATTTTAATTATAAATAGCATCACCATAACAGTAAAACAAAATTTAAATTTCTCAGAACTTGTTGGACTGAACCATATATCATAGTCTACATATACATGCAATAGCAATGTGCAACAATCTAATCCATCAATACACGAGACGTATTTAGTTAACTGTGAACGGGGAAATAATATAAGTTCCATGTTCTGCCCAGTAATCACATGGGTAAAGTAGGCGGATACTCTAAAAGAAAGAATAACGGTACATGATAAACCGATCTAAATGTGTTTAACCTTTTGAGTTTTAGCCCTACATTAAAAAATTATCTGGGATTCGGTCATCTGCTCATGATCGACCGATATTGCACAGAAAATGTGTAGGTTGTGGCCACACTGAAATATGTGTTTTATAAACCGTAGCTATATGGCAATCATCGAAATATTTTATTGTCAGAACTTACTATATTTAACAGAATCTTCCAGCAGCAACTGTTGTCTACCGGGTAGATTTAAATCGGATCTGTCATTCCCATCTGATTCTACTAAAGTACCTATTTAACAGAAGATAAAAAAAATGAATGAAAGAAATCGTGTTTATCTATGACTAGGTGGGTTTTACATATAAATTAGGGAAGATCATAAGAGAATAGATAGATGAGAAAAGGTCTACATAAAATAAATAGAATACTAGTTATTGAGTTTTAATAACATTCATGTTTGACAATCCCAAATAGATTGCTGTTTTAATTATTATCTTTGTTACCTACCTAGCCCAATACAAACAAAAACCACATCAACATTTTCTACAGCGGTTTTAATAGAATCGGAATCATATATATTACAACGGGAATCATTGCATCCACTGGCATATTTGGACACAATTCCCAATGATTCCAGTCCTTTCCGGGGAGTTGTCTTGAATTTAGGATCAGGATTGGCAGCAAAATTACCATCTAGATAATCAATTGCGTCTGCGAATGGTCCAATAATCTGCAAAATATCATCTGTGATTTACATTATAGTCTTCACGTCTCAATCAAATTAACATGTGAGGCTTGCCATACAAGATTTGGCTTCTGTATAATTCTTGGGGTCATAAGAGACAGCCACAGCACGATGCACTTTCATATGAGACAGCCTATGTTAACATTTCGTGCAATATTAAATGAAACTTAACGTAACTCCTTCTTAAACGCTACACTGCAGTTTAGTTAGTGTCTGGCGACCTAGAATTGACATTGAAGAAAAATTACACTATTGAGACATGCACTTACAGCAATACTTTTATAAATGTTTTTTCTCAATGGTAAAGTGCCGTCATTTTTCAGTAAAACAAAAGACTTCATAGCAGCTTCAACAGCCAAGTCTCTATGACTTTGTTCTTCTATAACAGATGTATTAATGTAGTTATAAGGGTTCATCTCTGGTGGATCGAATTCTCCTAACCTCATTCTGGTATAGAAAAGGGGTTTTACCCTTTCTCTTACTAACTCTTCTGATAGTTTTCCTTGATTAACTGCATCCGCTGTGAATGACAAACATATACCCTAGAAAACGCGAATAAAAATTACTCTTAAACTAGATGGCCCACATAGTGGCAGTGGCAAAATCGGAACTAGTAGTTTCAAATTAGAAAGGCTAGACACACGACTAACATTAATTCAGAAAAGCCAAAATAAACAAACTTAGCCGACTTACTAAAGCCATCGCCATTTGTAAACTTAGTGAAGCCATATTAAAAGACCTGGTAATTAGGATGATGCCCGTAACACATTCTTTCATTAGGGATAACACTTAAATGCCTAGATATAGGTAGCTGCCATCGTTATCTAGTTTGTTTAAAATATAGAAACTAGTGAACAATCTCTTCTAAGCAAGACTTTTGAATTTCAACATCTATAACAAGTAACCTTACATAAATATAAGTTGATAGAGTACATACCTATTGAATTAAATACTTCGTTAGTAATGTTGTGGGCTAATTCTAAGTTACACCCAGCATTGACAGAAGCTGCAGCGGTATCTACACTATTGTTAAAGTAATGGTGTCCTGTTATTATGTCTTCAATAGCTCCCATATCACTGACAACATATCCCGTAAAATTCCATTCTGCACGAAGAATATCTGTTAGTAACTGTTTATTGGCACACGCTGGGACACCGTTAATTCTGGAGACAAAAATAAAAACACCACTACTTTTAAACCATGTTACCTCCATACTTGGTTTAGATTTTCGCGAGAACTGAGACATTTGAAAATTATTCCAATGTGTATATTACAGTCGTCGTTGAAAGTCAAATACTAACGCAGTACTAAGAAATGAAATGAAATGAAATGGGGTTTAACGTCCCACTTTTCTGTATCGACAGGGCTAGTGTGCTATGGTGGAAACTTTACCCGGACAGCCGTGCTACGACCTATATATACTCTTATTTCGAATTCCATCTGGCAAGTGTTCTTTGACGCTCACACCAATGTGTAGGCGGAACCTCGGTTTTTCGCCCAATCCTTGTCAGACACCGCGCCCTGCACCACCGACAAGGGTAAACGCGTAGTATTAAAATTACTCTTGATATATAGTTCCATATTACCTGTTGTAGCTGCACATAATACTGAGGATACCTGCATCAACACAATATCTAAAAGCAGGTAGAAAGGTTGTTCTCCAGTCTCTTTCGGATACCTTTAAATAATACAAAGCTTGTGTTTAGGAACGATTCTAAACATTTTGTATCTGGACAGCTTAGAACATATAAGAATTAGCTACAACAATACCTGAGAATTGAATGCAAACCGGGACACGGGAATATTTTCAGGTCCACCATATGCATCAAAATGTTTACATCCAGCGTTAGCTCTAACATATCTAGGATTGCCCCCTTGTATTCCAGTCACATATCCGGAAGCCAACATTCCACTAAGAAAGGGGTCTTCGCCATAGGTTTCCTAAAATAGCAAAAGAGTACAAATTATGTTTCTTATTCACATACCCGTCTTCATTATACTCGGTGTATAAAAGCAGGGCTTAAAACCCCGTTGTATCACTTTGGTTTTGGCAACCGTAACATACCTATGGATACTAAATGTGCATTATTACTGCTCCGATTTATTTCATCATGCATACGCATCCAGCAAACCCTCAAAAATTAAATTGAAAGCTTGCCAAATCGTACAAATTTAATCACAGTTGCTTAGAAGATGTTTCATCGTTGAGTAATTCTAGTTTGTGATTTCGGTGACATTATCCCGATGAGTTAGTTATTTAATTTAAGAAACTACGGATACTGACACAGGTCGTCGTCTTCCCGGGGCTGGATGAACTACAACCCTTGTTTTCGATGTTACGATTTTAATTTCCGGGAGAAAAATTTAAATAAAGAATTCCAACAATGCATGCCTATTATTCATATACTGGTGAAAGCATCACATTCGGGGTAGGGTACGTTTACTCTTTATAGAACACCTGATACCAATTCTCAGTTGAGAAGCTGACAAAGCTAATCATATTTTGTTGTACTTTTGTATTCAAAGACATGGGATGAAACAACCGACTTGGAACACACGACCGCGATGTAGCCATTCTAACTAACAGATATATCATGGATCTTACCTGATTTCTCCCCCATCTTGGATCCCTCATTAGATTAATAACTGGAGCGAAACAACTTAATCCAGTATTATCAGCATAACTTTTCTTTTTGATATTTTCATTATGGATAGCTCTTACTTCTGTTGATACAGCTGTAGCCATCTCAGACAAAAGATCAGAACTAAAGAAACGTGTTTATAGTTAACAACATATAAGCATTAGTTTGCATACATTGAGTATTGTCAGTATTGAGTCGTTATATTTGTACATCTGTCGTCTTAATGGTAGATATTTCGGATATGCTTTCAGTATGGTGTTAAACGGTTATACATCTAGTTTAGCGTTGACCTTTAGTGTTAGTATTTAGATTGAAATTACCATTCTTAAATATGATTAGTAACATTCGCATTTGCTGGTTCGGGCTGATCTGGGATAGAAACGTGCAACATCTTTCGCTACATTTAATTTCTAGTCCAATCGTTTACTGGATAACGTAATTTGAAATATAGTCAGGGTGGGATCTTTTTTTGGGGATATTTTTGTTTGCACATTTAGCTCATTTGTACACTAACAATGACACCAGTAATAAACTTGACTTACCCATATCATCCCTGACATAATAATGGAAAATAAAAGGTAAATTTAAAAATAAATTTCTTCAGACATACATACGCCTGCAATTTTACATCATTACGTTAGAATGTAAAAGGATATATATTAGTAAAAGCTAATAGTATAAGGTACCTCCATGTGGCGGCTAAACCAATCGATTGTGGAAATGAAGTAGCATTCTCGCCAACATCTCCATGAAGGCATTCTGTGTTCCACTGATAGGGTCCAATACCGAGTCGTGGTATAGCAGGGGCTGGTCCATTGATGCCAGACCCTCCTTTTGCCATCTGTAAGGCCATTTCTTCCAGTGTAAGTCTTCCTACCAAATCATCAACGCGAATATCCCAGGATAGGGAAACATTTCTAAATGGATAGTTCTGGTGAGATAATTCTACCAGAAGAAGAAGAAAAACGACCTTCTCCATTGCAAACATTTTTTTTATCCAATTTATTAAAGACCACAAATGGAGATTGTGTATTTCTTTATCAGTGTGAAACAGTTCATATGGTGTAGACCTACTTCTTTAGAGTAATCAAATACTCTCTTTACACTTTGAACGCACATTTATTAAACTTATTTATATTGATTCATTGGGAGTTCGTATGTTACTCTATGTGGACTCAGGTTTGGCTGTGGAATATGAACCTGGTACTATATTATTATCGACAAAGTCAGATCATCAGATAATGTTATTATCAAAATATAGAGCAATCTTTAATGCATCGAAGGTCACTATGTTTTATAAATGAAATTACTTTGACATACCGGCGAGGTCAAGTTTCCATTTCTTACTTATTTTATCCCGTTATTGTGTTACCATACTAATAAATCTGTTAGGAAAAGCAAACACATCAGACTTTACATTTTATATTTAATGTACATATCATTGACATTAGACCAATTATCCATAAAAGATTAAACCAGTCAATGCAAATTTACAACTAAGGAGTATATCATAAACATTAAGCACAGTCGACCCTAACCAGTGGTGAAATATACTGTCCAGTTGACGAATTCAAGAAAATACAAAGTTTGTTAGATGAGTAAATTGATATTGTATCCACTTTATTTTAGCTTTAAATATTAAATTATTGATGAGCTGAAACATTTTAATGTGGTTTCTTGGTTTGTCGTACAATAAAAATAACTACTCTATAAATTTGGTGTCAGACGGTAACCTCTTACAAAAGAATTAATTAGTGTAAACTAACGTTAAGAATAAGATGAATAACATTAAAGACGCTGGTCTTTTACATTGACAAATCGCAATGGACTTCGATCGGAAAATATGAAATAAACAAAACTGCCATGTTATGAGCAACAATTTGTTTCACAACACCATTTTTTTTTGTCTACGTGACAAATTGCATCGTTAAACACCAGATGTAATATCTGACAATCTCATTCTTAAAACAAAGTGAAATCTTATCAAATGTCGTAAGATGGGACGTTAGTCTGTCACATTGTTAGCCCTGAGATTTGTTTACAAGGCTATAATACAAATGTCTTGCGTCAGTTATAAGACTGATACAAGATAAATAAATAGATAAGCTAATTTCTTTAAGAACAGAGGCACATTATGTACAAATCAGAAACTGAAAATGCTATTAACAACAAGACTCGCTGGTCTTTTTATTCTGGTAGAGCTTTCCCTTCAGGATTATCTCTTTAGAGATATGTCTTTACCGTGGGATGTCCGTGTCGATGATTTGGTAGGACGGCTGAATCTTGACGAAATAGCTTTACAGATGAGCCGTGGTGGTGGTGTCGGGATTTTTGGTCCAGCACCTGCTATACCACGACTAGGAATTGGAGCATATCAGTGGGATAATGAATGCTTACACGGACTTGCCTTTAAAAATTCTACTTCATTTCCTCAATCTGTTGGTTTAGCGGCTACATGGAGGTATATTGTTTTTTGTTCATTTCCATTAGAATATAATACGGTTTACTGATTTAGACAGCCAAATGTTTCGACCATTTTGCAACTAATCCCATATGCAAGGGTGTGATCTTCAGATTTTGTCCTCTCCGAACGACCAGACACACTCTCTGAACAGTCCTATAGAAACCAAATCCTGGAGGTTCTTCTAAGTCCATATCAGACTTCATTAAATGTACTGGGGTCCTAGACACACAGCTGGTCACCAGTTCAATTAAATTCTGAACAACTGTTTATCTTCGAGAAAATCTAAAGCTTGTCCGTTTGGGACATGATCCAATCTTTCTTTTCTGATATTACGTCTGGTAAAAGTATTTCAATAGTTTCTGTGCTACAACATTATAAACTTCTAATAATGTTCAATGTTTAACGGCAACTATTTGCGGGAGAGGCTATTTAATGTCAATCTTTCAGTTATGATGTAGTGTTCAGAGTGGCTGAGGCAATCGGAACAGAACTAAGGGCTTACTACAGTCTGGATGTTCAACAAAATGGATTGAGTTGTTTTTCACCAACAATTAACATAATGAGAGATCCGAGATGGGGAAGAAACCAGGTACATGTATTTTAATTTGCTTGTGAAAAAAGTGGGAACATGGCCTACTTAGGTTTGTGACTGTTAAAGATTTCTCCAGGGTTTCTTTTTACGAACCTTTTTTGCACCGTTTACTGTTTTATAAAGACCGGGCACGTATCCTTACGATAACGTCTACGTTACATAAATTCTTTTTTAATGTGTCCAATCTTTATTTTAACACCTATAGGAAACTTATGGCGAGGATCCATATATAAATGGTATGTTAGCTTCGGCGTTTGTTAAAGGTTTACAAGGAAACCATACACGATATATCCGAGCTAATGCTGGGTGTAAACATTTTGACGTTCATGGTGGACCGGATAATATACCCGTATCTAGATTTTCATTCGATACTAAGGTGAATTTTTAAATTTTAATGTATGTAGTTTTTTTTATATATTATAACACAACACAATTAATAACTACTAATTTAAAATGTTTGCGATTAAAAGTTAATTCGGTCAAACGTAGATGTATTTATGTTTTTCTAGGTATCTGAACGGGATTGGAGGACAACATTTCTGCCAGCTTTTAGATATTGTGTTGAAGCAGGATCTTACAGTCTTATGTGTAGTTACAATAGGTATTCCATTAGAAATACATAAATTTGGATGAGCTTTTCTTATGGTCTAGTCATAGGTCGCATATTTAAAAATATGACTAATTCCTACAAAATCACATTTACAAAAATCCATTTAATTTCTGAAGGCATAATTCTGTGTAGTGATTGAGATAGACTAGTCAACGAATAAAGGATTGAGAGGGCCACACGGTGAATGAAACCCCCATTAGATATTTAAACATTAAGGCGATAGTCAGATTGTAATTTAAGAAACACTGTAACCGCATACCTGCAGAACCAGCTCATCGGTTCAACAATCTGAGATTATTCCAAGAGTAGGTTACAGAAGATAGATATACGATATACAGAGTTATTATCGAATGAAATGGGGTTTAACGCCCTTCCTTTATGCACCGACTGGGCTAATGAAGACGGGAAGCCTTTGTGATATTACTACTGTATCGCATTGTAAATGACGAAATTAACGTACCACAGGAACGCATCATACGTGTTAAGCTTTCCAGGTTGAATATATTAATGATGTACACAAGTTGGGGATGGTATGCATATAAAAAATTATTATACAATTATATAAATGAAATGAAATGAAATGGGGTTTAACGTCCTACTGTTCTGCTCCTAACCTGGGCTAATGAAGACGGGCATACGCCATACAGTGTGCTATGAGGGAAATTTTGCCCGGACAGCGGCACTACTGCCTACTCTTATATCGAATTCCAACTGCCAAGGGACCTTTTACGTGCACGCCAATGTGTACACGGGACCTCGGTTTTTCGTCCCATCCGAACGACTAGACAGCTTTCCTTGTCAGCCCCTCCGTCCTGCATCACTGACAAGGGAGAACCACGCCGGAAAATCTGGATGAACTTTCTCGGCCAATGCAGGGATCGAACACCCGACCTCCAGGATAGCGAGCTAGCGTCTTACCCACTTAGCCACGTGATCCCCATACAATTATATAAAATGACGGCATGTATACATGTTTTAATTTATAGCATTAATGGAGTACCGGCATGTGTTAATAAACAGCTGCTAACAGATATTCTGCGTAATGAGTGGGGATTTAAAGGTTATGTAGTCACTGATATGTCAGCTCTTGAAAATGTTATGGACTGGCACCATTATCTTGATAATACAGTGGACATTGCTGCTGTGGCAGTTAACGCTGGTTGTAATCTTGAACTAGCTTGGGAGAAAACCGATCACGAGGTGTATAAATCCATCTGTAAGTAGTTGCTACTGTTCAGTAGTGGATATTTAGCCTTTGATTTCAGCAGCGTTACCGGAAACTAACCGAAATAGTTTTATGTTATAAAATTTATCATTTTGGGTACGCATTACATATATGTTCAGTGGAAAGGTATAAAACAGTTTTTTAAATTAATTTATTTTACACTTAATGTAATTTTATTGTAATATTATTTCGCTTCATCTGTTTGGTTGTTTACCTACCTAGTAATATTTACGTACTAATAAAGAAGTCCAAATAATGAAAGACATGAAATATTTATTATTGTATTCAAAATTCAATTGTAGCTGATGCAGTGAAGGCAGGAAAACTCACTGAAGGTATGGTTAGACAAAGGGTCAAACCACTCTTTTATACCAGAATGAGATTGGGAGAATTTGATCCACCAGAGATGAATCCCTACGCCTCCATCACATCATCTGTTATAGAACAACAAACTCATAGAGACCTGGCTGTAGAAGCTGCTATGAAGTCTTTTGTTTTATTGAAGAATGATGGCCTGTTACCACTGAAAAAGACGCAATATAACAGTATAGCTGTAAGCATTTATTTCTAAAGGAAATGATCACATCTACTGAGATTTCAAATATCCAGTATTTACATGTACTGACAAATATATTATGTTAATGTTAATTTAATTTTCTGTTGGCCCAACCGGGACAAACTATTATTGTCATTTTAAATTGTTTTATATTAGGTTTTATTTATGTATATATGTATAAATATATCATTGTGATAATTGATCACCGTGTTTGGTACAATATAACGAATTTGATGCTGTCGTGTTGTAAAACACCATTTTTTAATTCTGTAGTTTGTTGGACCTATGTCAGATACAAAATATCGATTGGCTGGAGACTACAATGCATATCCAGATGACCAATTTAAATCAACACCTCGTGGAATGTTACAACACCTGGGAAGGAAAGCGAACTATGCTAGTGGTTGCAGTGACACACGATGCGATGTCTATGATTCTAATTCCGTTATAAATGCTGTCCACGGTGTCGATGTGGTCTTTGTATGCATTGGATTAGGTATGAATTATGTTTAATCCTTTCAATTGGCATAATCGTGACTTGCATATAAAATTAAGTCGCTGACTGTTGATTACTACATGTGGTCTTTGCATACATTAGATCTGCACTAACTTTAATCCTTTGATAGAAGCATGACTTACATATGTAAGTCACATACTGGATTAAGCATGCACTAACTTTAATCCTTTGACATAATCGTGACTTACATATAAAATTAAGTCACTGACTGTTGGTTACTAAATGTGGTCTTTGCATGCGTTGGATTAGATATTCACTAACTTTAAGAGATTGGTAAATGCAAGTTTAAATGGTAATAGTTCTTTAGTCAGGTGTTCAACGCTAGAGAGTTTTGTAGGGACACCCATTTAACTTAAAAGAGTGAGCAAACATCATTCAGAAAATATAAGTTTGTATAGTTAGATAATAGAGCTACCAAAAAAGAGTTTATTTTAATTTCATTCGTGTTGTTTCTTAATTACCTTTATCAGGTTTTCGTAGAAAACAGAATAAATAACACAACACGCAGTACTTTACATATAGATTTCCTGCAGAGATTATAATATCGCAGAAGCTCAATAATCGAGTCTAAAGACTAGACACGTTATACAACACAGACAATAATGTTTGTTCTACATTTGTATTGAAATATGTAACGGAATCTGTTCATTCTTAAACTTGTTAAAACTTGATATTATAAAGGTATTGGTGTAGAGAAAGAAGGAAATGATAGACCGGATATGGAATTACCCGGTAAACAAAAGCAATTACTACAAGATGTTATCGATAACAGTAAGTTGTTATATTTTTTTTTGTAAAAAAAGAACCATTTGCTTAAGATATCATACACCATCAAAAATCATTAGTTCAATGCATGTTGGTATTTTTAACAAGCAGAACACTGCTAGTGCGTTCACAAGGGAAGCAATGAGTTGTTCTGGAGTTCAACAAACTATGAATATACTTTGGTGTTATTTCATTTACTCGTTCGTTAATAGGTGGTGCAGCTAAAATAATCCTTATAAGTTTCAATGCGGGGCCGGTTAATATTCAGTGGCTTGACCAGAGTTCCCGGGTTTCAGCCATTCTGGCTGTCTTCTATCCAGGACAAAGTACAGGAGTTGCTCTCAGGAATGCTCTGACCAATCCTAATAACCCACAGTTTGGTAGACTGCCTTACACATGGTATAAATCTGCTAACCAGGTAGGGGTAATTCGGATTTTAATACTATGTTAAAAGTGTTTGTATTCAAAAGATTGTCAATTTACTTTTATGAGCAGCTGGTAATTCTATATTTTATTTCCTTTTTGTAAAAAAAATACATATTTGCATCTTGAACAGCAAATACCAAATGGCATCAAACCAATATAGACTAGTATGCCACCAATATTATAGGTTCCGCCAATGATCGACTACTCGATGAGCGGAAGAACTTATAGATACTTTAATGGTGAACCACTATATCCATTCGGTTATGGTCTAACATACACCACATTTCAATATGAGCATCCAGTTATACCAGCAAATATAAAGGCTGGACGAGATCTTCATGGTTCTGTAGTTGTTCGAAATACTGGTAGTCTTCCTGGAGATGAGGTAATAGCCATTCAATTTTATGCTGTACATGGATAAACATTGTGTTTTCGGGTGCTATATAACAAAATACTATTGCACCTGCTCATAGAGATCTTTTAATATAGCTGCCTCGTCAAGGAACTTGATATTTGTGAGGAGCATGTGTCCACCGATAATACTACAAAAGAGCATTGCCGTGTTCGCCTGCTAAATGTCGTTTGCTTACGGCGATTGTATTTCAACTGACGCCATATGTTACCAATAACAAGGGCGATAATCCGGATAGAATCCCAGAAACGCCTAAAAAGTAAAATGAACCATTTAGGAATACATTCTTAAAGTATACTTATTAGTGATTATGACTCCATTTGTCGAAATTGGGATTAAAATGCCGGCAGTTAGCTTCGTATCTGTTCTCAAGCGGGGGTAGATAATATCTCTTTACGGGAACATTAACTCTTTTTGTACTTTGCGCATACTATTACAATAATTTGTCATATTATATTTATGGTCTTCCGGTATGGATAGATGATATTATATTTTCTTATTTTATCCTCGCTGTTCAATGCATGGAGATTCATCACATATTTATTCAGTTATCGTACATGATAGGTTGTTCAAGTCTACATTTCCTGGTTACAAAGTTCTACACCTTCCCCACAATTACAGTTGGTCTGGTTTGATCGAGTAACAATTGGTGGTAATGGTCAGATGACTGTGCATTTTTCTGTAACCTCTAAACAGATGGCCCTGTGGATTGATAATACTGGATGGAAAATTGAAGCAGGTAAATAAGTGTTCCAATAATTGGGTTGGAGATTGAGACTAATGCTAGGTTCCCACTGTCGTGCGATGCGTTGCGACTGGATTGTCCACGATCTTGTACGTGCAGATATGATTATTCCACGTTTAAAACGGCTATTCCAATCGCAGCACCAATCCTGAAACTTGGAACCTAGCATAAACAGCCAGTAAATTACTAATGCTCCCCTACGTAGGAACTGACTTAGAATAGAAGAATCATGGTGTCAACGTCCGACGAATAGTTTGGAAATACATGTATGCTTGTTGCACTAAACTACACACTGCCGCTCAAACCCCATCCCTTTACACAAATAATTTCCATCGTGACCAGATCATATTTTAAGAACAATGAGAGGCTAATTCTTGGCTGAAAATAGATGTTTTATTTTTCTTCAGGAAGAATAAATATATTTGTTGGAGGTCAACAACCAAATCAGAAGAAATCAGTTGGTTCTAATGTTCTTCAGAGTCATTTCGACATTAACGGGGATATGTTGTTGGGATACTATTGAATATAGTGTTATATTGCCCTTTTAAGAGTTTTTTTTTCTAATATATTTCTACCTAGTATATCTTTGGATTGAGCTTAAGTTATATTTTGCATTTAAAAATTATCACAAGTATTAACTTTTTTCCGAAACACAAATTAACATGTACCGTTGCAAATTATGTAATAAAATGATATGAATTGGTTTTTAATGGCACGCCAGCACCATTCGGGCTATACTGCTAAAGATTATTTGTTTTTCGTTGAGTTTGCTTCAGAGTGTTGCTGGCTATATCTGTGAATTGGGGTTTGACTTCCTACTTTCTGCACCGACTGGGCTAATGAATACGGGCTGCATCTGGTTTATAGGCTATCTGTTTTTCATTGACCTTGATCCAGAATTATCGAGGTATACATCTAGGTTGCTTATCTTTGTGTAATATATTAAGTGGTGTCTGCTACACAACATGCACGTTTTGAAAATAGCTTCTATCTACTTTTGGTAGTAGAATTGTCCCACCATGATTTCCAATTCAATAATGTTTCTCTATCCTGAGATGTTTGTGTGGATGACTTGGTTGGAAGCTTGACAGTTTACGAATTGATGAATCAAATGGCGAAAGGTGTGATAGGAATAAATGGACTGTCTCCAGCTATTTCAAGGTTGAGCTTAAACTAATATCAATTGGATACGGAAAGCCTGCACGGCGTATCTGGACAAAACGTTACGTCTTTTCCACAAGCTATTGGTGTAGCTGCTACTTGGAGGTGAGTTGAGAGTGTGTCCTGCCATGGTTATGGTGTATCTCGTCCATGCCATAGTCTACTGAGGTCGAATACACTGTGACCCAGATCTATAGTCAACAAAATCAGCAAATGAACCCGATATGTGTCATATTTTTTTAGATTTTTATTTTCAAGTTCTCGGGATATATTCAACCATCTACAGTTATTTGATTTTTTAAAAAATTGTTGTGGCTGTTGGGTTAGTCGAAACATAGAAAACAGCATGCCATTGTCAGTAAACCTTGCAACCCTTCACTTTGTTGGGCAGGGGTTGATAGTCAGGATCTGGGCAGGGTTTGCCCGGGCTGGAATATCAAGAAACCGGCGCAAATATTTGCACTGCATGGTGGCCATCAACCAAACCAGAAGAAATCAGTTGGTTCCCATATACTGCGGGTTCATTTCGATATTCATGGGCCTAAATTATTTGAAAGTTACTAAAGCATGAATCTGATGTAGATATATAGCATATCCCAGACAAAAAATGTAGTGCATAACAAATAATCATAAATATTTTTCTTATCTGCATTTACTTTCTAAAGAATAGCTGACAGCCCCCCCCCCCCCCTCATCACCCACCTTACGAATTTCGTTCCGACGTGCGTGACACCACTATTATGTCGGATCAACACTTACCAGATCGTTCAATAACCGGCTTAAAAGCGGTGGGAGTCGTGTGTGTATGTCATCATATTATTTTCTGGCTCCCGTATAATTAAACATAATCTTCTTCAATTTCTAAATTACGTAACAACACTACATGATAAAGGGGTATTATATGCTGCCACCTGAATGGTATTATTTAGTTACAGGGGCGGATATGGGAATTGCGAAAAATGAGGGGTGGGGGGTGAAAACCAGATTTTTTCCAGAATAAACCCAATGCAATTTGTCGCATTTGAACAGTTTGTAACATTCTTATTTTCGATATCCCCGCCAAAAAAAATAAAAAAACACCCAGCGTTCCCAGCCAAACAAATACATTCTATCTCTTTGAAGCTTGGTTTGTACAAATATACTCTTTACGTGTATATGTTGATTGTGCCTTTCAGATTTTATAAAAATTTTATATTATAATATAATGACAAATCAGTAGTAAGTTAATTGACAAAATCTTCAGGACCTTTTCTCGCGAAATATTTAGAGACCCCCCCCCCTCCACTAGCACTGTTCCGATAGTCGAGATTAGTTGCGTAAGCGTAGTATAAGGACCCTAAATAAGGATGAATTAATGTGGAATATGGCATTGTAAGTTTATAAAGAACTTGCAAATAAATTGATGACAATAATATTATAAACAGTGTTAATCCCGTGAAAGGTTTTTATTGTAGAGAAGGTATATTTTAAAACAAAATCGTCAATAGAAAAGGGGTGTGCCCCCCCCCCCCCCCACCTAGATAATGATTTCAATTTGGTAACACGGGTACATTTAACTGGCAGGTCATTATCGTCCTATTAGTATACCCGCTCCAATGTGTGTTTTATGAATCCCGGTATTTGTAATATGATTTAGCGCTGAATATCGTTTTATCAAACCTGGTAAATAATTAGTCCAAAACTCAGTACGACGTCTGTTTAAGTTGTTTCTCATCTGTATCTCGCCGGATTGAAGGTAAATATATTTCTTAGTTTGGGAATCATATGTTTCCCAAAAAACATCTGAGGTTGTAGAGACAGCTTTATTTGGATTTCTGAAATATATAGAGAGAGAAATGTGGTTTAACGTGCACTCGACACAAACTAGGTCATTTTGGGACTAACATATGGTTTAATTTTATTTTAATAATTCGCTTGCGCCTAGGGGTCTTTAGTAGTGGAAGGAAACCGGAGGACCCGGAGAAAACCTACGAGGTTGGACAGGCGACCCTACTCCTTGTCACGTACAACCGGGGATTCGAAACCATGCCAGCTGACTCAATGACAGGCCTTACGATATAGCGCGCACGTGCTAACCATTCGGCCATCCAACCCCCCTTCTGATATAGAATGATGAATATATTTTGAAACTTTCTTGTTTATCAGCAAGAATTAGATTTGAACCCCGTCTTTTAAAAAGTCCTGTGTCTATGCTTATCAGTCTACCTCTTCTGATACTTTAGGAGATATACATCTTTCGGGTGAGTTACGTCTTGTCTAGCAAGAAAACTGTGCAGTATATAATATGCTATGGGGCGAAGCCAACATATATTTACTTACCCAGTTTTAGCAAAATTTGTCCAGTAACTCATCATGCTTTTAGCGAATGTCCATTGTTCTGCTTGAATAGTCTTGTTTAACTTTTGACACGTCTCGTATATAGATCCAAATACATACTCTAGATCGTCAGAATGTTTAGCCCCAGTTACCCACGTTTCATATTGACCTAATGGATTTTGTTGGTTGAATTCATATTGATATGTTTTAGAAATCTTATTATTATAAGCATGATTCTCCAGAGCAGAATACGTTGCTACAAAAAAGGCAATATCCGTCGCGAAGTCCACTGCTTTCCTAAAGTATACATCTCTGTTCAGTGGGTCTTCAAAATTTTCATACTGAGACAGTACATCATCATGGATGGCACGTGAGATGTTTTCTCCAAATAGAAGGCCCAATCTTCTTGTGAGCAGTTGGTCGAGAGCCTTTTTGAGTTCATCTGTTGACTTTGCAGCATACAGGGGTCCAGAAGAAAGCATAACCACCCCGTCAAATCGGGCTGTGCCCATAAGTAAATCTAATTTTTTGAAATGTGGTAAAATTATTTTTCCTATTGGAAGATTTAAAGCTTGAAGTCTGTTCTCTGTGAGAAAATCGTCATCAATAGCAGGGCCCCACTGAGGAACTCCTGGTGTGAAGCTCACGGCACCCTTCTGTGCAATCGCCCTTGCGTCTAACGCTTTTAGGCAAGACACGCCTTCGATAGAAGTTGTTGGACAGTTCATCAAAGAAGTAAAGGTTCTTAGTTTTTCGCTTGGATCAGTTACTATTACCCACGGGGCGTTGACAGAGCCACTCTCGGCGATGACTCTTTGAAACAAGCCTTCATTGCCAGGATAAATAGCTTGAAACATAACAGCAGCTGAGCCAGCAGATTGACCAGCAATCGTTATATTTGTTGAATCACCCCCAAAACTGCCAATGTTATTTTTTACCCACTGTATACCAAGATGTTGATCCCAGAGACCATTGTTTGGGCTACCATCATTTCCTCCCGTGTCAAGAAATCCGAACGGTCCAAGACGATAATTTAGCGTAACTAAAACCACCTGTCCATACGCTGCTAAAATCGCATTTGTCCTTGTAGAACCGGAACCCGCAACAAACCCTCCTCCGTGAACCCATACTATTACGGCGTACTTCTTATCGTTTTCAAATATTTTTGGGCTGAATACATTTAAATATAGACAATCTTCATTTTGTATTTTAAGGTGCATATATGGAGCAAATTGCAGGCAAGATGCGGCGTAACCCTTGTTAGCTAGAAATGTATCGGCGAATTTGGCTTTAGGAACTGGTTTAGCAAATCTCAATTTCGCAACAGGTGGTTCAGCAAAAGGTATACCCAAATAAGTTGATATTCTTACTATGTTGGGCCCAACGCTTACATCTTCTATAGATCCAGTTATGTTTCCTACATTAGTTGACACCGTTATATCCGATGCTGCACACCAAAACAAACCATGAACTATAAGTACCGGTAACAGAAAAGACCTCTCCATCGGCGTCATGTTTTTATTTAGCCAACAATCCTTTATCAGGAGAGTGTTAAATTAAATCTTATCTATATGGCTCTTATCACCGTCCTGTTTGGGATTGGTGTCAGGGTTTCGTAAATTTTAGCACTATCTGCCCACAACGAGACACATGACTACACAAACACTGATTTTATCAAACTAGTCCTCAATGAAGGTCTTTTGTATGTTCTGTAGTAGGAAACCCAATCCATGAATGAAGCGTTCCTCAAAAGTTTGCATGGACTTCGAACTTATTACTTCTATCGACGATCTCCGCCAGTCAAGTAGGCCTAGTATAATATATTTTACGGGCTTTCCTGATCGTGTGACCATTTGCCAGATGAGAGACCTGGCGGGGTAACTGCCCCATCCTCCGGTGCTGGTAATAAATTACTTAATTTAACTTTAATCACTAGCTCCATAGGGTTGGATATCTTCTGAAGGTGTGCGAATAACTTTCCGTTAAACGGCTTCACGAAAGGTATATTCAGCTCCAGTGCATGGGGGATAACTCTTGTTTATCGTTCTACATCGACTTCACTATTTGTTCTGCATCACTGACAAGGGGGGAAACCTAACAATTACCCAAGACAAACCTACGGACACGACACAATGTACACAGACATCTCTAACAACCAACGAACATATATCAGATTAAGTGAATGGATAAGGGGGCTAGTCGTAAGCGTTCACTGCGCTGTAAGTGGCCTGTATTTTAGCGAGAACCAACACATGAAATGAAATGGGGTTTAACATCCTATTTTTCTGCTCTGACTGGGCTAATGAAGACCAGCATACGCCATGCAGTGTGCTATGAGGGAACCTTTGACCGGACAGTGGCAATACGTCCTACTCTAATATCGATTTCCAGTTGTCAAGGGTTCTTTTACGTGCACACCAAGGTCTTTCGTTCCATATGAATGACTATACGATGTCTCTGGCCAGACCCTCCGTCCTGCACCACTGGCAAGGTAGAACCACTTCTGAAATCTCAACATCTTACTCACTAAGCCACTCACTGTTATATGTTTGCAAATACCAATGTTTTTATATTTTCGTTCAAATCTATCTTCAGGACTAGGGGGTTTGGATGGCCAAATGGTTAGCATGTGCGCGCTGTATCATTGAGTCTGTCATTGAGTCAACAGGCCTGGTTTCGATTCCCCGGTTGTACGTGACAAGGAGTATGGTCACCTCTCCAACCTTGTGGGTTTCTCTGAGTACTCCGGTTTCCTCCCACTGCTAAAGACCCCTATGCGCAAGCAAATTATTAAAATAAAATTGAACCATGTGTTAGTCCCGAAATGACCTAGTTTGTGTAAAGTGGATGTTGAACCCCATTTCTCTCTCTCTCTCTTTAGGGCTACACAGTTTAAGAACCTAAAAAAATCCAAGGAAAATCAAAGACAGTTGCCAGGCAACAAAACATGCCAATAGCAGCTAAGTCATTCAGGCAGTCAACTGGAGTTGTCACATATTTTTTCTTTTGTCAGTAATAAACACATTTACAATACAATAAAATCGGATTACTAGTAACAAACCATTAAGTAGGCCTAATTATCATAAATCATTAGAATTTGTTTGGCATCTAGTTCTGTCCTATAGATTTACTATAGTCGGATTCGGTTTGTTACATAATTCCCATCCGTCGGCTTTTTGGGTAGAAATCATGGAATAAGCTTTATTTTGTAGGTTTTGATGTTTGATTACAAAAAAACAATGTTGACATTTTTTCTGAGTAGGTCTTCATAGTATGGGAGGCCATTATTTGAGGGTACCCATTTTGCGATAATATTCCAACTTATTTTATTATTTTCACCTTATTTATAATGTTATCGATTTATCAACTGTGATTTGACAATGTATTAATAATGGCAGGGTTCATGACTATACTTCAGATTGTTTTCCATCGTTTCAGTATGATATTTCCAAGATGGCGGCCATTTTGGGCGGGAAAATCGGACGATGTGCTGATTTCGATTAAGTAGTAGTGCTTGGTGTCAATATATATGTTTTCGGGGTCACAGATTCCATTCCTGACATTTACAACCTTGTAAAATGATTACATATTCATATACTTAGCATATTACCAAGATGGCGGGCATTTTTGGCGGGAAAATAAGACGATGTGCTAATGTTGATTAAGTAGTCGTCGTTGGTGTCAATATATATGTTTTCAAGGGCACAGAATCCATTTCGGTCAGTAACAACTGTGTAAATTGATTATTTTGCACATTTACACTATGACGGCCATTTTTGGCGGGAAGATGGAACGATGTGCGGATATTGATTAAGTAGTCGTCTTTGGTACCAGGATATATTTTTTGGGGAGCAGATTCCATTTTTGCCGTTTACAACTGTGTAAAATTATCACATTTTCACTATTTAGCATATTTCCAATACAGCTTTCATGTCGATCGTCAAAATGGGATGATGTGCTGATTTTGATTACGTAGTCGCGTTTTTGTGTCAATATTTGTTTTTCGGGGCGCAGATTCGATTTCTGCCATTTACAACTGCGTGAAATGGTGGTATGTTCACACATTCAGCATATTTTTGTTTGTGGCAGGACGTTTTCTAAACACATTACTGTAAAGGTTTCTGAATCCAATTCTGCTATGTATAAGCTTGTAGCATGTTCCTGGAAGCCTGTGCCGAGTTTACTCATTAGGTATATTATCCAACAATGTAGTAGTTGAACTCCAGCGCAATATCATTCCACATGTTCGTTCTACATTCATCTTGGATGTCAGTTGATAACATAATCTATGCTATGAGGGCTTCTTGGCAAGTATTTCATTTATAGCCACGTCCCCACCACTATCATCCACGTTGCTGCCAGGCTGGAACGAAGCGCCTGGCCATATGCTTGCTACGCTGTTACGACCTTTATGTATATATAGGGAAGATACTGAGCCTCGTCCATCAGCTCCAGTCTAGCACCCAAAGAGGAAACATCAAGAAAACTATGAAATGTTCTTAATTACTTGGTTATTGGTTGTTTTCTGCTTTGAAAATGAATGTGGATGGTTGAGCATGGCACAGTATCTATAGGCGTGGCGAGAGAACGCCTTACGCCTGGTAGGCACATCACTGGAGTGTGGTGAGAAAGTATCCCGGTCTGTGGTGGGAACACTTTTCGCGCAGCCAGATCTTGGCCAAGAGCGTAGAAAGATCTTGTACTAAGCGCTTGGTGTGGTCGTTGCAGGCGCAAGATGGGCACATGGCGTAAGCATGATGCTGCCGCTATGCTCTTTTTGCCTTCATGCCAGGAATAGGCTTTACTTTCCCAGGAAAATCAATGATAAATAAATGCTAATAACGTGTTTAGAAAACGTTCCACCATCTTGGAAATATGCTAAATTGGTGAACATACGACCATTTTACGTAGTTGTATATGACAGAAATCGAATCTACCTCCCCGAAAACATATATATTGTCACCAAGGACAACTACTTAATCGAAATCAACCCATCGTCCGATTTTCCCAACACAAGTGGCAGCAATATTGGAAATATACTAAATATGTGAACATGTGATCATTTTACAAGGTTGTAAATGTCAGAAATTGATTCTGCGCCCCCGTAAACATATATATTGACACCAAACACCACCACTTAATCAAAATCTGCACATCGTCTCATTTTCCCGCCCAAAATGCCCGCCATCTTGGTCATATGCTAAGTATATGAACATGTGATCATTTTACAAGGTTGTAAATGTCAGGAATGCGATTTGTGACCCCGAAAACATATATATTGACACCAAACACTACTACTTAATCGAAATCAGCACATCGACCGATTTTCCCGCTAAAAATGGGCGCCATCTTGGAAATATCATCATGAAATGATGGAAAACAATTTGAGATATAGTCATGAATGCCGCCAATATTAATACATTGCCAAATCACAGTTGATATGTCGATAACATTATAAATAAGGTGAAAATAAAAAATAATTTGAAATATTATCGCAAAATGGCTACCCTCAAATAATGGCCTCCTATACTATGAAGACCTACTCAGAAAAAATGTCAACATTGTTTTTTTGCAATCAAACATCAAAACCTACAAAATAAAGCTTATTCCACGATTTCTACCCGAAAAGCCGACGGATTAACATTAACGAGATCGGACTACTAACGGGTCATTCCATGTTAAGTGGATCAATTTTCAGAAATTTGGGAAATCGACCCCCTCGAAAAAATCTGAAAAAATATATGTTATTGTACATGTAAAAGCCAGAAAATATGCAGATTTTTTCGAGGGGGTCAATTTCCCACCCCTGGCCCACTTGACATGGAATGGCCCTAACGTTTAGTATACAAAACATTTAATTTCAAGGGTCATAACTCTGGAAGTACTATTCGGAAGATATTAACTTCAGCCTCGAGAACCTCCACAACCAATTTGGATGCAGACCGGTTAGACGCGACGACTAGTTATGACCGGATTTAAAATGATTATGGCAGTTACTGTTACCTATCATCACATTATCATATGATCACTGAAATTTCACTTATAGTGAGGAGCACACCACTATTAAAGATAAATTATGGGAGATTTTAGAGAAGAATATATTCAAAATTTCAGTCAAATTACTTTATTCTGAACAAAGTTATCACCATTGTAATTTTTGACTAAAAATAGGAGTCAACTCTCTCTTCACCGTCTCAGAGAATGGCCGATCATTTGATTGACAGGCGTTAACTCCACCTACATAATCTCGATTATCAAGTAACGTTTTCAATGAATGTGGTACCGTTAGCATATTCGGTTTGAGACGGGGTTGCAATTCAATTTGTATCACATTTATTTTTACTACAAATTAAAAATAAGACTTTTAATATATAGATAAGAAGCGAAAGTTTGAAAGGAATGGACCAAATCAATGAGGCATAATTATAGCCGACTTCTTGTTAGCCTGCGTGTACTCTTGTACTGTAACTGGTAGGCCTACGTAACTCCCGAAGCAGACAGATAGGAAACAGTGATCCAATGGGGCTACAATTCAACTGGGGTGATGTTAGCTGCGATGTTTATCAATTTTCATAATTTTTCTGTAAACGCAAGTGACAAAAGAGCATATAATACCGACATCCAAACTCTCATTTTAACCCCAACTAAACATAATATCAAGACCGTATATATCGACCTTTCAATCAAATTGACTGACATGCCGCTTTGCTCAACAACGGCCTCGCTTCGTACACTCTATTAGTAAGTGCAGGGGGACCGCACTACACGTAAAACAAAAATCTACAAGATAAACCTGCGGACAAGACAGAAAATAGACATTGCACCAAATAGACAAATATCATTTAGCCTCGAACTAAAATTTCCGGGAGTATGACGTCAACCTAACGGTTAATCTCCACTTACGAATCCATTTAAAAATTTAATCAATCATTGAAATCCTGTTTAAATCCAAGACGAATCCAAGCCATTCGTGGGTCTACAGAGTTGATTTTGTGCTTGTTGTGTAAATAAAGATCTTATTTATAATTTCTATGACATCTGAAGCCTAAATAAAGACTTGCAATCAGATTTAGCTCTTGCTTAATGTATCATGTTTAAGATAATATTGCAAGTCCGACTTTCCTAAGAGTTCGGTTGGCTGTACTGAGAGCATAACTATTACTAGTTTAAATTATCTTTATTCAAAGGCTGGATTTCCAACCCATGATTTTCTACTAGTAAGTGCCTCCCAACACACACACACACCCATGTTTAACGCAAGAGTTCACATATCTTAATGTAACTAAGTTTTATGACAATATCTGAATTAATTACAATACAAAACTTTATTAAGAGAGACAAAGTCAAAACAAATCTATAAATTATTAGATAGATGGAATGTTATATTATACTACAAGAGAGAATTCGAGTATTACAGAGATTAACAATTTTATTTTTCACAGTATTATCAATAAAGTTTAGCGTCTAGTGGTGTAGTCTTATGTTACACAAAAATATAAAAATATACAATCAGTACAGATCAAAGTGTAAATACAATATTTTAATCTACATTATGTTTGTAGTATGAAAATAATTATCACAAAAAAAAAGTAAATTTTTGATTAAATATCTTTAAAATTGTTTGCTTAAATATATTTAAAATCGAAAACAAAAGAAAACAAATTCATCGTATTAAAAATGTGTTGGGACCGTTTTAAAAAAAAAAAGATTGAAAAATTCAAGAAAGCAAAACAATTTGTGATGAGTATACAATTAACAAATAGAGTGATAGCTTATCTGCTAAACATTATACATGGAGGTGTTATCAGTGAACTTTAAACAAAGATTAAAAGAAAAGAAAACCATATATTAGTTTTAATTCTGATGGATATCAATGGTGATTACACGTATGGCATCAACACTAACTATCTTGATGATAATAATCACATGTTCTGTAATTTTGGGTTTAGGAGGCATATGTGGACCTGAAATGTATCAAAATTAAGACATGATTTTAACCAGATCATTATATTACTATAATTTTGTACATGATATTTTGAATCCAAATTATGGGTTGCCAGGCAACAAAACATATGTCCACAGTAGCCAAGTTATCCATGCAGTCCTTAAATTCTGTCTTTTATAGGCAACTACATGTAGAGGAGCATTTACAAGATAATTAGTCTCACCCAAATAAACAATGTAAACATATTTCATCATTCACATAAATATTTCTCAATCTGGTGGTCTCTAAAGCACTTACAAGATTTTTCTGACAAAAACTTGGAAAGAAATCAGAATCCTTTGAAAATTAATAGGATTCTTTGTCCTTCTAGGGAAATATAAAAGACCACCTCATAATGGCTAAATTCTAGCAAGAGCTGTCACTGGATGAATCCTAGTTCAGGTTTGACAATCATAATTCATTTCTACTTACTCGGGGTCAATGTGTGGAATTGATGACCCTTGCAGTGATCAGCAATATTATTACCCCACATACGCCTGGCATCTTCAGGAGAAGTTGGGGGCTCGGCATGATAATATCTTTGAGGCTTTTCTTCATCATCCTGACAATAAAGTATTCAACATTCAGTAACATGTATTATATTCAAATACAAAAAAAGTAAGAAATGAAATGAAATGAAATGGGGTTTAACATCCTACTCCTATACTGGGCTAATGAAGACGGGCATACGCCATACAGTGCACTATGAGGGAAATTTTGCCCGGGCAGCGGCAATATAAACTACTCTTATATCGAATTCCAACTGCCAGGGGATCCTTTACGTGCATTCCAATATATACACAGGACCTCGGTTTTTCGTCTCATCCGAAGGACTAGACAAAAGTAAGAACTATGAAATAAGGGGCTGGTATGTAAAATATGAACACAAAAACTACACGTATACTCTAAAATTGCCACTGCCTCGATTTTCGATAAGCAAGTATTTTATATAATATTATATGTTTGTTGTCCCGATGAACTTTTTTTCATCTGAAAATAACATATTCATTTGATGTCAAAGAAATATACAATATACATCATACATGTAGCACATAACAAATTTAATGTGCACCCTATCTGAAAAAGAACTCCAGGACAAATACATAATATCTACCCAATAAAAATCTGCTGCTGTTGAAAGAAAACAATGTATTGGGGAGCTGGAGACTGAATGTTTTGTCAAAATATAAAGAGACAACAAAGGTGCAAACCCCAACTTACATCATCACGACCCCATGCATGTATTCCGTCTTCAAATTCTCTAGGTAGAGGTTCAACGAAGCATCGTTTGTGTTCTGGATCACGGTAAGCAGACATTTTCTGAAAAAGAACAAAAAAAACCCAAGCAAATATTAATCTATATAATATCTATTACTGTCATTTGTCTGTTTTTCTGTTCAGTGTTGTCGGCTACACTAGGGCTGTCCCGAGACTGAAATTTGGTATATATGGGTAGCTTGGACTAACGAGTAACACTGGCCTGGTGGCGATGGCCTACCACTTCCGGTTTGGGAGTTATGCTACTTTTGGTTTATGGCTATACCCGTGCTAAGCCGAGTCAACCACTTGTTTGATAATAAATGCGTTAAACCCCATTTCATTTCATTTAATTTTTTGATAATAAATGAAACACCACTGCTCAAGCGAATAAGCAGCCATCTTGAAAGTATGCATAGCATACCCTGTTTCCTGGAACACCATCACATTCAAAATCATTGGAATTCACTTGGAATTGATTGGTTAGTTTATGTAACTCAACAATTAGACACATAAGATGTTATCTATGCAAAGACATTTTTAACCTACACAGGAATATTTACTCAAATTTTAAACTCATTATTTGATTGGAGAAAGAGAGAGAGAGAAATGGAGTTTAACATCCACTCGACAAAAACTAGGTCATTTCGAGACTAACCTATGGTTAATTTTTATTTCAATAATTTGCTTGTGCGTAGGAGCCTTTAGCAATGGGAGGAAATCGGAGGACCCGGAAAAACCACGCCAGTTGACTCAATGACAGACCCTATGATACAGCATGCATGCGATAACCATTCGGCTATCCAATCCCCCTCTTATTTGATTGGTCCTATCCCAGAACAGAAATACTACAGAGAATGTTAATATGGTGTTTAGTCTCATCATGTAAGTGATGCAACACTTATACTCCAATGTTACCAAGAATAGCTACATGTAATTACTTTGTGATGGACCAAATGGAATGACTGGGCCGAATGACAAAGGTGTGAAAAACATTCCTTATGATGGGGGTGAGGGGATGGGCCATGCGGGTAGCAAGACCAAGAATTAACCCATACCTGTCTGTAATCATGTATGGCATGTGAGGCACCAAATTCTCCTGTCTTTGTATTGTTGACATAGATAAGTTGTTTGTCGTTATCAATATGCACGTTTTCATGGATTCTATAAGGTTTGTCTTTAGTTCCACAGAATCCCCATCTGCCAAATTCCTAAAAAATAAAAATAGATTAATGGCTATAATGTCACCTTTTCCACTGATACCTGAAAGCACTAATTGACTTTTTGCGTTCAAGTAATAATATTAAAGAATTGTTTGAAAATTGTACAGATGTATTACTTAAATAGTAAAATCCTGGAAATGTATTTTTGTATTTAAGTTAAAGTAATAATCTTGTGTATTAAAGTAGTAATAATTTTGAGAAACTATTTAAACACTGTACAGATGTATTTGTTGATAATATTTGGACTAGGAATCTATTTAAAGAATCCTGATTTGTCTAGGAATCTATTTAAAGAATCCTGATTTGTCTAGGAATCTATTTAAAGAATCCTGATTTGTCACATGAAGTGACACTTTCTCATGGGTGTTTTTCAGGGAATCAAGATTGAGTATCTGCTTTCCATATACATGTATATATACGAAATATGCCATATCTTTTATTGGAAATAACTACCCTATAAATACTTTTTTGGGGACTAATGTACCTTTAAAAAGTAAAATATCTGTTTAATTGTTTGAACATTATATAGAGAGAGAGAGAAATGGGGTTTAACGTCCACTCGACACAAACTAGGTCATTTCGGGACTAATTTGAACATTATATACTGGTATGTTTAATTGATTCCATCCATATTTCTGCTTATCAAAACCATATTTGTTATAACTGTTGAAAATATTTAATGTATTTATCAAAAAATGTTATATTTCTGGATATGTTCCTTTGGGAAATGGAGCATTGTATCATTATCATTACAAGTTAACTAAATAAATAAGAAGAAAGACCAGACTTACATTTCTGTGACGTCGGTGAGCAAACACCATGATCGCCAAAGCTACTCCGATGATAACAACTCCAAACACCAAAACCACTGCCGCAGCTCGGCATCTTTTTCGCCTGCGGTTAACTTCTCTTAGGTTGGCATTTTTATGGGATTCAGTAGACTGATCCACCACAACCTGTAAGATAAAATATGGAATTTCATACCAGAAAATGTTTTGTGGTTACGCCATGCAATTTGATTTTCGGTTCTTCAGTGTCTTGATAAATAATAGATACTTGAATCTCATGAAAGATGTTTCGTTTAAAATTTCAAAACTTAAAAGTTGGGAACTAAAAGCTTTTGAACAGCAAAACTAAGTACTTTCGGTTAATAAACAAGTCTTTTTCCTGAAGAAATAAGAACATTTTTTACAGGAGTTCTCATAGAACAGAAAATAAAATTAGCATTTTTTCAGACTGAGTACAAACTTTCCACCTTTAGTTGTCCAATAATAGAGGATGCCGTAAAGTTTCAACGGAAATAAGTTGTGTGAATAAGATTTCCATTGTAATTTAATTTTTTGCTTTGCAAGGCAGGTCATGATCTCATCTAGGGTATAAATTTAAAGTCAATCGGATGATAACTTTGGTCTCTAGAGAATGCACAAGATTTTTCATCGAGGTTAAGGGCAGTAATTATAGGAAATCATTGAAAATCAACAGGCTTCTTCATTTGATGACCTTAACCAATGTGTATAAGATTGAAGTCAAACAGATTAACCTTAGCCTCTAGAGTCTCTGGAAGATTTTTTCAAAGTGCTAAAGGGCCATAACTCTGGCAGTAATTATTGGAATCGTTGAAAATCAATAGGTTTCCTCATCTCATGACCTTAACCAATATGTATAAATTTGAAGTCAATCGGATGATAACTTTAGCCTTCAAAGTGTCCACTATTTTTTTTTGTAGAGCGGGATGGGGGATGTGTTGATGGAATAAATACATATAATAAAGAGATTTGAGATGGGTAATTTGCCCTTTATTTCATTACCCATGTAAGATGACATGTAATGATGATACAAAAATTAAAAATATTATATATTAAAATGAAGACAAGTATGTAGATAGAGAGAAATGGGGTTTAACGTCCACTCCACACAAACTAGGTCATTTGCTTGCACGTATCGGTCTTTAGCAGTGGGAGGAAACAGGAGGACCAAGAGAAAATCTACGAGGTTGGACAGGCATCCCTACTTCTAGTTACATGTACGTACAACCGGGGAATTGAAACCTCGCCACTTGGCTCAATTATAGACCTTATGATGCAACGCGCACTCGTTAACCATTCGTCCACCCACCCCCCACAAGTATATGTACAAAAAGAAATGTTTTAATCCATTATACAAAGTCTAAAGTAATATAGGCATAATACTTTGCCTTAGGTTTTATGTTAATTTTGAAAGAGATTCTCCAGTTAAGAAATGTCTCAGCTTTTTACATTGGGTGAGTCACATAAAGTATGTTCTTCAAAGTCAGATACGGTTCACTAATCGCCAATGTATTTCTGACGTCACAATATTTCAAATGAATTAATAATAGCAATGTCACCATCAGGTATATATATAATCACTGTGTTGTGTACATACATAATTATATATATATATATTCAAATTATATGATCAATAGGCTTGTATAACAAATACGTAAAAAAAAAAAACAGGTTTTGGGTTTATTTACACTGTAAACATAATGACAAGGCAGAAAAAAAACTAGCCCCAGGTTGACAAAAAGATCAACAACAAAGGGTCTCATCTTATAAAATGTGTTTATTATAATTTATATGCATAAATATTGAATAAAAAGGGTTAAGGTGGTGTCATTTTCAGTGCCTTGTCAACAAATACCGGTATACATGTACATTTCTTGTCCCATAGTATTTTTGCTGTTAATTTTTTTATGTCTGGATGTGTTTGTCTACATGCAAATGATTTCAGAATACCATCAACTATATGGAGAGAATTTATATAATAATTATAGGCTTTTGCCTGTTGTTCATTCTAATTCAGATTATTGAATAAAATATTTTTTAAACCATGGGATAAATCAGTTCGCAACTGTAAAAAATAGATACAATTATGAAAATGTAGAAAGCCAACTAATGCATAACCAATGTGATTTCACAGCTACATGTTTATGAGCAAGAAAAGATACCAAGTGACAGCAGTTTCTGATAAAACTGTATGTCTACCAGAAAAAATATTTGATGGATGATACTATATAATGGTCAAATTATTTTAAGTTCTTTTTTAAATCAAAATGTAGCTAAACAACAAGAAAACCTTTTCTTACAAGATACAAATTGTGACCTCTAGAGGAACCCTCAAGTTGATAGCTTGAATTTTTAAACAATCGCAGGCCATAATCCAGGAAGTTACGGTCCCATATGCGCGAAAATCGAAAGGATCCAAGATCTTTGGGTTATAAACATACACAATCTGATTAAAATACAGATCTATATTTCGTTTCGTTTTTTTATACTTTCGACGTCTGGACTCTGGACGGTTGGAGGTGACGACAATATATGTCCACATGATAATGGGGCATATAAAAATCAAGATTGCCAGGTAATGAAACAAGTGCAATTTGCAGTCCTTATTTGTTGTCATATCGTTATCATTTTGTAGGTAATTGGGGCATTAACGAGGCACGATAAACAGAAGTTATTAAAATGTGATATCTTTGTAGTTCAGTTTTGCACTAATATAAGTAGAAAATGTACACATACAGGTAGGATTGTTCGTCTGATGAAAACATATACATTGTCTATAAATGTAAAATCAATTGGATGATAAACACAACCTCTAAAGGGTTAAACAAGAATTTTCTCTGGGTTAGAACTTTGAAAATCAATTGATAACTTTGTCCTCTAGAAAGCCCACATGCCATAGACAGGGTTGACAATAATATATTACCACATTTCAATATGGGTTGAAATCTACAATATCATTGTCGAATGTGTAATATGTTACACCTGACCAAAGAATGTTTGATATATACAATAAGTACCGGTCCGATACACATAAGTATCTTAAGTGAATAAACAAAAACTGAAACGTGACACATATTCTATTTATAGACTTTGTACATGTATGTATCACATGTAACTGACATTATTCTTGTCATCCTGATCAACACACTTTTAAACGGAAATCAAAGTTTTAAAATATTGACTTATTAAAGATGCATTATGGCAGATAGAGATAAAGAACTGACAGTTCTTGTTAAAATAGTTAAACCAGTGGTTGCCAGGCAAGATACGCCCACATTTTGCAAGAGATGGACAGAAAACAAGCTAAAAAAGAAAGCGGGTTTTTTTTGTACAATCAGTGATCATAATCAAGGAAGTTATGATCTGAAATGCGCAAATATCATAAAGTACTGAGATATTTTTGGATATAAAGATATATATTAAGTTTCATGAAAATCGGAATTTTTTTTAGACTTCTACAGGGTCCACATTGTGGACTCCCCAACCTTGGTATTACACACTTTTACACTATCTGCGTACAAGGAGTAGCCATTTTGTCAGTCAGTTTCAGTCTGATTTTCACGAAATTCGAACTCAACCTACGTGTACACATTGGCACACACATACCATGACAATTGAATTTCGAAATAAGAGTAGGCTGTAATGCTGCTGTAAAGGCCAAATTTCCCTCGTAGCATACTGTATGGCATATGTCCATCTTCATTAGCCCATTTGCTGCAGAAAAGTAGGATGCTAAACCCCATTTCATACATGTATACCAGGGCCTATTTTAAGGTTTTATTGATGAAGCACAGTTTTCAGAGATGGAGGTTTTTTGGTGGGTATTTACCCCCTTGGGTTCCGACAAAAGATTTCCCACACAGACCTTGATAGGCTCGGTTTAGCTTCTTTCATCACCTTTATCAGCTCTACTATGTCAGAATAAACCTTCTGAAATCATGACCAATTAGTCGTAAACAAAAAAAATCCTCACCAGAAGTGGGATAAAAACTTCCTGAATTACCAGCACGCTTACACTTTTATAACCAAACGCACACTTGCCATACACAATAAACCGAGATTTTGTAAGAGATGGACAAAAACTGAGAAAATTGATAGCCAATGCCTCACATCAAATATGAACCTGTAGCCTATATTTTGTTCACAGGGTTTTTAGAAAGGTTTGGTAACTCGAGAATGGAAGGTCACAAACGCTGAATATCGATGTGGTTTGTCATCTCGTCACCCCAATGCTTCACACCAAATTTGAAAAATAAAGACAGTTAAAACGGTAGCCTCTATCACTTCCACAAGGTTTTCAAATGGGGCTTAACTCTGGAACTGAAGGTCACAGAATGCTGATGATCGCTAGGATTTGTGATCCTATGTTCCCAATTCATCACACTAAAAAGCTCACAAACTTTGTTACGTTTTGTGTATGTAAGGCCATAACCCAAGCAGTTGCACCAAAATTGAATTCAACCAAGATCTTTTGATTCTCAACATCTAAAACGGGCAAAAATTGAGGCACAAATTAATGTGAAACTGTGGCCGTATAAAAATGTACATAATTTACAGATTTGTGTATCGGCATCGTTGCCAGTCCAAAGAAACATCCAAAAGCAGACAAACCATTACTGTAATGCAGCTGACTACTTGCATCATCAACACAAAATTTAAACAAAAATGAACACAGTGACTGATGATCACAATGATTGCTAATGACTCAATTGCTAAATTTTCATGCAATCTTTCCAGATTCACAAGGATACATACCATCTTTTCAAAGCACGGATTAATGATTCTCAAAGCACAGATTTTTCATTTTGAGGCATGTTAACATAGGCCCTGATGTATACAAACGAGATGAAATACATAATATACATGTATACATTGAATATACGTGCTGTTGTTTGTGTACAATTATGTTAGAAAAAAAATAATGATTTGAGATATTGGTTGGACACTAGTGAGTAAGAATAGCTCAGCTAGCGATATAATTTGGTTACAACAATAGTTATATATAACAGCAAAAGAAACTATACATTGTATATTGTCATTTCATGAGGTAAATTATTATCTATTTTTGTTAATGAGAATTATAACTTCATAAGACTACCAATTAGTATGAAATTGTGATTCATTAATGCTTAACAACATCAAGAAATAATTATATTGATTCAAGGAGCAGACTGTGTGTACAAAGAAAAGACAATTTAACACAGAAACAATGATACTTCCTTTCACTGGTTTCAGGAATATTTCAAACAGACTGATAAAATTCCTAAATAGGGGGCTCTTCCTTTTGGGTGACACGATTCAGGACATTGAGGAAGTTGGCATGTCAAGAATAGATTGGTATTGTGCATTGATTTTGTACCTGATAACTCTAAACAGGACACAATATTCTCAATTTCCTTATTTACATGTATTTTGCCCTAATCAGATTACACTCAATTTCAATTACACTCAACTCTCGATACCATCTTATGGGTACATTTTAAACAGATTCAATTGCTGTTCCTGATGAATCGTAAAAGTGGATAATCGAGACTTTCTTTATTATCATTATAACGGCATCAGTGACAATCAAGGCAACAATGTTTTTGAAATTTGGTTTTCTCGGCTCAGTTTAGTAATATGGCTGAAATTTTCAGCAAATTCCCTTTACATTATCTATTCTTTAACTATTATAGCGAGATTTGTCATCTCTTTATCTAATCTACCATAATGCCCCTTTAACTGTACTTTCCACAGTCCTAAAATATTGTGTTAATATATTTAAATTAGATATAAATCATGTCAAAGATGATGATATTTGGCATGGAGTTTAACTCTACTCAACAAAATGCTTTGTTTATTTGAGTAGTGCTAGCTAGGATGAGAATTTCGGTCAAACTGTAAAGAGCACTTTTAAGTTAAAATAGCCGCCAGGATATACAAAATATATTAATCTATTCTGCATGTAGATCACTTGTAATAAACAAGATCAGACAGTAATAGAAAATGTGCATTGTCACATTTAGACTTTTCAGTATTTTTCAAATTGTATACTGTATCATAGATAATAGCATGGTTCAGACATTTCATTTCCTTGGTTATTGAACAGTTAATGCATTATAATATTCTACTTATTTTGACCTAACTGATGACATTAAAATAGATATGCCACAGTTTCAATAACACGGTATGTCATCCCTAGTATATAACAGTATCCTGAACATATATAGAATTTACATATGTATATACATGTATATATTTTTTTTTTAATAAACATTATTTTATTGAATTTTAGGATTGGGAAACAGGCAAAGCCTATATATAATCCCTCTCCCATTAACTGAAAGCTAACATAAAATACAGATTGAAATGATAGTTTTTAAAGTCTAGAATTACATAGAATTGGAATATAAGCCCACAATCAATATTACATGTATCATTATAATATTAGGAAATACAGTCTGTTTGAAGATTAAATATAGTAGGGTTTTAAAAAACATCCGGATCCAAACAGAATTCAAATCAATCAATTTGCCATCTAAAGTTTACACTGATTTCACACTGCCATCTTCATCATGATGCTTTGTATTAATTCTTGAATGTACATGTGATAACAGTCTATACATTAAAATAGTACATTTATAACTTTTGAGATACAAGTAAATGATCTAGTACAGTAGTAGTGTACCTTTAATATACAACTATTGTTTTATCTTATTGAAAACCCATAATCAAAAGTGCTTCATCTATATAGACAGCTCAATACAATTCTTACCTGGTAATCCATTCTATTTCTAATCTGTTTTAGGGTTACATCATAGTGTAATTAATACATGACTAGCCAGCCAAATAGAATCATTTACCTATAAGTATCATCCATACATGACTATTCTTTCCAGGTTCCATAGAGTCACGGTGGCTAAGTGGGTAAGATGCTGGTTCGCTAGCCGGGAGGTCGGGTGTTCGATCCCTGCATTGGCCGAGAAAGTTCATCCAGATTTTCGGCGTGGTTTCCCCCCTTGTCAGTGATGCAGGACGGAGGGCCTGACAAGGACAGCTGTCTAGTCGTTCGGATTGGATGAAAAACCGAGATCCCATGTATACATTGGCGTGCAAGCAAAAGATCCCTTAACAGTTGGAATTTGATATAAGAGTAGGCCGTAGTGCCGCTGTCCGGGCAAAAATTTCCCTAATAGCACACTGTATGGCGTACGCCCATCTTCATTAGCCCAGTTCAAAACAGATCAGTAGGACGTTAAACCCCATTTCATTTCATTTCCAGGTTCCATAGTGTTTTAAATATTTCAAAAATAATATACTCTGAAGATTGTAAGAAGTGTACAAACAGGTTGTCTTTGTTACAGTAGCCCTTTAGTACTTGGTATTGTAAATACTAGCCACCCCTGTTTCTTGAAAATAATTTTCGAGAAAAGTGATACCGGTACATGTATATCCCTGGACAGCTTATCCTACAGTGGAGTAGAACAGAACGATACAACTGGGGATACCGAGGATGTGGGCAGTCGGAAACTTTGAAACTACTGCTCCATACACCACCTCAAACTATCTGAGATATGTAAATAGTTTTCCATATTGTAGGCCTATGACAGTAGATATAAATCTGATGTCATTGTTTTAGCTTAAAATTATATTCTACTTGGCGTGTTTCAGTCAGTATCATTTCATTTATTTTAATCAGTACACAAACAGTTCTATATAAGCATTTTTCCTTATTACTGCATCCTACTCACTTAGATTTTCAAATGATAAATTGTAAATACTAATTTTCTCTTAAATAAAATACTGTTTAAACCAGTGATCAACAATTATAATAAAACTGACTGTCTTCCTCGTATCATATGACTTGCTAACAACACTGGCCCATCTTCCTTACTGACATGTAATATCAAAAAACACCATAAAAACATCCTTAGTGGATTTGTTGCAATATAAATGGATATTTTTTTATTTTTATAACATTAGTCATTTCATCCATCATATATCAGGGAGAAGGTGAAACTTATTTCTAGGGGAGCTCCAGAAAATAACATCATGCTCGATATTTCCGATCTTATTGATTGTTGGATGGACAAGGCCTCAATTGCCCCATTTCATCACTCAGCTTTTTGTCCCATTAGATTCCATTCAATATCGGCCATCTCTGTCATTCCTTGTCTGTATAATTAATAAGCCAAGCATCATTATTGATAAAGGCTAATGATTCCATCAATTTATGATCAGTTTAGGACTAAGATGGCAGATTTTTCAAAGATATAAACAGGAAGGCTGATTAAAAACATAGGTTTGAAATCTCTAGCCATATATAAGTGAGAATATTGATATTTGTCGAGTCCACTATCTCCATTTCTTGCACTCTTACATGGCTTTCATCCAGTACCATTTCGTTATTGATTTACCATACATTCAACCAGCAAGAAAATCAATTTTGGGCTACTTTGCTTTCTCTTGAAATTGGAAATGAAAAGACAATCTGGGCAAAACAAAATTAGATAATTATGAGATATGCATCCAATACATGCTATTAATTTATATTTGCTCTGGTGTCTTGCAAATAGGGGTTTATACATGTTTATGTCATATATTTTCAGCAAATCAATACTGCCGAGTCCAACTGCTATCTATACACAATCCACATTATATGACATATACATACTATACATGGAGCTTTGGCTGGTCAAGTGGTTTAACACGTGCGCATGAAATCACAAGGTCTGTCATTGAGTGAAGTGGCATGGTTTCGATTCCCCACTTATACGTGACATGGAGTAGGGTCGCCTGTCCAACCTTGTGGGTTTTCTCCGGGGCCCTCCCACTGATAACCTACACGTAAGCGAATTATTGAAATAAAATTGAACTATGTGTTAGTCCCAAAATGACCTAGTTTGTGTCATAACCTAGTGGACATTAAACCCCATTTCTCTCTATATATTATATGTCTTAATGGGTTAGTTTTCTTTGTCACATATGCATGTATAAAAGATCACTTTAGGTCATATGCTGCAGTCTAGATAGATTTTAACAAAGAATATAATGCTGTGTTAAAATGATTAAAGAAATCAATGAAGAAATCGATGGACGTTTAGAGGGGATCCTAGGGGTTCTCTGAGAAAATCTTTAAAAATCTGGGTGTCAATGGTGATTTGTGGCGCATGTATCTTGACTCAAATATGACCTTCAATTTTATCAGCTACATTTACATCACCCCAACTAAAAAAAAGCTCAAATTTACATGTTTCATAGTAAATTCTTTATACTGTCATTTTGGCCGGGAACAAACCTGGATTAGCCATCTGAAATACTATTGAATCAATGCCAAATTTAATAATAAGCTCAAGATCTAGACTTCATTAATGACCTTGATTTAACAAATGTTAATCTCAAATAATAAGAATGAATATAAAGGCAGACCTATCCTATACTGGCAGTACTTGCCATTGCCCATTGTGCCTATTTTGTTGTTGTGCCACCTGAACTCTATCTAATTCCTATTTTTTATGTGTCCTATATATACCCAGTATTTATAAGTCACCATCTTTTTTTAAACAACAAGCTTTACATAATGAAATAAAGGAGAATTTGTTCTAAAAAAGTCCAACAACCAGGAAGTTAAACTGTGGTCTAACCATATTAATACATCCATTTTATTATAATTTCACACAGTCAATACACACAGATAGCAGACACCTTTTTTAAAAAAATCGATTGAGTTTATAAATTAAACATCATTATAATTAGCTGTCAGATTGAACACTGGCCTATGTTATGAAGTGTCTTTATTTATAGACCCTACTCAGTGATAATATTATGATGTATTATTTTCGCTGCCTGTGTGACTGTATAGGATAGGTAAAAGCTATTAAAGCTTCCAGGTTAAATGCTTTAAAGGTCTACTTACGGCTTCTGGTACATCGGTGGGCTTTTCTTTCCCGTTTAAATCGACTTTTGGAGGTGCCATCTTGATGTGTATTGCGTCTTTGAAGAGTCCAAGTCTAACGGTGTTATTAAATAGGCCACTGTTTGCTTGATTTCCTTTCAGCTTGTATAACAGTCAACACAGTGAGCTGATCAACCAATCAGAATTGAGCAATGACTGTGTATATTATGATCGTGTATATATTCCCTTTATTTACCTCACAGTAAATAATTTAACACACGACTAGATCGCTAATTCTAGACCTAAACACCCAGACGCTAACCATAGTCACAATCTTTAATAATAATATTAGTTTTACTCTTGCTTACATAAAGAAAAAAAGAAAATAGCCTGGTTCGTTCGTTTCTAGAGTTTTACGTCCACTTCCACAAGGTGATATCGCTATTGTCCTTGGATTTCGTATCACGTGGCTTAACACATGCGATTTGAGATAATTAATTATTAATTGCCCATTCTTCTAAAGTACAACTAGGACATAATTAGTGTTATACAATATGCAGTACATGTATAACAGTTTTATGCTATTTAAATGTAGCTTTATCAAATAGACATACTGCGCATGATTGAAATCTTTTGATCACGTAAAATTAAATGAACGATTACAGAGTCGGGTGTATAGCAAGCCCATCTATTGACAATTTTATTTGCCGTACGTTTGTGAGGTTTTACACGGAAAAGTAGTAAGGTCTGAAAACAATGTCTGGACCCCCCAAACCCCACTTTATGGAAAAGTCTTATAGAAAAAGATCGCAGACTAGCGATGTCATCTAGAGTTGATTATGGTCTGGATAAGTTAATTAATGTCTAATTAATCATTTAGATAACATTTCAGGCCTAAAGGAAGACTAGATAACAAACCTTAATCTCTCAACCTAAACACATCAGTATATCTCAACGTTTTTAGCTACGTTCTCGTAGCTAAAGGAAGACCTGCAATAGACAGATTTAGCTCTTGCATATATGTATACTATTCAAAAAAAGTAGGGGATATTTGATTTTGGGGGCATAATACTAAAATATGCAAATGACTACGAAAAAAGTCACTATAGAACCTAACAGAAGAAACATTTCCAGTTACATGTGACGCCCAAACGCACCAATAGCTACCGCATGGAATGCAGGTGATGCTTGGGATCATCATGGGGGTCCAACCCAAGATTTGCAAATCAGATCAGCGCTCGTCTTCAAACAGACACTGGTGTGAGAGTGAGTGGCCAGACGATTCGGAATCGACTGCATAGGGATCACCTTCGCGCCCGACGTGCTCGCGTGATCCCTTGTTTGAGAGATCATCACATTCAGGCAAGACGTCGTTGGTGTAGGGATCGTCAACACTGGGATAATCGACGCTGGAGTAATGTGATGTTTTCAGATGAGTCAAGGTTCACTGTTGATTTTTTGGACAGACGTAGGAGGGTGTGGCGTCGTCGAAACGAGCGCTTCCAAGACGTTAACGTCATCAGACATGATCGATTTGGGGGTGGTTCTGTTATGGTGTGGGGAGGCATCACTGTTGCTGGAAGAACGGCTTTACATGTTGTTGCAGGGCGTGTTACAGGCCAGTACTACCGGGACAACATCTTGGCAGTCCATGTTGTGCCGTTCGCACGACGTCATGGCCGCCGTTTCATCTTCCAGGATGACAACGCAAGATGTCACAGGGCCAGGATCGTTACAGGTTACCTCCAACAACAGAACATCACCACATTACTTTGGCCAGCACTAAGTCCCGACCTCTCCCCCATCGAGCATGTCTGGGACATGCTTGGACAGAGGTTACGTCAACGTCAACAACGTCCTGCCAATGTCCAAGAACTTGCTGCTGCGTTGCAACAGGAATGGGACAATCTGGACCAAAATGACCTTAGACGTCTCATTAGGAGTATGCCACGTCGGATCAATGCTTGTTTGGCAAACAGAGGAGGATTTACCCGTTACTGACTTGGTTGTGATGCTGTGGTAACTTTGCTGTTTGACCCCGGGTATCATTTTACCCTTATAATGGTCAGTCTGTGCCTTACTTAGTCTAACGATCATTTGGAATAAATCGATGAATGTGAACTTCATTTCATTTTGTCATTTGTTTCTTCGTCAGTTTCATTAGGTGACTTTAATAACACTTAAAAATCAAATATCCCCTACTTTTTTTGAATAGTATATAATGTTTAATTTGCTGTGATACCAAATGACAAACTATAAATTAATAAGCTTAGACATCTGAACTGTTAAATATGCATGATATTTTAATTTCTTTTATGTGCGCACGCTTTGTTTTGTATTTTGATATATTATGTACCCCGTATGTGGGTCTTATACTGTCGATTTATGTGATTTACTTTGTACGTTTTGTTCCATTTGCAGGTTTCATACGTATATTTATGAGTGCTCTGAATTTATGCTCCTCCATATTTTTGTATCCGTCCAATTTTTTACACCTGTATTTCATATTTTGTATATTGTATGTTGTCCTCAAGGGAGGTTCCGATGCAATATTGTGTGTCTTGTGTAATAATTGTCATATCGTTATAATTTTATGTACACGTTTAAACTGTATGCTGTCCTAAATGGATGTTTTATCTTATCTTATCTTATACCATAAATAAAAGAATAAAGTCTTAAAATAATATTTCTTTATAGGCTATATAATATGAATGGGTGATACATGGTGTCATTCTAAGAAATCCCACACCCCACCCTCTAATAAATGCCAGTGAATGTAGAAAATAATAGGTGATAAATTATTCTTAAACATGCATTATGCAAGAGCTAAATCTGCTTATTTTGCAGGTCTTTCTTTAGGCCCGAAATGTGATCTAAACCCTCACTGGCATCGCTAGCCTGCGATGTTTATTGGATTTAGGTTCAGATTTGCTGTTTGATTTCCATTCAAAATTTAATCATGAAATGGATAATCGAGACTATGTTTTTTATCCTACCGACTTTAATAATGATGATCGAGGCTAGGCCGAAAATTCATTCACTAAAATCTCGGTTCATAGTGGATCAATTTGACTGAATTTTTGAGCAAATTCCCTTTACAGTATCTAGTTTTTAACTATTATAGTGAAAATTGCCAGCTCTTTATCTAATCTCCCATAATGTCTGTTTAAAACAAGTCAATGAAGTAAAGATAAAATTTATTTGAAGACAGTCTAACTGTTAGGTATCGCTAGTTAGGTTTTAATGACTATAGCAGATTCTGAACTCAAATTGTATAATTTGTTGAAGGCACACCTGTCGACAAACCATAATTAGCAGCCAACTTGTAATCTCTTTGATCATTAGCTGAATTTTAAATTCTAAAATTCAATGCCATAGTCGCTTGAACTAAACGCAAAGAAGAGGTCTTTGAATTGTTGATTATCTTTTGGTTTATATAGAAGTGGGTGCAACATCCCTTATTTTGAAAGCAAGTTGCACATAGATGTACTTTGTTTTTGCCAGAGCAAACGGCGGGTTAAACATGTTTTCGGAAGAAAATGGATAGTTTTAGATCTCAAATGCCCCGTAAACAATTGTCTTGTGGAGTTCCTTGTGGTTATACAGAAACAGGAATGTTAATTCCCACACCTCTTTGTGTATAATACTATAGAATTTCATCCTATAGAAAATGGGATACCCTCTCCTCCAAAAAAAAAAAAAATACACTAGTACTGCTTTGCTTAGTAATCGCTCATATCCCCCCCCCCCCCTACCTTTTCAAAATTTATAGTAGGACCCGAATAAAATAATCTCATACGTAAGTATTTCCCATCATTTTAACTTTCAGAACAACAATGATAAAAAAAAGAGCATGGATGATTCTGTCTAGATTTTTTATGAATCGTCTTGATTTGAGGTGATGAATATTATCACGGAAGAGATAAATTATTATATCATCACGGAGAAAATTACACGGAGGACATTAGTTTCACGGGGCAAATAAATAGCACGGAGGAGATTAATGGGAAATATATTAATATCACAGAGTGCATAAATATGGTAACAGAGGTAACATTTACGTTAAAAAAAATGCAGGAAATATTAAGGGTACGATAAGTATCATGGTGGATATAAACATTATGGTTAAAATACGACATCATCGGTGAGACGCATATCATGGATGAGATAGGTATCATGGTGGATATAAACACTATGGTTAAAATACTACATCATGGGTGAGACGCATCATGGATGAGATAAGTATCATGTGGGATATAAACATTATGGATAAGATTAGTATCATGTATTACATAATAATAGTGATATGCTAATTACTACTCGATGCAATACCGCAGATACATGTACATGGTGAGATCACATATCATCGCACTCGGCAAATCTCGACAGATTCCGTTACCCTACATCTAATCTCGGCTGTATGACAGTAAGTGATATGTACCTACGCCCATACATTTGCGATGCGGCTGCCGGTTTACTTTAAACAAGAAAACGTGTCGCTTTTACAAAAAAGTCCCAAATTGCTTAATTCTTTTGTAGAGTGTATATACCTAAATGAGCAGAGATATTGTCTCAAGGCTGCTGGTTTGATAAAATTCCCTGGTAATTCCCCAAACCCAATGCCAAAACGTGACGTTTGTTGATATTATACACTCTCCACAGAAATCTCCATGGGGGCAGCCATTTTTCATTCGGAACCTTTAAAATGGTTCAGATATGGCGGACAGGCCGAGATTAGATGCGTAGAATCTGTCGAGGTTTGCCGAATGATATCATCGATGATATAGATACCCTGGATTAGATAGATCATGGACTAGTGTCATATGATAATATATCATCAGTGATATTAGAAACCATGGATAAGATTGATATACATTTTGTATCACTACTCAGGGGCGGATCTAGGAATTTTGAAAAGGGGGGGGGGGCGCTGCAAAATGATGGCATTGAGTCGATGGTTTGAGTCATTTGGGATCCCTACAACGGGTTGGGAACGGACATATTTGAGTCTGAGAAAAGGCACTTTCAGCAGTAAAAAAGGGCACTGTCGAAAATTAGGGGGGGGGGGGCGTCCCTCGCGCCCCCCATTGAACCCGCCTCTGCTACTCGCACATGCAATACCAGATACATTACGATGTTCTGGTGTGATGACACATACGAAGCTAATCTAACAACATTAGATTTATTGATTATTGACACATGTAAACATGCTCAGTTTAACTTCTTCAAGAGTCGTCTTACTGAATCAAATTCTTAGAAAACTTTATCGCAAAAATAAAAATTTACGTGTCCGTATGCGGATGGCGACTGGTCAATAAATTACGATATAGTCAAATGCTCGGATAGCCAAGTCTGTACTCATAACATTTATTATGTCACCCACTTCCAAACGACTCAATATTTGGACAATTCTTCATAATTTGGCATTTAATTTCTATTCTTCAACGGGAGAAATCTGTGAAAGCTGATGTAAGGTAGAAATGTTGAATCATACTATATTACAGTCATTTACATCATCGACAACTAGAATATATCTATTTGCGTTAAGGCTGGTGTCCCCTACTTTGTACTCTTGTGGGGGATCTCATTGAGTGAAATATATTGCATAATCGGGACTGGATGGGATGCCCTTATCATCAAAATATACGCCAGCTGATTGTGGTAGATTATAATATTTTAAAAATAAGAGTACACAGTGGAAGAAGCTGCCATATTAATAGAAATACATGGAACAGTTGTTTATGTGTCGGATAACGCACGAGGCTTGGGAAAGAAAGACTTCAGAAAAAACCCTCGACAGAAACACCTCGGCATAGCCGAAGTCGAGGACTTTATCTTGCTTATAAACTGTCTATGTTTACATGTACGTAAAATGAGAATATCCCAGAATTCCAGTAAGAAAAACCTTATATCATGTTTTCTTATGGAAAAAAACCTACCCTGGAAGAATAACACGTTACAGGTTTAAAGGAAAACTTTCAGAAGAATAACCCCAAATTTCCCTGTATATATCCAAAGCCGCTCCTGACTTTCTGACTCCAAGTTATTCCGGGCATAGAATATACCCCAAAGGGCAAAGAGATTTACCGTTATAGGTTGATAATGGTTTCGAAAAATCAAATGGCTTAGCCTAAGGTATGTTCAATTAAATTCAAGGTCATACTGTCTCAAAGAAAGGTATTTGAAGAAATGAAGTTTAGGACTGACTTCCAATTAAGAATAATTTATTTACAACTTTTAAATAATTACATATACAAAGGTATATAAACATATCCAATGGACAACTTCCAGTGGATTTCGAATCTCGAAATCCAAGACTGTTTGTATGCACTATTGTCAAAGAAGAGGTTTATGTCCAGATCCGGAGCTTCCACTGGACGGCAGTCCCATTCCAGTTGTAGATTCTTGGGTTTGATATTTGATAAGAAATTATCATTTATTCCCCACTAAAACCCCCAAGAAGAAATATCTGAAAGCCCTAACATTTTGAGAGTCTTATCAAACACTGACTGGGGAGCAAACCGCAAGGTCTTGCTCAGATTATATCGAGCTTTAATAAGATCTCAACTTGATTATGGGTGTACTGTATATGGGTCAGCCCACGAGTCTTAGCACCATACACAAGGACTTAGAATAATAGACTAGCCCTGCAGGGTTCTCCTAAAGTTGATAACTCAATTTTTATTGCACTATGCATATTTTAAATTTTGCATAAATCATTTCATTTATGGCCGTTACCGAAGGTCTTAGGCTCCTGCAGGCACAAACATAGTTCATGACATCAAACCACTCTTAGACTGGCCAAACTCCTATAGGTCCAATATGAGGGATGAGGTTGTTTTGAGTTGTTCTCGCATTGGTCATACTTTTTTAACTTACATTTTCATCTTGAAGGAGAGCCTCAACCAGAATGTGAACACTGACGGTCATATTCCTTTGGCAGTGAAGCACATTATGATTGAGTGTAAGTATCTAAATAACATAAATATCAAAATATTACCGTTGCCAGTAATTACAGAATTTATTTCCCAATTGGGTCTATATTGTAAATCTTGAGACTTTTTTAAGAGTCAGGTTTTTATTAGGGTTTCACAAATTCACACTGCGTAGCTTGTGTGAAACACTATTGTTTTTGTTAAAATTATTAGGGTTTCACACTGCGTAGCTACGAATGTTTAGATTTTTGATTTTCGATTAATCTTCGAAGATATTAGGCGCCAAATTTTGAAAATTTAAATTTTGACAAAAAACATTTTTATTTATTGATATTTTTTTATGGCGCTCTACCTATAATTAAAGGGTCATGTAATTTGAGCAAAAATATGAAAAATTTTTGTATCGATAATTCACCTTGGCCGCTATTGGCTAATTCAGTTTATGGGTTCTAGGTTAATTATTTATTGCTCGATTTGTAAACAAAGTTCATATGCTCAATGGTGCAAAGTCTCAACTTTTTTATTACCGATAAAGCTTTCTGTCAGCAGCGGAAATGACGTAATTTTGACCAAAACTACAATTTTGGCGGTTAGGTACGTCTTTTCGAAAGCAAATATTATTTTTTCAAAATAAGTAAAAAGTAAGAAGTTGCGCCATGTAAAGGCGCAAAAAAAGTCGGAAGCCGTTTTTTTAATTTCGATTTCATTTATACGCCATTTCGGTTTAAAAGTGAAAAACGGTGTAAAATTGAGCTATTTACAACCCATTCAGGCGTTTCATATTTTAAAATATTTCTTTTTGACTTCTATAAACTTGTAGCATTAATTCATACGAAGAGAATCTATCTCAAAATTAGTTTGTAATATGAGCAGTTGCCGAGAAATGGTCAATTTTGCAAGTGTCACTTTTTACGCTATTTTGCCTGTAAAAGAGTCAATTATTGGATTATCATAAAAGTGATACCATTTGATGCGTAATGTCAATTGTGACTAGGTCAAACCAATTTAACATTTTCACTATCATCGGAAATGACGTAATTTGGGCAAAAACTATATTTATAGCTTTCGAAACAAATAATTTATTCAGGTGAGTCGTATTTGTTGTTTTAATAAAAATTTTGATATTTGATTCCAATCAACTAATAGAATGAACCCATGGGATCATATAGATATCATAAAATGGTTTCTAACTTGTTCAGTTGCGGAGAAATAGGCGATTTTCAACAGGTCACTTTTCAAGGTTTTAGGTCCATAAAAGTGTCAATTATTATTCGATTTTCATAAAATTTTCACTGTGTGATACCTAATGCCATTTACGATTTCATACAAGTAATTTAAGATTTTCATTATCACCGGAAGTAACGTCATCTTGGCGAAAACTGTATTTTTAGCCTCCAAAGCAGATATTTTATTCAAATGCGTCTGATTTGTAAGGTATTTAAAATTATGATATTTGATTCCAATCAACGCATAGATTGATCCCAAACGATCATACAGATACCAAAATATGGCTTCTAACTTGTACGGTTGCAGAGAAATAGACGATTTTCTACAAGTCACTTTTTAAGGTTTTTGGTCTATAAAAGTGGCAATTATTATTCGATTTACATAAAATGTTCACCATGTGATGCCTTATGGCATTTCTGATTTCATAAAACTAATTTAGAATTTTCTTTATCACCGGCAGTAATGTAATTTTGTCAGGATCACTTACATGTAACAAATGTATACAATGAATTGACATTGCTGGATTTGGTTGATTCTGCTTCCATTTTATTTGATGCGTGCAAAGTTTGTGCATATCTATTTATCGGTTCCATTGGTACTGGAAGCGATGAGTTCAAGGGTAACATGGCACCAAAAGTGACATAAGTTCAATGGTAACGTGGCACCAGTGAAACCCGTCATTACTGCTTCGCAGTTCTAGTTCTTCTTATTATTTTTTTTTTCCACTTGAGCATATCTCAGAAACTATTTGTCGGATCAACTCGATGTCTTCGGTTTTACTGGGAAAGTGGGTGTGACTTAGAGATTAAAGCTATTTCGAACTTTCTGTGACAATGCGAAATGTCCGAAATCACCGAAGTTGTCGTTTTTTGAAATATTGCCGTAATATTAACAATAATTGTCGGATTTTAACATTTGATACATTTTGACATAGCCTGAGACACGGCAAATAGCTACGAATGTTTAGATTTTTGATTTTCGATTAATCTTCGAAGATATTAGGCGCCAAATTTTGAAAATTTAAATTTTGACAAAAAACATTTTTATTTATGAATATTTTTTTATGGCGCTCTACCTATAATCAAAGGGTCATGTAATTTGAGCAAAAATATGAAAAAATTTTGTATCCATAATTCACCTTGGCCACTATTGGCTAATTCAGTTTATGGGTTCTAGGTTAATTATTTATTGCTCGATTTGTATAAAACAAAGTTCATATGCTCAATGGTGCAAAGTCTCAACTTTTTTATTACCGATAAAGCTTTCTGTCAGCAGCGGAAATGACGTAATTTTGACCAAAACTACAATTTTGGCGGTTAGGTACGTCTTTTCGAAAGCAAATATTATTTTTTTAAAATAAGTAAAAAGTAAGAAGTTGCGCCATGTAAAGGCGCAAAAAAAGTCGGAAGCCGTTTTTTTAATTTAGATTTCATTTTTGCGCCATTTCGATTTAAAGGTGAAAAACGGTGTAAAATTGAGCTATTTACAACCCATTCAGGCGTTTCATATTTTAAAATATTTCTTTGTGACTTTCATAAACTTGTAGCATTAATTCATACGAAGAGAATCTATCTCAAAATTAGTTTGTAATATGAGCAGTTGCCGAGAAATGGTCAATTTTGCAAGTGTCACTTTTTACACTATTTTGCCCGTAAAAGAGTCAATTATTATTGGATTATCATAAAAGTGATACCATTTGATGCGTAATGTCAATTGTGACTAGGTCAAACCAATTTAACTACTTGTCGGATTGATTCGATATCTTCGGTTTTACTGGAAAAGTGGGTGTGACTTAGAGATTAATGCTATTTCGAACGTTCTGCGACAATGCGAAATGACCGAAATCGTCGAATTTGTCGATTTTTGAAATATTGCCGTAATATTAACAATAATCGTCGGATTTTAACATTGAATATATTTTGATATAGCCAGAGACAAGGCACATAGCCATGGTTCTTTAGATTTTTGATTTTCCACGAATCGTCGGAGATATTAGGCGCCAAATTTTGAAAATTTAAATTTTTACAAAAAACTTTTTTATTTATGAATATTTTAATGTGGTATTTTACCCAGGGTTAAAGAGCCATCTGATTTGACCAAAAATGGCACCATTTTTTGTCATCGTAATTTCCCTTGACCGCCATTTTTTTTGTCATTTTTTTTGTTACCGGTAAAGTTACCTTTCGGCAACGGAAGTGACGTAAATTTAGCAAAAACTACAATTTTGACAGTTCGGTACCACTTTTTGAAAGCAAATATTATTTTTTTCAATTCTGGTATGACTGAAAGTGTGTGCCCTGTAAAGGCGCAGAAAACATCGGGCTCAGTTTTTTTAATTTCGATTTCGTTTTCGGGTCATTTTGATTTAAAGGTGAAAAAATGAGCTATTTACAACCCATTCAGGCTTTTCATATTTTAAATATTTCTTTGCAACTTTCATAAACTTGTAGCATTAATCCATACGAAGAGAATCTATCTCAAAATTAGTTTGTTATATGAGCAGTGTCACTCTTTACGCTATTGTGTCTGTAAAAGAGTCAATTATACTATTCAAAAAAAGTAGGGGATATTTGATTTTTAAGTGTTATTAAAGTCACCTAATGAAACTGACGAAGAAACAAATGACAAAATGAAATGAAGTTCACATTCATCGATTTATTCCAAATGATCGTTAGACTAAGTAAGGCACAGACTGACCATTATAAGGGTAAAATGATACCCGGGGTCAAACAGCAAAGTTACCACAGCATCACAACCAAGTCAGTAACGGGTAAATCCTCCTCTGTTTGCCAAACAAGCATTGATCCGACGTGGCATACTCCTAATGAGACGTCTAAGGTCATTTTGGTCCAGATTGTCCCATTCCTGTTGCAACGCAGCAGCAAGTTCTTGGACATTGGCAGGACGTTGTTGACGTTGACGTAACCTCTGTCCAAGCATGTCCCAGACATGCTCGATGGGGGAGAGGTCGGGACTCAGTGCTGGCCAACGTAATGTGGTGATGTTCTGTTGTTGGAGGTAACCTGTAACGATCCTGGCCCTGTGACATCTTGCGTTGTCATCCTGGAAGATGAAACGGCGGCCATGACGTCGTGCGAACGGCACAACATGGACTGCCAAGATGTTGTCCCGGTAGTACTGGCCTGTAACACGCCCTGCAACAACATGTAAAGCCGTTCTTCCAGCAACAGTGATGCCTCCCCACACCATAACAGAACCACCCCCAAATCGATCATGTCTGATGACGTTAACGTCTTGGAAGCGCTCGTTTCGACGACGCCACACCCTCCTACGTCTGTCCAAAAAATCAACAGTGAACCTTGACTCATCTGAAAACATCACATTGCTCCAGCGTCGATTATCCCAGTGTTGACGATCCCTACACCAACGACGTCTTGCCTGAATGTGATGATCTCTCAAACAAGGGATCACGCGAGGACGTCGGGCGCGAAGGTGACCCCTATGCAGTCGATTCCGAATCGTCTGGCCACTCACTCTCACACCAGTGTCTGTTTGAAGACGAGCGCTGATCTGATTTGCTGTGATGACACGATTTCTCAAGGCCAAGGTACGGATAAATCGATCCTGGGCTTGAGTTGTCGCCCTTGGTCGACCTGAGCGTGGTCTGTCCTGTACAGATTGTGTATCACGGTATCTGGACCATAGCCTGCTTATGACAGACTGAGAAACATTCATCGTCCGCGCCACAACCGCCTGTGTTGTGCCGATCTGTAGCATGCCAAGGGCACGTAACCTTTCATTTTGGGTAGGCCGACGCATATCAAAATTTGTTTTCTGGTCACTAAAACAATTAAACTGATGTTTCCACCCTGGAATTCAATGCCACAATGACTGTAACATTCAAAGTCAGAGTCGTGCAAATCTTGGGTTGGACCCCCATGATGATCCCAAGCATCACCTGCATTCCATGCGGTAGCTATTGGTGCGTTTGGGCGTCACATGTAACTGGAAATGTTTCTTCTGTTAGGTTCCTTAGTGACTTTTTTCGTAGTCATTTGCATATTTTAGTATTATGCCCCCAAAATCAAATATCCCCTACTTTTTTTGAATAGTATATTATTGGATTTTCATAAAAGTGACACCATTTGATGCGTAATGTCAATTGTGACTAGTTCAACTCAATTTAACATTTTCCATGTCACCGGAAATGACGAAATTTGGGCAAAAACTGTATTTATAGCCTTAGAAACAAATAATTTATTGAAATGAGTCGTATTTGTTGTTTGTTTAAAATTTTGATATTTGATTCTAATCAACTAATAGAGTGAACCCATACGATCATATAGATATCACAAAATGGTTTCTAACTTGTTCAGTTGCGGAGGAATAGGCAATTTTCAACAGGTCACTTTTCAAGGTTTTTTGTCCATAAAAGTGTTAATTATTATTCGATTTTCATGAAATTTTCACTATGTGATACCTAATGCCATTTACGATTTCATACAAGTAATTTAAGATTTTCATTATCACCGGAAGTAACGTCATTTTGTCAAAAACTGTATTTTTAGCCCTCAAAACAGATATTTTATTCAAATGAGTCTGGGTTGTTATGTTTTTAAAATTATGATATTTGATTCCAATCACCAAATAGAATGAACCCATACGATCATACAGATACCAGAAAATGGTTTCTAACTTTTACGGTTGCAGAGAAATAGACGGTTTTCTACAAGTCACTTTTTAAGCTTTTGGGTCTATAAAAGTGGCAATTATTATTCGACGTACATAAAATTTTCACCATGTGATGCCTTATGCCATTTCTGATTTCATAAAACTAATTGAACATTTTCATTATCACCGGAAGTACTGTACACTTACATGTAACAAATGTATAAAATGAATTGATATTGCTGGATTTGGTTGATTCGACGTCCATTTTATTTGATGTGTGCAATGATTAGGTGGAAACCTGTTTAATGGTTTCATTGGTACCGGAAGTGAAATATGTTTAGGGTAACGTGGCACCGGTGAAACCCGTCATTACTGCATCGCAGTTCTAGTTATAATTGTTTTTAGTTGTATATATCTATCATTTTAATTGTATATATATATCTATCATTTTATTTTCTATTTTAAATATTTATATGCATAGTTCTATTTATTCTTAATTTCAAAACGTCTGTATTTGTTTTATATGCATCTAAATTTATTTTGTTGCGATATATTTTAGTCTGTCTCATTTTTCACCATATGTTTGGCGCAATATAGCCCGATCGAGATTGACGTGCTATGAAACTCCATCTTAAAATGTTCGCGAAATCTAATTAATGGACCCTTTTTGATATTTTCCTAAAAATGCAAATTACAGACCTTTACTTTAAATGTCACATAATAATAGGCCATGAGTGCCAAAATGGATTGAAAATACAATAAAAAGTATCTTAGTTATATTTAATGTTCAAGGCAATGTCCTTTACTGAATGTGCATGCCCTGTCGTAAAGTTATTAATTCACAGCTTTAGGTTTGTCTTGACAATGATATTATGTTTAATACTATGCTAGCAGGGTTTAAATTGAATTGTTTACAATGTTGAACTGGGTTACTCGTACACCAGGCATTATCATACTTTCTAGCACTTATGTGCAAATTACCTTGTATACCTTACATAATGCACTCTTATTATTCTCCATATAAAAGAATTTTCATTCAAAAATATAATTGAAAAAAGGCAATATGAATTCTATCCTAAAGCAAATGATTTACAAGTATTAGGACATTAGAGTGCGGCAAGTTTATGTAAAATGTAATAAAATAGATCTAAATCTATAAGGAGAAAATTACAAATTATAAACAAATTTAATTGAAAAATAAAAATATCTTTTATAACCAATTATAAATATACCAGTTTATATTATACTGTACAATTATTAACAAATTTTAACAACATAAACAAATTTTAACAACATTTCTGAATACATTTATATAAACATCAGCTGCCTATCTTCTCTAGATTATCTGTAGGAAAGAAGAAAAAAGCATAAAATATTAAACTGCATAGACATTACAATGAACCATGAAATAATAAAAAAACATGAACCATGAAATAATAAAAAAACAAACTACCCGGATCGTAACTAGCTCAAAACAACGAGGGTGGGTGGGAAGTACTGTAAAATTGACGGACAACGTATATCTATTGTTTTTGTGGTCGACAATTTTTTCACAGGGTGGGGTGGGGTGAGGGCTACACTTTTTGCGGAGGGGGGGGGCTGAAACTACCTATTAATGTATTATTATGCTAAAAATTACACAAAATCAAATTATCAATAGAATCTTATGCCAAAAATTACACAAATCCAATTATTAATCTATGATTATGCTAAATATTACACAAATCAAACTATTAATGTATTATTATGCTAAAAACAACCAAATCTATTATTATGCTCAAAATTACACAAATCAAACTATTTATCTTTTGTTTAATATACACTCAGCATTAATTAAGTAATTACAGGGCTAATTAATATCTGGTCTGTTTTTATTACAATAATTCAATTGCACTGAGAGCCCTTAGAAATGGGAGAAAAGTCACAAAGGCGGCCCTAAGTATAAATTAAGAATCCAACCCATGATTTACATTGTTAACACTCAGCAAGCCTGGAAATAACTTTCAAATGCCAGGCTGGATGAACATTCTACCACTACCAGACAGTTTAAATTTTCGGTCGGACATAATATTCTGACATTTGGGTTGGCACAAAGTCTATCACGATCTATTCTGTTGACTGATATCTTTTGCAATCCACATATAAACCAAGACAGTTTTGCATAGTTTTCGTTTGTTCCACGAAATTGGTTTTGATTTGTCACGGATATAAGGGGGATCACGTGGCTAAGTGAGTAAGACGCTGGCACGCTAGTCTGGAGGTCGAGTGTTCGATCCCTGCATTGGCCGAGAAAGTACATTTAGATTTTCCCGCGTGGTTTCTCCTTGTCAGTGATGCAGGAAGGAGGGCCTGACAAGGACAGCTGTCTAGTCTTTCGGATGGAATGAAAAACCAAGGTCCCGTGTACACATTGGCGTGCACGTAAAAGATCCCTTGGCAGTTGGAATTCGATATAAGAGTAGGCCGTAGCGCTGCTGCCCGAGCAAAATTTCCCTCATAGCCCAGGTTAGGAGCAGAACAGTAGGACGATAAACCCCATTTCATTTCATTTCATTTCATTTTGTCACAGATATAAAAATTGTTACCCATTAAAATGCCTCGTATTTCACGATGCTTGGGGCAGATAAATGTCTTAATTTGTCGGTCGGGAAACGCAGGATGCTATTTTATCTCAGGAATCAAACAAGAACACGATGTTTAATGAATGAATAATTGGGTCATGCTTCCTGCGGATTTAAAATACACACCACTCATTAACTATTTGTTGTGTGATTAATAAATAAAGCATGATCGAGGCTAGAGTTATTAACTGTTCATTACAATATAAATCATGAATTCATCGGCACCGATCATCCGATGATATAGCTTCCCGTCTTTTTTTGATTATCAGTTTTAATAAATGGTTTGAAAAGCCTAACGTAAACCTTTACAAATGTGACTTGGATTTAAAAATATTTTCGAACCCTCTGGACAAGTAAAATAGGATGTAATGGATAATTTACACAACAGGTAGGGCACTTAAACATCTAATACTTAGAATAAGGCTATTATTTATTTTCTGGAGCTGTCAAGCCAGCAAGAGAGTTATTGTCCCTTTAATGAGTCCCCAATATTAACTTTTTTCCTTCTGCAAACTAGAACATTGTTTTTAAGCATTAGAAAAATAAATAAAGGTGTTTGAAGTATATCTAGATAAGGTACATTTCCTATTTAGTGTAAATGGGCATGTTAATTGAGTAAAAGGCACCATTCTTATGTAAACAATGCACGTCCATTGAGCCTACGATTACAGAGTTATTAGAAGACTTTCGTAATACTCTGTGAAACAGATTGCACTAGGATCTGGAAGAATTGTTATATAACCCGAGTTATGGATGATGTGAGGGATAGTCAATGAAACGGTCTGTTACGTCGAATTTTTGGCATAAGGTGCACGTAACTGTAGGTAACAAAATAGAAACATCAATGCGGATTGGTTTATCGAATGTTTGACGTCATAGGGTCAAAAGCCACTCGTATGACCTCTGGCGCGACCTTCCACTACAACCGGTCAGATCTTCATCGAAAGTATAAAAAAACGAGACGAAATATAGATCTGTATTTTAATCAGATTGTTGAAAACAATACAAATCTTGACCAATTTCCCATTTTATTTTGCCCTCGCGAATCTTAAATATAAATCCTGTTTATAATGTATGGATAATTATTTTACTACGGTTTACGAACATGCAAGAAATCAACAAGAAGCCTATATTCTAAATATACAGGAATGCGTTTAACCGAAATATGTAATAAAAGGTTCTATGGTGAAATACATACAACCAAATTACACCATTCCCCGTCAACAGCTAATGGACTCCATTATACGTATCGGCATTGGATTTATTGAGAAAATATCAAATCCCTAAAGCGTGACATAGTATAAATTCCAAAACAATGAATGTTTTATTTCGAAAGATTTCCTTGAATATATAGACAAAAATCGGTTAATTTTAGTATTTGGCACCTACGATAAATTTACTACGCCTGTCTTCGAGAAACTGCATTTTTGAACCATGATCTGGTTTTCCGTAGTTTTTTCTGGTTATGACCGTGTATCCATTGAGTGTTAGATTTCAAATTATAGAGCTGCTCCCACTTGCCAACATTATCTTTATATCTGGGAATGGAATTCCGAGTCTACAGAAGCAAGCCGACTTGGCTGATTGACTACGGTGACATTTTTCAAATAAAAAACTAATACTATGGATTGAAAGACTTTCATGTGCATTTTCCAATTGTGGGCTGTGACATACAAGTTATAGAATATAGAGCTACCATAGCAAGTTTTACCTGACAAGTTGCGGTATTCGATTGGACTTTGTCTGTGTCCGAGCAGTTATTTCCAGGTTAACAGGCCTTAAGATACTCATATTACATTCTCTTTTTTTTTTAGCTTTAGTTACAGGTAATAAATTCGCTTTTTTTTTTTAGCTCCCTTCCTATCCAAGTGGCATATTTATGGAGCTTAAACAGAGTCATGCGAACTTTGCACAAATGTAGAAAGACATTCCTATTTTAAGATTGTTGATGGAGTTTATAATTTATAAATAGATAAGACATCTTACCAATGACAGTTGTATATATCTGGTGTAAATATTCTCTAGTATTACTGTCACTTCTATTACCAACTGATACAGTCAGATCAAAGTCGGGTCCATACATAGAGAAATACTGTTAAAATAGAAATGAAATCACACAATTTAATACAAATAAAATATAGTACCTAAACAAATGTTTGTGGACTTCACCTCTCCAATGTGCCGAAGTGATGATGAGTTCCAAAAGTTGTTCATCCTGAATGGAATCATGCACAGAGATGGATTAACCATGGACCTTATAATACATTGTATTATAAGGTCTATGGTTTAACCTCGTGCAAGTCTATGGATTAACCTAGTGCAAAGCCTGTAGGTAAGTTTTTAAGGGATTAAAAATGCTGATTGTCATTGAATGGATTTTCCATCACTTGCGATCTACAATTTGGAGAATGGTGAATCTGTAAAAGCAATATCAGCACCCAAATGGTTTAATTTCATGCAGTTTTTACAAAGTTAGGATAAATTAAAAACTTCGCAGCATACACCATCCCCTGCAGATGATATAAACAAGACATTGCCACCAATACATTACATGTTTGGTCAAATCTTTTGATGGACCTCTTTTTAATCTGATTGAATCCAAGCCAAGAGATTACCTGGTGTTAATATTTTGGTATGTTTTCTTAATTAAATGATCAATTTGAGTGAAGAATACATATAAATATTGAAACTGTTGCTCCTAGGTTAATTTGGCACTGAGCGTGCCATGACATTAGTATTACAACTGCCATTAGGCCAAGAAAAAAAAAATACCTGAGAAAATAAAATAAATTGGGTCAGTCGGGTAAGTTTTTTTTAATTTATGTATGCAAGATATGAAATGGAAACCTGGGCAACAAAATTGAAAGATATTTTGTACTGGTTAAGTAATATTTAATAATAATATTTATTATTTAACGCCAATTACATCAACATCGATCTCAATAGGTGGTACAACATGAAGTGAAAAAACAACAAAATATCAAAGAACATCATGAAAAAAAAAGATGTAGGTATACAAAGAACATTTACGTTAAAGAGTAGATCACAATTAAAATAATTAACTCAGAAAAGAGTCTAAGAACAAAACAAATACAAAAATTGCATTCTATATTTGGATATTGTGATAAAAACTGAGTAATTAACAAAACAGCTTGATTTTGTTGTCCAAGCAGTAACAAAAACATGTGAAATCCAATCATTTTTTAATTATCAAACAAATATTTGTTTATACTATCCATTAGAAAGTCCGGGCTTCAGTGTTTTCAATATCCTGGTGTTATTGTATACACCTTTAACAGATACATGAAACCTGACAACATTCTTATTAAAAAGATAAGATGTCATAGATGTTATTATAGTGTAGTACAGTAACCATAGAAACAATATCAGATAATGAAATAAGTATACAATATCATATAATTACCCAAGCATGTCACAAATAATGAAGTATATATATATACATATAAAAATAAAAATCAATTTAGTAAAGTTAAAGGACATCTAACATAAAATTCATCTTTCTTAGACCAAAAGCAAATTATTGTTTAGTAATATTATGTAAATACAATACAATGATTAAACTTTTTTAAAATCATAATTTGAATATTCTTTATCAGTAAAATAGTCAGTAACAGTCAGAAATACCAAGAACCAATTGATATTGATATGTAGAAAGCATGAATGTTGAGAAATGAAATTACAAAATTAAAACAAAAGGCCCATGGAATTTCATCTCTTATTAGATAAAGTCTCTGATCGTCATTATAAGGGATTTTTAAGCACTTGCAAACTACAATATTGTGACAGTTGAATCTTTAAAGCCGCTGGTCATCATTTGAGAGATTTTGATAATGAATTAGGTTGCCAGGCAACAAAACATACGCCCACAGCAGCTAAGTCGTCAGAGCAGTCCACAAAGCACAAGGGTTGTCACATATTTTTTTCTTTTGTCTGTACTGAAAGCATTTACAAGACACTAAAAACTGATTAAGAGTAACAACCTATTAGGTAATTAACAGAAATCATTAGAATTTAGCTGTTCAAAGCAATCTGAAAATCAATGATTCTATTCGTCTCAAGACCTTAAACATTGAAAGCTTATGTGAATTTAAAGTCAATTGTATGATACCTTTAGTCACTAAAGTGTCCACAAGATTTTCAAAGTGATCAAGTTTGAATGACAATAACTCTGTCAAAAAAGTATCAGAAATTGTTAAAATATGCTTTTTCGTCTGAAGCCCTTAATCACTGTGTATAAATTGGATATCAAATTTAGCCTCTAGATCTTCCCCGGAAAGACAGACGGGGGTGAAGACAATATAAGGCAATGGGCATATAAAAAGAAATAGCATTCCAAAATGGTTCAATTATGCACATGTATATAAGGTTTAATTACATATATACAAAGATATGGTTAATTGAAAATTTGTCAACATTCAACATCTTCTGCAGACGATGTAAACATATGGTCAAACAAGACAGTGCTACCTATAAATTTTGTTAAAATATTTGACTGTCCTACATTTAATCCGATATACGCTGGGACATCATCTACGATTGATTTTTTGATTTTATTTTCTTAATTAAATGTTAAATAATTAATCTGTGTATACTTTAGCATAAATTAAAGTAGCTACGTCTCTAACTCAGTATCATCCAAAATCTTCAACATCGAAAACACGAATTATTTGTCAATTTAAATCAACATTGGTGTTGTTATCGTATCTTGAAAAGATGGGCTTCTGATATCCAATATTTAAGACAAAATAAACATTTTACCATTGGTACACGGATCATGTACCTAAATGCGTTTCAGTGCAATTTGTAATAAGGGACTCGAAGAACGAGGCTAGACATATTCCACAAGTCATGTCAAACGGCGAAGCCATATTCTTATCTGGAGAGCATGCGCAATAAATACTATCGGCGTAGACTGGAATAACCAGACGCTAGAGATAGCCATTCGATTGACACTTCTGGCGTATTTCGCCTAAAATAACTGATTTGAAATTAGAGTAAAAACGGAAACGATTGAATATAAATCAGTTTATATACATGCATATTACATTATTATATGCGTTGCGACCCATTTGTGTCAATTTCTAGGTCCCAAATATTGGCGATTTAGCTCCTTTAAGAGAGGAAAAATTAGGTTTGCAAATGTTGATCAGTGGCTTAACACAGAATATCAGACCCCAAAATGTTCAGTTCTGTTTAGTATTTACAAAGATATGACAAATTGAAAATTTGTCAAAATTCGACATCCTCTGCTGACAATACATAAACTGGATATGGTCAAACTCAAAACATGCAGATACCATTTATAAAATTTGCTAACATCTGTTGATGGACCTCTTTTAATCCAATTGAATCCAAGCTGGGGATTATCCACCCTCGATATTTTGATTTTGTTTTTTTAATTATTTGTTAAATAACCAATTTGTGTACTTTTTAGTATGGGTTAACCCTTTCATTGAATCTACCCGGTAGTACCGGGTATTATAAAATGTCGGTAAAATACGCGTACCCGGTATTACCGTGTACTCAGTAAAGCCCTCGCTAAAATTAGTACCGTAACTGCAAGTGCCATCTATTGTATTTTCTATACACTAGAACATATTTCCATGTGTTTCAAATGGTGGAGTGCATAGTGACAACGTAGACGATGCACTCTTGACGAAATCGTGAATGACGTCTTGCTGACCAACACGTGGACAATTTCGTGGCGGGTGATACACATAATTCATTTCCAGTTAGTTGATAATGATAGTAGTCAGGACAGTGATTGGTATTATGAAGTGTGTGATTTGTTGCGCGACGTTCCGCCCATGGCTAGCTATGTCTCCCGTGCATGATGAACAAGCCCAATGTGAACAGTAGATTCTTACAATAATTCTGATGTTGATAATAATGCTGGCCTGCTGGATCGTAAAAGACGTAGGCAATTCCTGAGTCCCGTACGTGTAGATCTATTGACTGACTATATTGATAATGATATGGGACTTGGGGATGAAAGTGAAAGTAAAAACAAGGTATTGCAATCCGCACGTGGTCATGGCAGCGGGAGACGTAATGCGCATGTTCGCGGTGGCATTGCTCATGGCTGCTATTGATATTTTTGTTCATTTTATATATCTTTATCAAAATCCAGTGAAAAAAACAATATCTCATAAGTATTTCATGGAGACAAATTCGTTTTCGTGTTAGCTTTAGTGAGAAATGGGAATCCGAAATGGCCGCCATGACGTCACGTGACTACATTATTATGCAAATTTCTAAAATTCTATTTTTTCCTCATGCCCATCCCAACAGACAAAAAGATTTTTCATAAAAGCTTTGATAAGTACTGTTTGGCATTCAGTTCCAACCCCCCTTTTTTCCTCAAAAAAGGGTCTAGCACAGGCAGTGGATTTACGTCTAGCATTGAAAGGGTTAAGCTGTGAAAAATTAGATAGTGTCTGAAATTTTACAAACGAGAGAATATGAATGCCTACAGAGTTTAACTGAAGAAGTCCAAAAAAAGTTTAACTGGAAGATGAACAGATTAAAACCTTAAGGTCAACTCTGCAGTCAAACATCTGCAATCTCACAACTTCACATCTGATGACTACTTCAGTTGTTTGCAGTCATTAAGATTTGGTTGCTTGGTTTGAGCTGTAAGGTTCAAATAAAAAGTATGAATCTAAGGCTACACAAAATAAATGTCTTGTTTCTCGGGCAACTGACAGCTGAAACTATAGGGGGCGGAGGGCGGGTTATTTTTTTTTTTACCTCATTTCTGGCTAGAGAATGGTGCAAAATAAAATTTGGCTATTGTTGAAAATTGTTGGGGCGGGAGGGCGGCCTTGTATTTTTTTTTTTTTGAATGAGAAAGTCATTACTCGTCTACGGTTTTGCTTTCAGTTATATATTATACATACTTAGAACATAAACCCAAAAATCAAGTCTACTCAAACACTGACTGAAAGGAAAATAATTTTCCATATTTAATTCACGTAATGTAGCTTACTAATGGTAATGGTGACAACCATAATTAAAATTGGTTTAAAATAAAATTCCGTACGACTATTAATAGACGTCCATAATAACGACAATATTTTAAAGAGTAAGCCTCTGTCAGCATGTGTATCAAAAATAATCATCACGGTAAACGACACTTAGATCTAAATCTAGTATCGCTGGTTTATAATGATTGACCTAATTCCAACCAATGCATGTCACGTGTCATCGGGATTCGGGAAATGACTGTTTCTCAGGATATTCGGTGTGTTTCTCAGGATATTCAGTGTTCTATCTGGGGTTTATATCGAATGACTATTTAAATTTAACTAACAACTGGTCAGTAAACCCATCAAATGTGTAATCCAATTATTATTTTCCGGATTATCAAAACTATCGTTAAATGTGCTAATGACCCAGATTCTGACTAAGGTATGGTGACTATCATCGTATCGTATTCGTAGCCACAAGTTATAATAATTAACCTGTTCTACGATTCATTGTTTTATAAGTAGGATTTTTTCAAACATGGACCGACTGAAGCCGGTAATAATGAGCCGATTAAGATCGAATGATTGAAATACATTGCATTGTTGTCAATAACTTTCGGTGTTTAACACGAATCAAATTCTAGTTCACAAGGGGAGGTAATTAAAATCACGTGATACAAAAATGGAGGTTCTTTCGATAGCAATAAAAAAGACCCGTAAATGAGCGTTTGCATCTAAATCAGTTTAATACATTTGAATGGATATTCACGTATGGGGCATGTAGATACATGCGGCATATTCTTTTTATGACTTGCTTATCGATGTTCGGGCGGGCGTTACATATTTTTTATTTTTCATCAAGACTAATAAATAGGCCGCACGCGCAACCAATTTTGCGTGCGGGCGGTGCCCGAGAAACAACTTATTTTATTTGTGTTGCCTAATCTAAAAACTTCAATATGTTGAGTGTGCCAATATAATTACCTTATGATCTGGTATATCATGTGATATTTCTCTATTGATAGCAATACTTGTTAAATATGTCCAACATTTAGCAGTGTTTATAAAATTATATCCACCTGAAAAAAATAGGTTGCCAGGTAACAAAACATACACCAAGAGTAGCTACAGCATCCATACAATCCATAAAGGTTCTTGCATTGCATTGCCCTTTTTATAGGTACATGTAACTAGAGCATTTACAAGAAACTAAAATGTAATCCATAGCAATAACTCTGAAATAATAAAAAATATAAATTTCAAGTCAGTCAGATTATAACTTTAGCTTCTAGTGTTTCCACACTAGGTTATTTTAGGACAAACTGGTATATCTTTATTTCATCAAATAGTCAGTGTCAGTGTCAGTGGGGGCAACTGGGGGATTATAATGTTGGAAAAAAACTGTTATTATGAATGTTACCTCCTCCAAGTAGAACCAGTGGTTTATTTAAGGACATGATGTATTGTATGCACTGGCCAAGAGAAGAGGGTGATAAGTTGAAAGACTGCATGGGATCACCTTCTAGACCATCTGCTCCACACTGACATACAACAGCTTCTGGTTTAAATACTTCTTTAACTTTACACATTATTCTAATGAAAAACAAATTAAACAGCTTAATATTTACTTCAACCAATGAGCAAGTAAAAATCATAAATTTGACAAGTTTTAAGATTTCATATTGCCTATTGGTTGGTGCAGAGTGTCTTAAAAATTATTCTGATAGTTGAACTGTTCAGGAAAATTGGTCTGCATACAATTTAGGAGACAAATTCTATTTGCAGATAAATATAAACATTAATAGCAGGTGATGACTGCCCCCTTACCCTTACAGGTAGCTTGGAGAGAAATAATAAATTGGGAAACTGTTCAGAAAGATCGTTCTGCATGAAATTTCTGAAACAAATTCTATTGGCTGATAAATATAAACATTATATCACCCCTCCCCCCCCACAGGTGGTTGTGAATATAAAAATTAATGACATTCACTAAGTTTGCTCATAGCACACATATAACTATATACAGATAGCTCTGTTAGATCTTCGAATTACATAAATTTAGTTAAAATAATAATTTTACCAATACCTATAAAATATACTATAGAATTCTTCATCTTTAAGACCATCCAATAAAGGAACATTTACACTATAATATTTGCCTTTACTATAACCCCTTTCTTCACATGAACCAGTACCTATAAAAAAAATTGATATTAAAAAAACATTAACCAGCGGCTGCCAGGCAGGATACGCCTACATTTTCGAGAGATGGATAGAGAACAAGCTAACAAGAAAGTGATTTTTCCTACAATCAAGGGCCATAATTCAGGAAATTACAATTCGATATGCGCATATATCGAAAGGAACTGAGATCTTTGTGTTATAAACTTACATTTCAAGTTTCAACAAAATCGGATAAAAATTGTGACCTCTATAGGGTCCACAACCTTGATATACCATATTTTTACGCTATTTGAGAACGAACGGCGGCCATGTTGTCTGTCAATTTTGGGGCGATTTTCACAAAATTCAAACTCAACTGTCCTTAGGGTGGAACGGTAATATAATAATACGTTTTTTTAAATCGGATAAAAATTATGACCTCTAATGGGTCTGCAAGCTAAAAACATGATTTTTCGTACAATCAGGGGCCATAATTCAGGAAGTTACGGTCTGATATGGGCAAATATTGAAAGGCACCGAGATCTTTGGGTTATAAACTTATATTTCAAGTTTCAACAAAATCGGATAAAAATTGTGACCTCTATAGGGTCCACAACCTCAATATACCATATTTTTATGCTATTTGAGAATGAACGGCGGCCATTTTGTCAGTCAATTTTGGGCCGATTTTCATGAAATTCAAACTCAGTCGTCCTTAGGGTGTAACGGTGATATAATAATAAGTTTTTTTAAATCGGATAAAAATTATGACCTCTATAGGGTCCACAAGCTAAAAACGCGATTTTTCGTACAATCAGGGGCCATAATTCAGGAAATTACGGTCCGATATGCGCGAATATCGAAAGGAACCGAGATCTTTGGGTTATAGACTTACATTTCAAGTTTCAACAAAATCGGATAAAAATTGTGACCTCTATAGGGTCCACAACCTTGATATACCATTTTCTTACGCTATTTGAGAACGAACGGCGGCCATTTTGTCTGTCAATTTTAGGCCAATTTTCACGAAATTCGATTTCAGTCTTCCCTAGGGTGTAACGGTGATATAAAAATACGTTTTTTTAAATCGGGTAAAAATTATGACTTCTATAGGGTCCACAAGCTAAAAACGTGATTTTTCGTACAATCAGGGGTAAGAATTCAGGAAGTTACGGTCCGATATGCACGAATATCGAAAGGAACCGAGATCTTTGGGTTATAAACTTACATTTCAAGTTTCAACAAAATCGGATAAAAATTGTGACCTCTATAGGGTCCACAACCTTGATATACCATATTCTTACGCTATTTGGTCTGTCAATTTTGGGCAGATTTTCACGAAATTCGAATTCAGTCATCCTCAGGGTGTAACGGTGATATAGTAGAACGGTTTTTTAAATCGGATAAAAATTATGACTTCTATAGGGTACACAAGCTAAAAACGTGATTTTTCGTACAATCAGGGGCCATAATTCAGGAAGTTACGGTCCGATATGCACGAATATCGAAAGGAACCGAGATCTTTGGGTTATAAACTTACATTTCAAGTTTCAACAAAATCGGATAAAAATTGTGACCTCTATAGGGTCCACAAGCTAAAAACGTGATATGTCGTACAAACAGGGGCCATAATCAATGAAGTTTCGATCCGATACATGCTAATATCGAAAGCAGCCGAGATCTTTTGGGGATAAACCTATATTTCAAGTTTCGTTGAAATCGGATAAGAATTGTGACCTGTAGAGAGTCCACAAACAATTGTGGACGGACGTCCGGACGGACAGGGGCGACGGCATAATACGTCCACATGAAAATGTGGGCGTATAAAAACATACCAGGTACATGGAAATTTGTGTTAAGCAAAATTTTGTTAAACCAAATCATTTAGTAAATTCTAAGGGCCAGAGCAAAAATAGTAAAGTTTTTCTTATAATCAGTTTAGTCTATTTATCTTATTTGTATATTTAATTTGTGAACCATATTTTATAAAGCTTGTGGAAGTTGTGTGATATAAAAATGTACATATTGCTTGCCGTAACTATCATTTGTAAACCCCTGTCCAGATTCAGATCGTTAAGCTAAAAACTAACCTGGAAAGAATCCGGGAGAATATTTATGAAAGGAAAGTGTTAAAACTTTATTAGTACAACAAAAAGCTTCTTCAACGCCTGAAATTCATAATAAACAACTTTAAAACAATGTGTTATCTAAACACAACGGTTCCAGGCAACAAATATATGATATGATCACCACCAGTATCTTGATTGGGAAACATGCCTAAATTTAGTTGATGGACAAGACTGCATTTTGATATGTCCATCTGACTGTCAGTTAATCCACATATAGGTTGCCAGGCAACAAAACATATGCCCACAGCAGCTAAATCGTCCGAGCCGGTCAACAAGGGTTGTCGCATATTTAATCTTTTGTATGTACAAGATAATTTCATACAGATCAGATTATAATTTTCGTCCTTTGAGGGTTCACAAGGTGCTACAAACTGAAACAAGGGACTTAACTCTGGAAGTAATATACAAAAATTGTTGAAGTTCAACAGCGTTTTTCGTTTTACTTATTTAAATAATGCATATAAATTTCATATATGTATCAGATGATGACTTATAGCTCGAGCATTCACATTCTTCAACAATGTGAAACAAGGCCTATACCTCGAGAAGTAATTATTGGAAATTGCTGAAATTCAATAGCTATTTCATTTCACTAATTTAAACGATACATATAAATTTCATACAAATCGGATGATACCCTTCATCATTCGAGCATTCACAAGGTTCAACAAAGTTAAACAAGGACGATAACTCTTGAAGTAATTATTGGAAATTGCTGAAATTCAATAGGCGTACAGATCGGATGATAACTTTTGTCGTTAAGAGTGTTCATAGGGTTCTTCAAAGATAAACAAGGGCCATAACTCTTAGACATAATTAACGGAAATTGCTGAAATTCAATGGGATTCTTCGTTCCATTAATTTAAATAATGCACATAAATTTCATACAGATCGAATGATAATTTTTGTCATTAGAGCGTTCACAAAATAAAATAAAGTGAAACCAGGGCAATAACTCCAGAAGAAATTAACAGAAATTAAATAGGCTTCTTCATCTCATTAATGTAAACAACATATATTAATTTCAAAACAATCACTTAATAAATGTAGTCTGTAGAGTTTTCACAAGAAATGGAGTTTGTATTAGTGAACAAACCAACTTTCGCTCAATCCTTCGATACAAGAATTTAACAGTACAGAGTTTGCCTCATCACTAGTAGTACAACACATTATAGATCAATCAAATTGTATGGTAATTTTAGTTTAGCCCCTATAAATAAATTTAAAAATAATAAAGTATATTTACCGTCTCCATGGTGTAAATCTAAATCTATATAAAGCACCCGGTCAAACTTTTGCCTCAACTTTAATATCCCTAATACCACATCATTTATATAACAGAAACCTGAAGCTGAATCTCTGAAACATAAGAATATGGACAATTCCATAAATTAGCAATATTAGGGTGACCCACCATAAATAAATATCTCCATATATCTCGACAATTACGCCACAATATTTATATATATGCCAAGCCTCAAATCAGTTTCACACAATTATAGTCACTAAATAAACGATCATGTTGTACTTAATAAGCTATGACCATTAATCACGTATAAATAATAGACTGAAAACTGGTTCCAAGAGTCGTCCATAACATCCAGACACTTTTGAATAAAAGATAGGTTACGTGCCCTTGTTTTGAAATTAGTCTCGCTTAACCAGTCTATCGACCATTCTACGTCTGATTGACAGGTTGGGATAATCAAGACTACTTTTTTTTACGAAACATAACAGAGAGCTAGAACAAGAAATTGCATTTACAAATAAGCACGTTAGGTAGCTCAACAATCGTTTTAAGAAGCTTGTAAAAGTAAAATGAAACTACTACTAGTATCATGTTCCTGTCTAACCCGAGTGATTCAGAGATATTATTTGTACTAAACCAAAAGATGCCGCTCTTAACGGTACAGTTAATGATAAAGCGATTTAAAAAATGAAACGAACGTAATTTCTAAATCTGCTGTAATAACCAAGAACCTTAATTTTACTGCTATTCAAAATCGTCAACAATAAATTTTTTACGGCTGTAATAGTTGATAGATTTGTAGAGAATTGCACGTGCCATGGCTATTTATAGTATCATACTGTCAGAAAGTTGGTCTCGGCACGGCGAATGTGCACGCTTCAGTGGTAGTCTCGAACTATCAGCGGTGGACTGTATTTCTGTGAGTACATGGGTCACCCTAATCATTGATATGGAGGGGGGAGGGGGGGGAGACAGTTTCTCATGCAAGGGAGATAATCAACTCTCTTTAACTAGACTTTTGCAATTCCTTTTTTCATCTGTATTTATTAAATAGCACAATTTTTATTTTGATATTTTACCTATGAGCATGATGCCAGCCACCATACCAGTTAATTGCAATATCACTTTCTCCTGATACAAGTTTCTCAGCCGCTGTAATAGTAGCACCACCTACAAGTGACGCACAGTGGAAAACTCCATCTTGTATAGGACAGTCATACACTGTAATAAAATGTTAATTTATAAATCTTATATATAGATTAACTAGTAGCCATTACTCACCCATTACCTCAATTGGAATTGAAAGAATCTATATGCAAACTAGAATATTTCTATCAACATCCCGCTATAAAAATGAACCAGGTTACAAAATCCGTGACTTATCATTTGACTCAGAACACAGAGCCTACTACAATGTTCTTGGTTACTTATGTGGTAACTTTCCTCCAACACAGGAATAGCAAAAAAAAAATGTCTGCTGTATATTTTTCATACTATTCAAAATTTTACCATACACTATCCATAACAGTACTAGGAAGCCGCAGTGGCTCAGTGAGTAAGACACTGCCTTGCTAACCAGGTCTTGGGTTCACTCCAGGTTTTAGCTGAGAATGTTTCTCAGAATTTTCCAGCATGAATCCCCCTTCCCAGTGGTGAAGGACAGTGTCTAGTCGTTCATATGGCAAAAAAAAATGAGGTCCTGTGTACACATTGGCATGCACGCAAGACAGACCATTCCCTCATAGCACACTTGTCACTGTATGACATATGTCGTTTTCATTAGCAATGTCAGTACAGAAGTATGGTGTTAAACCCTATTTCATTTTATTTCCTAGAGCTGGCTCAACTAAAAAATTGTCTTATTGTAGAACATAATAGATAAGATGACAAGCTGCAGTGAACAGTCTACCACATGGTCACAAATAGGCTATAGCTTTTTAACCATTGTGCCATTGCTCTCCTCATAATATATCACATGAATAATATAATACAAGATATTTTATTTTATTACCAAGGCCAAATTCTTCAGCTTCATCACCACATTTATCTTCTTCTGATAAATCATCTAATGTATGTAAAAACTCTATATAATTTGTAGCATGGAAACCTAATAACTCATCATCTGTAGCTTGTCGTGGTTCTACAATACTGAAACATACCAAGCAATAGTTAAATTTCAACTAAATCCTGTCCTGATCCAAATGCTTTAACTATAAAACTTTGGTTGGAAATTATGAATGACATTAATATTAAAATTTCATGTACCTCATGCAATTCAATAAACCATAAGCTTCAATCAATGAGTGAACCATATCAGCCTATAATGAGACAAGAAATAAATTTTGAAAATGAATATTAAATTTCAATATTTCTCTGCACATGTATGTGGGCTATAAAGGCCTATGTATATATAATCCTACTGAGTAACTGATTAGACTAGAGACCAGCGATTGCCAGGTAATATACGCCCACATTGTGCAAGAGAAGGCCAGAGAACAAGCTAAAAAAAAAGTGATATTTTTGTACATTAGGGGTCATAATCCAGGAGGTTACGGTCCGATATGCACGAATATTGATAGGAACAAAGATCTTTTGGATATTAACATATATTTTAAGTTTCACCAAGATCGGATAAAAATTGTGACTTCTAGCGGGTCTACAACCTTGGTATTACATACTATTACATTATTCGGTCAGGTTTTTACAAAATTCGAACTCAACCTTCACTGAGGTGTAACGGTAATTTATTTAAACCGTCTTTAAAATGGAATACATATTGTGACTTCTAGAGGGTCCACAAGCTAAAACCATTATTTTTCTAAAGTTCCGGGACCTTACCCAGGAAGTTTTTGAAAGGAAACAAGATTTTGTGATATAAACATGGCATTTTAAGTTTCATCAAAATCAAATAAAAAGTGTGACTTCTAGAGTGTCCATAACCTTGGTATTACATACCTTTAGACTATTTGCATACAAGAGCGGCCATTTTGTCTGGCTGTTTCGGTCAGATTTTTATGAAATTCAAACCCAACCTTCACTGAGGTGTAATGGTGATATAATGAAACGGTTTTTAAAATTGAATACAAATTGTGACTTCTAGAGGGTCTACAAGCCAAAACTGTGATTTTTCAAACAATCATGGGCATAATCCAGGAAGTTAATGTCCGATATGCACGACTATCGAAAGAAACTGAGATCTTTGTGATATAAACATAAATTTAAAGTTTATTCAAAATCGGATCAAAATTGTGACCTCTAGAGATTCCATAAACTTGATATGCCATACTTTTACGCTACGGTATTCTAGGAGCGGCCATTTTGTCCGGCAGTTTTGTTTCGGACTCAACCTTCATTATGGCGTAACAGTGATAAAATTAACCGTTTTTTTTAAATCGCATAAAAATTATGACCTCTAGAGGGACTACACGCTAAAAACATGATTTTTCGTACAATCAGGGTCCATATCGAATATGTGTGAATATTGAAAGGAACTGAGATCTTTGGGTTATATATTTCAAGTTTCATCAAAATCGGATAAAAATTGTACCCTCTAGAGTGGCCACAAGCAAAAAACGTGATTTTTCGTACAAGGTGATAAATTGCTAATATTTGGGACGTAGAAATTGATACTGGTCACAACATAAATATGAATGTATATAACCTGATTTAGCTACGAGAATGTAACTAAAAACGTTGAGATATACTGATGTGCTTGTTTTTAGCTACGATTGGATCAATTTCTTTATTAATGCATGTACCATCTTAAAAATAAGTTAATTTTATACTATTAGTACTTATTACACATACCCAGCCGAATCTACTGACACAACATTCATTTATCAGCAAATATTGACAATAAAGTTAATCAAGCGTTGTTTTTATCAAAATTGATACATTCATAATTATGGCGTATTACTCCTGCACAACTCTGATCAGGTTAGTTGATTGGGTATTGCACACGAGGCTCCATGTGTTAAAGACGTAAATTTAAAATGTCGGGATTTGTACCCGTGTCAGGTAGGATTTTCTGCTTAATTGTAGTTGGATGTGGCAGAAATGTTATAAATAATAACAATCAATCGTTGTTTGGATGAAAAATATTGTCAATTTTGCTAACTGAGGCTGCATGTGATTCTTGTTCGGCTTTGCTACGTGGAACTATATAGGACCATCTCTTATCTTGAAACACAGAGGATTGAGAGATGAGGTTTGTTATTTAAAACTGATTTACATTAAATCGTTCCTGTTTTTACTCTAATTTCAAATCAGTTATGTTCGGCAAAATACGGCAGAAGTCTCAATCGAATGGCAATCTCTAGTGTCTGGTTATTGCAGTCTATTCTGATAGTATTTATTGTGCATGCTCTATGACGTCACCTTCTTCGAGTCCCTTGTTACAAAATAACAAATGGCACTGAAATCCTTTATGGTAGGCCTACACAATTCGTGTACCAATAGATGGTAAAATCATGAAATGTTTATTTTGTCTTAAATATTGGATATCAGAAACCCACCTTTTCCCGGTAAGATCACAACATCAGTTGATTTAAATTGGCAAATAATTTGTGTTTTCAATGCCTGCTAATTTGATAGCCTAATTGTAAATGTTGTCAATTTCAGTTCTAAAATGTTTACAAATAAAAAATGTTTAAAGGAGGTAAATCGCTAATATTTGTGACCTAGAAAATTGACCCAAATGGGTCGCAACTCATATAATAATGTAATCTGATTGTATATAAACTGATTTACATTCAATTGTTTCCGTTTTGACTCTAATTTCAAATCAGTTATGTCCAGCAAAATACGGCATGAGTCTCAACCGAATAGCAATTTCTAGCGTCTGGTTATTCCAGTCTACGCATGCTCTCCCGATAAGATATGGCGTCACCGTTTGACATCAGTTGTGGAATATGTCTAGCCTCGTTCTTTCTGGTCACTTGTTACAAATGACGCTGAAACGCACTATACCAATGGTAAAATGTTTATTTTGTCTTAAATATTGGATATCAGAAGCCTACTTTTTCCTGGTAAGATCACAACATCAATGTTGATTTGAATTGACAAATAAATCGTATTTTCAACGTGTAAGACTTTGGATGATACTGAATTAGAGACTTAGCTACTTAAAAGGAGCTAAATCGCTAACATTTGGGACCTAGAAATTAACAAAAGTGGGTCGCAACGCATATAATACTGTAATATGAATGTATATAAACTGATTTACATTCAATGGTTTCCATTTTTACTCCAATTTCAAATCAGTTATGTTCGGCGAAATAAGCCAGCAGTCTCAAGCGAGTGCAAATTTCTAGCGTCTGGTTATTCCAGTCTACATACGACGTTTGATTTGGTGCAATGTGTCTAGCCTCGTCCCTCGAGTCTCTTGATACAACTGGGGCTGAAGCGCATTATGGTACACGATTCGTGTACCAATGGTAAAATGTTTAATTTGTCTTAAATATTGGATATCAAAAGCCCATCTTTTTCCGGTAAGATCACAACATGAATGTTGATTTAATTTGACAAATAAATCGTGTTTTCAATGTTGAAGATTTTGGATGATATTGAGTTAGAGACTTAGCTCCTTTAATCAAGCACAGGAATCTGACCTTCTATCCGTTTATATATGCATACACCATGTCGTACCAGACAATATTTTTATTAGGCCTATAGATAATATTGTCTGGTACGACATGGTGCATGCATGAACAGATTCTTGTGAATCAAGTGACGAAGTTAACAAACCCGGTTAGGTATTCTCATCAATGTGTTACATTTTTGTAAAATGTCATCACTGTGAATATAACAAATCTTTTTCTTTTCTTCATTTTTACATTCTGGATCAGGATTTCGATCCATTAATATTGTTATCGCGAGGTTGTTTTATACTACCCGCCGAATGTTTCCAGCCATATTGCGAAGGGACATAACTCTGTCCAAAAAACGGTAACTCTTCATCCGAAATCGAATAAAGCACGCCTCTCTAAGAATTTCATAAAAAAAAAAACGTCATCGTGTCATGGCATGTCTCTTTTTGTTTACAAAAAAAACACCAATTATTGTGGGCGAATTAAATAATTGATGGACCTTCTTATGCCTTCTCTACCACCATTTCCTTTATTATAGTTTTAATTGGAGAGCAGAAACATGAAATCTATGGATTCATAGCATAAGCCATAGAATTATTCTTTGTAAAATTTAGCCCCATAATGCTGCAACATTTATTTTATGCATTTATACTACTACTACCAGTGTGTCATCAGGAATCTATCTAGGAAATTATAGGCTACTAGAAGATTATTTTTTTCTGGTCTAGAAAGCATGATCTCAACATATCATTTATTGTAACAAATAGGCCTATAAAACACTGGTAATACTATTTACTCAATGTAAATTACAATTCAGTGAATGAATAGGCCTACTTATACATTATCTCAATGCATACAGAATGGACAACCCTACACTCTGGATGCATTTAGTATGTAAGAGTAAATATTATTGACACTTCAAAACACTCCCTCGACAGAAGTAGCGTAGGCTTATGATAGCGCTGCCCATCACATTTTTCATTTGGTAATAATTATGCCTAATGTATCAACTGTTCGTAACAAATGTCATGGACCGATCGATATTCTGAGGACAGGTTTAGTCCCGGCATTCATCTGAGATTAAGTTGGACTAAATCTTAAACTGATTTAAATAGGCTACAAGGACAACAAATAAAAAACAAAACTATATTAAGTAAGACTTTATTTTCTCTTTTCTGTAGGGAAATTCTAAATCTGATTTTTATCAATGTTCTGTTGGGTTTTTTCTTATATGAATACAAAATAAGTCTCATTTATTTTTTGTAAATTCAAGGTGTCTGTATTTTTGTAGCTGAATTTGTTTACATTTAGCTGTTATTTTTTATTTCATTAATTCCTTTAATATCGACATTTACAGATTCCCAATAATATCATACAGTATATAAAGATGAATAGTTTTCTATCTAAGGTACAATGTTTCCTAGTGATGTCAAACTTTACTTTTAAAATCTTGTACAAAATCTTCCTTTCAAAGCCTTCTGCATTCTCACTCACCTGCCTAAATCATAAATACATATATACAAATATATACATAGTAGAATAAATTCTTTAAAATACTTTTTCCTATAGGCATACAAACTTAGACTATATACATACAGGGCCTATAATATGTTGAGTATTCTTTGTTTACAAAACACATTAGCCTATAAAGTGCAGAAAACTGCAACATATATTAGAATTAGTTGTTAATAATCTAAACATATATGACCATGTTCTTGTTGTCCCTGGTCACAATATGATAAAGAGACTGTCTTTTGTTGAGAAAATAAGAACTTGTGTAGCACAAGAACATGATACATAGCACTGAGCAATACGATTTCTTAAAGATGCATTATGTGTAAGAGCTAAATCTGCCTATTTGAAGGTCTTTCTTTTGGCCTCAAATGTTAAATAAATTATTAATTAGACATTTATGCACATGACAAGCCAATGATTAACTCTCTAGAATCTCGGATAGTAGTGAATTTTAATGGATTGGAACATGATCGCCAATTAACAATTTAATTTAAAAACGGATAATCGAGACTTGTTTATTATGGTAGCAATGAAAATTGAAACTATGCTATTGTTATCACAACAAACATTCCTAAGCTTTGCTCAGAATAAAGTAATTTTATTGTAAGTTTCAATATATTCCCTTTGCATTATCTATGTTTGTAACTGTTATAGTGAGAACTGTCAGCTCTTTATCTACATCTTACATAATGCATCTTTAATTAAGAGCAATGCATTATCATGTAAAAAGAACAATACACAAAATGTAAGATTATCTTAATTTAGTTACACAGCAGCAAAAAAGCTTCCAATTTCTTTATAGAAATATTATATCAAATCACAATTAAACGTACAAAATTGATATATAAATTAACAAGCATTAAAAGTTTCAGCTGTAAATAGCTTACATTCCATACTATTTAAAACATTGAAAACTAAGGCTAATTAAAAAAATATATTCTGGTTTTCAGATACCGCTGCATCATATAAAAAGGGTGTGATCCATTTTAATTACTTCATTGTCATATATCCCATGGTAAAGGGAGGTAAATCTTCTCAGATATTTCCAGTTATATTCCAAAGGGCAAGTTTGCTCACTTATCAAGTATACAATGCAGATAAATATTTTTGACATAATAAATGGCACTGGACAAGTTTCAGTAATTATGCAATTGAATTCCTATAAAAAAAACAACATAAACCGATGACAGATGCAGGGAAAAATGTAAACCTTGAAATATGCTGCTAGTGAGAAATGAATTTAGTCACATGATCCTTTTGAAAAAACATCCCCACGGCATCAGATTATATTAAAGAATTGTCCGAGAACCAGAATATTTGTTTTTGTTTAGCCTAAAATTTAGTTCATTAATTTAAAAGCAAATATTCTCTTGGATTTGGGTGTTAATTTAGTTGGTGAGATGGATTATTAGTACTATAAAAGGTCCTGCTTTCTTAAGTATACATGTACATACTTCTTGAAGGTATTTACAAAGAAAGCCTTTTGAAGTAATCTACAACCAGATTACATATTTACATAATTATATATCACATCATATATTTTCAATAACAAACAATAGGTAAACTGGTTACACTTATATTTTATTTGGTTCCAGAATCCAACAACTCTAGATCAAATCAGTATTACTCACACCCAATATATGAACAAGGTCTTCTCATTTTGTGTCTCTTCAAATTGTAGACATAGAACTTTCAAAGCACAATTATTCATTAAGAATCCTTTTTTTTTCTTAAGTTCCACAATTTTAGTTGTTTATGAGTCTTAAATACTGAACATTCTATGCTTTTCAAAAATTAACACTAAATTATGGTATATTTCAATACAATAATAGAAGCAACTGAAATCCTGGATAAAGCTATAAGAACGTTATATCATGATTACTGCTACTGGATGTCTGTGTACCTGCTGTACGTCGGATTCCCCTAGTAATAGTTTGTGTGCCAGCCGTTAATGTTTGTGGGGCTGTTGAATCGTCACTTAAGAAAAAGTTCATCAAATTACGTCGGATAGGATTACCACTTTCACCTGTTTCTATCTCTGAAGTAGCAGATGTTCCTACTTCATCAGCTACAACTTTTAGTGTTATAATTGATGTACTGTAAAAAATCAGAAACAAAAGAAAACATCAAAGCCAAGAATGTTTACAAACACAAAATCTACAAACTCTTTTAAAAGTAATAACAACTGACAGTCGTGGATTCAAACTGATATACTTAAGAGTTAATAAGCCTTCTACCAATCAGACAGAGAGGGGGGGGGGGGGGGTAACATCCATGCAACACAAACTAGGTCATTTTGGGATTAACATATGGGTCAATTTTATTTCAACACTTTGCTTGTAAGTAGGGAGACCGTAGCAGTAGGAGTACCCAGACAAAACCCTACTCCTCATCACATACTCCACCAATAATAATTACTGTGATAACTACCAGTAGATTATTGAAAAACATGTTTACCGTTAACCACATACATCTGGATTAATGCGATTTAAGGAAAACTGTCCTTTGTCATTTTTATAGATGGAACTATTATTAATCCTTTGTCATGTTTTTGACATTTCCTTAGCTAATAAACAAATCCTTTTTTTGCATGAAATATTTACAAAATTCATCCTGGAAAAATAAAGTCAAATTATGAATAAATTTAGATAGTATCCCGTCATCCACCAAATTCCTATATCAATCTGTAAGCCCCTATGTAAAATTCATACCATGGACGACATATAACCAGATCTCCTCTATTGGTACCATAAATTATACCTTCACCCATTCTAGGTAACCATCTAGCAGAGTTTACACTAACATGTGTTCGTACATCAGAATCACAAGTATGGAATACATCTGTTACATGCTGTAAAACAATTTCATAAAGTCATAAATTTATCATTAAAACTGATTGATTAACAAAAAGAGACAACTACTCTCACTGTCAAATCGAAGCGGAGAATAGGGATACAGTAGGCTCCAGCACAAGCGACATTTGGAAAGACTGGGATTGATCCGTCAACCCTCTTTTCCGGGTGCAAATCCAACCTTAACAGTGGAGGCTATCCACATGGACCCGCTACTCGAATCACAGTTGTCTGTTTAATTCGTCTATTTTTTTGGCTTTTCTCCTCTATCAGTCTTAAACTTCTTTGACTGGGACTAATTATATTATCTACACTCTGGCAATATATCTTTTAAATTAGGTTATGAAACATTGGTATACTTGGCCTTAAATTCCACCCCATATTTTAGGTTATACACAAACCTCGCCAGATTCCAAACCTTGGTACAAGGCAAACATGTAAACACCACTAAAATACCAAACCCCGGTAATCCTGCCAAAAACCCAAACCCTGATGAAATTCTACTGATGGGGTCCTAACATGGTATATATAGAACCTCACTTAGTGAGATTAATCAATATGAAGAGTTCAATAAGAACGAAACTAGTAACTGCTAAACAGGGATAACTGGTCTAATCACCCATTTTATCTACTCTAACAAAAAGAGAGACATGTGAGTACAAAGTCTGTCATATTATGTTGATTAAAGAAAGTATTAATATATAGTAAAGGAAATAAATTGGATTTCATATGTTGGTGGGATGGGGGGGATTTTGCCCAAATTGAAAGGAAAGCTTGGACTGGTCAAAATCATAATGTCACAGATATTAAAATTATTTAAGTTTCAATTGTTAATTTTACCTTCATTGATTCTTCTCCAGCATGTGGTACATTTAAATTGTAGACCTGTGCTACTAACTATAACGAAAAAAAACACATTCTTCCATTAAATTTACATCACCAACATTTTAAAAGAAGGATATGGTAAAGACTGCTTCAATTCGAATTATATCTTTTTGAGCAAATAAATATATAAATTCACAAGGAGTCTACAGTTATTAAACATGTAAATCTAATTAACCATGCTTGAAACATTAAAAACATGAGATGTGCCAGAAGAACTCATGGTTTACATCCTAACATGAAGTTACATTTAATAGTGGTGATTTAATATAAGTTGTTGACCAGGCGTAGAGCTATGAACCAGAATTGAATTGAAATGAATGTACATGGGACCTCGGTTTTTTGTCCCATCCAAACAACTAGACAGCTGTCGTCAGGCCCTCCGTTCTGCATCACTGACAAGGGGGAACCACGCTGGAAAATCTGGATGAACTTTCTCGGCCAATGCAGGGATTGAACACCTGACCTCCAGACTAGCGAGCCAGTGTCATATACCCACTTAGCCACCGTGACCCCCCATGAACCAGAATTAGTATAACTCCAAAACTGGAAGTGGTAGTGCAAAGCCACCAGGCCTATGTCACTCCTCAGCTCAAGATGCCCTTATAGCCCATCTTTCCACCTCAGGGCAGCCCTAATATAGCTACTAACCCAAAACAAACAGACAAACAAGTCATAAATATATATAAAATGTATATAAAGTACAAGATAAATACATAAATAAATGAAAAATACACCCAGTTAAAAATATCATTACTTCATTCTGATATACATCAAATCATAAGCTAGTTGTCTGCTCTTTCTCGCGCGTCTTCAGATTTTATAATGTATATAAATAAGTATACATTTTTATATGTACAATAATAGATTACCATATAGATTAATTATTTTTTTGATGGCTTTTGAATATTAGACTTCGTCACTTGATGCTCTTTAAATTAACATATCAATTGAAATACAAGAATACACAACTAGAGGGACAATTACAAATTAACAGTTCACAAAAAACTGTTACTTCAGACTTAATCTCATTTGGGAAAACTAATTCAATTATTTAAGCTGACCACCTTGAAAGCATAACAGTGCAAAATTCCTAGATCACTATTTAAAAGAAGGGGCGAGGTAGAATATATTGAAGAAACCTGAGTTCACATTCAGAAAAAAGTGACCAGGGTCTCTCAGAACCACCCATGTAGAGAATGAATCAATCTTAATTACGCTTGTCCAAAGCTACAAGTTCTATGCTAACATTAAAATAATAAGTTTAATACCAACCTGATGGGTTGTAAAGACCCAGGAAAGACGTTTAGCAGCTAGACCAATCATAACATGTTCGTTTCTTGGTGATATACTCACAGATATTGCATTCGGACCTAAAAAATAAATCAATTTGAAACAACTATATTTGCATGTTGCCCGATAACAGCAGATCTCAGCAATCTATGGTCTTGTAAGACTAGATTATAAAATGAGCTTCTATTGAAGTATCTCTTAAAATATAATATTTTTCGCAGTTTGATTGTGTTTTCCATTCAATGGCTATGTATTAAGAGCACCACAAGTATCTAATCATTTTTCAAAATGTGAAAAAGAAAATAAAAATGCAGAAGTGTGAACTAACATTTCTTTACAAATCTCTACACATCCTAAGATTTGTAAGTCTCGTTTCATGTATTTTTCAAAATGTTAAAAACATTCCAAAACAGAACTTACCAAAACTTTTAGTATATAAACATTGAGCAAAGTTATAAGTTTCTAAGGAAAAGACAGCTAGTATATTATCATCAGGAAATCCTCGATGACTAGGTACAAACGTTGCTAAACGAGTTCCATCCTGAGATATATCACAACTAGCATCATTATGTAATTTACACATTCCTACTATTACATTGGATTTACCTGGAAAAACAAAATAAAAAATATCAGTTACATCTAAATTAATGACTTGGATCAAGCATTTCTGCAAAAATGAGCCTAATTAGTTAGAGATGCATAATATTTGAGACTTCAGGTAATCGAATAAACATGTTAATATTCAACAATGCAAATATTCTGCTGAAAAATATTAGGCGTAACAGATAATCATAGGCGTCCAGAAGTAACGCTAAAATTATTGTCACATATCTGTACACAACTTTTGAAATTCAATGAGAATCTTCATGATGTCACAAAAAACAACTTTACCAGGCTTCAACAAAACAAATCGTATTAAACATGCATTGTGTAAGAGCTAAATCTGCCTTTTCTAGGTATTTTTTCTGACTTTAAATATTAACATTTATTAACATCACAAGCTTTCATAAATTTGACGATGACGGAGAAAGAACTCTGTGATTTAGAAATGAAAGAAAACATCTGAATTTTGATAGACTTAATGAAAAATCCCTGCAAATTTGAAAAAGCTTTGTCATGAAACTATTATAATTTACAAGAAATCCTCATCCAGAAGACTGCAATATCCATCGACAATGACGACATATTAAATGCCAGCGCATAAAAATAACATTAACCATGTTCAAAGGCACTTACTATTTGTTAAATCGGGTACTTCATATTGCCTGAAATCCCACCATTGTATTCTATGAGATTGTGGGACTATATTATTAGCTACAGCATTTTCACCTGTTCCCATAAAAGCACCTGTAAAAGTAGATAAGTACTTGTATACATGTGATCTTCGGGAAAAATCTGACTCAATGAAATAATATTTAAAGGGCATGTACATGTAGATTTATTCTTTGGAACCTTAAACTAACACAGTTCTATAAATAGCCTTAAAATAGCCAAAAATGGGTCTAACAGCACATATTAATGTATGTAAAGTGAATTACATTCAATATTTAAATCTTTTGTTGTAATTCCTCATCAAATATGTTCTGTGAGAAACAGTCCAAATAGAACTGCTGAATTCATTCTACGTGGATTTTTTCTTTATATTTTTTTGTGTTGATCAAGACATTTTTAATTACTTCCTCGTATTGTGGTCTATGTTTTTCTTTGGTCTTTACAAATTGAACTCAAAACCATAGAGTACACAAGACTGTGTACTGATTTTAAAATGTTCATTGTGTCTTCAATATTATCATCCCATATTTTCAATTTGTGTTTTTAATTGTCAATATCATAGCTAATATTGAGTATGAGGTTTAGCTCCTTTAACTTAGTTTAAGCCGGCTATGAATATATAAAAGCATAAAACATGAAAGCAACATATCAATCAATTCAATTTGCTTTAAAACAAAATACTCTGTTTAGCAATGAATATGTATTATCAATCTGGGAACACTGCTCATGTTATTGAAATGAAAACATTATAAATAATATAAATTCCACAATGCTCAAAGTTGTGTTGGATGACCACATTGACTGTGGTAATAAAGAGCCCAATTTCCAAACATAGGTAATACTAAAATGTTATAGAGCGTGGTTTTGGATTGATGTGCAATAACCTGTTAAAAATAATGTACCGGTAACATAACCTTCCTAAAAAAAGATTATACAATAAAATTAACTAGTACCTGCTATTGCCCTATTAATGGCAGCCTGTAAAGCATCATTAGGTCTATTTATAGTATCATCTAATATAGAAGAAGAATAATGCGGATGTAGATGTATCTGTTGTAAAGAATGCCAACTTTCATCCTCAGATGGCCGTTCACCTCGATCTAAGGGTAAACTGAAATACATAAATATAATTAACTAAGTATCAACAATTTGATGCCAAGAAAAGAATAGAAGAAAGTAATATCTGTTAAACACATACAAATTGTTCATGTTGGCTCAAAAACCCTGAATTTATCAATGCCCCAATGAATAATCCTGTAAACAGGCAGATAACTCTGCAATTTGCAAACAAAAAATTTTGAATTGACTGTAGGGTTTCTCCTCCTTAGGCCCAAACGAACAATTCGATTGTAAACTTTATCCTGTACAGCGATCACAAGCTTTAACGAAAATGAAATGAAATGGGGTTCAACGTCCTACTGTTTTGCTCCTATGCTGGGCTAATGAAGACGGGCATACGCCATACAGTGTGCTATGAGAGAAATTTTGCCCGGACGCGGCACTATCGCCTACTCTTATATCGAATTCCAACTGCCAAGGGATCTTTAACGTTGATTCCAATGTATACACGAGTCCTCAGTTTTTTGTTTCGTCCGAAGGACATCCATCCTGCATCACTGACAAGGGGGGGCCACGCCAGGAAAATCTGGATGAACTTTCTCGGCCAATGCAGGGATCGAACACCCGACCTCCAGGCTAGCGAGCCAGCGTCTTACCCACTTAGCCACGTGATCCCCACAAGCTTTAACAGTCAAATTGTTAATGGCAGAAACCGACACAAAACATAATCAGAATCTAAGATTATATTGAAAGTAATGATATGCAATCGAACAATCTCTTCAAATTTTAACATTTTGTGTTTTGAACTCTGAACCTTAGAGCGCTCATAAGAAAGTGTTGATGCACAATGAAAGCCAGACAACAGAAGTATATATGTTGGCATAAAAAAATGTGGCATTCAAATCACTGTAATGCTAGAAAAAAATTGGAAACTAACTGGTTGATATCAGCCAGGCAATGTTTGCTACCTGTAAACCATTATAACATTGTGCACAATGTAAGTCCAATACAAAACATCAAACTTTAGCAGTTTTTCAAACTAGTTTTTGCTTAGATTCTCTAATCATTTTAGCATGTTGAGTTTCACTAGAATAAGTCTACTATTTGCATTTTGAACTCCAATATCATGTTTTCAACTAATAAGCCTTTTATTATAAGGGTTAAACACTGGTTCGTGGTTTTCAATGTGTTGGTGTTCAAAATTTATGAAAGTTTTGCCGAGTGCCTATGTGCATGTCATGAAAGCAATACAATAATGTTTCTAATCGAAATTTACAAGTACCCAAGCTACTTACTGTATACTTCTTATATTATTAGTAGTGGATGATATGTTTTGGGGCGTTGGTTCACCACGTAAAAATGATTCCAGCATATGGTGATTACTTCTTCCACTTCGGTTTACAGATTCTGAAATGAAGAAACATGCAGATAGAATTTCACCATTAGAATAGTCTATTCAAAAAGTTACATGTATCTTAATTTGATAAAAATATCTGCATCTTTGATTGATGTAAAGGACAGAATACCTTTCCAACATTTGAAATCTGCAAAAGGAAAAAAGAAAAATGTTATTTTGTGTGGAAAAGCTCATTTACCTGGTTGTGATGAAGAAAGAAAAGATGAGGATGAAGATGTTGGTAGATCTCTAGTTTCATCTCTAGGTCTAGTTATAGTTATTACAGGTAGAGATGGTGTAGATGTAGAGGTAGATGTTGGTAGAACAGCTTCTGGTTCAGAAGATAAACGTCCTCTCATACTTAATATCCTATCTCTATCTTGATGAAGTGCTCGAAGTCTTTCTGTGAATGATGCACGCAGTGCATTTATTCTCTGATCTAGTTCAGAAACTTGTCTTTCTAGTCTAGCAGTGATGCTGGCTAGATCCTCACGATGATTTAATCCTGATGATGTGATAGCACTATTGGATCTACCTATCCGGACATCCAATTCAGAAATACGCCGTTCTAATCTTGCTGTAGCATTTGCTAGATAAGCATGATGTCGGAGGACTGAGTGAGTTGGGCAATTGTTGGGGGAAGAATCCTCATCAGGTAAGGAAGACAACGAATTTGAAGTATTATTTCCTGAAGGATCATTAGAAGCAGAGGTAGCAGGTGCTTCTACAGGATTATCAGTGGAAGGATCATCTACAGGTGTTGATGATACAACCACTGTATTACTGACACTGAGAGAGGTTGGTGTTAATCCTATGGTGGATAGCCTTGGGTTGGTATCAGTAGACTCAGATAGTGTAGCACGAGAAGATAGGAAAGGACAAGTATTAGATGGAATGTTTGATATGATATGTGTGTGCATCTCTGAGTCCATGGTGCTACTTACTGCAGTAGGAGCTGATGATATAGTTGACCGTTCATCTGATGTAAGCGTCGATGTGTCAGTAAGACTAGATGGTATATTAATTGGAGAACTCTGATTGTAGTGATTCACAAACTGACAAAGACTTGAAACTGATGCCAAATCACTTGACGAGGATGACTCGTTATTTGCACTTGTTACAGACACTGAAGTTTCACCTAATGCTGAAACTGGTTGAAGATTGTTAGCACTGCTTGTTGAACTAGATACACTATTAACATTTTGATCACAATCTGGATTGTCCCTACCTAAATTGGTCATACCATCCTGGTTAGGGAGGTCCTCCTCTGCCATTTCAACTATATTTGTTAAATCTAAGGATTGGTAATCATCCTGCTCATTTGGAGTAGCTTCATCAGGTGAGTCAATCGTAACAGAGCTATCTGTTATTGTGTCGCTGTCATACAAAAAGAAATTAGGATTGTCTGTTTCAGATTCATCATCCATCAGTAAATCTTCCAGATCCTGCTCAGATGAAACTACATCTGTTTCCTCATGTAAATCCAAGCCAACTACATCAGTACCTTGATCTGAACATTCAGGAAGATTCATGGCTCCTGTGGTTTGACTAGTTTGATCTGTAACAACTGTTCTACTGTGAGAATGAGGACAAAGAAGAGGTCGAGTTGCAGCTGTAGATGAGAATATTCCACTACTACTAGTGTTGCTGCTAGTAGTAGTATCAGTTGCACTAATCATTCTACCCAGCGAAAATAAAGAACTGGATATTGTAGATGTTAGAGTATGAGATAATGAAAATCTGTCAGAACGGATATCAGATGTTGGTTCTTGACTATTACTAGTAACTGTAGAGTTTCCTAAGCTTTCTGGATATGGTGTACGAGAAAGATAAAAGCGTTCTTGTCTAAGCATCCTCTGTCTGGAGTTTCTACAGGCTGCCAACTGACGACGTATTCTAGATAAAGCTGATGACTGCCTCTCTGAAGGAAGGGGTGCTCGCGTTCTAGAACAGGTATTTTCACTTGTATTTTCATCTTGACGTGGTATTGGAGCCGGCAAGGGCTGATCAACAAACAGTATGTTACTAGAGGAATCTGCACCTGTTGTTGACGACGCTGAAACAGATGTTCGATCTGTTCCAGTTGATGGTACTACACTAGAAGTCGAACTAGAATTAAACAGATCAGGACTCTCATTTCCAGTTTCTCCACCAGACTGTCTACGAACGATCAGGTTGTCATTTAAGTTTTCCCTAAGTGGGTCAGTACCTAAGGGATTTGGCCGACTTAAACAACTATTGATAATACTTCTTTCGATACTACGTGCCACAGAAGTAATACCTCTAGAGGGATAGCCAGAAGAGTTGGAAAGAGATGATGATGATGTGCTAGTAGACATTATCCCAGAACTTGATAATAATCTTGAAGGACTGACAGCAGTTGAAGCTCTCAAGCCTGTTATTCGAGCTGGTGGGAATCCTGGTGTGACATGGGGTACTGCAGTAAACATGGATGGTGGAGCAGATATGGATGCTGGTGTGGATGAGGATGTACTCTGTGGTTGATCTAAAGCTGAGGAAATAACCTGTTGAATCTCTTCATTCATATGATTCAACCTGTCAATAAATCTAGGAGTGAATTCAGTAGAACTTGTGGTAGTAATGGCGGACAATCCCTGATTAGTATCCGATGGTCTTGAGACTATCGTAATTCCTCTAGGAGAAGGTACTGATGCACTAGTGCTTGTAATTCTACTACCATCATGATTTCTTCCCCGTCGTCTAAGGACTTCTGTAAGTATGGCAAGTCTTCTGTGCGATCTATCTGATCTAGTATGATAAGGGGCTCTATGTGAATACCTTGTTCGTGCTCGACCACCTTCTGCATGCCGTAGCTGAGAACGATTTAATCTCTCAATCTCATCATCAACACGAGTGTCATCATCATCTGATGAGGGGCGTGGAGGTGGACTCCAATTTCTACTCCTCAATTCAGATAAAACTCTGTACCTATTTGTATTAGGAGCTTCGCGTGGTTGAGGCAACTGTCCTTCGCCTTCACCTATTTCCCACAGAAAATTAATGGGGAGCGGAGAGTTTCTACGTGGTGGTCTAACTATTCCATGTCTTGAATTAGCTGATGACGCGGTTACCTCTGCAGCATATTGACGAGCCAGATTAATACCATCTAATTGTACAGGTGATAATGGATGTGGTAGTGCAGATGGAGGTGGTTCTATATCGTCCTCTTCACGGTTTCTTATCCTATCTTGTTGATAAGAATGGAATCTTTCTACAAGATGTTGATAACGAGACCAGTTATTTCTCAACCTTGAATGGGGATGATGACCAGTTCTATCTCTGAAATAAAAGAATAAAACAGTTAATACACAGACTGAAAAGATAGGTTGCCAGGCAACGAAACATGACCTTAAACACTGTGTATAAATTTAAAGTCAATCGGATATTAACTTTGACCTGTAGAGCATCCACAAGATTTTTTGAAGTGATCAAGGGCAATAACTCTGGCAGTAATTATCGAACATCGCTGAAAATCAATAGGCTTCTTTGTCTTATGACCTTAAACACTGTGTATAAATTTAAAGTCAATCGGATATTAACTTTAGACGGACCGACGGACGGGTGCGACAACAATATACGACCACATTTCAATATGGGCGTATAAAAATGATATATAAGTTTATACATGATGTCTCAACATGTATATATTTTGATATCCATTCTTCAAAGAGAGAAATGGGGTTTAATGGCCACTCGACACAAACTAGGTCATTTCGGGACTAACATATGGCTCAATTTTATTTCAATAATTCGCTAGTACCCACGAGGTTGGACAGGCAACCCTACTTCTTGTCACCTACAACCGGGGAATCAAAATTACGCCAGTTAACTCAATGACAGACCTAATGATCCAACGCGTAAGCGCTAACCATTCGACCACCCAACCCCACTGTTTTAAAAATGAAATTCAACTCAATGATGCTTGACCAACTTACCTCATATGGACCACATTGGGAGGGTCATCTCTCGCTAATGTACTAACATTAGTTATACCAGTGTAAATATATTGTCCTAATGGATCAAAACCAAGCCACCTGCAAACATACAAATAAGAGCATGTAAATTGCTAAGCCCTGTACCAAAATCTAATTTTATTGAGGTGTCAATTGATTATGGAGCTCCAAGGGAGTGAAACTAGTTTCCTATCTCTGACCGCTATTCTTAACAGATGTCTCAAAACTTGTATTCTTTACACCAACATTTGAAAATTAAATTTGATCATCACTGTTGTCAAATTTTGACTTGTGATATTGCTCTTGCTTATTTTCTAATTTCATTACTAACATCAAATGTAGTCTATGTTCAGAGTCGTTTCACAATTTTTTCATATTTGTTTATTTTTTTTAATATTCGTAATTGTTATTGTATGGTACCACAGAGCAGTTAAAATGACCTAATGGTCAGCGCTAAAGAAATATATTATCATTACATCACAATTGATCAACATCAACATTAAGCATCAATATTAAAAATTAAAGTTCCCACACTTTCGGAGGTAGAATAAAATTATAAAATTCGAACATGGAGGGACAACATTTAATTTTGAACAAACAGCAAAAAAATGTTTATGTTGTACTCACCTAACCCGCTCATATTCATGATTTGTTCTACACACAGCAAATGGTTCAGGTTCACTCCAGTCCCAGAAATACACACAATTGGATGTAGCAAATAACAATACATGATCAGTAGGGTGAAAAGTAAGAGATGCTATTACTGTGTTATTTGGAGCCTGCCATATTTCACTTCCACCACCCTGAAATAATTGTCCCATAGTTTTTATAAAATAAATAATATCAAGACATATTTTCACATCACTGTAAAAACATTTTACTTATCAATATTGATCTAAATCCATACTGAGCTCATTTTCTATAGTTATGTCTCTATTGCAATGCAAGACATTTCTTAGCTCTTTGATCTAAACATTATTATGACTTATATAAGTTAAATATCTACAATGCAAGAAAGAAACAACTCATTGTGTTCTAAAATTTGACAAATAAATTGTTTATCTCTGTTTATAGCCGGTGCAGAAATTATTCAACCAATATAGAAAGGGAGCTAGCTTCAGGTTATTCTGAAAATCGCGTACAAACTTTCTACAGATGCTCTGAACCTTGATTCTTAAGTTGAGGGTCCCCTACCCATGGGGGTGGGGGGGTCTGACAAAACATTGAAATTTCAAGTTTAATTTAACTTTAGAAGCAGATTTATTGTGTTTAAAAATGTGTGACAAACCCATTTTAATAGTGCCCCACTTTTTTAATGTTAATTTGCATAACCTGATTTTGAGCCAAGAAAAAAAACAACCTTTATTTACAGTTACGTGGGCCTGAAAAATAAGGTTTGTATTATCTATTTCCTAGCATTTCTACCTTAATAACTGAGTAAGGTTTGTGAAAATAATACCGAAACTTCAGTGTTTGTCTAGAGAAAATCATGACATGGGAAAGAAAAATGATTATTATGGTTGGCAATTTTGGCTCAAAAAAAATGGGATTGGTCGGGTAACGGTAAACACAGGTGTTTTTTGGGAGGCCTTATGTGAAACTGTTGCTACATACCAACAAATCCCAGATTCTGACTTCTCCTCCTAGACAACCAGAAGCTAGAATATCATTAGATGATGGATGAAAAGCCAAACACCATGGTGTACGAGGATGACCTACTAATACATGAGTACATTTTCCACTGACAATATCTGATACTCTCACAGAATGGTCACCATGAGTTGATGCTACTTTCGTCCTTTAAAAGAAAATTTTAAAATAATACACTATTTGTATGAGTAGTAACTATGGTAGAGTTTGTCTCTGGCCACAATAACCTCATCACTTCAGATTGTGTGATAAACTTAAGGAGTATATGGTTCTATTGTTTGGAACCTTAAAGTAGACGAAACTGGGTCTAAAGCACATAACAATGTAACTTGAATGCATCAGTAACTTATATTCAATTTTGAATTTTTCATTGTAATTTCTAATCAATTATGGTCGGTGAAATACAAAATCAGTCAAAATTGAACAGCAGTCCTTTACGACATCTTAGTCCATTCAACACATTTTTTTTTATTATCATTTTGTCGTTTGTGAATCTGACATTACTAATTACTTCCACATTGTCCTCAAGGATATGTTTTCTTTTTTCATTAAAATGGTGCCCAAAACCATAGAAATACAATAGAGATAACAACACCAATATTGATAGAAATGGACCAATATTGAATTTTAGTTTGTGTTTTTAATTTCAAGTGTTATGGAAATTATTGAGTTAAGAGGTTTTGCTTCTTTAATCTATAACTTATATTTCATTGAAAATATTTCTCAAGGGTTACTGACCCTTGTACTTATAGCAGCATGACAATTACATGTATCAATGTCATTAACATATCGTATCTCTATTTATGTACTTTACATAAACTAATTAAATTAATTTATATACAGAATGGACTGTAGTGTCATCTGATGTCCATTAATCTGTCTTTATACACACAAACTGAAAAATGAATCCTAAGTTTATCCGTTTTACTCCTTACCTATCAGTGCTAAAATCAACCAGAAATGTTGCTCGAGGTTGTCCAGATAACTTACAAGGCTGAAAATAGTGAAAAAGAAATTAATGAAGATGGTTACCAAATAGACAAATGTATTGTTAAATGCATGAACTTTGCAATGAAAGATATAGCCTATTTATATCTACACTCTAATTTAAAGATGTATTATGTTTGTAAGATTTAGATAAAGAGCTGACAGTTCGCGCTATAATACATGTAGTTACAAAAATAGATATTGAAAAGGGAGTAATGGCCGTTTGAAGAATAGTGTAGTCTCGATTATCATTCATACTGTTGTTGCGATAATAAACAAAGTCTCGATTATCATTGTCTTAATTAAAATATTAACTTTCGATTGTGTTTAAATCCATTGAAAGTCTCAACCATCTGATGGTCAAGAGAGTTGGTTATGGGCTTGGCATGTAAATAAATGACTAATTAACGATTTATATAATATTTGAGGAACAAACGAAAGATCTGCAATAGTCAGATTTGGCTCTTACATGTACATAATGCATCTTTAAGATATACATTGACATCTAGTTAGAATCTGTTGCGAAAAGCTTCTATCACATTATACATGTATATATCTGCTCTAAGCAGCATGGAGTAATTATGAAAACTTACATAGTTTTTAAATGAACTGACACCATTTTCATTTGACACTAATGTTTCAGATCCTTTTGTAGATTTTAGCCGATTAGTCTTTCGGGCGAATCCAATTTCTCTTTGTTGCAGATATTGGTTAAGCTTCATGCTTATTGTCCAGACCTCGAGTTCCTTTAACAAAGAAAAGTCAAATGAGAGATGATATATAATAATAAAGCATGGACAGATCACATGGTACAAACTTTGTACACTGAATGAGATTAATTGAATACCACATGAACAATATATAATGATACATAAAGTATTAATATTGAGTGAAATTGATTGAACAAAACATGAAAAATATAATGATATATGCCACAACAAGAACACATAATGATATACCGATATATATGCCATGACAAGAACACATTTTTATTGACATAAAGTATTAACACATTAAGCAGCAGATGAAATGAGGTTTAATTAATGTCCTACCTTTGTGCACTACCAGGGATAATGTAGACGGGCATATACATGTATCATGCAGTGTGCTATGAGAGAAATTTTGTCCAGACATCCATGCTATGGCCTAAACTTATTTCTAATTCCAACTGTCAAGGGGTCTTTTACATACACACCAATGTGTACAAATAGGACTCTAGTTTTTCATCCCAATACGAACAACTAGACACTGTCCCTCACTAGAAAATCTGGGAGAACTTTCTCAACCAACCCTTGGATACTCTTTGAGCAAATGTGGCCCGCCTAATGTTGAAGTAATAATTTTATTCAGTTGATAATATATATGGTACATTATACCTGAATAGGTTATGAAGATGAACTTTATAGAATGATCATCACAATTCTTGGTTGTAATGTGTATCCTACTGTCTATATTACTGACACTAATCCCATCAAGAACAAACTTCAAATCTTCAAGGTGCACTGCATTCTGTAATTGTAAAAAGTCCATTATTCAGACACATTTCAATAAGTTTATATAATTTGAAATAAACCAAAATGCAGTTTTGTTAAGAGTAGTAAATATTTTCTACTGGATGTTACGGAACTTGAATAACAGAATAGAGATAATCATGCACTTTTGTAAATAAAACTGTTATAAAAATTGGTTTCTTATTGTATTTCGCACTTAACAGATGTGCAGAAATCTGAGAATCTCTAAAAACAAAAAAATAACATTATCACCCTTAATCTTTCCATTATTTGCCATAATATCCCAACACTACTAACACACTTTTCGAGCCCTATAGTGTAAGAAATAGTAGGGCTTATAATAATTATATTTAAATGAAATATTCCCTTTTGGCTATTCAAATAGGTTTTATTATCGAAACTTCTTGCTTGGTTAATGACAAATAAAGAACTGAATTGGCCGTAGAAAGGTCATTCCAGTAGCTCACAGGTATTACCACATGCTCTATAGAAAACACACTGACATTGATAATTTGGGTTTTAATCAAATAATTTCAAAATGAAGATAAATTATAATTAACCACTGCATATTTCTTGCATTTATCGGTTTTAGACGATCCCTTGCAACATTACAGATCACAGAATTGTGATGTAAACCCTAATATTGAATAACTAATTCGAATGATAGACTAATTTCACAGCTAGCAAACCTAGCGCCCCCTGAAATGGTTAGTCAGGCATGATAAGAGTAAACACATACATGTACACAACATGTGGATCATCAATAGAATGCGTAATTTTCTTTATAGCTACATGTACATGGCAGAGGTCGATAGTACATGTAACCACGTTTGAAGATTGGGTTTTGAAAAATACACTATTTTTCCAGCGTGCAAAATAACCAATGGGTCAGATGTTGTTTCAGTCATTTTCCACAGCCCTGGGTCTACATACTTTACCTTTTCTTACAAACTTCCACTCTGTTAACCAATGCATCCATGACAAGTTGGACCAAAGACTACTCAGGATAATATAAAAACAAGTTGGATAAAATACTAAGACCACTCGTACAAACGAAAAAGACAATTCGGATCATTCTCAAAGACAAACATAACAAAAATATGTTTTCTTTAAAATAAAGTATTTATGTGATCGATATTCCTAAATAAAGTGTGGATTTGTTAAGTTAATTCATGAGTTTTCGTTTTGATAAATATGTTTTCCTTAAAATATTAAGCATTGTGTACTTCTGTGTCTGTGTTGTGTCTTGTCCGTAGGTTTGTCTTATGTAATTGCTTGTGTGTGGTGAGGTCACCTGCACTTATTATTAGCTTATCAAAGTGTAAAAGCCCAGGAAATAAAAACAATTAGCAAAACTTCAGAAGTTGTTATAATTTAAAATAAATATCAATATAATTAGCCTACAACTATAACTAGTATTTTAATTATAATTATAAAAGAAACATATATAATACTTATAATGTCACCAACACTACTTGGTTAAAACAGAAAACACTATAGATGATATTGTTCAGAATGGTCTTTTAATTTTATACATATAAATGTAATGTGGTACTGTACAGTGGTCCGACTTATCTGGATACCTCAATGTCTAGTTCTACTTGAAAATAGTCTTGAATTATTATAAATTTGTGTCAGATGTAGAGAGAAATGATTCCTTTGACGAAAAAGAAGAGTCAAGGTGAAAAATAGAAGTTGAAGATTCCAAATTGGTCTTTAGAACAGAGATGGGAGTAGAGCAGAGCTGTATTGTCATTTTGCAGCAATAACTAATAAGGGTGAACAAGAAAGATCAGAGGACTGCGTCGCATCAGAGACCGTTCAAGGAAATACAACTACAAGTTCTCAATGTTCAGCAGATGCTGAATTGCAGAGTATGTGTATGGCCTATATGGTCCACATTAATGTGATTAATATGGTACCTGCACATTAAATTCAACGTTTGTCTGTTACTCCAACGAGTGGTGAACTGTATGTGGTTTGACTTTTGACTTCAGTTGATCTTGTTCTTTTGTGTATCTATAGGCCTATAGCCTGTTGAAATTGGTCATTAACTTTAAGAGGCGGGCAACTGGCATGCATTGTTATTATCAATATCCAAGCACAGATTTAACTTTAATCTAGCTTGGCAATGATTCTTTGGTTGCTCTCAAAATAATGTCATGTTGGGTCATTTTGCTTTGAAAATTGGGTCTCGGCGTTTTTAAACTTTGAAGAAAAATATTGAATGTTTTTTAATAAAGAAAACGAAGGTTTCAACTTATTTTCCAATACCATGTGCGTCAATAAAACATATATGCCTTGGCAAACTAATGATGATTTCTGAGACAAGAAAGACAAATCTAAATGTTTCTTACAAAGGTGAAATAATTGCACCAACTTGTCCACCAACTTGCACTTTTGACCCGTTAGGCAGCCATTTTTCAGTTACCCGGATGTGTAAATAACCGTCTACTTACAGGACTTGGATTCACGCCTACAACCGCCCGACTCAAATTTCTACTCGGGTATCTCACACACTTGGCACAAACAGAGAGAGAGAGAGCTAGAGAGAGAAAAATGAGGTTTAACGTCCACTTGACACAAACTAGGTCATTTCGGGACTAACACACGTTTTAATTTTTTATTTTAATAATTCGCTTGCGCGTAGGGGTCTTTAAGCAGTGGGACGACCCGGAGGACCCAGAGAAAAACCACGAGGTTGGACACGTACAACGGGGGATTCGAAACCACGCCAGTTGACTCAATGACAGGCCTTATGATACAGCGCGCACGTGCTAACCATTCAAACAGTAAAGTAATAAAACATATTATTAAGCGGTTCGAAGATGACTCGTTTCATTTAGTAGGCCTCTTTGGCACGTGTGTTGACAGCAGCGAACACACAATTGGTATAGCCTATTTCAATACTGTAGATGAGTGGAGAAACTCCAAATTTCATGTTAGAGACATTTACCACAGCAAGGTAGATCAAGATGTGCATTATCAATAATTATACCCTTTCCCTTTCCTCAATTCTAGAATGTGAAATAAAAAGTGTGGGGAATATATAAAAAGTCATCTTTTTTTTATTATTGTTTTTGTAATAGGCTACATGAAAACCTAGGGGTCAATATGCAGGTAATCAACTAAAATGTATAAGAAATAGGAAACATGTGTTAAGGGAGTAATATTGGAGATTGTATTTTGCAAGTACTTGACAGGAATTCTTGAAGTTAATGTAATAATACTACTTTAAATTTAAAATTTTGAAATCCAGATATTTTTATTTTAGGTTACATCAGGATCCGCTTTGAACACATAAAGATTGGATTGGAGTAAGTTAGTGGATCCACCCAGCCACCCTCCCTATGCCGCCATGGTTATTTTGATTTTCCATTGCAGTTTGTGGACTTTCGTTAGCGATGGCTAATAATTAGCAACAGGAAAAGCCTCTCAATCACACAAGATCAACCAACAGTCTAATTTCTCATAAATATAGATGGAATCATCCATCAAATCACAAAAAAACATAATTATGCCCTCAAAATATTAGGGTTTAGTGAAAATTGAAACAGTAACATCCAATACCTATTAAAGTGGAATAACCTGTCATTTTGAACTCTTAATAAAACCGGAAATTATACTTGAAGACCGAACTTTTTTTTATATTAACTGTTAGTTGACACAAGGGCCATCATAATCAAAGGCCAAGGGTCATTGATTGGTTATGTCACCAGATAGAAGGTCAAAAGTCGAACAAAATTCAAAGTGAAACCGTAAGTAAATGTAATCGAAATGGAAAAATCGGCTTCCTGTGGATTGTTGCCATTTGGAGTAGGTTTTTGAAAATCGGAATCAAAATGGCGGATGAATACCGATTTGAAGTTGTTTTTTTTAAATCCAATATGTGGCGGCCAAACGGTTGAAAATGTTATTGTACAAGATCTCTAAAATGAAATACAATATCTGGGGCTAACACTGCTATATGTCATTTTTGGTCTATTTTTAAAATGGCATCAATGTGTTCATTACTCCTACCAAGTGTCAACTTGATACCCCAAATACCTGAAAATCTTTGATGCTAAAACTAATCGAGCCCCTATGGGATTCGTCCAACGAATTCAAAGTTAAAACGCGACGAAGAGTCGTTGATATGGGGAATCTGAGATTAGTTTTTGTCTTTAGCCGTAAAACACTTCATGTTTGTCAAAAGTGACCCAATTTATATGTAATAAATAGATCCACGGAGGTCAACCACATCTACGTTGGCAGAATTTTTGCACCATGTACAGTTTTGGTTGCACAAACTGACTACCCCCCCCCCCCCCAAAAAAAAATAATATAATAAAAACTCTTACAGAAACAATGCGTGTTTAAATGTTGTGGTCCATGCATCGTCTTTGATAGGCAATAAGTAATTGGACATATTAACACAAGATACGCGAGTATCCTTGTCGAAACGTCACTATCCATAATATTCAAAGGCACCTGTGTTCTAAACTGCACACACGAGTCACAGAACATTGTGTTTGGAAGAGAACACTTACTGTTATACAAAAGACCCTTTGGCGTTTTATTGAGTTCATTTTAAACCTATAGTGTTCTAAGAAGAACACTTGGTGTTTTTTTTTAGAGCATATCATGTTCTGTACGGACATTAGTTACCTCCCTATTTGGGGGTTTTAAAAGCCTTCTTTGTTTGAAGGCCTTTTTGAGAACACACAATGTTCTCATAAGAACATACACAGTGTTCTTCCCATCAGGAATTACGATTACCTTGTGGTAAATCAACGGCATGAATATTTTCTACTCCGACAGATAATAGACATTAAAGATACATTATGTAAGATTTAGATAAAGAACTAGCCATTCTTGCTATAATAGTTCGAAAGTAGATGATGTAAAATGAATAATTTGAAAATTTCATTCAAATTACTCTATTGCAAGCGAAGATATTAGCCTTTGATAGGTTTGACAGACGTGTGCAATAATTTCAACCACCGTACTGGTTGATCGAAGCTAAGTCTCGGTCCCCCATATTTGATTAAATCAAAGTATCGCTGAACCATTCTAATCTATTTAATATCGGAGAAATCTGATGCCATCGAGGGTTGATTAAGGCCTGGATCAGTTAATTAATGTCTAATTAATACTTTAGAAAACATTTCAGGCCTAAAGAAAGACCTGCAATAGGCAGATTTAGCTCTTGCATAATGCATGTTTAAGTAAGATATCATCAAATTCATCCGAATTTGTATGCATCTTGTAGAAAAAGATCACGTTCCTTCCTCAACTAAACAGTGGGTAAATTATTGGGTGTATTTACACAGAAAACACAAAGAACACAATGTGGAAAATGAAAATGATGGTGAGGTTTTCAATTTTAATGATCTCCAAATCAAATGTTTTGATTTAAATTACCCAAAGCCGTATACCATATGTATGTGCGTACTGCAAACTTTTATTATTAATGAACCAAACACTAAAGGGACCAGTAAGAGGTACAATACATTTGTAAAGCAATTGCAGCAGAAATTTGATGAAATAAAGACAGGCGCGGATTTAGGGCCAGTTAGTAGTAGCACTACTGAGTGGGTCCTGGGGCAACAGACTGTACAGATGTTCTATCAACTCTCACAAAAAAAGGCGGAATTAAGATGCAGGCCTCGGGATTCTGTCCCATTTCTTACCCTCTCGTTCATTAGAATTTGCTCCCATCAATGAAATCAAATGCCAGGAAATTTATGCCCAGTCCCAAAAAATTAAAAGCTTAATAACATATTATACTTTGCTATCTGAATCAATTATAGCATAATTCTTCCTCCACTCCCCTGTGGTCTATATCACCACTATCATATTTACTGTTATAGTGAATCGCCCAGTTAGTACTGCAAGTGCGTGAGGTGACAGACTGTACGAAACGGGCGGAATTGACAGGCAGATCTCAAGATTCTGTCCCAATGACTCCCATTTCTGATCCTCTCGTTTACAAGAATTTACTCCAAGCAATGCATGGGCGTCACACATGGGGCGGGGGCGGGGGCGGGGGGGGGGGGGGTCCGACCCACCCAATTATTAGGATTAGTTAAGATTCTATCTGTATAAAACCTGTACACATCCCAATATGGTTTACATTGCTAAAATAAAACACAGAGAATCATCCTTGAAACATGACGTGTGAAGTGAAAAGTAACTGTGTTCCATAAAATTGTGTCTAGTTAATTTTTTTCCGCCACTTATCAGAGTGAATCGCATGTAGGTACCCAAAAACATTATCCCCTAAACCAAATATTTATCGCTCGCTCAGCCAGCCACGTAACGCGGGGTCTTGGTAGACAGCAAACGAGTTGTGTAGACAGCATGGTCACATGGTGTTTGTGTTTATATTTTTTAGGGGTTTTAAAATAGGGTTAGGGTTAGGGTTAGGGGTTAGGATTGCGGACCCCCCCCCCAAAATATATTTCACGGCTACGCCTCTGCAGCAATGACCTCAAAAGCCAGGATATTGACTCAAATTTTCAAAATTTTCTCATTATAGGACGAACACAACTAGCTTTACTTCTTTAAGTGGCATTTAGTGATTGGGGTACAGAATAACAGAACACAATTTTTATGGGAAACAATCACTGGTTTTATTCTAATAGCACGACGTTTCGACAAGTATCCTCTTATCGTTATCCTCTTATGTGCTTGATAACGATAAGAGGATACTTGTCGAAACGTCGTGCTATTAGAATAAAACCAGTGATTGTTTCCCATAAAAATTGTGTTCTGTTATAGCTTTACTTCCCCTTATTTTAGAGAGCTTGTGCAGGTTTGGTGTGAAGTATTAGGACCATGAGGGTATAACGAACTCTATTGTGTTTAAAATTTGGTGTCGGAGGGGACGAAACCCTATCGATAGGTCTACGCATACCCGGAAAGCTTAGGAACACGATAGAGATCAGATTTCTGGAAGGCATATCAAGTTTGGCCAACATCCAAGTTTTCCTTTCGGATAAGCAGCTGTCTATATGGTTTTTTTTTTGGGGGGGGGGGGGGTGATGCAGCTGTCGTGTTGATCACGTAATTCTACGCTTTGTATGTCGTTATTTGGGCCAAAACTTTGATATTTGACATTCAGTGATTTTAAATCGCACTTTTCATTTTAAACTACATTGGGTATCTAGATAAAAAATAATCAATAATTATATAGTTCATTTTCAATATAAACTAATTTTGGGAGGGGTCACCATATATTTACGTGCGACAGCATACAACAAAATTACTGTATGGTGAATGGACTGGCATGTACACAAATAACTATTATTACTTTATTCATCTAACACAAGGTACAATTTTATGGGGCTGGGGGGTTGGATGGCTGAATGGTTAGCGTGCGCGCGCTGTATCATAAAGTCTGTCATTGAGTCGACTGGGTTGGTTTCGAATCCCCGGTTATACGTGGCAAGGAGTGGGGTCGCCTGTCCAACCTCGTGGGTTTTCTCCGGGTCCTCCGGTTTTCTCCCACTGCTAAAGACCCCTACGCGTAAGCGAATTATGTAAATAAAATTAAACCATATGGTAGTCCCGAAATGACCTAGTTTGTGTCGAGTGGACGTTAAACCCCATCTCTCTCCCTCTCTCTCTCTCTCTCTCTCACACACACACACCCACACACACACAATTTTATGGATACACAATTACTGAGTTTAATACTAAGCGACGTTTCGGCGAGGATACTCTCGTCTTTATCAAGCAAATGATACAGGTATGTGAATTGTGGGCATATATATATACAGAATATGCAACAAAATAACAATCACATACAATAAAAACTTAACACATTTAATTAGGGGGTCATTTACAACTAAACCAACAATGTGGAAAACTCTTCTACGGTTTTAAAAAAGGGGGTGGGGATCCTATTATTATAAAGATCAATGTATTAACAAATAGATAAACAATACTGAAAAGAGAAGTGTGTATCTATTGGGGTATGAGTGAACAAGAGTGATAGCTAATGCAAGGGAAAATAAAAATTATTAATTCAATAAACAGAAAATCATGAAAGATAAACGTATTATTAGAATATGAAACTGGAGGGGGGAAACCGTAAATATATTCATTAAACTGTAAATCATAAAGGATAAAACCCATTACTAGAGATATGTATAATGTATAGTTAGACTGTGAAAGTATAGGATATTAACCTAATCACGTGAATAATGTACCTGCATGTTTTTGTTTATACGTCGCCATTTTGGGGTAATTGAATTGAAAGCAAAAACAAAATGGATAATAATACGAAGTCAGACGAATAATCAATCATTTTTAGCCAACATATTGACGATGGAATAGATGTGAATGCAAATTATACCGATGAGGATCTATCCAAAGCCCGGAGAAAATTTGGATCAAAAGGCAATCTTTTCCGATAATTCTGACAGTGAACCGTGATTGAAGGTTTTCGCTATGTTCAGAGAAGGATTTCACCGACTATTTTAAGTGGAGTTTAGCCAAAAATACTTTACAAAGGAACCCTTGGGCGATAAATACTTCCAGTCTTGGAGTGTGTGGAGAAATAATCGAAATGTGGACGGAAAGAAAATTCTGAAAGATATCTCAGACATGGAGTATGGATAACCGATTTAAGTATGCTGATAAGTACGCCGTCTATTTCGGTCCTGAATGCTGCAAACTGTACCATAACAATTTTTAATTGTCAAAAGAATAAAAATTTATTTCTGTGTTCTTAGTATTATTTCGATCATCTACGACATCAGCGGTTGATATGAGCCGAATATATCGACCTGAGATGACGTAATGACAGGTTGTTATGAGATATAACTGCTATGGACATCAAAGACAAAACTACCGCCAGTTGTATATAAACTGGATAAGCACTGAAATAGAACACAAGGGTGCAAGGGAAACCATAAATGTATTAATGTAATAATGTAATAAGCTGGAAGTCATGAAGGATAAAGCTTATAATAAGACTGTAAACCTGGACGAGGGAAACCGTGAATATATTAATTCAATGAATTGAAAGTCCATAAATGTGAAATATATATATTATCAGTCTGTAAAACTGGATAAGTACTGAAAACCAAGATATATAAAATGTATAATTAGACTGTAAAACTAGATAAGCACTAAATGTATTAATTCAATGAAACCTTTTATTAGACTGTAAACCTGGGTGAGGGAGAACGTAAATGTATTTATTCAATAAACTGAAAGTCAATAAATGTGAAATATATTTTCAGACTATAAACCTGGAAAAGTGCTGAAAATCAAGATATGTAAAAATGTATAATTAGACTGTAAAAATCTGGATAAACACTGAAATAGAAAAATGTATTGGAATCAATGTATAAGTACGTCATAAGCCCTTGGTATAAGAGTCCTACATCTAAGCTAACGAGGTGAGATCAACAGAAACCAAGGAAAACTTTAATAGGCTGCAACTCAAGTTATAATTGATCGATTGCGTATGATATTTTTAACCCTTCTGTTGGATCTTAATGGCATTGTTTGAAACCTCCAAGTTATAAACAAGTTATTGATTTTGATGTTCCTGTACTGCTCACGGAACATATAAATGTATCTCTAAAACAATAGTATTTCCAGAGTACAAGCACTTGTGAATTTAATTATACGCTAAGAATGTTGAAGTGAAGTACTTATTATAGCTCACCCCATAAACAGATTAATTAATGGGAAAAATATGTAGCAATTAAATATCAAATGCAGCGGACCAATTAAAACCAAAAATACTCCAACAACAAGCCTGTCAAAGTTTTCTTTCAAGTTATTTCAAGCACGTTTATGATTCAAATCAATAAGCCCCTATTATACACAGTTAAAAATAATAATAAAGTTTATACTCGTTCGTGTAAATTCTGTATGCAAATAGGTATATATAAAGCGTTTAGTCCGACACAGATCACAGTCCGTCGGCTAACTGACTTATTTCTACTTTAGATTTACAAATATCCAATATTCTGATTGAAATAGACACTTTCAAATATACAATGAATATAAATCTTGATGTACAATGAACACATAATCTCACTCTCACAACTTAGTTGTATCACGTGTTTTTTTGTTGTTTTTTGTTGTATATCACCTGAATAAAGACATAGTACATGATAATATTTTGTATTTTTGAACATTTACACCATTTTAAGCGTTAACACGCTAAACAATATGTTATAATATGTTAATATACTACAAACTAATTTGGAACATTTAAATTAGTGTAAAATAAAGTTATGTGAAATACTAATGTTATTAGCCCCAAATGAGGTATTAATACTATTTTACAAAAACACCCAGTGGTCATGAATATCGGTTACACACGTTTGATGGTGTATATTTCACATTATTCATAGCTTTTAAAGTAGCCCGTTTTAACAGTGTAGCGAAACGGAAAATTTGGGTGAAAGGATTCTTTTGCCCACTTGTACATTGTGGTGACTGAACTGCCATGGTCATTTCGCAAGAATGGAGTATTACAAGTAAGTACATAATATATGCGAGTATATTATGCTTTTGAATATTTCAAAGATATACATTTCGAATGCGGCCATCTTTACATTATTGTTGATCGTGCGCACAGCACCCTACGTCCCCGGCACAAATGGTCATTTCGCAAGAATGGAGTATTACAAGTAAGTACATAATATATGCGAGTATATTATGCTTTTGAATATTTCAAAGATATACATTTCGAATGCGGCTATCTTTACATTATTGTTGATCGTGCGCACAGCACCCTACGTCCCCGGCACAAATTCAGATTGTATGTGCTATAATCAATACCTACAATTTTTTCAAGCATCTATCTACATATATACGTAAACATCAATAATTGACTGATGTGTTGCTTTTGTTTTAAAAGAAAATACACCGTATTAAAAAAAAACTCGTAATAATCAATCTGATACGGACATTATAGGTACTAGAATTGATCGACTGACATTTTACGGTTGCATCGATTATTCATACCGAGAAATGAAATTAAAAAAAATCCTTTCTTCCTATACATGCACACTTCTTTTCATCTATAGAAAGCCCGTTGCTCTGCGTTTCATGCGTCATAGCATTTTAGCTGCTGGAGATTAGTGTTTGTCTACATCTCGTCAACTTTAAACGGTTATTACACAAATCTTAGAACTATTTTTTTTATACAACTATGCGATTATTACTTCTATGGATAGTTATTGAGGTGGCCTGCAATGTTGAACATCGGCAGTTTTCGTTTTACACGAAAACTTCAACTTTGGTTAACAGATGTTCTGGAACATCGTTGATAGCCAGTGTCGAAACTGTGAACATTCTTGATTGTGCATCGATTTGTTTCCACGAATTTCACTGTAGACGCTTTTCGTATTGTTCTGCTGATTCCTCTTGTAAATTATTCCGAGACGGTACAGACTGTGTAACAGCTGGCAATGGTAATACTTGTTCTTGTTATAGGAAGGTAAGTATATGAACCAATGTTCATATTATATATATATATACTATTCAAAAAAAGTAGGGGATATTTGATTTTGGGGGCATAATACTAAAATATGCAAATGACTACGAAAAAAGTCACTATAGAACCTAACAGAAGAAACATTTCCAGTTACATGTGACGCCCAAACGCACCAATAGCTAACGCATGGAATGCAGGTGATGCTTGGGATCATCATGGGGGTCCAACCCAAGATTTGCACGACTCTGACTTTAAATGTTACAGTCATTGTGGCATTGAATTCCAGGGTGGAAACATCAGTTTAATTGTTTTAGTGACCAGAAAACAAATTTTGATATGCGTCGGCTTACCCAAAATGAAAGGTTACGTGCCCTTGGCATGCTACAGATCGGCACAACACAGGCGGTTGTGGCGCGGACGATGAATGTTTCTCAGTCTGTCATAAGCAGGCTATGGTCCAGATACCGTGATACACAATCTGTACAGGACAGACCACGCTCAGGTCGACCAAGGGCGACAACTCAAGCCCAGGATCGATTTATTCGTACCTTGGCCTTGAGAAATCGTGTCATCACAGCAAATCAGATCAGCGTTCGTCTTACAGACACTGGTGTGAGAGTGAGTGGCCAGACGATTCGGAATCGACTGCATAAGGGTCACCTTCGCGCCCGACGTCCTCGCGTGATCCCTTGTTTGAGAGATCATCACATTCAGGCAAGACGTCGCTGGTGTAGGGATCGTCAACACTGGGATAATCGACGCTGGAGCAATGTGATGTTTTCAGATGAGTCAAGGTTCACTGTTGATTTTTTGGACAGACGTAGGAGGGTGTGGCGTCGTCGAAACGAGCGCTTCCAAGACGTTAACGTCATCAGACATGATCGATTTGGGGGTGGTTCTGTTATGGTGTGGGGAGGCATCACTGTTGCTGGAAGAACGGCTTTACATGTTGTTGCAGGGCGTGTTACAGGCCAGTACTACCGGGACAACATCTTGGCAGTCCATGTTGTGCCGTTCGCACGACGTCATGGCCGCCGTTTCATCTTCCCGGATGACAACGCAAGATGTCACAGGGCCAGGATCGTTACAGGTTACCTCAAACAACAGAACATCACCACATTACCTTGGCCAGCACTGAGTCCCGACCTCTCCCCCATCGAGCATGTCTGGGACATGCTTGGACAGAGGTTACGTCAACGTCAACAACGTCCTGCCAATGTTCAAGAACTTGCTGCTGCGTTGCAACAGGAATGGGACAATCTGGACCAAAATGACCTTAGACGTCTCATTAGGAGTATGCCACGTCGGATCAATGCTTGTTTGGCAAACAGAGGAGGATTTACCCGTTACTGACTTGGTTGTGATGCTGTGGTAACTTTGCTGTTTGACCCCGGGTATCATTTTACCCTTATAATGGTCAGTCTGTGCCTTACTTAGTCTAACGATCATTTGGAATAAATCGATGAATGTGAACTTCATTTCATTTTGTCATTTGTTTCTTCGTCAGTTTCATTAGGTGACTTTAATAACACTTAAAAATCAAATATCCCCTACTTTTTTTGAATAGTATATATATATATATATAATAGTATATATATATATATATATATATATATATATATATATACTATTCAAAAAAAGTAGGGGATATTTGATTTTTAAGTGTTATATATATACTAAGCAGTAAATGTCAGGTTGGTATGTTACTCTGAATAGACGCATTGCATAAAACTTGCCAAATATTTTTATTGTATATTTGTGACCACATCTCCAACTTTACCTGAACAATAAGGCTCCTTCCCAAACACATGATTGAACCCAGGCAATGTTCTCAAAGCGCAACCTGACTTCTGAGATGGTAATGTGTTCTCAATGATTTTCATGGAACGAGATTCATGGGGAGGTCCAAGCATAATGGTTTGGGGTGGAATCGGCCTGAACCAGAGGGTGGGTCCTGTGGTGTTCCAAAATCTTGGTCCAGGGAGAGGAGGCGGCATCACCGCAGTGCCCACATCGATCAAGATCTCAGACCATATTTCGCGCGTCATCGAAACAACGTTTTCCAGCATGACAACGCCCATTCTCACACCGCCAGAGATACTCGGTACTTTCTACAGCAGAACGGTGTCAACGTTATGCACTGGGGAGCCCTTAGTCCGGGCTTCAACCCATTGAACATCTTTGGGGTGAAATTCTGAGGAGACTTTCGTACCGAGACCAAACACAGCCGATGAATTGCGCCAGGCTTTTCTGAGAGTGTGGTTCCAGGTGCCAATGGCGTTCGTCAATCGTCTGGTCCACTCCATGTACAGACTGCGCTGCTGTTATTGACACTCACGGTGAACACACCAGATACTGATGTATAGACTGTGTACAGACCCTAAACCTTCTCGTAATGTCTTGGAATTGTGATTAATCACTAATATGTCGACATACTGTTCACAAAAAAATGCTTTGATCCATTTAGTAAGTTGTTTTCTAGAATGATTTGATTAAAGTGCCTCTCTGATTTTTGCTGTTTAGTATATATTGTTATACAAGGTTTCGTATTTTTATAAAATGTTCGCATTATATTGTTATCACAGTTGTTATAGAAATATTCGTATTAGACAATAGCTTTATTATTGCAAAAAGTGACCGAGAAGAATTGATAATTATATTCTCTGTCGGTAATTGTTGGTGATTAGTAAGACCGTTTTTGTCAAAATTTTAATCATCCACAAGGTTGTCAATTTTATGACATAAGTTTTTATTACTTGGCATAGACGTCGCGACCTGGACATTTATCATGCATTCGGTAACAAGTCGCAATACGCAATAATTCGAGATACTGTTAGATGTTTATAAATACAATTGTACACTGGACTGTATAACAAAAGCGACCGGTAGACAGAAAGTAAAGACAACAGGACATATGTCCAAGACACGATCCCACATTACTAAAGTTTTAAAATACGCCTTTTCAGCTAAAACCATGTAATTATTTTCTTACCATAATATTGTATGTTTGTGGTGGAAATGGTCTTGCAAAAATGTACAATGATCCTAGAAAACTGTCAAGTAACTTTTGTTGGTCGATAATTAAAGAGAAAGGGACATGGTATATTGCAATATTTATGGACTGATTAGGAATCCTTTGCCCTTGAATTTTATTATCCCCGTTACACGAATATGAACGTCATAATTATACACTACATATACTATAGGTTTAATACTTAGACCCAGCTTTTATTTTTTATTTTTTTGCATTTACAAGGCTCTGTCCCCGCGACAACATGCCGACTCTTCTTTAACGTATATGAGTGTCATGGGTTACATTTGACAAATAAATCATCGTAAATGTTCATCTCCACCTTTATTCACTCTCAAAAAACACCCACAAACTAGACAAACTACTCTAGTACGTCAGGGGCGGACTCAATATATTAGTTCTCAGTGAGGCGGCGAATTAAGCCGCCGCCTGCTTGGTACATGCGCAAATACGCCCGCGCATGGACCAAGCAGGCGGTGGTAGTCAGGCATTCCTAGTCAAAAGTGTTGTCATAGTTATATTCGATGACATCGTTTAGTGTAACTTTACCTTTACCTTTACATCTGACATACTTCTATTTAACTGCCAATCTTTAATAAAACATCATCCAGCCTTTCTTTGGTAACTTTACGACGAAATAAAACCTAGAACAACAGTTTTTTTCAGTGAAACTCAAAACGTTTTCTGTAGACTTTTGGACTAGATGCAAATCTGATTATGTCTTTTCCGTAAAAGACGTCATTCTGGAAATTGGAGGGATTTCATTGGCTAATTGCCATTGTTGAATCCGCGCCAAAATGAAATCCTATATTAAGAAAATAATTTTGATATCTGTTAGCACGTTTTTCGCGCGTGGGACCTCGTTTTGGCAACTTGGATACCTTATTATATTTTTAAAAATATGTTTAGCCACAACACCAATGGGTGGAACAAAAAGTCATAAAAATCTGGCCCAGCTTCTGGCTTATAACTAATATAACTAGAACAAACTTAGATGTTCACTTCAGCAAATTTTAATGTATCATGCGTAGGTGTGGCTGCAGCAATGAGATCGATCGTGTTAAACGCCGAATGATGTCATCAGTGCGCAGCGGAATAACTCGAATTCCAGTACTAAAAACGTGGACAGAAATGTGTATCCAATACCCGTTTAACCCGCGTTGTTCTACTTTTCTTGTCAAAGGTTGAATCCTTCTTTCATAACCAGTAACTTACTGTCCTTTGAAGGGGTGAAAAAATATCGTCATTCGCTACCATATGGACTGTCACTGAAAAGAAGTGCCCGGAATTAGAAATGGGTAGCTACTTGACAGTGGCTACTCGCCATGTGGGGCCAGGCGTCCAGAGACCATGGATGGGGTTGCACTGACCTGGGGATCATGATCGTGCTTACTTGCGTAGCAGCCGGCGACCCGAACTACTGGTTTGAATCGAAGCTGTCATTGTGCATTTTGATCTGTGACTCGTAAATAATTGAGTCAGCCCATTACTTTTCTGATTCTTACATGTATATTGTTATTTTGTTTTTAAAAGAATTTTCAAAGTAATTCGAAAAATGGTCATTAATAACATTATATTAAATTCCCAATTTTCAATTATCGTGGTGTATAACATAATTATTATTCAGTAGTATTAAATTATTTAACACATAAGGAATATTGAAGATAAATTAGGTCTACAGGTTAATTTCTTGATTTTCAATTACCACAGACAGGGGAGGATTCGCTAATGTTTAATTCCTTAATACATGCTGTACGTTATTATTGGGCTAATGAAAATACTTTGAAAAAGATAATTATAAGATTACTGTTTCACTATAGCCCTTGTTATACGGAAAAAGTTCGGAGCTCGCCATTGGTCCTTAGGATATGACTACTAATGTATTAGAAGGAAATCAAGAAGTGTGCCACTCCCTAACCATAAACCTGATTGACAGCTATAAATTAATTTGTAATGATGAATTCCTGGCACGGGACAACGTATAGTCGTTCGGGTGGGATGAAAAACCATGACGTGCACGTAAAAGAACCCTTGATAGTTGGAATTCGAAATAAGAGCAGGCCTAGTGCCGCTGTCCGGGCAAAATTTCCCTCAAAGCACACCGTGGCGAATGCCCGTCTTCATAGCCCACTCGGTGCAGAAAAGTAATAGGTTAAACACCATTTCACTTCATTTGTAATCATGAATATGTAAACTTTGAGGGATACGATTAGTATCTACTACGGTTTTAACAAGGTAGTCTCAGTTGTCAAGTACCATTGCTACGATAATAAACAAAGTCTCGATTATCCACTTCAACGTTAAATTATTTACTGGTGGGATGGTTCGAATGCATTCCATTTCATGGCCATCCTAAGGCTTAGAGAGTTGATTATGGCCTTGTTATAACAACTGAAGAAAAAAAAGAGCTGCAATAGGCAGATTTAGCTCTTCTATCTTTTAATTCATGATTGTAAATTTATTTCTCCAGAACATTGGTCGCAAGCCGTCTATGGTGACATGTCCATTGGGGTACCATGGTGAAAGCTGCCAACATATAATCAAAGGTAAATTAGATTTTTGTGTGTGGTGCTGTCACAGATTTCATAGGACACCGGTTAACAAAGGTTAGCGTGGGCAGATAAAAGCCAAATTTTAATTAAACAAAATTGATTAATAGCGTACTCTTTGTATTTTTTTGTCTACCAACACAGTTACCTCCGTACCACACGCTGATAGATACAGTTATCCAGACACAACTGATTCTGTTAAGTTTGGAAAGTTATAACCAGTTATACGAAATATGCCAGTTTATATTTCTATGAATAATCAAAATCAGTCTAATTCAAATACAGATCTATATTTCGTTTCGTTATTTTAAACTTCTGATGGTCCCCACTACATCAAAAACTAAACGAAATAGAATCTGTGTTCTAATCACGTTGGTAAATAATCATCACTAAGAAATCCTTCAAGCTGATAGTGGTAATTTCTTAAATGTAATTACAATCCAGATATTGCAGTTTATAATTGTGATAACTAATATCTTTAAGACTAATTTATAGGTTAGAATAAAATTGGGACCCATTTTTAGTTATTGCTCCATTGATTAGACACACATTACGCTAACAATTTGAAGATTGGCCACGGAATACAAAATCGGGTCCATTTGGCAGAACATGGGACCAATTCATGCACCGGGTGTTTTTTTTTTAAAATACAAAGGGTACAACAAAGCTTGAGAGTTACGTGTACTTAATTAAGCTATCCGGGTTGGAACACGTGATACCACTTCTCACACAGCTAACCATTTTTGTTTTATTTTTGTACATTGTTGCTTTGATTAAAGTGATAGTTGCATTATTTAAAGTCAAACGTTTAAAATATGTTTTTAAAAAGCCATAAAACACATTGAATTTATACACAGTTAAAGAATAATCCTACAATTCACTTTGTTAGTTGCGAAACTAGCAAATATATCATTTTCAAATTGAAACATCAACGTTTTGGTTTGCCAATTCAACATGACGTGTGGGTTGTCTCGGTCAACCATGCATCATTTTTTTAAAAGTGCTAGAATGATTCCAATGATTGTATAATAGTGATTTGACAACTTATTGAGCAATAGGTATAGAAACAATTATGTTTGACCATATTAGAAAATATGCAACTATCGCTTTAAAAGTTTATAGCTCGATTACTTTTCTTTCAGATTGTACAGAAGGGTTCGACAGAGGATGGAATATCAGCGATGTAAGCAAAGCTTTAGTTTACATTCAACCAACAGCCTCGTTGGAACCATTTGAAGTTTTCTGTGATTTGAAACATGTAAGCGGTACTATCATCTTGGAACGAAATAATAACTGTTCTGACGAAAACTTCAACCGATCTCGGACTGAATATGAAAAGGGTTTTGGAGAAGTCAGCAAAAACCAATGGATCGGTTTTAATAAATTATTAGCGATGATTGAGAATAGGCCTGGGTTTAATTTTACCATACAAATTGCTCTTAAAGATGAAGATGGGAACTCGTGCAACAATTTCTATAGGGGACTGAAACTTGAAAACTCATCGAATGGTTACTCTATTTCGTTCGTTAGTAATGACACCAATTCCTGTGGCGATTCTTTTGTAGATGGACGCCCATTCTCTACGTATGATGCTGATTACACCGATTACCAGTGTGCTACGAGATTCGGGGGTGGGTGGTGGTTTGCCAATCAACCTAATTGTACGAAGGGTTTCCTTACCGGTAGCATGAAAGGATCAACAACAGACAATTTCTGGTATGGCAGTTTCGATAATAGAGTCCTGCGAAGGGCAACGATGTGGTTAATTGGTAGTATTATATGAGTGGACACTGAAACACTGTGTATTTGTTTGATGATATACTGGAGTCTGTTAGATGGTGTATTTGTTGATAGTATATTTGCAAAGTTTTCTTTGACTAAATGATTTTAGAATTTTGGAGGTTGTTGAGCATTTCCCGTTCTTTGCACATATTTGTTGGCGATTTAGAGGTCATCTGATCTGGATAAACTTTGGTACCAAATAATTATAATGCTGTAAGGATCAGAAATGTCATCTGAATATTTCTGGGCCATCTGATATACATATAATATATACATCCCCTTGTTATCGATTTCTGTATTGTGACTCTGCCCGGACAGTCGATCCTACTACTGACGTTTACTATAACTGTTTATGGTCCGATAAGTAACTCCCTTAAATTGATATATTAAGAAATAGTTGTTTTTCAAACATAAATAATTGTAAAACCCAATGATAGAAATATTGTAAAACATGGAATATCTAGCACAATGAATGTTAAACGCGCATTTCAATTTAGAGACGCTAGAAGATGACCTTAAAATATATGTGAATATAGCTATTAGTGATAAAGATTTAAACTATGGAATAACGTGAATAGATGATACAATAAATTGGCTAACAAAATGTATGTTTATTTACATTTTGGTGTACTGCCAGGTTGTAATGTAAATACTAACTATATATACAAAGCTATAATCATGGTGTAAATTGTAAAATATTGCAAAATTATATAAAAATGTCTGTGGTTGGTGATTAAAATACACAATAATCAAAATAAACACCAACTAATACAAATCTATCTCGGGGTTTCTAATTTAAGGCTACCTATTCTCTTTAGCCATTGTAATAATTATTCCCATGCACACTTTTCTTAGAAACCAAAATCGGGGAGATCAAAAGAAGGCATTCCTCCCCCAAAATCGAGTCCGTCCCCGAAATCTAGGTTGCCACCTAAGCCACCACGAAGGTCCCCTAACTCCCAACCATCTGATAGTCCTATGTCTGGTGTATCACCAACGAAAAGTCCATCACCAACACCGCTCAAATCAGGAAGTTCAGCGTTGCCTAAAACGGGGGCATCGCCGAAACTCGGAGGTTCCACGTCTCCAAGCCCAGGAGCACCGTCAAGACCCCAATATAAGTCCAAATCGTCTGATAGCCCCATATCTGGTGCATCACCAACAGATGGTCCGTCAAAAGCTACATCAGTAGTATCAAGCTCTGGAGCTTCGCCTAAACTAGGAAGTTCCAAGTCATCTAATTCTGGGACATCGACCAAAGTCGGAATTTCTTCAATAGGAAGTCCATCAAAGGCATCACCAATATCGCCAAGTTCGGGAGCATCGCCTAAACTTGGAAGTTCCACGTCACCTAATTCTGGAGCATCTCCCAAAGTCGGAATGTCATCAAAAGAAAGTTCGACAAAAGCATCATCAATACCGTCAAATTCGGGAGCATCGCCTAAACTCGGAATTTCCACGTCACCTAATTCTGGAGTATCTCCCAAAGTCGGAATTTCATCAATAGAAAGTTCGCCAAAAGCATCACCAATACCGTCAAATTCGGGAGCATCGCCTAAACTCGGAATTTCCACGTCATCTAATAAGGGAGCATCTCCCAAAGCATCATCAATACCGTCATGTTCAAGGGCGTCGCCGAAACTCAGAATTTCCACGTCATCTAACTCGGGAGCATCGTCGAATGTTGGAATTTCCACGTCACCAAATTCGGGGGCATCCCCTAAACTCGGAAGCTCGGTATTTTCAAACTCCGGAGCCTGGCCTAAATTTGGCAGTTCGAGGGCGTCGTCATCCAATTCGGGGACGTCAGGCAGTTCTATTTCATCGCTTGTTCCTTCGTCGATATTTTCATCATCATCGTCATCATCGGCATTATCATCATCATCATCATCATCATCATCAACTGCATCACTTATTTCATCTTGAATTGTTTCAAGCATATCATTACTGTCAACTTCAAAGTGACCCATAAAGGCAGTCAGAGCACTATGGATATCTTGCAACAGCTCTTCGGGAGACGCATCATGTACATTATCTACTTTGTCATCAATCTGAAATGTTGTAATTAAGCATTAACTTATCGCCTTGAAGGAAACATGCTACTCTTCTTAAAGGATTGGTGTGTTTACAAAAAGGTGAATTGTTTTTCAGCATCTTGTAAACATCACCATCCGAAGAGAACCAGAATACTATATTATTATAATCAGTAACGACTATACAACTTTTCAAACTGGTCCATCTTGCAATATCAAGGAAGGGGAATGCAATGGAATGGGGTTTAAAGTCTGACTTTTCCGCCCCAACTGTGCTAATGAAAACGGACATACACCATGCAGTGTGCTATGACGGAAGTGTTCCCTTAACTGTGGCGTTTCTGTTTAGTACATGTCAACGTGTACACGGGACCTCTGGTTTTCGTCCCACCCAAACGAATGAATGATGTTCCATCTGGCATAATTGGAAGCTAGTCTGAAAAATCCCAAAGAAATTTCTCGACCAATGCCGGAATCAAACCTTAAACCTCCTGGTTAGTGAATCAGAGTCCTATTCACTGGGTTACAGTGGTTCCCAAGTCAGGGATTTACTTTTTAATATTCATTGTTGAATCAGCCAAGTTTCCGTCTGACTAGACGTCATTCAAAAACTGTGCGCTACAAATAATTTCTTAAATGTGACATTAAAACAAAAAACAGAAATGGAGAGATGATTTAAGTCGTTAGTCTTGATTTAGAGTTGTCTCTATATATCACCAAGATTTATTCAACTTACCCTATCATGTACATCACCAGCAGTTGCCAATCCCGCTAGAAGTAAACTGTTATCACGTGACACAGAATTAATGGAGTTTTGGGCGTTAGCATCAGATTTGTAACCTGCAGTCAATGCATTTGCGGGGGATATGGCATTTGGTTCCTAGAAGAGTAAAAAGAAAGCATCACATATAATTTAAAATTAAAACGTGGGGTGGTCAACTTTTTGTTAAAATGTGAAAAAAGCGAGGTTATCACTAAACGAAACCAGAACTAAATCATCGTCATTATGACTGATAAAAAGCGTACATGGTGGCCCCTCTTAAGACAATCTACTTGGAATTTTTTTTCATATCAAAAACACTCTTAAAAGAATGTTTTTGATATGACGGTCATGGTAGTGAACAAATTATGTAGGTTCTTTGGGAACTATGAACGCATTTATAAACAGATATATGAGAGATCTCTACTTGTATTATTTTTAGTGAAAACATTTGTTTAATGTTTTGCTTTAGCATGCCTTGAACAATTTTTAAGAATATGTGAATTCACAGACATTGCACAAGAAACTAGAAACGACATCAACATGAATAGCTCGTCTGTGTATTCATGTTTCAAAAGGGAAGTCTTTGTACTATAGGAACAGAACAGTAATGTCAATAAATTCCTATGTCATTTTATACCCTCAGGGCTTTTGTCTATCTCATAAGTGACAATTATAGTGGTCACATCAGGTCATGATTTCGTGGCTTGGCTGTAAAGACTTTCTATGTACACAAATTCCATAAATAATAAATATGTTTAAAAAGACGAATTTCAGAACACGTCATGGTAGCGTGTGCAAGGAAACGTGATTATTAAAGACGTAATAATGTCTGTAAAGACAGATTATTCGTATAATGAAATATGTCACATGAGTCCTCTTCTAAACAATGCAATTAATTTTCTGAGAATGTACCGGATATACATTAGTCAATATGGTAATTAGCAAAAGAAGGTTAGTTCAATGGGTACAGACAGCGCGCGGGAATATCCATCGTTTTTTACACTGTTAATTTTCCATTTTGTCCGTTTTTTCGTTTAGCGGCTGGTGCTACAACCCTTAGTTCACTTCGAAACGTCCACTTTATGTGGCGATACATTTATATTTTTATTTACATAAAGTTTTGCTATTACTACAATTAACACGCATGTTTGAAGATTCCAATATGAATAAAATTAGAGACCTACATGTATGTTTAAACCCTTTGTACACACTCTGCGGTGATTAAGTACAGAAATTAGTAGGCTCTATTAATACGTGACGTGACGTACAGTACGACGAAAATTAAAAGCAACACAAGGCTTTCAACATACCCCTGGCCAAGTAACGCTGCTTAAAGGGACTATCCCGATTTGAACAGTCTCAAAAATAAAAGTCCGAGTATGTATAAAATTTAAGCGCCAAAATATAGAGGAATGGTGTATTTATCTTGTCCCAAAAATTCAGCTCAAAATATTGAGTCGTTTGGACGTGAACTCCAAAACTGCTTATCCGGACACGTAACCCTTTTAAGATTTCGGATCAATATTTTCGTTGGGTGACCTAATAATCGCTTCCCGTTCCTTTAGAGGTCTATACAGTGAATGACCAATGTGCTGTACTTGATAACGAAAGGTAAATTTCACCTACACGTTATTTTTATAAAATAAAAATCTAGTTTTATCCAGATACCGCATAATACAGCTTGGGACACCGGTCTCCATTTCTAGATTAAGACTGATGGGTTTAAGTTGTTTGAAAACGTATCACATATACTGAGTTAGTTGCTCGGCCCTAAGGTAGAGGATTATAAGGGATTTTAACACAAAACTGAACAGTTTTATTCTCCAAAATATTATCGGGATTGGCCCTTTAATCTCTATATGACAGATATCTCACAAGGGCCTATGCCATGTAGTGTGCTATGGGAGAATTTTTGCAAGGACTTATTCAGGGGCGCACAACAGGAGCTTAGTCCAGATAGGCAAATGAGCCGATGTGTCTGCCGAGTGGGTCCTTTTTGTTTTTCGGGAAAATGGGCCGGTTTGCCGGAGCCTCTTGCACATTCAATTAAACCAAAAGTTTGTATTGTCAAGTATTGGGCGAAGTTACTCCGTGCTCATGAGGAAACTCCTATGCACCGTAGACAGTGAACATCTTACATTACATGCAAATGATGATGATCACCGCTTGTTTTTTTTTTGTACTCTATTTTTAGAAATACGAATTTTTAGATTATGCGGCGTTTTATTGATATCGTGGGCCGATTTGATTAATTTTTGTAATGCTGAGAGTGGGCCTATTTTTTTATTGTCAAGTATTGGGCGAAATTACTCCGTGCTCATGAGGAAACTCCTATGCACCGTAGACAGTGAACATCTTACATTACATGCAAATGATGATGATCACCGCTTGTTTTTTTTGTACTCTATTTTTAGAAATACGAATTTTTAGATTATGCGGCGTTTTATTGATATCGTGGGCCGATTTGATTTATTTTTGTAATGCTGAGAGTGGGCGCCCCTCGCCCCCCTTCATGGAGAATAGAATATGTTTGTGCGAATACCAACTGTCATGGGTTCTTTTACGTGCACGCCAATGTATACTACACGGTATCTCGGTTTTTCATCATATTCGAATGACTATACGTCGTACCTTGCCACCATCCTGCACCACTGATGGGGGGGGGGGGCACGCCGGATGCCGATGAACTTTCTCAGCCAATATCGGAATGGAACACGGGAACTCCAAGTTAGCGACTCAACGCCTTACTCACTGGGCCACCGGGGTTTCCGAGAATTAACAATTGAGAGTAGTGTGCCCATAAGGTCACTTAATAATATATCAACATTTATAGAGCACATAAGCACAATAATTCTAAAATCTCTAATGCGCTGCCATCATCGGTATCCCCAGTGGTTTCATTCCGTTCAACTCCACTAACCCCTGGGTTAATCTGTGGGGGAGACACGTTTTCAAGTTATCCGCCCTTGATGATTGTGCTATTTTTATCAACCAATCCCATAAATCGCTAATCGAAAAGGAAGTTGGCAAAGGGAAGTAACTCGGACAATGTTTGGAGTTAGCCTAAATGCGACAAGTCCTAATTATTCTAAATGCGTATTTCTTAACAAATTATATAGTATTATATTAATGAAGACCGAGCGTTTATGTATGTGTAATAGTTTTATTGAGAATCATTCGTTCGTTCGCGGAGGTTTATTTCCACGTAATATCGTAGACAGATTTTCATGACTCAAATTGCCAAGTATAAGTTCAATAATAATAAACAAAACAGAATGAAATATTTCAGACAAAGACCGAATAGTAATAATAATAACAAAAGTCAAACATATAGATGTTATACATATTTCAAATCATCGAAACATACTACAGATTTTGATTATACAATTAAATATAAATAAATTAGAAATATATACATTATTTACATAAATCATTCAGTAAATGGACATGAATATGATTATCTACCCTTATAAAAACGAAGGCGAAAGGACAGGTTTGTAAACTGTTTTTTGATTGGTTCGTAGACTACAGCTACAATCAAGGCCATGGCAGATAATTTGAAATCGTGAAAACCCTATGGATTAACCGAGGGTATAATGGAGTAGAACGGAATGAGTACACTGGGGATACCGAGGATGATGCGCTGCTGGTTCCAAAGTTATCACAGGGATTTCGGGACAGAAATGTTTTGCGCTGGGATTTGAAGGTTTCCTTGGATTTTGAAAGTCTTAATACATGTGTATAATTATAGCTGACCAAACTAACACACATTGATGGGCGGACCTTTCGGTCGCAGAGGTTAAATGGGGTATTAACTGGTGCTAATAAGAGCTATTTTAATGAGATTTTATATTGCGGGTTTAAACTTTTAAAAGTCAATTTAACACCTGGGTAAGCGACAAACGCGAAGGCGTGTACATGTATTTAAATACGACAAGATTAATTAGCATTTAGCAGGCAATTATAATATTGATATATATACTAGAAGATCAAGTTTAACAGTCCGTGTTAGATGTCCATTTGTCATTTTTAACACGATATTCGCTAAAGATAGATTCAACCATCGTGATGGTAGACTACGCCTTATAAAACCAAGTCAATTAATTTGCGACCATAGCATGCATAGTCTAAAAAAGAATAAGATTTTTTTTTCTAGGAAGATTGTTTACTGGGCTTTATAATAATAAGTAAATTAAACCAAGAACACAATTATGCGTAGTCAGAACGAGAAATACCATTCTTTTTTTTACTCCACATGTAGTAAGATTGTTTACTACAGCCCAATAAAAGCTGGACTATAATGACGCAAAGACTGAAAAAGAATAAGAACTTTTATATTCTAACAAAACTAAGTTAATCAAATCACGCATACAGTCTTGAAAAATATTAAGATTTTTATTCTAGCAAGAACATGATTTTTAACGATGTCTAACAAAACCAATTTTACGTGACTTTATTGAAGGAGAATTGATTTTATCTTGTATTTGTCGTTGTTTACCATGTATATTGGAGTCTAGGTACAATTTTTGATTATCGTCTGCCAACTTCTGGACGTTTAGATATCTCTAAGTTCTCACAACCACTAACCATTAGATCAACACAAATAAAGCGCTCACTCGAGCAGACAAACTGCCGTTTTGTGAAACTCATGAGTGCCCCCCCCCCCCCAATCAAGTATTTTTCAAGTAAGATTGATTGTCTCTACATACTTTCGAGTGAATTCATCTTTAAATCGGGGTTATTATTATACGCAGCCTGAGAGAGAATACTAGTAGGAATAGCACCGTAGGCTATAACCTTAAAAAGCAATTGCAATTAAAAGAAATTAAATCGCGACTATATATTCACATAGCCTATAGTGATAAAGGTATTTATTCAATCGAATGAAAACTTTCATATTGATTTTTGAATTTTGTTCTGTTTTATTTTTGGTACAGCCTTTTTTTTATAATGGCGTTGTTTTTATAACTCACGTTGTCTGTTAAAGAGCACATAAAATGACCATATAACAAAATTATGAGTACTTAAAGCTAGTGTCTATTAATCATATACACTTACAGCAATTAATTCAAATCCTTTTATAATTAATTGAGACAAAACGTGCAATCAACAAAACTAGGTCAGTGCGGGAATAACATATGGTTCAATTCTACTTCAACAATTCGCTTGCGCGAATGCGTTCTTAATAGTGGTAGGAAACCGGAGGACCCGGAGAAAACCCACGAGGTTGGACAGGCGATCCTACTCCTTGTGGCGAACAAGCAGGGAATCGAAACCACGACACTTGACTCAATGACAGACCTTCTGATCTAATGCTCACGCGTTAAACCATTCGAACCCCCCCCCCAACCCCCCAACCCGCTTGTAATCGAAAAATTGAAGTGTTTTAGTGCGTTTGAAACATAACCGGTTATGTATCGAATACATGTAGTTTTAATAATATTGATCTGAAATTGCTGTATAGCATTTATAGTTTTGAACCTACTCCAAATGGCAACAATCCTTAGGGAGCCGATTTTTGAATTTTGATTTCATTTACATGTACTTCGATTTTACTTTGAACTTTCTTCGACTTTTCAACTAATTTTCGACAGTGCCCTTTTTTACTGCTGAAAGTGCCTTTTCTCAGACCCAAATATGTCCGTTCCCAACCCGTTGCAGGGACCCCAAAAGACTAAAACCATCGACTCAAACACACCAGTCTGGTCTAATTAATGTTTCCACTTTCAAACGAATTCTTGTTGTTTAGCTGACGTTGCCCTAATCCTATAGAGTGACTATAGACAGACATCAATGATAGCAGCTTGGTTCTCCCTTGTCAGTGATGCAGGACGGAGGGGCTGACAAGGAAAGCTGTCTAGTCGTTCGGATGGGACGAAAAACCGAGGTCCCGTGTACACATTGGCGTGCACGTAAAAGATCCCTTGACAGTTGGAATTCGATATAAGAGTAGGCCGTAGTGCCGCTGTCCGGGCAAAATTTCCCTCATAGCACACTGTATGGCGTATGCCCGTCTTCATTAGCCCAGGTTAGGAGCAGAACAGTAGGACGTTAAACTCCATTTCATTTCATTTCATGATAGCAGCTTGTGGAATCGGCGGCGTATACACTCATGTCCATCACCGACGCGCATGACACGCGCATGAGTGCAACTTGATGTAGCATTGTTTCATGTACACAGTACAAGTTACAAGGCTTAAATAGTGAAGTTGCTAGGGAATAGATTCGTCTTTTTTCCCATCATAATGCCTCGCTCGCCTTGACAATTTTCGAGTAGCATGTTCAATTTCCGAACGTTTACTTAGACGAAAATATCAGCCAAATAACTCTTGGAATGGCTACAGATTCAAAGAAATGACGGATAATTTTCTTGGGGTTGAAAACCCCCACCCCTCTCAGCGACGTGCCCCGTCTCCGCGGTCAGTGCCCTCATTTTGCGGCGCCCCCCCCTTTTCAAAATTCATAGATCCGCCCCTGGTGTTACAAAATGGGGGGGGGGGGGGGGGGTCTGTAAATATTGAAATGGCGATAACTGTAAAATTTGTTGATAAATCTATAATTGGAAGAGAAATCATGTAATTATGTTGCTATAGTTGTTTAATACCTTTACTCACCTGTTCTTTATTAGAGAGTCGACCGGACGCACCCAGTCCTATCAGTATTCCAGATATAATTGCCACACCCACTATGCCACCTATTATAATATACTTCATGCATGATCCAATATTGTTTAACGGTTTAAAAACCGATCCCGCCTAAAAACAAAAGCACAACATCAGCATTTGAACTTCTGAATTCCCAATATTATTATTGATCTTGAATAGTACAAATCATCTAAATCATGCTTGTCAATGGGATATGAAACGTAAATCAACTTCAATGCCAACAGACGCAATCATTGCGTATTGATATAAAATGGCATATATGTCTTTGAAGAAGACCTTTGAATATACGTGATCATTGCCAAGACACTGATATTCAAGATCTTTTACACGTCTGCAAAAAATATGACCATATGAACTTGCGATGCCTGTCGGTGTAATCTCTCAATCGGTGGTAATTGTAGCCATATTTAAAGCAGCTAAGTCTCTAACTCAATATCATCAAAAATCTTCGACATTGAAAACACGAATTATTTGTCAATTCAAATCAACATTGGTCTTGTGATCTTACAAGGAAAAGATGGGTTTCTGATATCCAATATTCAAGACAAAATAAACATTTTAACATTGGTACACGAATCGTGTACCATAATGCGCTTTAGCGCCATTTGGAACAAGGGACTCAAAGAACAGGGCTAGACATATTCCACAAGTCATGTCAAATGGTGACGCTATATTCTTATCTGGAGAGCATGCGCAATAAATACCATCGGTGTAGACTGGAAAAAACAGACGCTAAAGATTGCCAATCACATGAGACTTCTGGCGTATTTCGCCGAACATAACTGATTAGACATTACAGTAAAAACAGAAACGACTGAATGTAAATCAGTTTATATATATTCATATTACATTATTATATGCGTTGCTACCCATTTGTGTCAATTTCTAGGTGTCAAATATTAGTGATTTAGCTCCTTTAATGCCCACAATAATGCATATCGCTATCATTATTTAGTTAATAATTATTATGTCCCTGACTTTCAATTAAAAGAATTCATTTATAAACTAAATGTATGGTATATGGATCAAGATACACCCATTACTGTTAATTACATTCTGTGTAATAATTCAACGCTACCCCGTAACAGTGTCACATTTACCTATATTCTTGGCAGAATAAAACTGGTCCACCAGTCAACCCAAATCATCCGAAACAGGTGGAACAAGCTGTTAGGGACTATCCATACCCTGAACCATCAAGAAAACACATTATTTATAGTCTCTAATATATGTAAATCATGACCACCAGCAACAGCGTCGTGCATTTGCAACGTATGTGTACTTATAGGAGTGCGACAAACAGTATACTTCTATAGCCATAATATGGCGACCTGTAACCAGAGGGATGTGAGTCTGGCATAATGTGATTCTGTCGTATGTGATTACCCATATTTTGAGTAATTCATTCTTTGTATGTGTATTTATCTGCTAAAAAAGACTAAAATTTGGCCAAAAATATTGCTAAAATCGGCTAAAAAGTCCTACTACTGTGTATCTGTATATTCAAATCGGCTATATATTTTGAGAAACTATTTGACTCAGAAGTAGCCTCTTCATAGGTGATTAAATCCTGAGAATTTAATAATAAAAAAAAATCAGTTGACCCCCACTTGCTCGCTCTTCTGAATGGTTTCCTCATATAAATTTAGCCCACATATAAGGCGTTTCCATTAGACAATACAGACTCAACTCGAATAGAATCTTCAGAGACACTTGAGAGTAAATGATACGATCGTATATTTAGTACGTAATTAGATGACTTTAATGGCATATTTGAAACCTTTATTGCTTATTTTAAATTATTAAAACTTTAATACTCGTCCTCTGTTCAAGCCAGGGGAATTATAATCCGTGAGATATATTTCGTTTATAATAAAACTACTTCTATTTTTTAAATATAAATAAAAAGAGAAACTTACTCCTGCACCCCCATATAACTAAACAAAAGATAATATGGGAAATTGAAAAAAAAATCAAGGACTTACCTCTATATCCACCGCCATTATTACAACATAAAATACGAAATGTTCACGATCTGGTAACAGAATTATGATTGTGGGTTTGTTTAGTAGCTTTTAAAACAAGTCCTGATTATCACGTTTTATTGGTCATAGTAAGTTAGAGGATGAGTCAGTAGTTGTCAGTTGTCGGAAGAAATAATGTCATCCTTTAATGTCAACAACGAGAAAATAACAACCATATATCAAATCCATTCAACCAAAACAAAGCCTTATCCTTTTAAACATTTAGCAATGTTCGCCAAGATTTGTGAGTGTGCCATTTTAAAATCATGTATCCACCCCTGCGAGTCATGGAGATTAAAGTTTTATGTCTCCAATATCCCCGTCAGACCGTGGTGGCATCCTTACTGTGCTGCTTTGGCGACAGAAAATGGTCTCAGAGCGCGTCAAGATCGCCACGAGCGTGCTAAACGCGTGGTGGAACCGCTTGTTATCGTGTTGTGGTCTCTATGGTCGACAATGATCGCCGAGTCAGGGCGTTTGTTTTGAGCACGTTCAAAACAAACGCCAAGGTTCTGCGATCTGACCTGGAAAGCTTTGAGAACGTAGTGGGGTCGCGAAGGTCGCGAGACAAGCGTGGTAACATCTCTATGAACGTAGTACACATGTGGCAAAGATTGCACCATTTGCAACGTCGACTTCATGGCATCTTCACCACGACCCTCGCGTGTCTGCCACGACCCCACCGACCGTTCGGGGTCCTTATGGCGTTGTCATGGCGATGTTACGATGATTCCACCACTGTTGCACGATTGCACCACATCCTCATGGGGCTCCTAGTGCGTCTGTGGCGATCTTATGGAGTGCTCAATGCGTTTATGAAGTTCTTAATACGACCATCGCGCGGTTACCAAGCTTGCATTACGATCCTATGGCGACCATGCTTTTCATGTGCGACTTGCTATAAAACAGGCGATTCGAAGTTCATACGTCAGTCTGTATGTCGTCATCTTGAACGTGATCACGTGGTAGAAACGCACGCGCAGTCGCAATACACTTTTAAGGTGTGTGGTATGAACCCCATGGCCGTGGTTAGAGCGCCGCGAGTTTGCCGATGATCGCCGTTGCCACGGCTAAATCTATTTGTTATGGCCAACTCAATTCTAGTCAACGTCGCTGAGACGTAAATAAGGTTAAGATGCGTGATCGTTGGTGTGATTGTAGGTTTGGGTTTTCGTAAGCATTGGGGCTAGGTCCAAGGTTATGGTTAGGGTTTCGATTAGCGACCCTATACTCCTTGTCACGTACAATCGGGGAATCGAAACCACGCCAGTTGACTCTATTAGTAAGTGCAGGCGAACCGCACTAGACGCAAAACAAAAATCTACAAGATAAACCTGCGGACAAGACAGAAAATAGACATTGCAAAAAAAGAAACACATATCAAATCAAGTGAATGGATCCGGGGGCCAGCCGTAAGCGTGCACTGCGCTGTACAGCCCCGGTTCTGTTATGGTACAGGCTTCACTAAAAATGATTTACAAAAAAGACGTAACAGAAATAATGACAGACCCTGTGATACAACGCGCATGCACTAATCATTCGGCCATCCAACCACCCGCACAACAGTAAGGACGCCTCTGACGGGGGCATAATCAGCAAACGACACAGTGGGCTATATGTGTGTATAACAAAGTTTCATTAAGATATTTTGATCAGTTTATATTTCAGAATCAAATTGTTTACCAAAGACTAAGTCAACCTTGTTTCTTTGGAAACCCAAAGACTATTAAAACCTGGAATTTTCAAATTGACAAAAGTCACAAATACTATTATAGAGTGGCTTTTGTACAAATGTTCGCAAAAAGATTGCACATATTATTGCACATTTTTGCTGGTTTACGCCAATTTTAGTAGAAATCATTATAGAAGTGAGATGGGTTTTCTGTACAATAACATCGAGCATGGACAGTATTATTGACATGTAAATCTTAACCCAGTGTTCAATGATTTTCTATAAAAATGACCGGTTCCAATGACCTCCAAGTAGGTTTTAAAAACTATATAAATATATCTATCGCATGAAAAAAATAATACAGGTAAAGGTCAACCAATGGTGTTATTTAGCCCAAAATTGTGCCTTTGTATGGATTTAGGTATGTAAGTAACTTTTCCGATTCATAAGAAATTCCAAAATTTGAACTGATACCGAATTCTTGGTGTTTAAGAGTAATGTGGGAGATTGAAAGAAATACATCTTTAACGACTGATGTCATTAAGATTTACATAGCGGGTCAACGGCTTTTACCCTATATCTCCGGAATCCAATCGACGTAAAACGCAAACTAGAAAAGTACCCCCAAAACGGGGACAGAATACATATTTAAATCTTTAAAACTAAATATAAAATGTCTGTTGAAGTTAAAGATTTTTATCCATTTCTATCATTTCCAAGTTCAAACTGATTAGCTTCAAATTTCTGTGTTCGTCCCTACCGCCAACCCAAGCAGCTTGCATGCCTAAACACACTGTGTACTGAAGGCTTGTTGAATCATTCACTCCAAAATGAAATGAAATAGGGTTTAACGTCCTACTGTTCTGCTCCGACTGGGCTAATGAAGACGTGTTTAGGCATGCAGGTCTTTCTTTAGGCCTGAAATGTTATATAAGCTATTAATTAGACATTTATTTACAAAACAAGACCATAATCAACTATCGATGGCATCGGATACTCGAGCTTTTAACTAGATTAGAACGGTTCGTCATTAAAAGATTTAATCTAAAATTAATGGGAAAGCGAGGCCAAGTCCCGAATATAAAAGTGCCCTGGTTACAACAATGCACACATCTTGTCAAAACTACAAACAGTGATAACATGGCTCAGAATGGGGTAATTTGAATGAAATTTTCAATATTTTCATTTTACATTATCTATTTTTGAGCTATTATAGCAAGAATGGCTAGCTCTTTATTGGAATCTTAATTACATAATGTATCTTTAACAGGTTTAATACCCCCAGCCTGGATTCCAAAGAATTGTGACCGGTCTAGTTATATTCTATAATGAAAAATTTGTAATGAATAAGTGACGCATTTGGCAGTCATTGTTAATTATCAAATCTGAAGACTTGACCTTTAATTGTTCTGTGTACGTACCTGTTAATTCCACGATGACTGTTGAGTTTAATACTATCTATCACAGTTGTAGTCCACATGCGTCAGAAAAAAATCAGAGAAAATATTCCAACCAATCAAACACCGTTACAAAAACTATGGAAATACTCTGCTAATCATTATTTGTTAATCCAGATATCGAGAGTCATTGTGGTTAGAAGAATTTGTGTCTCGTTTTTGAAACAAGAAAATGGCCACAACAGTTACCGGACCTTACATACCTAACAACTTCACATCACCTACATTAAGTGAATGGGAACAAATGAAAATAGATTTTAAAATAAAACCGTTATCGGATTCTGGCTATCTTGGTTCAGCTATTTATCTAACATGTCTTGGTAAGTAAATTTATTTATTGGGGGAAGAGTCCTCTGTGACCGCTATGGTCTAACGCGTACATTCTAGATCATAAGGTCTGTCATTGAGTCAAGTGGTGGGGTTTCAATTCTCAGGTGTAGGGTTGCACGTCTCGTTTCCTCCAACCCTAGGAATTATTGAAATATAATTGAACCATGTTATTCCCGAAATAACCTACCTTATGTCGATTGGACGTTAAACTCTTTGAATGTTCGATTGTGGAGATAAAGCTTCAGCTTGAGCTACATCAATAAATACACTTTCCCACTTATAAGGAGTGACTTGCAGAGGACCAGGCATGCTTAATCCTTTACAGTACCTAATACCAAGTCTCATTTTTTAGTTCACGTGGTTAACAGAAAAGCAGTGTTTTTATGCATGGTAATGTTTTAGGACTATTTAGTACATAAGTTTTACATTTATGTATTTAAAAAATTTGAATTTTATTGCCTGTAGGGTCGATTGCGCAATAAACTACCCTTTCCCTAGCCGACAATCGCATTCCATAAAGTCCAATTCATATGCAGACAAGTAGGACAATAAACCTCATTTTATTTCATATACAAATGGTTATCTTCTATACTAATAATTGTGACTGTCGTTTGTCTGTCTGTTTGTCTGTCTGTCTGTTCGGAATTGGCGGCTACACTAGGTCTGCCCCGAGTCTGAAATTTGGGGTATAGGGGTAGCTCGGACCGAGGAGTAACATAGGCCAGGTGGCGTTAGTCTACCACTTCCGGTTTCGGGGTTATGACCCCCGAGCGAAGCCGGGCATTCTTCTAGTAACACCTAAACCAATCCGCATACGCTCAACCAGAATACTAAGACCAGTCTACCAATAAGAGGCTCACGTGATGAGAACGCCGACTTCAGACAAATAATCAGATGGTAATATAGTACAACTTAAAAATAAACCGAAACGTATTTACACAAGTGATTTTATAGATTGTGACAAATACACTTGATTCGAATGCAGGGTTATTTACATTTTCAAAGACGAACCTCGAATCTTTCTACTGCTATCAAATTAATAAAGCTACCACGTATCAATATTTGTACATTGTTCGCCGACATGCGACATCAATAAATAGTATTGTTTTTAGCAATCCCAGATTACAAATAGTTCCATCAAAGTATAAGGTGGCGTATTTCAGGGGAATTCTTGTGAAGGTGTTTAAAATTCCCAGAACATTCTAGAGGATAGGAAACTGCCAAAACAGTGCCTAAATTTTATGGTTGCTTAATTGCTGTCAACAATCACAACAGCCAAAAAAATGTATGGTATGGGTAAGATTAATAAGAGACAAACATTTCTGAATATGAGCTGCTTAATTCTCTGGTTATTGAACAAATTATTAGAATGTGGTCAATGTGGTATTCGTTAATATAACAACATAGAGATGTGTTACTAAGGATGTGGTCTTGTTATGGCATCACACTACATTGTGTGATAAACATCCAGTCAGTTAAATGTACTAATTCGTGAATAATTCGTGAATAATACAAGTACTCACAGGTAGTTACACTTACACGATTATACAGACAAATTTTAATCAGAATGTAAGTTATTTTGAGACGAAAATAACAATATGATCAAAACAAATGTATAAAAAAACCAGCGCTTCCATTGTGTATCACGATGAATAATTATTTACCAGGCGAAATGCCAATTTCCACTTTTCTGGATCTGGTGACATTTATCATTAAAATTTTGTAAAAGTGATACATCTTGAGCTAACAGGTAATTTAAAATACATTCATGTTTCATGGTTCGAATAACTTAAATTAAAGCTGTCCCACCCACTCAAACTATAAATAAATAAAGAAGGCTTCCATCACAAGCAAAAGAGTTTGCTAGAGAATTATACTGAATTTTTAAAAACTTATATTATTATTTACTTTCTGTTTTCGTGTAGGTATTTTTTCAACCATAGGTAACAGTTTAATTATAGCGATGTTCCTTAAAGAAAAGAAATTAAGGATGAAACCACACAACTTATTACTCTTAAACCTTGCTGTATCTGATTTGGGCATCTCCCTATTTGGTTATCCTTGGACCACTGCTTCTTGTTATGCCGGACGTTACTTATTTGGTCGAGTTGGTTGCACTATCCAAGGCTTTATGACCTTTACTTTAGCCCAAACAGATATGAATACATTAGCTTGTCTAAGTTTTTATAGATATATCAACATCTGTAAACCTCACCACAGTAAGTATAAACCATTATTATAACATGACAAGCAAAACAACACATGACCACTAACAATTTGTTGTTTTGGTCAACTTTTAATGTGTACGACATATTTAACAAAATCTAGAACTGTCTAGAAATATAAGCTTTTATCTGATTAAAACACAGATCCCATTTCGTTTTGTTTTTTTATAGTTCAAAATTTCGCTTCATTTGTAATTACTACACTAAGATCTGTAAGGGGTGTTATATTATCGGCGTTTTTGTTGAGGGGAGGGATACGTCAATGACACAGTCTGTTACGGCGGAACTGTGGGTAAACCACTAGAAACGTCCACGCTTACATCAGCCGATTGCAGATCTTTCTTTTGGCCACAAATGTTATATAAATTATTAATTAGACATTTATTCACATGACACGCCCACAATCAACTCTCTAGGCTATCAGATGGTTGTGATTATTAATGGATTTAAACACGATTGCCATTTAATAATTCAATTTAAAACTTGATTATCGAGACTTTGTTTATTATCGTAACAATGGTAGCAATGGAAATCGAAACTACACTATTTTCTATCAAAACTGGAAACATTCATAACTTCGCTGGGAATAATAAGTAATTTGAATGAAATTTTCAATATATTCCCTTTTCATTATCTATTTTTAAACCATACCGAGAACTGACAGCACTTTATCTATATCTTACTTAATGAAATAAAATTACTTGAACGTAACAATTCAATTTATAGGATCTCTGGTTTTTGTGTGTTTCTTTATTTTTGTTTTTAAATATATTATCTTTTATTACAAACTACAAGTTAACAACTTTAACTACTAAATGGGTGATATCATTAATGTGGGCTTATTCCCTTGTATGGACGGTGCCACCGTTATTTGGATGGAGTTCCTATATCCCGGAACCCTTTGGAACTTCTTGTAGCATAGATTGGAAGAATGGCGAACTGTTACCGGCCCTCTACACGTGGCTTCTCGTCATCTTCTGCTACCTAATCCACATTGCTATAATGGTTTTCTGTTATTACCACATATCTGTCCGGGCTAGGGAAGTACAGAAAAGTTTGTCAGATTCTGTTTCCAATCCTCGAGGTACGGATGAAGTTAGATGTTTTCACAGAATAGCTATGGAGAAGAAAGTCACCTTGGTAAGTCTTCACTGACACTATACACATTACCGACAAAGCACAATGACGTTCTATTATTTCCACAATTATCTGTGAAGAAAATATTTTGGTAAGTGTTCATTGTGTCAGGAGTAAACATTATGGTCACTCCAACGACATCACCGTGCGGCTCCGTATCGAATAGGGGATCACGTGGCTAAGTGGGTAAGACGCTGGCTCGCTAGCCTGGGGTCGGGTGTTCGATCCCTGCATTGGCCGAGAAAAATTCATCGAGATTTTCCGGCGTGGTTCCCCCTTGTCAATGATGCAGGACGGAGGGCTTGACAAGGACCGCTGTCTAGTCCTTCGGATGATACAAAAAACCGAGGTCCCGTGTATACATTGGAATGCACGTAAAAGATCCCTTGGCAGGTGGAATTCGATATGAGCGAATGCCAAAAAATAAAGATTATGCGACTTGATGATCGGAATTCGTTTATTTCCCGCGTATTTTTTTTTTATTTTGCTGTAAGAATTAGAACTACCGGAAAATTCACAAGGAAACGAAGAAATGCTGTGTGCTGATAATACGAGTAGGCGTCTATTTTAAATGTCATTTAAAAACATCTCTTCTATTCTCATATGAAAATAATAATCGTCATATTGGTCATTGATATTTTTTATCTCGTGCTTTGTTTAATTCAGACATATTTTACTATAAAGTATTCATTGATCTCTAGTTTGTATTTATGATTCTTTACTCATCCAATTCTTTATAATAATACCACAATTTACAACTTCGCCCGTTTATTTTGTATTTTGTTCTATTTTAAGCCTATAAATCCATTTATTTTTGTATAATATTGTATTCAAGATATAGACCTAATAGACTCACTGGCCTACTAAGAGCAAATCACCGGCGTCTGCTGAACACTTTGAAAATGTGTAGGTCTACGAATCGTCAAGGAGCCGCGGTTGTTAGTGAGTATGCAGCTGGCACGCTAACCATGAGGTCTCGGGTTCGCCCCCGGTGTTGGCCGAAAAAGTTCCTCGGGATTTTCCGGCGTGGTTTGCCCTTGTCAGTGATGCAGGGCGGAGGGCCCGACAAGGACAGCTGTCTAGTCATTCAGATGGTTACGAAAAACCGAGGTCCCGTGTACACATTGGTGTACACATAGAAAAACCCTTGGCTGTTGGAATTCGAAATAAGAGTAGGTCGTAGCGCCGCTGTCAGAGCAAAATATCCCTCAAAGCACACTGAAAGGCGTATGCCCGTCTTCATTAGCCCAGTCGGTGCAGAAAAGCAGGACATTAAACCATTATATTTATGCCAAAATGGATTTCTCGATCTTTATAGGGTCCGTTATTTTGAACTACCTTATTACGCAATTTAAAATTACCAATGGTGATACAAGCTCACCTCTCACTATTATTAATTGTAGATTTCCCTCGCAATGACTGGGCTGTTTATTCTGATCTGGGCACCGTACACCATCGTATGTCTGTGGTCGGTTTATGATAAGAACCTACCAATATGGATTACAACATTCCCTACCATGTTTGCTAAAAGTTCATGTCTGTTAAATCCACTACTTTATTTTCTGACGAACTCGGCGTTTAGACAATGTATATGGAGAATGTTGAATTGTAAATCACCAATAAACATCATCAATGTCCGGAGGTGAATGGTTTAATTTTATTTTATCTCAACCTGATAAATGTGGCTCGGTGAGTAAAGTCCTGGTGTTGATCAAGAAAGTTCCACGGGATGTTCATGCCTGGCTCCTCCTTGTGAGACAGGGCAACGAAAAGCATCTAGTCGTTTGAATAGTACAAAAATACAAGGTCTCCCTTATACCCCCGCCCCTACACCCCCACCCCCTTACTCAATATAAAGAGTGGGTAATAGAGCCGTTTTCAGAGCAATATTCACCAATATTGCTAGCCTTCTTCGTTAGCCCAAGTTTATCTGTTTAGTGTAATCATTTTACATAATATACGAACATAAACACAGGAAAGACATTACCAAGTACTTCTGGGTTAATCTGGAAGTGGTATATTCCACTTTAGGTTATTTAAGGTATCTCGTCTATAATTGGAATTCATCGGCTATCGCAAATATATCAAGGATGTTTTCTGCAAATTACAAAACTGACATGTAAATCTAGACTATTTCATTTTAAAATGGAAAATTACGTAAAAATGTTCATATGAAACATTACACCCCTAAAACGTGCTTTCAACTTTAGAATAGCTTTGAGACTCTACATCTGAATGGGTGTTTTTATAGTTTTAATTATTTCTAATTTTACTTCATTAGAGGATGTATAATAATTATTATTATTCCTTATTTACAGTCGAGTTGAGACAAGCTATAGTGTTAACAGAGAGAGGGGTGACATTTACATTGGTAGCACAGTCATACGAATACAGCATGTCGAATCAACTATATTCTGAAGGGTTGGGCGTCATTAATGGACCCAGGAGATGGACAATACCGACGCAGCAAAAGTATATTTACGAGCAAATTGGGAGGTCTCATTGAATAAATGAAAGCATGAACTAATAAATGAATGAATGCATGGACTAATAAATACAAAAATGTGGTTAAAATATTCGTAAGAAAAGAATGACAAATGTGTTGTCAGATGTTATTATTAATGTCATATCGAAAAGAGACAACGCTTTTTATATATATAGTTCATTTAAATCTATTTATGTAGCTAATGTATATTTAAAATACAAATCTGACACCATCCTTTGATGTTGGCGTACCATTATTTCAAATAATGGTATGGGAAAATTGTCAATCGTACATTATTTATACTAGTAAAATACTGGACTCGCGTGGCGCATTTCATTGCAAAAGCACGTGTCTGTATGGTTTGTTCTCACTTTCCCAGCAGATTAACCCTACTAATTAAGCGGATTAGGGATTAGCTATAGATTAGTGAGTTATACTCTGTTTTAATTATTGCATGAACAGTTCAATTTAACCTATGACATGTGTGAACTATAAATCACTGTCTGATTTTTCGTTCATATGTCAGTTTAATTTTATACTTAATTACGATGAACACTGTTTGTGATAAAAGTTTATTAAATAGTCGAAAGTTCAAAGTGTATGTCATTCCAAAATGGCTAATGCACACGTAAACGTTGGGTTCATTCTAAACTCGAGAGGTACTCGAAGCCTAGTTTATGATAATTATAAGTTTAGTGTTAAGACAAGAAGAGGAGCCCCCATTAACTGGAGGTGTACTATTCGTGAATGCCCTGCTACTTGCAATACCAGGAATGACCTGGTTACTACCTACAGAAACATCCATAATCATCAAGCTGATCCAACCAAATTAAAAGTTGACATGTTTTTATCAGCAATGAAAGAATCGGTTAACGCAGATTCTAAGCCAATTCCAGCAGTTTACCAAGAAGACTTTATATAAATTTGTTAATAAAATAACTTTTATGTAAAGTGGTTAATATTGATATGAAAAAGATTATAGTTTTAACACCATTGTTACCCTAATTAGTACTGGTCCAATGATTTTACCTGGAAAACAATAGCTGCTGGGAAAGTGAGAACACCCCGTCTGTATTTTAAGTCGTTTAATGGTCTCGAGCTTAAGACATTGCGTAATATATTGTAAAAACACTCGGGCCTACGACCCCCTTGTTGTTTCAATACATTACTTAATGTCTCGCTCCGACCATTTAACTATGTATAATCTTGTTATAATAAAATTAAAGAAATGATAAAAAGTTAATTTAGGAACTAGATATACTCTTCCAAAAAAAGTAGGGGATATTGAAATGCAAATACCCATGCAGGTTGTGATATGATAAATAGTCATAGACACTTGACATGCTTTGAGAGTATGTTCACAGATGAAGAACTTATCGCACCAACAGAACCACTGAGCTGCACATGCGACACGCAATAGGGCTATACACGTGGGAGGGGTTGATTGTCAAATTTGACACTTCAAGGAAGGGTTGATGAAAGCTGCCGTTTGCTGGTTTATCCTATCCATGTTTGCTTTCCTGTCAGTTCTTGCAAAAGATTTACTGTTGAGCGTATTTTTGCTTTAGTGTGTTGCGTTTAATTTGATCGGGAGACGTGTTCGTCGACGTCAACGTCAACCGACAACACTGCTAGAATTGGCCGTGACACTACAAAAGGAGTGGGTCAGATTGCCCCAAATCGTGATTGGACGGTTGATTAGGAGCATGCCACGACGAATTGCTGAATGCCTGAGGATTGATGGAGCAATTACTCATTATTAAGACACAAATTAAAAACGTCCATTTCACTTTTGATAGTGTATCTCTTTGCGAGTGAAATGAGGCTGTCAGATAAGCCACCCATATGAACTGTTTATGTTCATGTGTAGGCAATTGGCCTGTTATTAACATACACTGGTTATCTCTAATAAAAACAGAAGTACATTCCCGCAGTTTTGTATTGTTTCTGAATATCCCCTACTTTTTTTCGAAAAGTATACATCTTGGAATAACATAGGTGAAGAAAGAATCTTACTGGGAATGGTTAATAATAAATATTTTTGTAAACATGTACTTTGTCTTCTTTATTTATATGAATGAATGATTGAAATGGGGTTTAACGTCCTACCAACCGGGAATACGTCATGCAGTATGCTATGAGGGAAATATTGCCTGGCCAGCAATTGAATTCGAACTATCAGGTGTATTTTTTACTTGCACGCCAACGTGTAGGCCTACGCAAGACCTAAGACTAGATTCACCGTTCATTGTCAGGCCATCCGTCCTGCACCACTGGGTTGAACCTCGGACCTCCAAGGCAGTGCCTTACCCACTGAGCCACCGCGACCCCTCTTACTTCATTCAATGGTTACGTGTGCGAAGCAGGGTACATGTTAATTGTGTTTGGACAATATAGCGTTTCCGCTAGCTCTTCTCAGAGAACGCTAAATCGGAGATGGTCCTGCACAGTTTAGCACATATGACGTCATAATATTTGGGTTGGGGTAAGGGTTAGGACTTGCAGATTTCGTGAAAGTCTCGAGATGTAAACAGGGCTAGCCCTAACCCTAACGCTAACCCTGGACCAAGCACAACCCGGCACCCTTACCCTAACCCACAATCCACACGTCATTATGTGCACGACCGTCTCCGATCTTAGTCTGGTGGCTGTAGTTTTTTGCGAGATTCCGAATCTGTGTGGTGATCAGGCGTTTGAGGAGGCGTTTTCGAGATATATGGGGGTCCAATGTCTACAATTGGAGGGGGGGGGGCAATGTCATTATGTTGACATAAATGATTAGCATGTTATATATTAATAAAACATAAATTCCTAGGACTGTCCATCTCTAAAGAAGTGTGTATGATGCCCCTGGACAACCGTTTTGATTTGTGGCGAAGTGGGGTGGGGTGGTTGCAGGTTTGCGTGTGAGAAGGGGGGGGGGGGAATCACGTCGATTTAAATGATGATTTTCTTAGAGCTTGATAAAACATCTGTAAATGTGTTTATAAGATTCCCATTGTGTGGGGGTGGGCGCCGGGGTGGGTTCCCGAATGGGGAGGGGGCAACATGTGTTTTTGTGGATAGAAATCGTTTGGTTCAAAATTGACCTTACAAGTTTAAAAGTGGTTTCTCGTTAGCCTCTTCGTTCAGTACCTATTTCGTCATTCAATATATTAAATTATAAAGGTACTTCTCAAGAGATCTGGAAATGTAAATCAAAAACACAGTAAATCAGAGACATGTTTATATATTAGTTTATTCTTAGTCTTCATCAGAAGATTCAAAATCAGGGGTCATAATATGAGCGGGATAAATATCTTCTTGGTTGCTGACCAACAGCTCGCATATATATTTTGCATATGCTTCAGATACCAATTCACATTATAAATCTTCATTCCAGCCATGCAGCAAAAGACCACTACGACAAGGTGGTAATAAAGAAAGGTCTGTTATTTTTTTCACCCAGAAAATCTTTCTTCTAGCGTCATCTACTGATGTATATCGCCTTCCGCGATATTTTCTAACTTTGTCCGTTTCATTATCGATCAAAATGTGTATATTTGGATCATTGTTTGCGAGGAGAATGATTGGGATGTCTATTTCGCCCAAGAAAGAACGCAAAATAAAATTTGTTTCAGTGCCTCCATTAATTTGCAATGCGAAGAGGAGTAGGTAAGCTATTTTGGTGTCCTCATGGTTTGTTGTCAGTTCTAGGATATTCTCGACACTTTCAATACTAATCTTGATATATTTTTTTATCCAATCAAGATTAGTATGGAAGTGTCAAGAATATCTTGGCCTACATGCTTTCAGTGGTAACAAGTTTCTAACAATTTTAAAGAGCTGGGACAAACTTTAATAATGTTTCTGGTGACGTAATTGCTGGTTTAGAAACAATTGTTTGTATCATGTACGACGAAAGGCGACTTGCGTCAGCAGATGACACTAGAAGAAAAGTTTTCTGGAGGAATTTTAATTGTGATGAAAAATATCAAACCTTTCTTTCTTTTGTACCATCTTGCCTGAGTAGTCTTTTGCTGCACATTAAACGAAACAATTATGTTGCAACAATATGGAGACAGGCTCCAAAACCAATGATTGAACAAGATGATCCCGCGATACAAGGCTGGAATGAAGATTTACAATGTGAATGGGTATCTGAAGCATATCCAAAGGATATATGCGAGCTGTTGATTAGCCATCCAGAAGATATCTATCCCGCTCATATTATGAACTTTGATTTTGAATCTTCTGATGAAGACTAAGAATAAACTAATATCTAAACATGTCTCTGATTTATGTACATTTCCAGATCTCTTGAAAAGTACCATTATAATTTAATATTTGGAATAACGAAATTCGTACTGAACGAAAAAGCAAACTGGTTAAAATACAACATTTGGTTTATCTTATACTTTCGATAGCCTACACTACATGAAGATCTGGCCAGTTGTACTGGGAGTTCGCGTCAGGAGTCATACGAGCGGCTTTTGACCCTATGACATCAGACATTGGTTAATCAATCAGCGTTGACGTTTCTGGGGGTTTACCCACAGTTCCGTGCAGAGCACGCCAAGAATTCGCTGTAACAGACCGCTTCATTTGGCTAATTTTAAACCAAGTGGTTTCTGTCCCCAAAATTACACCCCGTCACCCGCCCCCCCCCCCCCGGCCCATACAATTGGAATCTTACACCCATATATAGAGGTGTGCAGTGGAATTAAAAAGTAATGTTTTACCAAGCTCAAAGAAATCATCATTCCCCGCCAATTTTACCACCCCACCACCACCCCCACCCTCCATACACGCTCACCTGCGTTTAATTTGATCGGGAGACGTGTTCGTCGACGTCAACGTCAACCGACAACACTGCTAGAATTGGCCGTGACACTACAAAAGGAGTGGGTCAGATTGCCCCAAATCGTGATTGGACGGTTGATTAGGAGCATGCCACGACGAATTGCTGAATGCCTGAGGATTGATGGAGCAATTACTCATTATTAAGACACAAATTAAAAACGTCCATTTCACTTTTGATAGTGTATCTCTTTGCGAGTGAAATGAGGCTGTCAGATAAGCCACCCATATGAACTGTTTATGTTCATGTGTAGGCAATTGGCCTGTTATTAACATACACTGGTTATCTCTAATAAAAACAGAAGTACATTCCCGCAGTTTTGTATTGTTTCTGAATATCCCCTACTTTTTTTCGAAAAGTATACATCTTGGAATAACATAGGTGAAGAAAGAATCTTACTGGGAATGGTTAATAATAAATATTTTTGTAAACATGTACTTTGTCTTCTTTATTTATATGAATGAATGATTGAAATGGGGTTTAACGTCCTACCAACCGGGAATACGTCATGCAGTATGCTATGAGGGAAATATTGCCTGGCCAGCAATTGAATTCGAACTATCAGGTGTATTTTTTACTTGCACGCCAACGTGTAGGCCTACGCAAGACCTAAGACTAGATTCACCGTTCATTGTCAGGCCATCCGTCCTGCACCACTGGGTTGAACCTCGGACCTCCAAGGCAGTGCCTTACCCACTGAGCCACCGCGACCCCTCTTACTTCATTCAATGGTTACGTGTGCGAAGCAGGGTACATGTTAATTGTGTTTGGACAATATAGCGTTTCCGCTAGCTCTTCTCAGAGAACGCTAAATCGGAGATGGTCCTGCACAGTTTAGCACATATGACGTCATAATATTTGGGTTGGGGTAAGGGTTAGGACTTGCAGATTTCGTGAAAGTCTCGAGATGTAAACAGGGCTAGCCCTAACCCTAACGCTAACCCTGGACCAAGCACAACCCGGTACCCTTACCCTAACCCACAATCCACACGTCATTATGTGCACGACCGTCTCCGATCTTAGTCTGGTGGCTGTAGTTTTTTGCGAGATTCCGAATCTGTGTGGTGATCAGGCGTTTGAGGAGGCGTTTTCGAGATATATGGGGGTCCAATGTCTACAATTGGAGGGGGGGGGGGGGCAATGTCATTATGTTGACATAAATGATTAGCATGTTATATATTAATAAAACATAAATTCCTAGGACTGTCCATCTCTAAAGAAGTGTGTATGATGCCCCTGGACAACCGTTTTGATTTGTGGCGAAGTGGGGTGGGGTGGTTGCAGGTTTGCGTGTGAGAAGGGGGGGGGGGGGGGGAATCACGTCGATTTAAATGATGATTTTCTTAGAGCTTGATAAAACATCTGTAAATGTGTTTATAAGATTCCCATTGTGTGGGGGTGGGCGCCGGGGTGGGTTCCCGAATGGGGAGGGGGCAACATGTGTTTTTGTGGATAGAAATCGTTTGGTTCAAAATTGACCTTACAAGTTTAAAAGTGGTTTCTCGTTAGCCTTTTCGTTCAGTACCTATTTCGTCATTCAATATATTAAATTATAAAGGTACTTCTCAAGAGATCTGGAAATGTAAATCAAAAACACAGTAAATCAGAGACATGTTTAGATATTAGTTTATTCTTAGTCTTCATCAGAAGATTCAAAATCAGGGGTCATAATATGAGCGGGATAAATATCTTCTTGGTTGCTGACCAACAGCTCGCATATATATTTTGCATATGCTTCAGATACCAATTCACATTATAAATCTTCATTCCAGCCATGCAGCAAAAGACCACTACGACAAGGTGGTAATAAAGAAAGGTCTGTTATTTTTTTCACCCAGAAAATCTTTCTTCTAGCGTCATCTACTGATGTATATCGCCTTCCGCGATATTTTCTAACTTTGTCCGTTTCATTATCGATCAGAATGTGTATATTTGGATCATTGTTTGCGAGGAGAATGATTGGGATGTCTATTTCGCCCAAGAAAGAACGCAAAATAAAATTTGTTTCAGTGCCTCCATTAATTTGCAATGCGAAGAGGAGTAGGTAAGCTATTTTGGTGTCCTCATGGACAGTCCTAGAAATTTATGTTTTATTAATATATAACATGATAATCATTTATGTCAACATAATGACATTGCCCCCCAATTGTAGACATTGGACGCCCTATATCTCGAAAACGCCCCCTCAAACGCCTGATCACCACCCAGATTCGGAATCTACACAAAAAAACTGGTCTAGAAAAACTTGGTCTCATAAATTCACAGCTTGGGTGGCGACCCCCCCCCCCCCTTCAGCTACCGGACTATCTAGCGTTTTCTAATCTTCTCGGTAGACCTATCGGTTTTTGATAAAAGGCGCCAGTGTTAAAAAGGGGCTTTTTTTCGAAATATAAAAAAACAATCAAATTCGTTAACATAACAAATGTTCTGTCTTTCAATCTAATAATTATTGTATAAATCAATTGAGAATATACAATATTTAGTAAGAATATGGATGACAAGAAGTGCTTCCTTTTTTTCTTTTTCTTTTTTTTTGGGGGGGGGGGGGAGTTGTGCAGTAGCCTTAACTAATTAATTTTCTACAATATCAACATAACAGATAACAAAAGAAAGCAACACACGCGTATATCAGACCTGTTTTTTGTCTGTAAAGCGAACATTTACCCGAATTAAATTCTAGATGATAAAATTTATTTATTTACGTTTTTTAAAAAATTGGACAAGATGCATGTCATTCCCGCATTTTCACATTGTGATTTGGTTGTCGATTTTGTAATTTGTCTTTGACAACAAGTTTAATAAATGAAGCAAGCCTATGATTTTTTGATATCTTTAAAAATACTTTCAGTTGATACTTATAGATAGAAGACATTAACCCCTTTTCAACCGGCAGATTATCTATGTTATTTTGACTTTGTTTTCTTAATTGAATTATTCGAGTTTGGATTAAAGTGTGGACAATTTTATATGTTCGGAAAATGCAAATGAAACAAGGGGACTTTAATTACGGACGATTACAATTTTTTGCGTAATGTTTACAATTGATCGCAATAATTTAGTTAAATTCCATTTCATAACGCCACGCCATCGCTGGCTATTAAATTTATTCATACCGTTTTAAAAGACACATAGACTAATCATAGAACACAACTGTTGTCTAAACCTGAAAGACTAATTTAAAACAGAGTTATGTCCCCTACATAATAAACTTTCATAATAAAAACTATCTTAACTTTTATTAAATCCAGAAGAACACAGTACTATTTAATCGATGAGAAGTTTTAAATATTACTATTATTATAGTAATAGAACCGATTTTAATATTTACGAGCACAACGCGTACAGTATTGCACACTGATCCGCAGTGAATATTTGATATTGTACGAGACTCGTAATTCTCTGTGAAACAGATTGACAATATTGACCTACTAAACCGAAAGTAGAAAATTAACTGCGAGGCAGTTCGGCGGAAAGGAAGTTGTTATCAGGTACTCGTGTAAATTTGTCAGAATTGAATTATTAGCAATAAACATATATTTTATGTTAAAGTTTGTTATCGGGACAAATCACGACTTCAACATAAACACAGTTTATAGAAGTTTCCAATGAAATTAATACTATTTGGCATGCGGTTGTAATACAGGTATTTTTATAGTTGGGTTTGTTTACATTTTTCTCTGCTGCAGTGCAGCCGAGTGCTGACAACTGACAATGACAACTGACTCACCATCACGCAATAGCCACCAGAAAGGTTAGGGAAAGGGTAAAAAACTTCAGAATATATATGGAGACCAGAGGGCATTTCTCAGCTGTAGGCATCTACGAGAACATGCAGGTCTGCTTTTTTTAATTTTGTTAATTTTTCTGCTCTCAGCACTGAAGTGACAGCAGTCAAATCCTGGCTTGACCAGTAGGTCTACCCGTGCCAGTACGTAGGCCTACTGATGGATATTTTCTGACAATCTCATCAACAACATGTCTTCACAGGATTTGTTATCGAGCTGTGCGGCAGTTAACAACTCTCTACTTCATTATAGGCCTACTGTATGTAGCTTTCCTTTATTTGCTTAATCGCTTCACTTCTGGATTCTTCAGGTCATTATGATTAGGGACCTTTCGCATCGGTACGAAAACGAACATATGTTCGTTTACGTTTTCGTATCCTCTAACACGCGGTTTCGCAATCCGATGTACGACAATAACTAGATGGCGTTAATTTCCACTTCATGAACTTCTCGGTCAAGGCAAAGTTTTCAATCGATTTTTCGGCAGATATACAACAAATCAAGCAGAATATTCCTTGTGAACACATTCTACGAACGCTACACAATAAACAATATACACAAAGGCTCGAAGAATGGTGAAAAATTCAATATGAGACAAGAAACATATTCGTTTGCATACCTACGTAAATCCAGCTACATACATGTAACGTTTTTCATGGGCCGAACACTCATTGCGGATTGACGTCACAAGTACACACGAATTGATGACGTTTTCGTATTCGTTTTCGAACCGGTGTAAAAGGTCCCTATTATTACGGATCATGTTGGTGTCAATCAATTAAAGACATTCCGCAATATAATGTTAACAAAATTAGCTGACACCAACATGATGCGTATGTTAAAATTGTGTTTAACCAGTATAATTGATTGATACCACCACCAATATTGCCCTTTAGTTTAAAGTAAACCAAGGGTGGGACGATTTACCAATACTACCCAATACCAGTCATTGTTTTTTAAGGCGAGCACCTGCCGCTCTCCTTACAAAGTCATAGGGGGTTTATTATCATTTATGAATCCAGAAATGACCCCCTAACATGCAGTTATTGATCTTCAGAACCATTTCCCATACACACAACAAATCACTCTCCTTAATATCAGATCACTCTCCTTAATTTCTTAATCACTCTTCTTATCGAAACTGGGAGAGCTTTTTAAGGGGAGCAATTTGTTGATTAAGGGGAGATTTTTTCGGCTCTCCTCTAAAATACAAACAACAACGACTGCAATACCACCCAATACCACCTCAATATCACCACATACTACCTAATACTACAACATAATGATGCAAAATAGACATATCATTTGATGTTTTTCAAAAATAGAGAGTTATATTGTGGGAAATGTGCTTCAAATGCGATACCGATGTCGGGCTGTTCCATTTGCCTCCCTATGCCACACAAACAAGCCAATAATAGCCCAATATTACCAGATACTCATCAAATACTACCCAATATGATCAAATAACAATACAATATTTCAAATAACAGCACATTAGTATAGTTACTGCAACAAATATTCAATATTTTGCAGAAAATTGAAATGTTTACCCAGTTATTTCCCTTTACAACCGATAAATAGATTTTAGATTGCTACTCTTCTTTGCCTTTGCAATTGGTTTCCAAGACAACAAACTTAAAATAAGAGAGAGAGAGATGGGGTTTAACATCCACTTGTCACAAACTATGTCATTTCGGGACTAACACATGGTCCAATCTTATTTCAATAATTCGCTTGCGCGTAGGGGTCTTTAGAGAGAGTTTGTCATTTCAATAATGAGAGAGAGGTGAGGTTTAAGCTCCACTCGACACAAACTAGGTCATTTCAGGTCTATATTTCAATAATTCGCTTGGCTTATAGAGGTATTTAGCAGTGGGAGGAAACTGGAGATAGTGTCTATTCATTAAGGTGGTTATCGCCTGTGGATATATATCGTAGAATAATTAGAACTTGTTCAATAGTGAAATTTTGACAAGAGGAGAGTTTTCAAAGGCGCCTAGTTTGGAACGTAATAATTTAAAAGACAAAAGAAATGCGTTAATATAAGTCATTAAAAGACAGATATAAAGATAAATTTGTGTGCTTTCCTGACATTATCAGAAATATAGTATAAGAAGACTTTTGAGTAGGCCACGAGACCGTTAAATGAAAATTTTAAATCAACCTTTAATAAACTTGTTTATTTGGATGTTTGGCTGTTTATTTTATAAACTGATTTTACTTTATTAATGCATTTTTAAATCTTTGTTAATTTCTTTTAAAACTCTTTTTAATTTATGTTATGTTTTATATTTGATAGGCTTTTAACATGTAATATTGGATGAATAAACTATAGCGGGAGCATCTATCTATAACAACTTGATTTCCTTATTTTCACTTCGTTGTCTTGGAAAAAAACTGCAAAGCCCAACAAGATGATTAATCTATAAATTTGTTGTAAAGAGAGATAACTGCGTCAATATTTCAATTTTCTGCAAATTATCGATTATTCGTTTTAAGTTATTATACTGATGTGCTGCTAATTGACGATATTAGGGTTGTATTTTATAATATTAGGTAGTATTTGATAAGTATTTGGTAGTATTGGGTTATTATTTGCTTGATTTGGGTGATATAGGGAGGAAAATGGAACAGCCAGACATTGGTAATCACATTTGAAGTACATTTCCCACGATATATCTCACTATTTTTTGAACAAAATCAAGTAATATGCTCATTTTGCACCATTTATGTTGTAGTATTGGGTAATGGAGTGGTATTCGGGTAGTATTGGGTAAATCGTCCCGCCGGTAAACCAAGTCTTTTTTGGAGTATATTTGTGGCATTGGAAATACAGGGACAGATTTTCCAGTGCACAGACACATTTCCACATAAAAAATCAGCGCCCAAAATGCCTGACCACACCGCTATGAGGGAGAGCTCAAATATGTTTTGGACTAACATATAATCATATGTGGTGGACACAGTAAAAAAGTCTTCCAAACACACTCACACCAATCAAAAACATAAAAATAGTCTTATTTCTTTTTCTTACTCCAAATGTTACTATTTGTACATGTAGATGATATAACGCGTACATGTACATGTATGCTTGGCTATCAGGTCGAATGACTTTAATCTGATTATTTTAATCTTGTAGTGTTTGTGAGAGTTTCCTTTCATCTCTATTGGTTCTCAAATATGGTGACATGTCAAGTTGAAGTTAAAGAACCGAGTTCCAGTCCTTGAAATGAACTAAATGTAAAGCCAGATGCTTCAAAATTGAATAGATTATAATTTGTAAGTATATTGTTACAATACACTTAAAATATTATTTTATCACATTAGTTTTTCATATGTGACAAGCTTTGGTATGGTAATATCAAAAAGTTTGATCTTGAATAATAACTTCAATATGACAGGGATTTTCACTTTATTGGGTATTGGATGTTACTATAGTCAATAATTCATGATGTAACTTGATTGTTGATGTGGCAAGACATGACCTGACGTGACATGACATACCGAAACACGTCAGTATGCCTTTGGAGTTCTAGTTTTTATTTGGCCTATACTTCTACTCCATAAATGCCAATTTCACCTTTAGACCCATATTTTCGAAAGTACATGTAGATTAGTGCTAATCATAGATTTAATCTCTGATTTTCTGACCAGTCATATTCTGGAAAGCTGAATAAATTTTAAATTAAACATGCATTATGCAAGAGCTAAATCTGCCTATTGCAGGTCTTTCTTTAGGCCTGAAATGTTTTCTAAAGTATTAATTAGACATTAATTAACTGATCCAGGCCTTAATCAACTCTCGATGGAATCAGATTTCTCCGATATTAAATAGATTAGAATGGTTCAGCGATACTTTGATTTAATCAAATATGGAGGACCGAGACTTAGCTTCGATCAACCAGTACGGTGTTTGAAATTATTGTACACGGCTGTCAAACCTTCAAAGGCTAATATCTTCGCTTGCAATAGAGTAATTTGAATGAAATTTTCAAATTATTCATTTTATAGCATCTACTTTCGAACTATTATAGCAAGAATGGCTAGTTTTTTATCTAAATCTTACATAATGTATCTTTAAGATTTTTATGAATACCATAAAATGTGATATTCTATAACGTACCAATCTTTGACTAAGTCACCCCAAATATTAGTCATCTCAGCAGGGTAGTTGAAGGAAGGATTAAGTGCATGGATATGCCATTAGGCTGACCTTAAAAATATCTTTGTTTCACCAAACCCGACCCACAATCGAGGAGAAGGGTCGGTAGGTCGGGTTTTTTTTCAGATTTTTTTTTTTAAGAGCTAATTTGACAGCTTGATAATTTTCCGGGTGCAAACATTCGTCTTCTTTTATTGGCAAACAAATCAATGACATCGGGATTTTTCTTGATGCACGACTCGCACACAAATTGCGACAAACTCACGTTTGAAACTCCCTCAACACGTTTTTAACGATCGTGCGGGTTGTGCCTTTATTTTTCTCGAAAACGGATATTGAAAATATCGTCGTCATGTTTAAAACGACGCCCCACAGACATAGAGGCAGAATCATTTCGTGGGAATGGACGTGCTTTCGTCTGCAACCATTTTGTTGAGAAGCGACACCTATGACGCTTTCGTCTTGATCAACCAGTTTCAATAATGAATCAAACCATAGCCATAGTAAAGGGAAATAACTCTCGTGATATATTTCAGGTTGACACACAAAATAAAATAAAAAGATCGCGGAAAAGTGCAATAAGTCGGGGGTGGTTTTAGTTAGTCGGTCGCGTTAGGCGAAACAAAGATATTTTTAAGGTCAGCCTTATGATGCATTCAGTTATGCAGTTATGAACCAAATAAGTATGAAACAACATTTATTTTGAAATAAAATGAAATGAAATGGGGTTTAATGTCCTTCTCATCTGTATTTACTGGGCTATTACAGTTTGCCATCAGAGTATTTTATCATAAACAGCAGCACTACGATTACTCTTATTTTGAATTCCGACCGTAAGGGGTTCTTTTAGGTCCACGGGACCCTGTTTTCTCGCACCTTCCGTTCTGCACCACTGACAAAGGGTAATCAACCAGGCAGGAAAATCCAGATGAACCTTCTCGGCCTACAGAGCAAGCGAACATGAGAGCTCCTGGTTAGCGAGCCAGCATCTTACCCACTAAGCTCCTCTTATTTATTTTTAACACCGTAATTCACACACACTCTTCGGATATTCAACTTATGCTATCTGTCTATAATTATATATATTTTCGACTTACTCCCCTAGAGTCTAGAGAAATTCTAGACTAAGAAACAATGACAGAATTATTGATTAGACATTAATTAACTTAATCAGACCATAATCAACTTTCGATGCCATCGCTAGCCTGCGTTATTTAGTGGATTAGAATACATTTTGTAAAGGATAATTAAACATAAAAATGGATAATCGAGACATTGTTTTTTATCGTATATAATCCAAAATACCACTACAGAATGTCATTTATAGCCTGATGGACATTAACAGGGATTCATTCATACCTATGTATGCATGAGAAAGTGTATTTAACTCACCATATTTTTTTCCCCAGTAATTAATTATTTATTGGGCAATAAAGTATTGAAGTTTATTTCACATCACATTTAGTTATATAGTTTATTCTATAAATTCTATTAAATCAGATTTATTGATAGTCTATATTTAGCCTATATATTTTTAACCATCTGGCACCAGACTATCACCTGATTAGTGTGAAACATATCAATACCTGTGTTATATTTAAACCCAGTGGTAATATATAACATCTATTCAATTTTACATGTATACCCGGAAGTCAAATCCAGTGATTTCAATTACAATTACCTTCTGTAATTAATATTATAGATTATTTCCTTCATACACCATGGGTATTGTAATATGGTTCATATATGGAGTTATCAATGGATGTATATAGTATGTGTACATGGACTTGTCTTGATGATTTTCAGTATAGATTGGTTTTTTATTTTTAAAAATTACTTCCTGCTTTGTCTTTAAAAATGAACTTTACGATTCAATCACTGATGAATTATTTGGGTAAGAATAAAATTAGTGGTAACTGTTTTGGTTATCTCTGTCATATCTAGGGTTTGTTATCGTGTAACCACATTTGTTTCTATATTAGGTAGGATCTTTCCTGATTTAGAGATGATACATTATATAATTACACTAGATTTCATTGAAGTTTCTATGTGCTGTAGTAATAGATAATAAGCTAGACATAATACCATCAATGCGATAAAATCATCAAGAGTGTTAGATTTTAAAATAGTAAACAAATCGACTTCCACCTAATCTGTCGAAACAAAAATAATTTAATTATAAAGACTATTGAACTTGTCCAATAATAACACCATCAAATCAATCATATTCGGTACTTTATTTTCACCTAAATCAGAGAGATTTAGATTCTTTAGGTCTTTTTATTCTAGTTCTCAAGTCAAAAATTCAAGTATGTAATTTAAAGAGATGATATAAACTATTAAGTAGAATAATGCCTTTAAACTTTTTATTTTTGTTAAGATTTCACATGATCCAGTAAACAAGCTATATTAATGTTATAAACATAGTCAGTCAGTCAAAAAGATGGTTCAGAAAATATTTTTCTGCAAATATTTGCTATATCATCTGGTAGTTGTGTTGGTAAAAATGGTTATAGAGTCTATTTGATTGTACTGTTTTACACATAGGTACCAGTAGTACTTTTGAAATTCTCTTGGCAGTTTGAATTTTAAGACCACCAACGAATGCATTTCTCATTCAAATAAATAACCCTAATTGTGAGCTGTACATTCTATTTACAGGAAAAGGTCCGAAGATGAGTATGTTAACAGTAGAAGAATGTGAGTTACTCAGTGACTCGAAATATCGGTCCTACATCAGTCAAGTAGACAAGGCATTAAAAAGTTTTGAATATACCAGTGAATGGGCAGATTTAATCTCGGCTTTAGGAAAATTGAATAAAGTAAGTGAATATGTTAAATCAGACAATTTTTGCCCGCTCCTTTTTGAAGGGGACTATTATAATGAGTTTGTCCGTTTGTCTGTCACGTCGGCTGACACATCGGCAAGGACACAATAACTCTTCTTCTAAGTGAGGTAGCATGTTCATTCTTGGTGTAGATGTTAATTAGACAGATGCCATTAATGAGACAGATGATTAGCATTTTCTGCTTAGGCTATATAAGCAGAGATGAGCAATGTGATTTGTCAATGCTTTTGAACATGATAGCACTGCTTCTAATTGAGAGTGAGTGATGAAGCTTGGTGTTTAGTTTCGTAACATTAGTACCTTGATCTAGTTCAATATTGGACATTTTCTAGTCGAGTTAAGTAGAGTGATAAACAGTTTGATTGTTCCATGCTTTATAAAAAGTTAAATGTGCAGGTAGTTAATTAATGTCATCCCTTGTTCATTTGATTTTGTCACTAAAATAAAATGGACATCATGCTATTTTTCTGCACCAACCGTGCTTATGGCCATGCATACACCATGGAATGCTCTATGGCGGACATTTTACCCAGACAGTGGTGTTTTAATATACTCTTCATTAAATTCCAACTTCCATTGGTTCTTTTTCATGTACACCATGAGGTTTTTCATCCCATCAAAGCAACGATGTTTAATCGTTTAGATATTCTTCTGAACCATACAATTTTATGAGTTTATCATTTCTATTCATTTTACATTTTATTGATTCAGTCACTTCATTTATATTTTATTTATCTATATGTTATAATATAATTAATATATCTATATATTTGTAAATGTGCTACAGAGCAGCTGTCCCAACTAGAATTTGGCTCTATATAAGTTTATTATCCTCCATTAAATACATGTAGTCATATCTGGCTCTTCCTTTTTAGACATGAACTTGCTTTTTTTTGTTCAGCACTTTAATAGTAAGTGCAGGGGGACTGCACCACACATTATTTACATAAAAACAAATACATGGACAAGACATCATACTCAGAAACCACAAATAAACAAACAATTAAAAAAAAATGAATGGATCTGGGGGCTAGCCGTAAGCGCCCACTGCGCTGTACAGTCCCGCATCTGTAGTGACACAGACTTCACTCAAATTTGAAAACAATCAGGAATATAACCCAAAGAAATCATTGTGTAATGTCAGCATGAGTCATTATCTTTTATAGGCTATTAGAAATGTGAATGTAAGCATACTGTAGTAAAATGCAACTATACAAGTAACCATATCGGTGAAATGTATAAAAAAAGTAGTCTAAAAAACTAAATGCTCTAAATCAATAGAAACGTTTCAGTGTTCAATGGAATCGAGGTAATTGAATACATGATTTAAAGCACATGTTCCTTTTATGGATATGGTTATATTGAAACCACTGCTTCGCTCCAACATTAATGTAATGACTGAAAACATTTGTTGTTGTGCCATGAGCCCATGACCTAGTAACTATGAAGGGTATGATTTGGCTTTGTATTTGTGAGTGGCATTTTACCCAGGTGCACCCTTGAGGTCAAATGCTTTAACATTATGATTGGGGTGTCATTTTACTTAGATTCAGCTATGAGGTCAAATATGGTAGCACACCTGGTAATGAATTTTAAAATTCATTATAATTGAGTATGACCTGATTTAAGTGAAATAAACCCAGAAATCTGCAATATTATGTCCATTTAACCGTAAACTTATGTAGAACGTAGTTTACACTGTATCCCAGGTATCGTTTACTCTTGTGTATCTAGCACTAATTTCTTTCACGTTCGTTTAATATCAAATCTCTGTTTAAAAATTCGTAAAAATCAATTAAAATCGCCCAAAATCATCCAATTTGTACTTGTGTCCAGTTTAAAGCTGACTGATTAATTTTGATAGTCCAATTTACAAGTATTTAATTTCTTGACCACTGTTCAAAAAATAATCATTATGCATCAATAATTAATTGGGTTATTTTTTGACAGTGATCAAGAAATTAAATGCTTGTAAATTGGACACTCATTATCAAAATTGAAGGATCAGCTTTAAACTGGACACAAGTACAAATCAGATGAATTTTGGTGATATTAAAGTAGCTAAGTATCTAACTCAATATCATCCAAAATCTTCGGCATTGAAAACGCGATTTATTTGTCGGTTTAAATCAACATTGATGTTGTGATCTTACCGGGAAAAGATGGCCTTCTGATATCCAGTATTTAAGACAAAATAAACATTTTACAATTGGTACACGAATCGTGTACCATAATGCATTTCAGCGCTATTTGTAATAAGTGACTCGAAAAACGAGGCTAGGCATATTCCATAAGTCATGTCAAACGGTGACGCTATATTCTTATCTGGAGAGCAAGCCCAATAAATAATATCGGCGTAGACTAGAATAACCAGACGCTAGAGATTAAAATCCGATTGAGAATACTGGTGTATTTCGCCGAACCTAATTGATTAAAAATTACAGTAAAAACAGAAACAATTGAATGTAAATCAATTTATATACATTCATATTACATTATTGTATGTGTTGCGACCCATTTGTGTCAATTTCTAGGTCCCAAATATTAGTGACTTAGCTCCTTTAAATAAATTTTTAAACAAAGACATGATATTGAATGAATGTGAAAGAAATTAGTGCTGAATACACACGATTAAATGATACCCGGATTACAGTAAATTTACCAAGTGATTTTGTTTCTGATTTGAACTAGAAGGTTTTGCATACAATCCCATAGTGGTGCAGAATGGACAGCCTGGCAAGGAACACCTTCTTGTCTTTTGGATTGGACGAAAATACCTGAAAATACTGTGTACACGTTGGAATTAGACACATCTTTCCACATGGCACATGTCATGGCTTAAGCCAGTCTTCAGTAGCCCAGATGGTGCATTTCATTTCTCATTTCTGACCATGACAGTAATATTTCATCATCTTTATATTTTTGTGTCTCTATTTTAGGTGCTGTTATCACATATCAAATATCCAGTAATACCAAAGAAAGTAACAATTGGGAAAAGACTAGCTCAATGTCTACATCCAGCTCTTCCTGGTGGGGTTCATTTAAAAGCTCTAGAGACCTACGATATAATATTCCGATGTATTGGTACACAGAGACTGGCACAAGATTTGTTTGTTTACAGTGCTGGGTTATTTCCTTTGTTAAATCATGCTGCGATGAGCGTTAAACCAGAGCTGTTTAATATATACGAGAAGCATTTTGTAGCTTTAGGAAAACATATTAAACCTGGATTAAATGGCTTACTTATTGGATTATTGCCAGGTTTAGAGGAAGGAGCAGAATATTATGATAAGTAAGTATATTTTTTATCTACATGACTTGATGAATTATAAATCTTAGTTTGGTGTTGAATGTAGGGGTTTTATGTAAACATATGAGGTTATAAACAAATAAAGCCGTATACATGTACATGTATCTTAGAGCTTGTTTCACAACTGTTTACAAACGGAAACATCCATGATACATGTTTACATGTAAAAAACGTGGTATTTTAAGTAGTGGTTCAGTGATGGGATTTCGCCCGTATATTCCGGACCTGCCCAACGCTGTTTTCTTAACGTCCTAAATTGTCCGACCAGGAATATGCCCAATCAGACATCAAGACGTGGGGAATAATATTCAAAATTCCAAAATTAATATAGTGTACTGAGTGTATAACTACCACTCGACCCGATTATCGTTGATAATAGGCTGGATTGATTAGGTAATTAAGTGATCAAAGTATTTTTTCGTTTGTTATACCGTCTACACACCTACATGTACCTTGATTAACTACTTAATCTGCCTTGATTGACTGACTGACTTAATCCTTTGTCGGACAATTCACCAATCCAATCTTAAACAGATTGCTTCACCTTTGTCGGACTATGTATCAATCCAATAAGAGTGATTATAAACTTAATCTATGTGATTTCTCTATTGTCAGACGTTTTAATCTACATTGTCGGACGTTTTAATCTCCTTGATGTCGGCCGACAACACATAGAAATTAGTCATATACATCTATGTCACATATCCTAATAGTATATAACAACCCAAATCAATATACATTGCATCCGATAACTTGTCTGCAATATCACTTCGGTTTCATTTTATTGTATAATTTACGACAATACATAATTTTGTAGAAATATTAATGATATAAATTTGAATACCATATGGGAATTATTTTTTTTATTACGTACGAATTTGAATATTTTGTTGACACATGAATCTTAATTGTGGTTTGAAACCGCCTGCTTAAATAATGATAAGAGTTATGCTCCTTTATTCTCAGTAAAAGTGTCTGACAAGAAAAATTTTGAAATCCCCACACTGTACTGGTTACAAACAAATTATATATTTGGCAAACTGTTTACAAATTCATAGAATGTCTCAGATTTATTTATTTTTGTAATATATTCTACATGTAAAAGATTTTACTAATGAATACAGTTCTATAACAAATATACTTCTTTATAATAATCTATGGTATTTGTTTATATTTTAGAGCTAACAATTTATTAGAGAGTTTTTGTGATGCTGTAGATAAGGAGTTTTTCTATACATGTATGTGGGAATGTGTTTTGTCATGTCCTAGTGTACGTCTACCAGCTATTACCTTCCTTCTGTCTCACTTTAATAAGAAGAAATCTATGGAAGATCAGCTACATATGATGGGATTTAATATAGATCTTATGGTGAGTTCAATATGAATTACACTTCTATAGACTTAAATTAAAGATATATTCCCTCAAGTATTATTAGGTTTCTCATGTGTTCAAATGGCCCCGGTTTCACAAAGCATTCTCAGACTTAGTTAAGAATTGACTCAACTTTCAATCACTGTTTATGAGAAATAAGGGGGTTTCGGTGGTCTATGGTTTAACACATGAAATCACAAGGTCTGTCATTGAGTCAAGAGGAGTGGTTTTGATTTCCTACTTGAATGTGACAAGGAGTAGGGTCCAACTTCTCAGGGTCTTCCGGTTTCCTCCCATTGGTAAAGACCCTATGTGCAAGCGATTATTGAAATAAAATTGAACCATGTGTTAGTCCCAAAATGACCTAATTTGTGTCGCGTGGACATTAAACCCCATCTCTCTCTCTTTATGAGAAATATCTTTGAACTAGAAAACACAAAAAATTGCACACAGTTTCTCATTGATGTATTTGATACATGTACATTAGAAGTTTTATAAAGGGTCATATTTTAGTGGAAATAAGGCAAACAATTTTGGATAAGTTCTTAACTTAAGTCGGAGAAGGTTTTGTGCAATTAGGGCCGGGGTTTGCCCCTCAAAATTTTGACACTCGAAGAGAGATCATATTATTTGTTCTTTGGTTAATAAATAATAAAGGACTAAAATGGATGTATAAAGATGATTCTGGCATAGCCTACGTACTCATGTGCTCTCAAATTTGCATTGACCTTTTTTGTGTTATAATGATAACTTCTAAATAGATATCAATAAACATGGGTTCAGACAATAATTTGCTATGTTTTCAAGATGCATTGTGTAATACGTATGTTATATTTTCTAGGTGCAAGCTTTATCAAGTTCTATTCAAGATACCAGTGTATTAGTACAGAGAATCTCATTAGATTTCTTACTTCTAGGATTTCCAATGCACAATGGACAACTTACAAAATCTGACACAGCTAAAATAGTACAGGGTGCCATCAATGTGGTATTACGTAGAGATATGTCTTTAAATAGGAGATTGTATGGCTGGTTGTTAGGGACTAGTGCTTCAGGCTTATCGACCAGTGTAGCAGATAATAATAGACGTGGTAGAGTGGACAGTACGTCAACCAGTAGTGAGATGGATCTGGGCTACTTTCATCAATTCTCTAAAGATTTATTAGTCCAAGCTATTAAGATGAAATTAGCTAATCCTGAAGACAATGAAATGAGTGTTGGCGGAATATCAAATTTAATGAAGCCGTTTAGAATTATAATAAGTTTGTTGGATAAACCTGAGATTGGACCGGTTATTATTGACAGTGTATTGATGTCTGTGTTTAGGTGTTTATATAAGGAATGTAAAACCATTAACCCTGAACAAAAAGTGAAAGTAAAAAACAAGAATTTAAAAAGACAAGACAGTACACAAGAAAAGAATCAATCTGCAGAACTGATCAAAACTGCAAACCTGTTATTCGGGTCTTTTGAGCCGTATTTCATTTGGGATTATTTGGGAAGAATGTTCAGTGTAGCTTGTTCAAATGTCCAACAGAGAGTTGAATTAGATAATCACGATACTGTTCAAGTTATAGAGTTATGTGAGATTGGTGAATTTCTGCTTGATATCGTCTCATTGGTAAGTACAATACAGTGTAAGGAACACAGTCAAATTTAAATTATGCTGACATTTCCATCATTTTTTATTTTTCGGCTGTTTATTATCAAAAGACCAATCTGGTTTAAATCACATATATGATACATTTAATTTTATTATTTATTTTGTACTATTTTGATATCTGATGGAAGGTTGGGTGGTCCAGTGGATGCTTTAACTCATAAGGTCTGTCATTTAATCAATTGGCGTGGTTTTAATCCCAATGACAATGAGTAGTATAGCCTGTTCAACCTCATAAGTTTTCTCCAGGTCCTCCAGTTTCCTCCTACTGCTAAAGATTCTGACATGCAAGTGAATTATTGAAACAGAATTGTACAGAATGTTAATCACAAAAAGTTCTAATTTGTGCCGAGTGGAAGTTAAACCCCATTTCTTTATCTCTGTCGTTTGATATCTGACTTATTTTCTTTTTTAAATTATTTACTGGCTCTAACAAAGATTTTGTTGATGCTTGAAAAAAAAACTTAATCCAAAGATCGTCTTACTATGTCTGTTATTTCTTTTGAATAATGTTTGAAGTATATTTTCAAATTGTAATACTTTTTTTCTTTCTTGTTCTTTAAGGAAATCTACCAAGAAACACAAACAGAACATTTACCAGAGTTATTACGTCATGTAATATCAGCCGTTACTACAAACTGTAGCGCTCTAACAGAATATGAAATAACAGCCACACTTAAACTATGTAGTAAAATATTCTCTAAAGTTGAACCATCAGTTACTGTCATGGATTTTGAATCACAGGACCCAGAAGGTATAAATTAAATACATATATATTTATTTGATTGATAGGAATTTTAATTCATTATTTTGTGTTTAGTTGTCCCCTGAAGCTGCCTGCCTGGTCGATACACCTTTTGGAATAGAATAGCTCCACTTCTGATAAAGCTAGAATGTGGTGTAGCTGTTCTGATTTTGGGATTCAGGCGTGGGGACATCCGTCGCGCTGTTGGCTTGTTGATTTTAAAATTAAATCGGCCAGACCCTTTAGTGTGTTGCAGCCAGTTTTTCAGCAAATGTAACTTGATCATGAATTGCGTGTAATCTTTTGTAGAAATCTTTATGATTATTCAACTTCTCATTTTAGTTACAAGTGTATGTGGAGAAATGTTTGAAGATGTTTTTAAAATGAAAAAGGAACAAGAAAGAAAAGAAGGATGCCATGTAGAGATGGATATCGCACAATCTTCAGAAAAGGGATTTAATCCAGCTGAGAGTTCTAATAAAAAAATCAAAGAATTGAAATCAGAAAGATTCAATAATAATGGGGAGTCAACTGAAAAATTGCTCAAATCTGAACCAAATGAAGAGACCAATGAACAAGAAGAATATAAAGAATGTAAGAGTAGTTTAGATCCTGAAGATAGAGGAGAAACATATTTTAGTGCCGAGGACAGCCCTGTAAAAAAACCTAAAGTTGTTAAAGATGGTGTCAAAGATGTGAAATCTAGTGAAAATTCTGAATCTGAACAAACCCAGGACCCTGAAGTCTCAAAGACAGACAACATGAGCCAAGAGAACAAAAAGAGAACTTTGTTAAAATCAATTTCAACAGATTCTCGAAATCATAAAAATAGTGTACCATTATCAATCATGCAAACATGTATTCATAGTTTCAAAGAACTCTTCCATACCTTAATATGTGATAAAATATTAAAAGGTTTTACCATCTCGGGTAAATGTATGGAAGCCTTGATCACCCAAACAGATAATGCACGTTCATCAGATAAGGATTCTGTACTGGATAGTAATTCTACATCGGGTTTGGAGGATTTCGGATCCAGGGATTTATCAGCAATTGAGAAAATGAAAATCTCACCAGAGGGATTATCAGAAGCAAGTTATGAGGCATTTGAAAAAGCTTGTCGGTTGTTGGTAGATTTTGCCAGTTTTCCATTATTCTGTACTGATTTCAATAAGTTGATGGGACAAGCTATGGATGACGGTAAGTACATTTACAAAAACATTTCATAAGTCAGATTCCATTAATACTCTAATGATCAACTTACTGTCGAATAAAGAGGGGCACAACACTTAATACAAACGTCATAGACTTATCATACACTCACTCACATTGATAAAAAAAATGGACTCGATTTTGTTCTTGGAGGTGTAACAATCAAAATGAGATCCATTAGGCAGCTTGTTCATATTTTCTACATTCATACATTTTGGAATGAAGTGTGCAAAATAGAGCAAAAACTAGAACTAAACAGAGAATAGTGCTCTGAGACACTGAATTGGGAGAATGTGACGAACAGTCGTAACTTTCAAATTGGTACGTTTTCCCTTTTGGAATAGTCACCGTCTGATTTGATTATTTCTGTTAATATGTGATAATGTCATGCATTTGGGAGGAATAACATGCAAGGTAAAATACATGTACAGTATTTAGTCAATCTGATGTAAATCAGAGGTCAATTGTCTTTATTAGTAGGCGAAATGTATACAATGTTAATGTATTGTGGTGTATGGGAAAGCATATATACATGTACACTATATAGGAATGAATGTAAATGGTTGAAGGGTTATTATAATCTTTTGGAAGAGGATTTTCTGATAATTTTTACTATTCCTGGCCTAACATCATTATAATAATAATAATAATGATAATACATGTAGGTTGCATTGTAGTGTGAAAATCTAAAAATTTAGAATGAAATTGTAACTTTGTTTTCATTAGATTGAACAATTAGTATTTTTAAATTTTATTAGTATTATTATATTTACAAATGAACAATGGTACATGTATATATTACAGAGAATGAGTACAGTTTACCTGATTGGCTACAAGATTTGATAACTTGTAGTTGTTTTATAAAGACGTTTGAAATACAGACAGCAGCTATATCTACTATACTAGATCTTATAAACCTCACACAATCAGTACAAACAGAGAGCGAGTATAAATGTCAAGTATCAAATAGATCTAGATCAATGAGTGAGGGTCGTATATCTGTGGTTATTCTACCAGCCTTATTACCATGTCATCTTAAATTTATGAATGAGAATACCCTCTTCTTTCAGGTATACTTAAAATTATTTTATATACAAATTTCATTATTTGAATATTTACAACACATTTTGTTATCCTGGTTTTCTCTCAGAAATTACTCACAATTAAAAACATTTTGTATACACATTAACCTAAATAGAAGTTTCTCAATTTTTGTGTTTCTACTTATCATGTTGATCTTGTTATAATTTGTTCCTTTCATGAAATTTTCTACACTTTAATTAATTTGATTGAAGTAGTACATCTATCTATGCTTCTTGTTCAAAATAATACTTATGGATGCAGGTGAAAATTAGACGTTGAAATAACCATTTTAGTTCATGGATATGCATTAAAACCACTAGATAAACAGGAAAGATGAAATTACTGGGGACTAGCTCAAAATTCAAACTAAAGATTATTTTATTTTGGAAGAACAAGCTAATATTCATTTTTGACGGAAACTGTCAAAAGTTGAATTTATCTCACCTCATATAAAATTGAAAGATTTCCAAATTTAAAATCAATACTAATCAACGTTTTCATTCTTCACCCAAATAAAAGATATTGTGTTCTTTGAGTATGTGTGGAGCATTTATATGTAAGGTGATGTGTAATTGGTTTTATTGTACCATTCCCAATAAGATTAATGATAAATAAATCTATTCTATAGGTGTGTGCCAGTGAATTATGGCAGCATCTTGGAGAAAAAACAAGTTCTAGACATCGTAGAAGTGTGGAATTATTCCATTTTCTTCATCAAGTTTCCCCAAGTTCATGGATTTGTGAAGATACAATAGGATCATCTTTAGTAGCAAGTGATGAGGTACTTGATTTGGGATTTTCAAATTTCTTAAAATTATTTTTCTATAAATACAATTTTATGATCAAATATTTTGTTGTAAGACTTGCTAATGTTAGTTGAATGAATTAGATACAGTTATATACTATAGTTATATTCATGAACTAAACTATTTTTGTTGCAGAAAACAAGAATTGAATCTTTTAAGAGATTTACTATAATGTGGCATCTGACTAGAGAATTAAAACTGGATGTTAAACCAGGAGCTGGAACAAGATCATTTGACAGGTAGGCATCTATTTAAACCTTGTCTGTCCGTCAGGTGGTCCGTCTCCCACAGTTGCTTGAAATTTATACACATTGTTTATGATCATGAGACAAGGAAGCCTATTGATTTTTATACGCCCACATTGAAATGTGGACGTATATTGCCGTCGCCCCCGTCCGTCTGTCCATCGTCCACAATTTCTTGTGAACGCTCTAACGCCAAAAGTTATCATCCGATCTTTCTGAAATTTACATGCATTATTTAAATTAGTGAAACGAAGAAGCCTATTGAATTTCAGCAATTTCCGTTTATTACGTCTAAAGTTTTGGCCCTTGTTTCACTTTATTGATCCTTGTGAACGCTCCAACGCCAAAAGTTATCATTCAATCTTTGTGAAATTTATATGCATTATTTAGATTAGTGAAACGAAGAAGCCTATTGAATTTCAGCAATTTCCGTTTATTACGTCTAGAGTTATGGCCCTTGTTTTACTTTATTGAACCTTGTGAACGCTCTAGCGCAAAAAGTTATCACCCGATCTTTGTGAAATTTATATGCATGATTTAAATTAGTGAAACGAAAAAGCCTATTGAATTTCAACAATTTACAATAATTACTTTTAGAGTTATTGCTCTTGTTTCACTTTGTTAAACCTTGATAATGCTCGATTGATAATAGTTATCATCCGATATGTATGAAATTTATATGCATCATTTAAATTTGTTAAACAGGTCTATTGAATTTCAGCAATTTCCGTCAATAATTTCTAGAGTTATGGCGATTGTGAACGTTTGAATGACAAATGTGATCTGTATGAAATTTATATGCATTATAGATTTATTACCCTTGATCAGTTTGAAAAATCTGAAGTTATTATCCATTTGACTTGAAATTTATGCACCATTTTTACTGTATAAGAAGAATCCTATTGATTTTTAATGATTTCCACAGCTAGAGGCTAAATTATCGGCCATATGTCTTTCCACGATTTCAGTTAATCATTGTCAGATTTATTGACCTTGTGAAGGTCCTAAAGGTCTGTGAACTTGAATTGCATACACCGTGTTTCTGTTTATGAGAAGGTTAAGCCTTTTAACTTCTTAACTTATCATCTGTTATTCTATCTTATATTAAAATACATTGTATTTCAGATCTATGTTTGTTGTGTTGGATAGTTTAAAAGAAGAATCAGGAGCAACAAAGACAATAGCTACAACATGGTTAACACACTGTGTACAGAGAGGTGATATCAGTCGTGTATTACAACCCATATTACTGATGCTACTTCAACCAGATACTGCCAGGTAAGTGTTTATCATATTGCTCGATTGTCAGTCTGGAACAGAATTGGAATCGAGTGACATGGAATTCAGTCCTGTCACAGTTCTGCCAGTCCCGACAACTGTGGTGGTGTGAGTAGAATCGTGACATAATTCAACACAACAAATATGTTTCAGCTGTCATGGTTGGTTGCGATAATTTTATATGCAGTAGTCTCAAATCTCCCTTTTCACTTAATTGTCAATAGTTTGGGGATTGAAAGAATTCAATTCCAGAATATTCAATCGAGTATCCCCTTAATCTCCCTTCATACACCAAGAGCAGATGATTTATTCACTTAGAAAACCAAATGATTTAAATGTTCCTGTGAATTTGATTACCGATAAAAATAAACTTGTTTTGGAAGAGATTGTCCATCAGATCAAAGGAGAGATAAAAACCGAATCACAAATTTGCATAGTAGATCTGCTTTAATATCAATGTTACTACAAGTTATTATTTATTTATGTAACTGTTGACGATTAGTATTTTCTTGGAGTAATGTTATAACAAAGCTGTGAGTTCATCTGTTAGTCACTTCTTAGTTTCAAAATCTATAATGGTTATCATCATCAATTTAATTTCATAGAAGTATTTGATTTGTCTGTTACAGAATCTCTGTTCAACACGTAAATATTCATCAACCAAGAAAAGTAAAGATATCAGAATCTGGTGATGCCGATGACATAGAGGCTAAGATTTATGCTATCAGTAGTGAAGGGGGGAATGTTATATATCATGTCAGCCCTGATGGTAAAAAATTCTCACAAAAAGCTACTGAAGAGTTGAAATCGTGTGCTATGGCAGTTACTAATGATAATGGATCAGCCATGACTGCTTCTGTTAAGTCACAAACAGAACCTGAATTATCTTTCGAACGTGTTAACCCAGAATATTTGAAATTACGTTTCAATCCATTTGGTTCGGAACATTCCCTAGATAAACTTATTTATGATGATGTACATGTACATTTACCTACTCGAGCTCCAGATCTCGGTAACGCCAGAAGACTTGATAAGACAACCTGTCGTAAGGAAGGGATATTCTTTGATACTGAAGAAGCTAATGAAGCATTAGAAGGAACAGAAATTTCAAGTGAAGAAATGGTTTCTCAGATATTGGAAGATCTTATTTCTAAGGTAGTTGAACAAGGGGAATATTCAAGATTACAAAATAAACGTGATAGTGAGAGAACTGATAGTATTTCAAGATATAGTCAATTAGGTGATCAAGATCTATTGAATGCCATTGATAAAAGAGGTATGGAGATGGATTCATTATCAGGCAGCGACACAGATTTAAGTAAATCGGCACAAGAGTCGAAAGACAAAGACACAACTGGAATTCACACGTTACACATGCACCTCTTACTTTATTCACAGAAATATGACTACGAACGAACTCTTTATGCCTTGTCTACACTGAAAGCCATGTTAACGATGTGTCCGAGATTGATTGTAACAGCATTAGCCACAACCAGTATTAGTTCAATGAATCCAATCCAGTTAACCAACTTACAGTTATTGCTAGCCAGACATCGAAAATCAGTGTTTGGAAAAAACTTTTTTGGAGAAATCCAACCAGAAGTTTTGGCTAGTTATCGTAGTAATATGATTTTAGAGATTTTCATTTCTCTGTGTCTGTATTATATCAGAAGTTATTATCCCAATTTAATGGTTAGTAAACTGAGTGCAGAAGAACTAGCTGGAAATAAAGATGTTCATATAATGGCCACTGAAATCTTGACTTTGTTAATGTCAGAACTGATTAGTATTGTTCATGAAAGTGGGAAAAGTTTCACCTCCTATATCACTGACTTGTTAACAAAGTGTAAATTACAGAAGGCTTTGTTACACTGTATGTTGGCTAGCGTATATAACTCACGACAAAAAACAGACGCAGAAAACAAAGCAAAGATAACAGAAGCCATTGTGTCATTTAATGAAGACTGTTTAGAAGGTAGTGCTAACGAAACATTTCAGATTAAATTGCTCAAATTACTACTAGTCATGATCATGCTAGAATCAAGGATGTATACATCTAATAATGAGGAGATTACTCCTGCATCAACTGCTGAATGGGACAGAACCAAAGTTACATTCCAGACGTCCATATTGAATGTCCATTACAGCGCGGTTCAACCCATAGTTCAACAGGGCATGTTCCTGTCTGGGGTTCTAAGTGCCTTAAAACAACACCACATGTCACATTTACATCGACATTGGATTGCCATGGTTACCTCATCTTTACCATATATGGGTAAAGCACTTTCAAGGATTGTGATTGCTGTTGTTTCTCAGTTGTGCCGTAATCTGGAAATTTTGTCGGCGGAATTTGAATCAAAGAAAAGGTAAAATACTTAAAATAATATTTGTTTTCATTGTTAAAAATGTAGCAAAAAGTTTTATTTTCTGCCGTTATTTTTACCTTTTACGTTTTTATAAATCGAGTTGATAAAACAATTATTTGATTATTGAAACATTATTTTTTAATTAATTTCAGAACTGTACGTTTGACAAAAGTTCCACCTGATCATTTATTGACAATGTTAGAAGGTCTAACAGCTATATGTCACTATTGTTTATTAGATAATGCGTCTCCTGTATCTATTGGTCTACCAGCTCCTACTATTACTAATATTAGTACTGAAACAGCTAGTACCGGTCAGATACTATCTAATCTTATAAATGTCTTCAATCCTATACAAAATAATCGGGTGAGTTCTTGTAATATGATTGAAGTAAAACAGATTCTCTCATGTCCACTAAGAAGCTATCTTGAATGGCTGTTGAAATTCCATAAGTTCTACAGAATCCCTTTATACTAAAAAACATAACCAAGCCATTTGTTAATTCTTATACCAACAAATTGTGATCAAACATTTTAGTATACAAAATATTTTCAATTTTTCTGACCTATGAAAAAACACTTATTTGTTAAATATATAGTTATTAAATAATGGCGCTAATTGTACAAGATTTAAACAGTGTAGTTAATACGTTTTGTACAGTCTGTTGCTTTATCTGGAAAACTGTTAATCTGAGAAATTTACACTCTAGATTTATATTTTGTTGTTGATCTTTCAGGAGACAAGTCCTATAAGAGATAATACAGCTATGTCACCTGTTTTAGAAGCAAGAAGAGGTTTATTGAGTATATTACCTAGAATCATGGCATGTATGGCTGTAATGTGGAAAGCTTTAAATTCAGTTACATCTGGTGAAACAGATAGATATACACAAGCCAGACTTACTATGGGTTCACCTAAGGTATTTATAGTATGTTCTATTCAGCAATTGTTGTAGCTACTTGAAGTTTGTTTGGCTACAAGTTTAAGTGGATGCATTGTTATGGAATGAGAAGGCAGTGTTTGAATGATCAAACTGTTGTTTAGGGAGAGACAAATCTGATTCTTATTACAAAGCTCTATTCAGTATTATGTTTTTAATGCCATTGAACAATAGAAAGTTATTTTTCAGTTTAAAGAAAATTATTTTGAAATTAAATTTTGGTATTCGTAATCATTTGTTTATATTTTTATTTAAGATTGTGCGGCAACATATATTAGAGTTTTTGAGCCCCATATCTTTACCTCATGGTACAAACTTACTAGGTGCTGTAGCAGTTGCTTGGAATGATAGAAGGAAAAAGATACAGGGACTTGTGAAAAAGGTAAATCATTTGTCATTTAATGTGTTATCGATGTTCAGTTAATGAAATTATTCAACTACTTGTAGATGTGAACCTTATCAAAATTGAGATACACACATGTCATTTGTAGTTAATGCTTCTGCAATCGAAACATTGAATTCAATTTACAGGTCAGGGTTTTTAATATTTTTTTTCAAAACTTGCTGGGACTGTTTATATAGTAATAACGATGAATCCTATCAAATTTCAATCTTGTGCCTCATTGGTTTGCAGAATTAATGTCCTTGTCATCAAAACCTTGTAATTGATCTAGAAAGGTCCATTTTTAAGAGATACATTAGACCTCTATCACAATTCAGTTACACATCAATTATTTGCAGTGCTCAGTACCTTGTAATCAAACTATTGGTCAAAGTCTTTGAGATTCTTTTCCAAACTTCTTGAGATTGTGTACTAACAAAGATCAGTAATTTGCAGATTTGTTGCCTCTGTCTTTGACAACTTATAATCGGTCTAAGAGTTTTATCCGAAACTTGTATGTATTATTTGAATAATCATGATGTCGAATTTCAAAATAGTGCATCCATTACTTGAGAGTTATTGCCCTTGTCATTAAAACCTAGTAATAATTCTCTGTGTCATGTGTTTTTGATATTTTTATATCCTTGTTATTATGATACAAAACCGCTTGGGTTTATATTTCATTCGCTATAGGTGGTACCTGTCCCATGTGAAGATCAGTTATTATTAGTAGAATTAGTTAGTGCTATTAAAGTTTTACCAACAGATACTCTAATACAAACTATTAAGCATGTCTTAAAACAACCCCCACCAACAGAACTAACTATTAGTAAGGTATGTGTACGTAATTTTATTATTATTTAAAACATTACAATAATTGTAAACTGTAAACTCTGAAATGATTGAAAGTCAACAGATGGTTCAAAATATCATGTGCGCATGCTTTTAGCTGAACATTGTGGAACAGGGTTTACGTTTTACCAGTTAAATGATGTTAAGCTAAATATATGTAGATTTAAGTATATAAGTTATCAACTCGATGTGTTCATGGTACTTTTTGCTGAGTTATCATCTATGATTTATTGTTATAACTTATAGTCTGTCTCATGCATGACATATCTATATCTATTGGTGTTTTTTTTATTTTTACAGAGAGGAGTAACAATAGAAGTAAACATGTTGCAGTTTTTCTATTCATATGTAGAAGAAATCAGTCCATATCAACTGATGGATTCTTGGCCATCTTTTTTAACATTAATGAAAGAAAGTCTTCAATTAAATCTGCTAGCACCGGGACAATTCTTGTTATTAGAGTAAGTTAAAACAGCCCCCTCGCCCAACACCTAAGAAAGTGTTGTTTTTTTTGTTATTGCATCCCTCTCATCCATGACCATGTTCATGGGAAGTTACTATTTGGTACTAATATGTGCATAATTAAACTGATAGTTTTTGGTATCAATATTTTTAAAGTTAATTATAAAGTAGTGCAGGGTTTTACATAGGCTGTGCCTGTTTCCCAATCCCATTCAGATACGCTAAATAAATATATTTTGAAAAAAAAATTATAAAAATATCATTACATGTGTTTCAGAATATTGAGTGAGTTTGTTCAAAAAATGCCAACAATGGAGGACAAGAAACAGCTAAAAGAATTGCAGGTTAGAAACGGACATGATAATAAGCATTTGTAATTTTATTTAAAATTGCTGAATTTTTAACATCCTGTATGGGTTAAAATAGCAGAGCAGATTGTCATATTGCTGCCTTTATATCATAATTATTGAATACTCTCAATCAACCAGCCCATTATATGAAGCGCTATTTTTAGAATCGATTAACTGGATGTTTTGTATATGATGAAACTGTAACACCAGATCTTAAATCACAATCTATTATAGGATATAACTCAGAAATTATTGGAAGCTGTAGCATATATAGCAGGATCTTCTCTACAACAGACAACCTGGTTACGACGTAATCTAGCTGTTAAACCAGGACCACAGAATGAAGTACAAGAACTAGAAGATGGTGATGTAACTGAAGACAGTGGTATGTATGGATCTGGCTCACTATGCAACAGATCCCAGCTTTAATAATTATTGTACAGATCATAAATATCTTTTTATGGTGTTTTTGAAGATGTTTGCTTTATTCAAGAAAATAGAAATAATAAATATGTTTTATGTTGTAGGCATTGATCTTCTTATTAAGTAAAATCTTCAGTGCCCACTTTCTCTTACCAAAGCCCTTGGATTTCTTTTTGTAAACATATGATTTGTTTCATACTTCATTATCAGAGTATATTTATCCATTTGAAAGACCACAAAATAAGGGCTCACATTTCAGTCAACTAACATTTAATTGAGCTGTATCTGTAGGGAGGTACTTCCATGCAAACTCTATTTGTATTATTTTGTTTATAGAACCAGAAAGTGATGTAGAAAAGAGAGTGGTAGAGAAAGTTGTAGTAGAAGCACATTTAAATCAAGCTGCTAATTCGAAATATAGTGTTCAAGCTCTTACATTATTAGCAGAGGTAAATTACATATATAAAGAAGAAGTTTGTTTGTTCCGGTGTTATCAACTTGATAAATTTTAGAACAACTTCTTAATAACCATAGTTACTAGAAATTTGATTGTGCTATTTATTTTGTATTTGACAATTAATGATTATTGCATATTATGGATGATATGAGGAGTAATGATTTGATATAGAGAGAGAGAGAGCGAGTGATTGACTGAGTGAATGAGTTAGTTAACTAGTAGGTCATTTCGGGAGTTCAATTTTGTTTCAATAATTCTCTTGCGCATAGGGGAATTTAGCAGTGGGAGAAAACTGGAGTACTCAGAGAAAACCCATGAGGTTGATATGAAGAAACTTTGTAGAACATACCATTATTGATATGGGACCTTATCAATCAATCTTTGGTTTCTATGATTATCAATCATACATTACTATTAACAGTTGCAAGTCTTTATTTTACGCTACAATCAATTACGGGTCGCAATTTGTCTAATGGTAGATCATGTTATCTATGTAAGCCATGGGTTCGGTTCCAGGATAATTGGGATGCCTGCCTATTTCGATGCATTTTATCTGGGTTCTCCATCTGGTTTCCTCCCTATGCAATGGACGTCTTTGATGAGCATTTTTAATTTGACTGAATATGCATACTTACATACATTATGTCATTTTAGCTTACTGCACCTTTGCTGGACGTTGTCTATGGTAGTGATGAAAAGGATAAAATAAGTCCTTTTATCAGCACTCTTCTATGTAATGTCTTTCCTTATCTAAAAAGTCACAGGTAAATATGAAAACACTTTTTCAATATTTCTAAGCTCATCTGCTGTCGAAATGTAATATTTGGTAAGAATAATTTATATCTTTGATTTTATGTAAGAATAGAGTGCATAAATATACAAAATGCAGTCTTGATCCTTTGACAAAATGTCACCTATATAATATAGTGTAATGAAATGAAATGAAATGGGGTTTAACGTCCTACTGTTCTGCTCCTAACCAGGGCTAATGAAGACGGGCATACGCCACACAGCGTGCTATGAGGGAAATTTTGCCCGGGCAGCGGCGCTACGGCCTACTCTTATTCTTATATCGAATTCCAACTGCCAAGGGATATTTTACGTGTACGCCAATGTGTACACGGGACCTCGGTTTTTCGTCCCATCTGATGACTAGACAGCTGTCCTTGTCAGGCCCTCCATCCTGCATCACTGACAAGGGGAAACCACGCCGGAAAATCTGGGTGAACTTTCTCGGCCAATGCAGGGATCGAACACCCGACCTTCAGGCTAGCGAGCCAGCGCCTTACCCACTTAGCCACCGTGATCCCCTAATATAGTGTAAGATGGATTGTAAGATATCACATAATATTAATAAATCAAGGCTTCTTACAAACATTACAAAGGTTTAAAGAAATCGCTTTTGAATATGGGCATGTAGACAGATAGGTTTTGCTTTGTTGTTTGAATAAATGTCATACCTCTATTCTATAGTTGTCACAATCTACCCAGTTTTCGAGCCAGCTCTCAGATATTGAGTAGTATCAGTGGATATCAGTACACACGTAAATCATGGCGGAAAGAAGCACTGGAATTTTTACTGGATCAAGGATTCTTCCAGATGGATTTAAAGTGTATTAGATATTGGAGGAGTGTTATAGACAATCTTATGACACATGACAAAACCACTTTTAAAGATCTTCTTAGTAAGTTATTATTTGCTTGCTTTCCTCAAATGCATGAATCTGACTATTTCTGTTTTAAATCAGTCCTTTATTTAAGTAGTCTATATATACCATTAGTATGTGCTGACAATAATTAGTGTCATTCTGATTAGTTGGATTGGTTAGGCTCACTAAATAAAGATTAAAGATTTTGCAGGGACTTTTTGAAGAGTGGACTCAAGTCAAGCAGTTGGTCCAGGATCCAGTTTTGGGAGAGTATATGTAATTAGGGGGTTACTGAATAAAAGACAAACGTATGGTTCGATTTAATTGATGGTATAAAATATCTGAATATTAAAAAAATGATATTGGGTTTGAAACAAGATATGTTTATTTCAGTGGTTATATATTCACTGCTTTTTCATTAAATCCCTCAAAATATGAATGAATGGCATTTCACTCTAATTATTAGGCAATAAAGTGGATAAACACTTATGCTCTTATACAGATAGCAAAACACTGGTTGACAGTCTGTAATGTAAGATGTAATTTATTGTGGTTATTTATGGAAATCTTATCCTCACTTGAATGATCATTAAAAATATCGTACTTTCCAATGAAAAAATGAGTTTTGGCAGTTCAATAGATTTCCGTAATATGTTAAGGATTATATCTTTAATGATTTATCATTTCAAAATCTTACATGCGTACTGAATGTGTATTTTAGGTCGAGTTGTTATGACACCAAGTGGAAGTTTAAATCTATTTAGTTCTAAAGAACAAGAATATGAACAGAGGGCTCAGATGTTGAAACGTTTATCTTTTACTATATTCTGTAGTGATAGAGATCAGTATCAACGTAATATGCCAGATATACAAGGTTACTTTAATTTACATAAATTGTTCTGCTCTATCTCTGTATAATCAAAATTATAGGTGACATTATGTTAGAAAGTTTAGCAGCTAGACATGTCATTTCTTATTTTGAATTAGGATTCTTCATTTCTGTTACTGGTAAAAATGCTTGAAAAAAATATCAGTGTGCTGGATGCACATCGATTTCGGAATAATTTGTGAACAAGCAATTCTATGTAGACTAGATGTTTAAGTCTCATTCCGAGACAAATTCTTTCAGCTTGATGGAGTTCCTTGTTTTTTAATTGAATATTGTGTTTTAATATGTTTAGAACGTTTGGCTGAAAGTTTGAAAGTACCACAAGTGCCATCAGTACAAGCTCAAGTCTTTCTGTGTTTTCGTGTTCTCATCCTAAGAATGACCTCACATCAGTTGACATCACTCTGGCCAACAATAATCACAGAAATGGTACATGTCTGTCTGCAAATGGAGCAAGAACTATCTACAGAAACAGATGAATTCAAGTGAGTATAAGAGTTTTTTTGTGTATATTAAAATAACAACTAGGTGTGGAAAATATTAAGATAGTATTCAATATAACCAGTAGATGCATGTTTTGTAAACAACTCATATTCATTACACAGTGAAACTGGGTTTGAAAATACTTGTGAAGCCGTTGAAAATCTGTAACAATAGTTATCCACATATATCCACTATAACCTTCTTATAACCTTATATCTTTGTTTATTTTTCAACTAATCGAATATTAATAATGAACTGAACAATGTCCAGTATTGAAATGTTGCAGTCCATATACAAAGTCCAAAAGGCATACATATTTATTTAAAGGGTGCTTAAAGACTAAAACATTTACATAATAATATCTTAGTTATTATTGCTATGCCCGGTTTCACTGTTTTCATATTTATTCCTTAAAACATATGATTAGCCAATATAATAATGTTTGTTGCTATATGTGCCGTTCATATGATTATTCTTTAGGTAAACATGCAGGGGTGGGGGTGATTTATTGGGTCAGAATACAGTTATACATAGTAATTATAGATATATGGATATAAATATGTATATATCTTACCTCCTAGTGTATATATGATGACAAGATCCAGGTAATTTTATTATAGATTTATGTTATATGTTAATAATCATATTAGCAATCTTTGTTCTGACTCCTTGCTCGAAAGCTCCATATCTACCTGGTTCACACTGCTGAAATCTGTATTACATAGTTTCATGTGTCACCACTACTGCAATCCCTTACATACTCAAGTTGCTCATAAATGTAATAATTCTATTTTTGGAGTAAAATTACAGGAACGTGTACAGTATTTTTAATTTATTACTCACAGTAACTAACTGAAATACCCAAAAAATAAATGAATATGATGTTAGATTAACCAACTATAAGCCTAAAGATTGCCAATATGATAAACGCAATAAGTGGAGATACTTTTTTGCAATTACTAACAGACATTTGATTTTAGTTCAGTTGAGTGATCGATTTTTTTGTAATTATTGTTTACATGTAATGGTTCTAGATGTGTGTTTGTTGGTTGAAATTTTATTTTGTTGTAATCGATTACTGACTAGCTCATTGTTTAATTTGTAGATCTGTTAAAGAGTAAGTGTAATTTGATGTATTAAGTTGATGGCGATGTCTTAGGGACAAAGAGAAATGTTTTTGTTGTTTTTCTTTTAGTTTTATTGATTATTTTGATAATTTCAGTTCTTATTAGTGTTATGTAATACTATTTTAGTTTTCTAACAGATATATAATATGTTGCATTATTATAGAGATATGTAGTAAAATCAACAATGCCATGCATCTTTAGTTTAGGTATATGTCTAGGTATTGGTATATATATCCAGTCTTGATGTGATAAATGATCTAATATTCTAAACGTTGTTTGATAATAAAATGATTGAAAAGTCATAATTCTTACTGTACGATAGTATGTGTATGCATTGAAAAATGTTTTAGTAGGTCGATTCTAAATTATACATGTAGCTACTGAATTAATGTACAATATTACCGTAAATTTGAGAATGAAATCAAATGAACATATTTATTAAAATATTTTAAAGTGTTTACTTGTTACTCTTAGAAATTGAAAACATGAGGTCACTGCTATATGATTTAAAATGTGCAACTAAAGTGTTCTTGAATTCTTGATGTTTGCAGTTTGTATTTATGATTACAATATCTAACTATTTTTATTTATTTTATTTATTGCTTATAGTAACAATGGATTATCTGCACAAACATTACTATATATATTATATGTTAACAACAATTCATCTTCTTAATTTTAAAGCTTTCTGCATGAAAGTTATTGTTTACATGCACAACTGCAATGATTGATATACAGTGTGATCACAGAGATTATAAAACTACTGTTTAATAGATTTTAGAATAGTTTTAAACTGTTTGTAACTTATTCCAGTTTTTAGTATCACAGTACATCTTGCATTTGACTAGTAAAATATAATTAATTTAATATATATTGTAATTACATGTAAATGAAACCAAAAAGTAGAATAGGTCTCTTTTTTCCTTCTAAGCTACGTATAAACAATCTCTTATCCCTTGCACGTTATTTCCACACATTGTTTCTGGAACACTGTTGTATGCAGCTTGAATTTTAGTATTGTTCACTTATATATACATTCACATATTAATACTAATAATTATACATGTTGTCGATACAGATTCATAGAGTATTGATTCAGGTATCCTTTTAGCATGATGAAATTATTATTCTATCTAAATCAGAATATATAGTGTAAATGATGAAATCATTGCAAATTGTGCTCATTTGCAGTTTTAAATTTTATGCATTTTTTACATTGTTCTTTACTAATGAAAAATTTGTCAGTATTTTCATATATAGATAAAGGTAATTGGGAGTGAATTAAATCCTATCTGTGTGAAAATAGTTAACTTTGTCCAATTTTCAATAATATTTTTTATTATGGGCATATTTTATTTAGTAATTAAGAGAAAACCAGTTATATGGAAGTTACAGTAATATTGCTTTAAACATTGTCACACTTACCATGTTGCCCAAGATGGTTGACATTGAAATTTTACATCAGTGTAGAGTTTGTTCAATAATTGTTCGTATTTGATGATAATCTCATACATAGTTAATGGGGGGTAGATGGCTGTATGGTTAGCGTGTGTGCAGTGTATCATAAGGTCTGTCATCGAGTCAACTGGCATAATTTCGATTCCTCGAGGAGTAGGGTGACCTGTCCAATCTTGTGGGTTTTCTCCGGGTCCTCCAGTTTCCTCCAACTGCTAAAGCTCCTATGTGCAAGGGAATTATTGAAATACAATTGAACCATATGTTAGTCCCGAAATGACCTAGTTTGTGTCGAGTGCATGTTAAACCCCATTTCTCTCTCTCTCTCATACATAGTTAAAGTTCATATCATTATTTTACTCATTATGACGAATATTGAAACAACAAATAGAGATTATAATTAAAGTACAAGAAGGTATTATTTTACTCTTGCATTTATGTGGATTTAATTTGATGGTATGAAACAAGACCTCCCAATTGCAAGCCCAAATTGATTTCGTTATAGAAAAAACTAGATAATTTGTCTTTTATGTGCTATGAAGTATATTTCAATAAACCTTTCGTTGCATAAAACGTTATTGCAAACAGATCAGCCATTTTGAAAATATTACTTCCGATTTAGAAACTTGATTGGGTGTCATTCTGGTGTTATACTTGATGTTATAAATTGTATCTAAATCATGTGAGGCCTATATGTTTGATGTGTGTCGTCAAATATGTTATGATTATTATTACGGAAACAGTTATTAGATAAGCACCTTTTCTTGTTACTGAATCCTATTGTAAATTCTAATCGTCTCTTGAATAAAATACTGCTTAAATCCAACTGTTTACTTGGACTAGAAAATTTAAACCCAAATTATTTCCACAAATGTTTGTAATTTGATTTCTCTAATATACCATTTAAATTTTTCAGAACCCAGTTACAGCGTATAGCAGCACTAGATTCAAGTTGGGCTCATCTTGGTAATGGATTAAATGCCCATAATAATCCTGCATGGTTACAACTATATCTTAGTGTGTGTAAATTACTAGATCTGTGTCTAGCTCTACCAGCAGATACAGTTCCACAATTTCAACTGTAAGTTTTAGTTTATAGTGCCAGAACATTTTCTTCAGCTAAAGAGTATTAATATTAGTGGGGATCACAGTGGCTAAGTGGGTAAAACGCTGGCTCGCTAGCCTGGAGGTCAGGTGTTCGATCCCTGCATTGGTCGAGAAAGTTCATCCAGATTTTCCGATGTGGTTCTCCCTTGTCAATGATGCAGGACTGAGGGCCTTACAAGGACAGCTGTCTAGTCATTCAGATGGGACAAAAAGCAGAAGTCCTGTGTACACATTGGTGTGCACGTAAAAGATCCCTCAAGTGATCTCAGTTCTCTATTGTCCAGGTGATGATTTAAATTCATAGTAAAAATACATATTAATATTGGGTAATTTAACCCTAAATAGTGTAATTTATGTTTCTTTAATATTTTCATGTTTGATTTTAACTAGAGCGAAAGGACAGCATTTATTCATCTGATAGCTCATGTCAGTTGAATCAAGTCCTTTCTACACTACCCATGTTTTGAGTTTCTATATTACTATTACACTATTAATTTTCAACATGTCGATAATAACCCCTAGTTTTTTGTGCCCCTATTTTCTAAAATCCAATTTTCAGTTCAATTGTATAATATTGGGTGACTGCCCATCCCATTGAAAGGAAGAGTTATTGCCCTTCATTATTAAATTTTATTAGATGCTTTTATTATGATCGGATCTTTTTAAGAGATTTATGAGTTGTTTACCTCATTACTGTCGAATGCCTTGGTGGGTATATTTTTCCAGGCAACCTATATGATAATGTATGGAAGATATTGTATAAATGGTAATAATTAGAGTTTTTAGAAGTATAACATATAAACATGCTTTGATTTTAGGTATCGTTGGGCATTTATTGGTGCTGCAGCAGGTGAAGATGAAGACGATTCAATTAAAGATAAACGAATCCTTCCACCAAGTTTTGTTCCTCATATTGTCCGTCTGTCTAAACTCCTTAATTTACGAGTAAGTACTGTTGTATATACTGTTTTGTTTCTACATCATTCAGATGTTCAGGTTGGATGCCTCATGATCAGTAGTTTGAAGTACTGCACTGGGGAACACATTTCTGTCATCCATGCGAATCATCAGCCAAGGAATAAGAGGGGGGGGTGGGTGGCCGAATGGTTAGCGCATGTGCTTTGTATCACAAGGTCTGTCATTGAGTCAACTGGCGTGTTTTCGATTCCCCGGTTGTACTGACAATTAGTAGGGTTGCCTGTTTAACTTTGTGGGTTTTTTCTCCGGGTCCTTCTGTTTGCTCCCACTGCTAAAGACCCATATGCTGAAGCGAATTATTGAAATAAAACTGAACCATATGTTAGTCCCAAAATGACCCAGTGGATGGTTAACCCCATTTCTCGCTCTTTCTCGCCAAGGAATAGGATAGTCATGTTATAACCTCTTGTGTTTTCTTTTCATTTTTTTCCCTGCTAATTATAGAGACATGCTCAAATTAAAATATACATGTTAGTCCTGAAGTGACCTACCGGTAATTGCAATTACTGAATATTGCTCTCTTATTGCAAGACACTTTAGTGATGTTCGGTAAGTTATTGCCATGTGCCATGTTTTTTTGATAAAATATGTGTTTAATTTATTTCAGTTACAAAGAGAACCTGCTCTGTTGAAGAGAATACCTGGTAGGCCTTTGCTTACTATGACATACCTTCGATCATTGGTCGAATTACAGCCATTTTTCAACACATTGTGCCATGCCAGTCAGTCAGAGAAGAACTATCAAACTCCAGGTGGAGTAGTAAATACCATGCCAAAATCACAGTCTGCTCCAATATTTGATGAATTGACAGCTAGTTATGTTCACGACTGGCAATCTGATCTACCAAAATCAAACCGACAGTTTATTGAAGAACTGGTTGAGAGGGACTTTCTTGATCTTATGAGCTAGTTTAATTTTATCTCATGATTTGTGTTTATTTGTTAAAAGTTAATATCTAATTTTATGTTTGTATATTATTAAATCTAAACATGCAAATACTTTGGTTGTGAACAAAATTAAAAATATATATATATATTGTATTCATAACCTGATGTATTTACTAAAGAAAAATATTGCTTTGCATATATATACTAAAATGTATGATTCCTGTTATCGCTATCTTAAGTCTTAAGCTTCTGTTTGCTGAATGTTATCATTTTCCATTCCTGTACAAATTATATTGATGTTTAGTTTGTGATGTTGTGTAGAGATGTTTATGGATTTGTATATTTTGTGTTGGAGAATAACAGTATAATTAAATTTAATTTATTAAAGAAAACTATATAAAATATAGTAGTACTGGCCCTTATAACCGATTTTTGCCAAGAATTTTATATTTACATTTGATAACTATATGTCCAGCATCCAGATATATTGTCGTCACCTTCAGCTAAGTTATTGTATACTCCTGTGGCTCATTTTTTTTTTACTGAATAAGAGAGAGAGAGAGAAATGGGGTTTAACGTCCACTCGACACAAACTAGGTCATTTCGGGACTAACATATGGTTTAATTTTATTTACATAATTCGCTTGCGCGTAGGGGTCTTTAGCAGTGGGAGGAAACCGGAGGACCCGGAGAAAACCCACGAGGTTGGAGAGGGGACCCTACTCCTTGCCACGTACAACCGGGGATTCGAAACCACGCCAGTCGACTCAATGACAGACTTTATGATACAGCGCGCGCACGCTAACCATCCAGCTATCCAACCCCCCTTTACTGAATAAGCCTCTTGGTGGAATTTGTTGACACTTAGTGGAATTGTCTATTTGGACATAAAAAAAGAAAAGATAATAAAAATTCAAAATATTTTGGTTGTTCTCCCTGTATACATTAAATTTCATGAAATCCTGTGAGTGCCTGTTGAGGTTTTTAAAACTTAGCGAGTTTTCTCATTGAAGCATAAGGAAAATAATCTTATTGAATTTCAAACTTTTTGGATCATAAGACGAATTTATTTTTTTTAAAACTTGCTCTGTATGATTTATTTACAATAATTTTAGAGAAAGCATAGGCGACTTTGCTGCTGGTAGGCTAGTTTACCATGGTTATTATGATGTAAACAAGATATGTTTATTTGAATAAATAATATGTTTATAGATCTCATAATTTACATATAATTTTACCACACAGGAGCTTGACATTTCTATTAATATGATTAATTAACAAATGTAAGTTATAATGAAATTTGAGATCATTTAGAGATGCATCATATTTTATTTGATCCAATGCTTCTCATATTTGTTAAACTGGGTAAAAACACCACAACGTATAATTAATAATAAAGTTGAACCCCAATATTACTGACTAGGTGCAGACTTTAATTTTATTGTTATACATATAAAATCACACAGTCACTGTTATTTATTTATGTATTGTTAAATGTTATCCTAGTCTTTCATTGTTAGTCATCATCTTCATTCTTTGTTATTGCTTTGAAATTCATGTCAAATATTTTTAGTGTTCATTCATTCATTTCTAGAAATGTTCACTCACATGACAAGATTGACTGTTATTTAAATGTACAACCAAAAATGTTGGTCTTCTCAAATATAGTATTTTACATGTACTCGGGCTGGTATATTATTTAACGTTATCTGTCACCATAATAAAATATATAGAATATAAACACATTATTATGGATGACAAATCTTAATAATTTAAGTTGAGTTTAACGGTTGCAGATATTCAACCTCCAGTACTAGTGCAATCTAATATTCAACATCATCGATTTATCATTTAATATGAAAAGTTTGTTTCTAGCTCAGTTTTCACCTGGTTTGGGATGCTATGATTGTTGATAGTAGTAATCAATATGTGTAAAATCTAGTAAAACTGTTTTTGTGTATGGATAAGTTAGTACTACATGATCTTCAAATTCTAGTAAAGACATTGTTCAGAAATTCTATTCTGTACTGGAATTTGAGATGAAACTTTTCTGCACCACTCTCGATTGTATTTTGCAAAAAAAAAGAGCCTATTCTTGTATGTTGATGCTGGTCTATTCACAATAGAGTTATTGTACTTTTCACTGAAACCGTTTAACGCTATATAAGTCAGTTTTTATGACAATTTTTAAACTGACTGTAAGGAAGTAACTTACCGAAATGCTGGATCCAGCGATTGATTTAATCACAAGAGTCGGTAATTATTTGGTTACACATGACTTATAAGTAAGAAGCCTACCAAAAGTACTGTGATGACTGATCAGAGTTATTGCCCTTGTTTATAATTAATTAAAAAATAATTGGTACAGTCTAATATTCTGACCGATCAGATGTTAATGTGCAATGATTATGTTTACTGCTGAACAAGGGACGAAGCACTAAAACTCTCCCAAAATTCATCATTTTACAGTGCAGATTTTGAAAATTGAAAAATGTGGATGCCAAGTTAACCATTTTTTTCTCATTCCTCAATCTCAATTGCCATGTTATGAAAATTTATGACTTTACTGCATGTAGTGCAATTCATTGCCCTGGCAACCTATGTCTTTCATCATGTAAGAAATTTGTCCATTCAAATTTCAAGCCACAGGCTTGCACACATTATTTGTAATCTAAAGATTAATTTATTTGTTTGTTTTTGGTTGTGTTGAAAGTTTATACACTATAATTATTACTATTCGATATTCATATATAAGGAAGAGGAAATAAATACACTCATACAAGTTTCACGTATTTCATTCTTTTATTACATATTATGGTACATTTGAACCATAGCTGTTTTCAAAGACATGTATCTCCATGTCAGATTTTTGTGAGAAAAGTAGTTGGATTTAAATTTATCATATTGGAACAAAATTACAACTTTGTTTTTACAAATCGGTACATAAAGAAAATAAAAAACAATTGGTTTGAATGCAGGGCTCAGACTAGTATCAATTTTTAGGGAGAAGTACAGGCAAAATAGGGAGAAGTGAGGGAGACCTAGGGAGACTACAAGGAGAGATCAGATTTCACAAATTGTAATGGTACCATTCCATCTTGTTCCGCCATTTCACGTATAAATTTGATTTTAGATAACTTTTATGTATTTATTGTGGTATAACAAGATCACATTAATATCAGGATTTACATGTATCAAATGTATAAGCTTGCAGGTAGTCAAATGGACCGTATAATTATATTAGGTAGCCCGCCTAAATGTGCCAATTTCTTGCTTTAAACACACCATTGAACCAGAATTAAGAAATTATTAGTTCAATAAGGAACTATATATGTACATGACAACAAAATCATTTCCCTTATAAAGAACAGACAAATTAGTCATTTATTTAGATACAAATTTGTTCTTTTACTTTAGCTTTAATACATACAAGGTAGTGCAAGCTTGAACTACATTTGTGTAAGTCGATGTAAGTAAAATAAACATGTGTTGACATCTGTAGTCCACGCTCAGAATGAATATATGAATATTGGGCTTTCATAGTCCTTCAAGCACAAATTATGGCATTGTATGCAAATTTCTGTGAATTGTATTCATTTTGTATAAAGTCTCTTTGTATATAGAACAAAAACAAGCCTGTCTTTTTTTTTGTTGATAGATCTCAACATAGAAAGAAAATATTGTATCCACCACCATATTTAATTGGGTCGTTACTGATTGGCTACAATTATTGGAGTTAGATAGAGGTTCTAATGGAGACAAAATAATTAGATTCCTTGACTATATTTGGAATTATTATTGTTTTTAGATGGATTTAAATTATCTTTAACATAACATTTAAAATAGTTTTTCCTAGTTTCTCAAATAAAAATGCAGAAAGACGTCTCCCAATCTTATTCACATTACCCTATTCACATTACTCCCATTAGGTCACACGTGTTTGTTTATGTACGGTAAATCTGTCTCGAGAATAACTTTGCCCTTCAATAAATATACAGCGATATAAGGGAAACTTCAACTTCGCCCTAGGTTCTTTGGAGGGCGAAATCAGAGGTGGTTGGGCACCTATACAAAATGTTGAAAGTAGTACACTAACCAGGAAAACGTTACAATCAGTTTCACTAAAAGACTGTTGGATGCAATTCACTGCATAGTGAAGGGATATTATGAAACATTGGTTAATTTAATTGAATATATGTTGATTTGGCTTTTTATGATCTTGAGATAACAATCGGGATTATTCGGAAACAAACCCCAAAACAGCCATATAGTGGTTTGATTTCTCTCATCAATTTGTTTTAATGAATTATTATTAACGAACAATCATCCTAGAAGGTCTTTGATAATAAAATACCAACATTCAAAAAATCTGACGTGAACACACTTCTAGAACTGTGACAAGCAGCATTTTAAAAGTTGCGTGAAAAAACCTAAATAAACATTCATTGCACAGTGCCTGGGACTATTCCAGCACACATATCTAACACATCTTGTGATGCTTCAATATGGTATTCCTCTAGATATCTACAACTATTTTCTTCTGTACTGGATAAATAATACCGGTAATTGACCATCATACCACATGATGCATTTAAACCTCTCATAGACATGTCGGCCATCCAATTAACTCGCCATATAACAGCACCATTACGAAGATGAAAATTGGCTGTAAATAAAAAATCAGAATTAAATACCTTGTTGACCAAAAACTGGTCAAATTTGTTTCCATGGAAACTTTAAAATGAAAACATAAAATGGCCAAACAAAATTTTATGTACTTCTAGCCAGTGGTTACCATATACACTTTACGGCACAGGTATCTGCCTTTAGGATTTTCTTTGAAAGATATTCATAATAAAAAGGAATGAATGTTTATGTGTTATTTGTTGACTGAACTGCTTACTAAGTTTTTAACAGTAACCGATATGATGTCGACAATGGACGGTAATTATTGAATTGCGGGTCTAGAACCCAGAAATTTGTTTTCTTATTCGAGTATTCCGAAATATTCAAAAAAGTTATGCAAATCAGGATTTGAATAATTTACAAAAACAACTCACTCTTTCCGTAACACTTCGTACTAAAGGAGCAGTATTTACCTTTGTAAGCCTAACACAATTCTGAGTCACACAATTAATACAACACTATCTTGTTATTTGATGATAATAAGTCGATGTGTGTACACGGTTCTATCAAGATATCTTGAATGGTGCTCTTTAAATTCTAATTAGCAAAAGGCTAAGTTGATGTGTTTACACGGTTTCATCAATATTTCTTGAATGGTTTATGAGATAGACTCTGGAAGCGACACTAGGATGGATAAAGCCCACTTTAATGTCCCTGAATAACTTGGTTTGGCACCAGATAACAAGCATAATGGCAGCTGACAAATAAAGGCATGATTTAGTTGTTGGCTTTTTCCAAGGAAACAATCATTTGATCATGAAATTATGAGATTAGTGAATTACTATCTTACCAACTGGATTTAATGCATACTGTCTTCTTTTTTCTTGATATAAATATCTGGCACACAACCTCATTAATATAGGCTTCAAAATACGTTCTAAGTCTTCTCTAGACACCCACGTATTAGACTGAACAAAATCTTTCAAAAGTTCTAAGACACATGAATGGGATGAATTCATATAAGGTTGTAAAAATGATTGTTCACTGTCTGTTATAAATTCTTTTCCAAAGTCTTCTCCAATAACTGTAATTATAATCACATACATGTAATAAAATTAAAGCTGTTTTTAGGTTAATTTCCGAATAGATGACAAAAGTCTTGTATGAACATCTTTAAACATAAACAGAAATTGTTCAATTATGCTTTTCCCACCAATCACAGCCTCGTTTTCCTCCATAGTTTTTAAACATGTTGCTAGATCAAATTGGGGGAAATGTCTATGTTATTAATCTAGATTAAACCATGTGACTATTAGAAAATGAAACAACTTGTTCCTAAACACAGGTCAAGATAACACACACTTCAAAATGAAATGTAGAACTGTTTTACCCTGGTTTTTTAACTTGCTTTCTTAAAGGATTTCAATAAGACATTATCTTATTTAGGGCAATGTTTAATTTAAACAGGGCTCAACTAGATGTTTACATTAACAAAATAAAACTGAAACTGTAGTCCTTTAATAAATGCAGGGCTTGCCACGAGACGCGAGTACTAGATGTTTACATTAACAAAATAAAACTGAAACTGTAGTCCTTTAATAAATGCAGGGCTTGCCACGAGACGCGAGTAATTACTCGCGCGCACGCTACGCTCGCGTAAAACCAAATTTACGTGAGTGATTAAGTACTCGCGCAAATATAAAAAATAATTTAATCAGAAATAATTGAATATCGTAATATAAAAAGCCGTAAACAATTTGTATGCCTTCATATTGATGCACTATTGCACACGCGGCGTGTCTTTCCAGTTCCAACTGTTGTTACTAAAAATACTTTGAGACGCGTACTGCCAGGCGGTTTTTAAGCGGATGTCCTTTGCCGTGTCTGGATAATCAAACATTGAGCGGATGTTGTCGTTTCTATTAATAGCAATTCTTTCGATCCCGCATCTTTTCTACAAATTGATGGGATTGAAATTGTTTTGCCTGTTCTTTTACCTTTCTAAGCTTTACCCGAATCCCCTCAGCACGCCAACGATGGCAAAGGAAAACCCAGTTTCCCTTGCAACGTTATTGTCATGGGAAGACGATTTACAGATAATATTACTGCCAAGGAAATAAAAGAGTATGCATTGCCTTTGTCAAGTTTGTGTGTGAAATAGCTTTATTCAACGTCCGCTTCCACCGAAGTGACAAGAGCATTGCCATTAGGCACATGGAATTTAAATGGCTACTCACGCACATCATTCTGCGTGAGTAAATACATGTACTCGCCTCACTCGCGCAAGTCTATATTTGCGTGAGTAGTCATCTACTCGCCTCCAATTTGCTCGTGGCAAGCGCTGAAATGCATTACAAATAAGCTTTAATATTTATTTTATATAGTAAAACTCAAGAGAAACATAGGTGACTTTCACAAGAAAGAAAGAAAACAAAGAAAGATTCTACCAATATAAAATTCTAAATAGTTATACCATCCGGTGACTTTTTTGTTCATGACTTCAATTTGTGTTAACATGTTTTAAAGGGCTATATAAAACCTGAAATGTCATAATTATTTTTAAATAGACAGTGTATATCAAATATATCATGTTACCTTTGGCATGAATACTCTGATTAAGATCTGTTATTAACCATTCTTTAAAACCTGGTATTGGTGATAGACTAGAAAACTGTTTTATATGGTCAAATTCTTGCTGTACTTCATGGACTACTTTCTTTATCAAATAATTACCCAATTCAACTCCCTGTAAACCTGTAATACATTAATTAAAACAAATTCATGTGTGTTAATACAACATTTTAATTAAGATACTGTTAATATAAGAAGTGGTATCAGATATTCTATAGAGTTGACAAACAGTACAGTATACCTCTCTATATGATAGCATGAGTCACTCTACTTTAGATAGCTGTCCAAAATCACTTGTGTAATCAAAATGAAATGAAATGGGGTTTAACGTCCTACTGTTCTGCTCCTATACTGGGCTAATGAAGACGGGCATACGCCATGCAGTGTGCTATGAGGGAAATTTTGCCCGGGCAGCGGCACTATCGCCTACTCTTATATCGAATTCCAACTGTCAAAGGAACTTTTACGTGCATTCCAATGTATACACGGGACCTCGGTTTTTCGTCTCATCCGAAGGACTAGACACTTGTGTAATCAGCATGGTGTACAAGGTAGCTATCACAAATCACGAGCTATCACAAATCATCTGTGCACGATAAGACTCTGATCTAAGTAGTAGGTTTGGCATGTTACTTTATTGTTTTCCTTGCAATTTTTTAAGTTTGCAGAGCCATAATTTAATTAAAGATCTGGTCTTACCTTTCAATGTAGATGTAATAGAATAGAAAACAGCTGCACTAATTTGATTCGGATCTTCTTTTTCCATATTTGGAGAAGAAACATCATTGGTGGGCGGAGACAGAGTTGAGTCTGTTGGTTCTTTCTTTACACCACCAGGCCAAAATCCTGGGGAGTGTATAATGGACTAAAAAAGAAAGTTTCATGAACTCTTTCAAAATACTATATATATATATATATATATATATATATATATACACACACACACACACAGTTTAAAGAGAGAGAGAAAGAGAGATGCGCTTTAACTTCCACTCGACACAAACGAGGTCATTTTGGGACTAACAGATGGTTCAATTTTGTTTCAATAATTCGCTTGTGTGTAGAGGTCTTTAGCAGTGGGAGGAAACCGGAGGACCCGGAGAAAACCCACGAGGTTGGACAGGCGACCCTACTACTTGTCACGTACAAACAGGGAATCAAAACCACGCCAGTTGACTTCATAACAGGCCTTATGATACAGCGTGCACATGCTAACCATGCGGCCATCCAACCTCCCACACAGTTTAAAGACTAATTGTCACTAAACTAACATGTAGTCCAGTTGGATCCACCCCCTTCTTAAATTTAGAATATAATCGATATTTATTAAATTTTTCTTGACTTACATGTATGGATGATGAGATTTCTTGTGTTAAAGCTGTATGTAAAACAACGACAGGTTCATGAGGCATACTATTATGTGTAAATACAAAACATCGTCTATATGGTCCAACACGTCGCTTTAAATCTGTCCAGTTTCTTATCGGATGTACAGCTTCATATTCAGATATCTGAAATATTGTAAAGACACCGATACTAAAGGAGAAATCCAAGATATATTTTAGCAAATAAAACGGGTTTAATTCTGTGTGAAGAGCCCTTAGAATCTTTAATTCTAGTCCAAAGAAACTATGTGAATCTCTGTGATATGTTTTCAAAGATACGATCTGATGAAGAGTCCTGGTTATACCACACTTAGTATTATTCATACCTTTTGTACCATATCACATGGTGACATCCAGGTAACCCTCTGTAAATTTAGAAAACCAACAGCAAACCACAGTGATAGTAATTCACGTAAACTTGTATTCAACGCTCTATAATATGCTACAGCTATCTCTGATGTACTGTTCAATTGTCGACTCTAGAATACAAAAAAACATTATATACAATGATTTAAAGATAGGTTCCCAGAAAAGTATCTATCGGGTGGTTATTTCCAATAAAAGTATGGCAATTTTGGTATATATGGAAAGTACATAGAAATATCCAATCTTACTAGAAAAATACTGGATTCCCCGAAAAACACTCATGGAGCATACACAGGACAAAAATGTAAGGGTTCCCCTAATCGACAGCCCGATGATTAGGAATTTCTGCACGCGTAGGTCACACGCGAACATTGAGCGCTTGATGTACAAGTTGATAAACTTTATGAAGAGTTAGACGTACAACACTTTCTGAGATAAAAATGACGGAAAAGACGCGGGTAGTGGATATTCCGAGAATTTAATTAGGATTCGATCTTGTAATAAATAGTAAGCGATTAAAGACAACATCATCTTATGTATGCAATGAATTCTCCTCTGACTTCCAAGAGAGGTAAGTCACGTGACGTAAACATGACCTGGTTTGATCAAATTTTTATAGCAGGGCATTCCTTCGCAATTACAATGTTTGAGAAGGATTTGAAGCAAAATTATGACAAATTAATTAGTTTGAATATGTTTTTAGTCCATATATACCATTAAATCACCCAGTTTGTACGCAGGAATGTATCTTTAACTCATGCACTTACAGTAAGGCTCTTGGAATGGTATGCAAAGTTATAATAGTTGGTGATGGTTGATTTACTATCAATCATCAACAGCTTATTTAGTAATAAATATCTCAACATATAAACCATCTATCATAGTTATATTGCCAGTAAATTATCTCATTCTTCGCTTGTGACTTATACATAGTTTAGGCTTTTCGTTCATTTTGCAGACAGTTTAATATTGAAATGGGTCATTTAAATAAGCTCAACACCTATACCAGATTGCATCATCTAAAAGATATTAAAATTGAAAGTTTGTAACCTGTTTGATTCACTAAAACATATCTGGGACAGCTTCTTTAGAGATAACTGTTTCCCTTATTAATTAATGTCAGATTCTAACTTAATTATCCTAGACCCCTAGGTGTAGTAGCTTTGTGAAAGTATATTGTGTCTATATTGGTAGTCATTAAAACACCTTATAATTACACAGTGTATTTTTTACTTTCCTAGTTTTCTTCATTCCTTTCTCCTTGTTAAATGTATACATATTTAGTTCAAATGATATTTTGTGTTTCTTTTGTATACATGTTTTTCTTTTGATTCTATGTTCTGTCTGTCTTGTTTGTAATATATTTGTATTTATATTTTCAGTGTTTTTTGGTTCTGTTTAAACAACTGCTTCAAATTTTAATTCCTCAATTTCCATGTATCTGAAGACACCGAGTTAGAATAAGCCCAGAATCTCTGGCTACACTATATTCATCTTGAGAATTATATTCTGATCATAATAGTAAAAGTAATAGTAATAGTAGAGTTATATTTAAATTTATCAAAATAAATATGACAAGTATAAAGTATCGATATTTCTATAGAATCTGGATGATATATATTTATCATCGATTGCAATTATTTGATTATGGAGGCCATACCGCCAAGGCTGGAAATAAGGCACTTGTCACAGACAATGTCAAGTTTTGTCAGACACAATCATCCCTCTGTTGCTGTAACAATTTGTCTGGCACAGATTTGTCTTTGTTTAGTTTGTTTACAATTCAAATGCTAGATATTAGCATAGTTCATTCAAATGCCATTAATAGTACATTCAAATGCTAGGTACTAGTTCATTCGTGCCCAATATTTTGTCCAGTACAACTAAAATTCTTACTTCAGAGTCTGCATACCACCGCAAAAGAATAATGCATAATTGTAAATTTGATTAGGTTGATGTTAAAGCTTATGACCAATCCAAGAATTCAAGCATTTCGGAAAACAATGGCACAAAATCTTTGACCGGCATGAACATGGACGAACCAACAATATGGTCATTTTAAAAAATATTGATTAGTATAAAAAATAAACACTTACAATAACATCAGCTCTCAAGTCCACTAAAAACTTGACCCCTCCATCAATTCTTCCTATCTGACGAAATAGTTGCTGATATCTGGGTAAGAGTGTGTTTCGCAATCTTTCTTGTGTACTTAATAATACAGCCTCACCTCTTTCCTTTATTAAAATAAATCATCTTATATTAACAATACATACTGAATAATACAGCCTTACCCCCTCCTATAGTAAAATAAATCAACTTTAATAATTGCGTTAAATTTGTTATGTCAAGGATTACAAAATTTTGGCTGAACTTTTGACAGTTATTTGATTATATAAACTGGCATTATCAGATTATTAGGGCTATTGACCTGTAGCTACATACAAATACAGCAGTACCACAGAAAATTACCATATCATCTCCTTAAATAAATGATCAAAAAGTGGTATCAGTTTTTCTACTACTTAAAGCCAATTGGAGCGATAGTTAGGATTTATCTATAAAGTAGTCTAGAGAGAGAGAGAGAAACAGGGTTTAACTTCCACTCGACACAAACTAGGTCATCTCGGGACTAACGTATGGTTTAATTTTATTTCAATAATTCACTTGCGCGTAGGGGTCTTTTAGCAGTGGAAGGAAACCGGAGGACCCGGAGAAAACCCACGAAGCTGGACTGGCGACCCTACTCCTTGTCAAGTACAACCTGGGAATCGAAATCACGCCAGTTGACTCAATGACAGACTTTATGATACAGCGAGCATAGGTAAACCATTCAGCCATCCAACCCCCAATAACCTGAGCACAAGTTTTCACCAAAGAAAAGACCATAACTTGCTATAAATGGTATTTTAATCAATATTTTTATGGTACTTTTTATAACCCATCTTTCATTTAAGTGCCCAGATGTGCTTAACAATAAAATAAATAAATAGAATTAAAAATTGCACAATACTTAAAAGAGGTCCAAATTGTAAAAAATCAAATCAATAAGCATTTAAAAGGGAAGTTAAGAAGAGTTATAAAAGGCGATTTTAAAAAGTTTCGTTTTGAGTTTTATTTAAAAACAGTTAAAGAATTACAACATTTTAATTGATGTGGCAGCTTGTTCCATAGATTAGGTGCTTTAAATGAAAAAGCGTTTTCTCCGTAAGATGATATTGTCCGAACTGGAACGGAGCTGTCTTAAAGGTTTATAAAATTGGAGGAGATCGGATAGATATTTTAGTGCTAAGTTGTTTATGCATTTAAAAGTTAATAGTAAAATTTTATAGTCAATTCGATAGGGCACAGGTAACCAGTGGAGTTTTACTAGTATTTCACTAATATGACATTAGCGAGGTGCACACGTAATAAGTCTAGCAGCGGAGTTTTGTAGAGACTGAGGTTGGTTAAGAAGTTTCTGTGGAACACCAGTAAGTAAAGAGTTGAAGATGTTGAGTCTAGCAGTGACAAGGGCCTGAACCAAGGTCTTGATGGTTTTATCAGGTAGATAGTTTCTAACTTTACTTATGTTGCGGAGATGATAATGTCCTATCTTACATGTGTTTAATTTGGGATTCCATAGACATATGGCTGTCAATTATAGCTCCAATGTTTCAAGAAAGCGGAGGAGAAGATTGTGGCATCACCAACACGAATGTCTTTTGGTACATTAAAACTGTTATGCGTTTTAGAGCCAATTATCATGAATTCCGTCTTTTCGGCGTTCAACTTGAAAAATTCATCTTCATCCATTGTTTTATATCATTGATACAGAGCTCAACATTGCACTTACTAAGTTCGAACCTATCGGGGTTGGCGGGTCTGAAACTCACAGGCTTCTTCTTTAATTATGACTAACTCGGAGCACAATCAAAACATGTTTGAACACACCAGCCTGCATAGCATGGAACAAATCATGTTCAAATAACTGTAGACTGAACAAGTTTATTTTACCACAAATATTTTGTACATGTTGTGTAATTCATTCATTTTAGTAGTAACTGTGATATATTATTTTATATACAGCATCACAATTCTAGACAACATATTGTTACTCTACCTGTGACATAGCTACACTCTGGGCAACTCTAGTAACATTATCTTGATTTACTCCATATTTCTCTGACAATAAAGTAAGAAACATCCCTTTATCTTCTGGTGTTAACTGACCATAGTAAGACAGAAATTCTTTACATTTTCTCTGAAAGTGGTAAGAAATACAATGCTAGACAAGGAAACATGCCCAACAGCAGTTCCATCTTCCAAGCTGTTTTAAAGACTTGTCACCATATTAATATTTCAAATTTTTGAAAATAATTTCTTGAGAATCCCAATGAATAAAAAATAATATCAAAAACAGTCTTTGATTACAAAGTTTCAATATCAAGAGCAATAACTATATCAAAATTTCTAATAACAAAAAGTTTACAATAAAAATTTGATGACTAGGGTAATAACACTGCCAGTATAATGCATTACAGATGGATTTCATAGTGGTGAGAGGGAGGGAGAGAGAGAGAGAAATGGGGTTTAACGTTCACTCGACACAAACTAGGTCATTTTGGGACTAACATATGGTTTAATTTATTTCAATAATTTGCTTGCGCATAGGGGTTTTTAGCAGTGGGAGGAAACCGGAGGACCTGGAGAAAACCCAGAAGGTTGGACAGATGACCCTACTCCTTATCACATACAACCGGGGATTCGAAACCACGCCAGTTGACTCAATGACAGGCCTTATGATATAGAGCGCACATGCTTACCATTCGACCATCCAATCCCCCTCATTCATAGTCAAACAATACCAGCATTAAGTATGAAATACAAACTTAAACATTTCCTTGTAGTACAATTTCAGACGGTATTGATGATAAAGTAATAATATAACCAAACATTTCAATCTTTGTATGTTTAATTATACTGTTTTAAAAATGTTTATGTCTGGCCAAGAGGCAAGATTTAGAAGCAGGGAAAAGTAAGCATGGTTGTTAAATACAATTTCCTGTTATAACAGATTATAGGTCTTTCATCACATACTAATAATATTATCAGTAACTGTATTATTAGTATTATATTCTATAGCAAATGTACTGGTAGGTCATTCTGACCATTAATCTATTTATTGTATAAATCTTTAATCACCTTTTTTTTTAAAATAAATCTAGCGACATTTATAGGACATCTATATAGTCTTATTAATTGGATGATTGGAATTCAGGTTGGCATAGAGTGGGATTTCGGTTGGAAAATGATTGGACAACTTTGAAGTTACTTAACTCACGGGCTAGAATCCGTTAAATTTGCAAAAATTTATTGTTTGGGATTCAGGTCAGTCATCTTAGTTAGGCTATATTGGACCACATTGAAGTTGCAGGAAAACACAATTGCAGCTGTAAAATTTTCCAAATTTTGTTGGGGAGGTCCTTACACGGTAAGCTCTGCACATTTGGCATTCGCTGACGACCAGCACCACCATCTGTAAACGTGATCGGGCATTTCAGGTCTGGTCCCTGTAACATTCATTGACTAGTAAGACTGGCACTATTATAGTGTATGCGACTTCAAAATTGTAAATACCAGCGGTTGCAGGAGATAGATAGAGAACAAGCTAAAAAAACGTGATTTTTCGTACAATCAGGAAGTTATAGTCTGAAATGTGGGAATATCGAAATGGACTGAGATATATTTGCATACAAGGAGTGGCCATTTTGTCTGGCAGTTTTGGTGAGATTTTTATGAAATTTGAACTCAACCTTCATTGAGGTGTAACGGTGATATATTTCAAAGGTTTTTAAAAGCTTGATATACCATATATTTACAAAATTTGTACGAGGTTCAGCCATTTTGTTCGGCCGTTTTGGTTCAATTTTCATGAACTCAACAATCATATGGGGGTAACGGTGATATATTCAAATGTTTTTTTCAATCAGATAAAAAATGTGACCTCTAGAGGGACCACAAGCTAAAAGCAGGATTTTTCGTACAATCAAGGGCCATAATTCTGGAAATTACGATCCAATATGCGTTAATATCTAAAGGAACCAAGATCTTTAGGTTATAAACATGTATTTCATGTTTCATCAAAATCGGATCAAATTTGTTACCTCTAGAGGGTCCACACCCTTGGTATACCATATCTTTACACTATTTGCATACGAGGGACAGCCATTTTGTCCTGCAGTTTCGGTCCAATTTTCACGAAATTCCAACTCAAGCTAAAAACTTGATTTTTCGTGCAATCAGTGGCCATAATTCAGGAAATTATGATCCAATATCCGAGAATATTGGAAGGAACCAAGATCTTTGGGTTATAAACTGGCATTTCAAATTTCATCAAAATCAGACTAAAATTGTGTCCTCTAGAGTGCCACAAGCTCAAAAACATGATTTTTCATACAATCAGGGCCTATAATCCATGAAGTTATAGTTCAATACTTGCCAATATCGAAAGGAACCAGGATCTTTGTGAGATAGACCTATATTTCAAGTTTCGTCAAAATCGGATAAAAGTTGTATTATAATTTGCAACAGCTATAGTCGGACTCAGACACTTATCTCTCACAATATAATTAAATATGTTCATTGTTTTAATCTTGATCTTTTATCAACAGAAGTATTATTGTATAGTTGTTTTAATAGTATTAACCAGGCTCCTTTTACACCCTTATCTATTTTAATTAACTCTTTAGTTTATGTCACTAGTGGCAACATTTCGATAACAGTTTATTGTACAACAAATTTAACTTAAAACTATTAGAGATTAGTGTCAAAACAACCAATAATATAAATTTTACTTAAGTTTCATGAGAAGCAATATATTTATTTTAACCAAAAGAATGTGCATCGTTTTGTTCATTTGTTTTTAGTTGTCATTTGAATTTACTGCTGTTGCTGGTTGAATAAATTCATATCCAGTTCAAGTTTTTATGGAAGTAACCCACAAAGTTACAAAACAGACAAGATAACCAGCAAAGCCATTTACAATGAAATAACAGAGGAAAAATTAACATGAAAGTTCACACGAATACAAAATGACGTGATTCATTTTTTGATTTTATTCAAACACATTGATTGCATAAATATAAATACAATTATTCAACAATAGTGGTTACCTCTGCTGGTCCCCTGTTATAAACCCTGAAAGGCCCGGTAAAAACCTTGAATGATAACAGACTTCTTGGAAATTAGACAATCCACTTTACAGATTTGGTTAAGATATTGTATAACACAAATCCCTGCACGTAGGCTACGTATGACTAGTTATGCAAATAATTTCTCCACAATAAATTTCATTTTTGGAATGAAAAACAAAAACAAAAACAGATAAACATGTCGTGACAGCTTTCTCAAATATATCATTAATAGTTGGTCATTCTTTACATGCACAATTGGAAATGTTACTGCAAAGTTCAGGTCTTGCAATAAGTTTCATATGAATATAGATTCAAGTAAAAATCCTAGATAATATTTCAGTTAATAAAACTGCTTAATCTTTTGTTCATTAAAGTCTCTAACAATTATTACCCTTTATTCTATTCCCAAGCAACTATCTGAACACCATTTTCAAAGAAATACCAAAGTTCAGTTGTGGTAGAGTTGTGTGGGTTAATAGCAATCATTGTGTGCCGAGATTAAACTGTCTACAACTCAGACATTTGTGCAGAAATGGCTCAAAATTTTGAACTGAAACTTTCAGAGGATGCTAAATGTTGACAAATTTTTAATCAATCATATCTTTGTTAATATTTAAAATGGAATTGTTCCAGACTTCAGAAGCTTTAAAAAAATCAAAACAAAGGGAAAACTGGACTTTACCTTTAAGCTTAAAAATATGGATATAACGTATATAGATTTCAATCTCACCTCTGTTGATAATATATTCATATCCGGACACGAAAAAGTTGACTCCAAAAAGCTAGGAATATCTGATGTCATCGTTCTAATGGGCATAATACCATTTTTACATGCACTGAATTTCACATTACTAAATACCTGACAAAAAAAAAAGAAGAAAATAATATGTTTTAAAAGATAGCCATTTTACAAAATATTATTAATAGTATTATAACTAGCCTTTCTCAAAAGTCCCAGAAAATGGAAAATTTGGAATGGAATAGTCAGATAGTTTTAAATTAATAGAAGTTTTACTGACCAACACCTAAAGCCCCAATCTGCTGGATCACAAATACCTTGCTAGTCAAAAGTATGTAATATACTATACAAATAAAAAAAAAAAGGGGATATTTGATTTTGGGGGCATAATACTAAAATATGCAAATGACTACGAAAAAAGTCACTATAGAACCTAACAGAAGAAACATTTCCAGTTACATGTGACGCCCAAACGCACCAATAGCTACCGCATGGAATGCAGGTGATGCTTGGGATCATCATGGGGGTCCAACCCAAGATTTGCACGACTCTGACTTTGAATGTTACAGTCATTGTGGCATTGAATTCCAGGGTGGAAACATCAGTTTAATTGTTTTAGTGACCAGAAAACAAATTTTGATATGCGTCGGCTTACCCAAAATGAAAGGTTACGTGCCCTTGGCATGCTACAGATCGGCACAACACAGGCGGTTGTGGCGCGGACGATGAATGTTTCTCAGTCTGTCATAAGCAGGCTATGGTCCAGATACCGTGATACACAATCTGTACAGGACAGACCACGCTCAGGTCGACCAAGGGCGACAACTCAAGCCCAGGATCGATTTATCCGTACCTTGGCCTTGAGAAATCGTGTCATCACAGCAAATCAGATCAGCGCTCGTCTTCAAACAGACACTGGCGTGAGAGTGAGTGGCCAGACGATTCGGAATCGACTGCATAGGGGTCACCTTCGCGCCCGACGTCCTCGCGTGATCCCTTGTTTGAGAGATCATCACATTTAGGCAAGACGTCGTTGGTGTAGGGATCGTCAACACTGGGATAATCGACGCTGGAGCAATGTGATGTTTTCAGATGAGTCAAGGTTCACTGTTGATTTTTTGGACAGACGTAGGAGGGTGTGGCGTCGTCGAAACGAGCGCTTCCAAGACGTTAACGTCATCAGACATGATCGATTTGGGGGTGGTTCTGTTATGGTGTGGGGAGGCATCACTGTTGCTGGAAGAACGGCTTTACATGTTGTTGCAGGGCGTGTTACAGGCCAGTACTACCGGGACAACATCTTGGCAGTCCATGTTGTGCCGTTCGCACGACGTCATGGCCGCAGTTTCATCTTCCAGGATGACAACGCAAGATGTCACAGGGCCAGGATCATTACAGGTTACCTCCAACAACAGAACATCACCACATTACCTTGGCCAGCACTGAGTCCCGACCTCTCCCCCATCGAGCATGTCTGGGACATGCTTGGACAGAGGTTACGTCAACGTCAACAACGTCCTGCCAATGTCCAAGAACTTGCTGCTGCGTTGCAACAGGAATGGGACAATCTGGACCAAAATAACCTTAGACGTCTCATTAGGAGTATGCCACGTCGGATCAATGCTTGTTTGGCAAACAGAGGAGGATTTACCCGTTACTGACTTGGTTGTGATGCTGTGGTAACTTTGCTGTTTGACCCCGGGTATCATTTTACCCTTATAATGGTCAGTCTGTGCCTTACTTAGTCTAACGATCATTTGGAATAAATCGATGAATGTGAACTTCATTTCATTTTGTCATTTGTTTCTTCGTCAGTTTCATTAGGTGACTTTAATAACACTTAAAAATCAAATATCCCCTACTTTTTTTGAATAGTATATTTCATTGTAATGACTCTGATAATAGGATCTACACTAAGACAAATGAAAACTAAAAAATATTCAAAAATGAAGTTAGAATTAGTTGCTTTTATAATGTTGGGAACCCAAGCTGGGACTTTAATAACTGAAATGATTCTCATGAACATAAAACTACTCCTGGTATATTCTGTACTGATTATCAAATTGAAAATTATTTTCAAAATGCAAATTGGAAATAATTTTCAAAAATCAAATTGAAAATTACTTTCAAAAATCAAATTGAAAATTACTTTCAAAAATCAAATTGAAAATTATTTTCAAAATAAAATTGAAAATTATTTTCAAAAAATTATCAAATGAAAAATTATCAAATGAAAAATTATCAAATGAAAAATTATCAAATGAAAAATTATCAAATGAAAAATTAAATACTTTAAGCAAATCAATTTAGATATTCACAGGTAGTCTTCTATTAAAAAAATCAATTGGAAAATTCTTTAAAGATGGGTTCCCAGAAAAGTATTTATCGGGTGGTTATTTCAAATAAAAGTATGGCAATTTTGGTATATATGGAAAGTAGAGATATCCAATCTTACTAGAAATATACTGGATTCCCCGAAAAACACTCATGGAGCGTATACAGGACAAAAATGTAAGGGTTCCCCTAATTGACAGCCCAACGATTAGGAATTTCTGCACGCAAACATTGAGCGCTTGATGTACAAGTTGATAAACTTTATGAAGAGTTAGATGTACAACACTTTCTGAGATAAAAATGATGGAAAAAGACGCGGGTAGTGGATAATCCGAGAATTTAATTAGGATTCGATATTTGTAATAAATAGTAAGCGATTAAAGACAACATCGTCTTATGTATGCAATGAATTCTCCTCTGTCTTCCGTGAGAGGTAAGTCACGTGACATAAACATGACCTGGTTTGATCAAATTTTTATAGCAGGGCATTCCTTCGCAATTACAATGATTTGAAGCAAAATTATGACAATTTAATTAGTTTGAATATGTTTTTTGTCCATATATACCATTGAATCACCCAGTTTGTACGCAGGAATGTATCTTTAATTTAACATCTATTAGAAAATTCATTATTACTATTAATAAAACCCCTATACAATTATTTTCAAAAGATCATTTGGAAAATAAATTATTCATATATTATTTATTTCCTCTTTGTTAATTTGTATAGCTATATTATTAGCCATACTAATTTTCTAACTCTATACAAGTCATCTGTGTGATCTATTGCCGATTTGCTAGTCTGTGTTTATTAAACAGGCATAAATGCAAGACCTAAATCTGCCTATTGCATGTCTTTCTTTAGGCCTGAAATGTTATATAATTAGACATTAATTAACTTACCAAGACCATAATCAACTCTCGATGCCATTGGATGGCTGCGTTATAAGTAGATTTAAATACGTTTTATGGTCGATGCCTTCACCGTAAAAATGTCTAGTATCATAACAACAGTAGTAATGACAATAGGCTATAATTGTATCGCTGATATCTAGACTCAGAATGAAGTAATTTGACTGAAGTTGCAGCATATTTTCTATTTACGTTATCTTTTTTCAGGGGCGCCGGAACTCTTGAAAATTTTGAAATTTGTCAATTCCGAGAACGCTGTTTAGAGCGCCTCTAGCATTCCAAATTTCAACATAAAACCCTTTAAAATACATAATAATGAAAGAGACAAAAGCCTGATTTTTCACAATTTTCGTATCATTAGCAATTCATCTCATAAAAAAATCTTTTTAATTTTACATTCAATACACCAATCTTCATCAAGAAAACAGAATAAGCTTTTTGAACGAGACAGTAGATTTCGAGACACGATTCTTGCAAGAGCTCATATTCAGGAGCAAGTGTTGATGAGACACTATAATGAGACTATAATCGACCGTGCAATTACATATCTATCATATCAAAATGAATAGACTAGTAAAAAGGTTGAAAACTTTCATCATTAGGGCATGGGTATACATGTATACCCCTGAAAAGGGCAGAGTACCATTTGTATACCCTGGTACCCGTGTGTCTATTTTGTAACTCTTATACCATAATGCATTTCAGTACAGGGCTAGACATATTCCACAAGTCACATCAAATGGTGACGCTATATTCTTATCTGGAGAGCATGCACAATAAATACCATCGGTGTAGACTGGAAAAACCAGACGCTAAAGATTGACATTCACATGAGACTTCTGGCGTATTTCTCCGAACATAACTGATTAGAAATTACAGTAAAAACAGAAACGATTGAATGTAAATCAGTTTATATACATTCATATTACATTATTATATGCGTTGCGACCCATTTTTGTCAATTTCTAGGTCCCAAATATTAGCGATTTAGCTCCTTTAATGATAATTGCTTTCTGTGTGAAAATCTTTATTTGTGATACTTTTATCTTGAATTGTTTACATTTATCCTCTAATAGATGGAGAAAAACCTGACACATAATCTTTTCAAATGCACTAGGGAGAGGGGTTTTACATAGGCTAAGCCTGTTCCCCAATCCCATTCAGTCAACCTGAATAAAAATACTGTTTATAAAATAAAAAATGCACTATTTAAAATCTTTCTTAAAATATGAACTCAATTTTCATATAGATGGCAATATGATCTAGTAAGCAATTAAAGGCTTATAATACAGCTATTATTAATCACAATTTTGATGAATATAATGCAAAATACAGCAACACTATAAATTGGGATATTGTCCTTGGAGTGGATACACTGGATACACTGTTGAATCTACATATTACATTCTTAAAGATGCATTATGTAAGAACTAAAAAAAGAGCACCTTCCAACAATCATAACTTCGCTAAGAATAATAAAATTTGAATGAAATTTGCAATTATTCCTTTTTCATTATCTAAGAACTTTTATAGCTCTTTAACAAAATCTTGCATAATGCATCTTTCATGTAACCTTGGTTTATGTTGTCCATAAATATGTATAGCCAAACTTAGATCAAGATTTAAAATATAAATATATTCAACATCATTCAATGAAAGAGTTCAGTAGATATAATTCTTATCTTATCTATTGTGTGAATGATAAACTATTGTCTAATCTTTAAGGTACAGGTAGCCTATAAATTCTTCTGCTAAATTTTTATAGCACAGATTTATTTTCATTTTATTTCACTAAAAATGATAATTTCTTACCTGTAGCATTGCATAAATCAACCTAAAATTTATCCACAAGGTATAAAATCGTCTGCTAAAATTTTATTTTTTCGGCTTTAGTTCAATACATGTTATAATTCCTTACCATTTGCATTGAATTAGCCACCTCAAATTTATCCAAATATCATCACAAATTGGAAGAAATTATAAATGCTTGCGTTATTTCTTTAAAATTATGTATTTACAAGCATAAAAATAAATTTGTATCTTGCCTCTTTCCCGAGTTCTCTGAAAAATCAAAGTCTGCTCTTAATACAAGGAAAATATTATTTCCAAGTATTAGAAATTTCGAGGAAAACATATCTAGAGCGTGGGAGATAATTTCGGAGAATTCAATTATCGACAACGCTCTCATGTTAAGCGTGTCAGGTGAACAGTAATAAATAGGACACACCCATGCCGCATTTCTGGCCAACCGCAATGCTACTTTCGGTTTCTATTCCTGCAAATATTAATTATTGATCGATAATAGTGAGTTTTCAAATTACTTACCCGTTGCAGCTGCATTAAACGTCTAAACGAGGCCATTGTCTTTTCTTCTGGTGTTTTGTTATGCACTCTTGTTATGTTACTGTAAGTTGTGGACACAAAACTCATCGTACGTTACACTTTGACCGTTCATTTTAAGTTCAACTTGAACTTGAATTAGGGGAATTCCCATGTCGCTTCAACATTAAAAACACATTTAAATGGAGGCATAGATTTGTGTAGTAAAATCATTTGAGCCAAAATAGAGAAAAAAGTGACATTGTAAATTTGTTGCCAAATAATAGTTGTCAGTACGTTTGCCTTCAAGTAATCTTAGATAGACCGCGTAAGATCCACTGCGGACTAGTTTATTGTCAGCGATGAAAGCGATCAAATATGACGTCATTGAGGGATTCCCCCATTTGAAGGAATCCCAAAATGTGACGAAAGTGGCACAAGTATTTCGTTTGCATTTCTACAACTTTAGTGTGAAGTAAACAAGAAAAAAATAAATATACAGACGGATAACTTTGTGTGACTTTTGTTGATCATATAAAAACTTTTCAAATATGAGTGTGCATGTCTCAAGGTGTAGCCATGCAAGGATTGGTTTTATTATTAGAAAAATGAACAAATTCCAGCATCAACAACAGACATTGTCTCAGCTAAATCAAAGAAGTTTAGCTTTTTGGAGTTCACGTCCAGATGATTGGACTAAGGCAGTAACAGAAGCTGAGAAAATTGTTGGATACCCGACATCTTTTATGAGTTTGCGATGTCTTTTAAGTGACGAGTTATCAAATGTTGCTATGCACATGAGAAAACTTGTAGGGACTAATCATCCTTTATTAAGAACAGCAAGGTAGCCTAATCACGCTGTTTGCATTGTTTGTATCTGAAAGGTTCAGTGAGGTTTATAATGTATTTTTTTTTATTTACAAGAAACAACCTTCAGAAAATATGCCATAGTAGTTGTATTGTTTTCACTACGGTTGGTACTCTAGCACATGCCGTATATGCAGAACCATATTTCGACTGCAGTCAGATATCTGATATAAGATATGTTAATTGGCTTAGCTTGTGTAAACTTGTCCTTATGTGAGTATAGTGGATAGATGGTATACTGGTATCTGTATTTTATCCAACAACCTAATTAGGCTTACATGTACATGTACGTACTTATGTACATGTACATTAATAATATAGCACCAAATGATATGTCAGATCAAATCTGAATCAGCATACAGTGTATGAATTGCCTTGTTCAACTTAAACTTCGAGAGACATGAAATACATAACCAACTAAATATATTTATCATTACTTATACCCTTTAACAAAATATATCTAAGCACACTGTGGTGAAGACTTATAAAAGTTTAACTTTATATTATTTGTATTTCAGAGGTTTAGTGTATGATGGTACCCACAACTTACAGACACGAGGTTTAATAGTTTTATTAATGTCTAAAACTGCTGGTGTAGCTCCTCATAAAGCTCAACAATTGGTAGAAAAAGACATGATAGATGGAATTTTACCCAGGTAAAATGTAGGAGCATGAATATTTTTCTTATTACATTATTATCTGTTAAAGGGCGTATACTATATGTAGCTTTATTAATTGAAATTAACCAATATTGACTTTTAATTTGTGTTTTTAGTTTTGAATATTATCGATAATATTGAGTTAGGGGTAATACATGTGTAGCTCTTTTAAGTAGTCAATACAACTGTCCATGTAGCTCTGTATGATTCCCTTTTCAATCATTTTTCATTCAAAAATAATTGGATCAAACTTATTATTTATATCTCAAAGTTTACAAATAATGATAAACTCTGCCCAATAACTCAAGAACAAACTATTTTAACTAGCAAGCATGGAATTAAAAAAAATACTATATTATAATCATCTACTGCAAGTGTATTAAATCTTACAAACCTGTACATTTCTCGAAAATAATATTTGAACACTTTATTTGTTAAATATGTTTACAGTACATGTAAATAACATTACTTGACAATATTTCAAGTACTGGAGCTTAAACTGATAGAATTTTTAAATTAAGTCATTTCGCGACTAACATATGGTTCAATTTTATTTCAATAATTTGCATGCTTGTAGAGGTCTTTTAGCAGTGGGAGGAAACTGGAGGACCCAAGAAAACCCACGAGGTTGGACAGGCGACCCTACACCTTGTCATATACTTCCGAGGAATCAAAACCACGCCAGTTGACTCAATGACAGACCTTATGATGCCAGGCGCATGTGCTACCAATTCGGCCATCCAACCCCCCTCAAATTAATATATACATATTAAAAAATTCATATGACTTTTAATTATTCTAGCTTGCTTATACTCATTGTCTAAGTTGTGATGGGTTTTGTCAGCAAGTCATAGTAGGCTTACCCTTTCTAGAACTCCATATACCACTTCTCATTCATTTGGGAAATTTAGATAATGAGCTGGAGGTTGTGATAGGCCTATCTAACAATTTATGTTGTACATTTACCAGGGTTCTATTTCATAAAGGACACATAAGAATTATAAACACATAAATTATTTTCTTCATAATGTGTAAACAAACAATATCTTGGTAGCTAAATGTATATACTGAAAGCTGGACTATTGAATATTATCCTAAAGGCTGTGTAATTTTGTCTGTGTTTCTCATGCAATTCAAGGGAGGTAATTCCATTTGTGAAATTCAACTATGGGAAATTAAAAAAAAAAAATGTGTCTCAATCAGTTGTAATCTTTTGAACACATTTTGTTTTACAGTCAAAGATCTCTAGCAGAAATAACAGAAATGATCCATACAGCAAATTTAATACATAAAGGTGTTGTTAATTTATCTGATCTACAGCCTAATGATGGACCTGTTAAAGATATGGAATTTGGTAATAAAATGGCAGTGTTATCTGGTGATTTTCTTCTAGCTAACGCTTCAACAGGTTTAGCACAACTAAATAACACAAAGGTAACTTGGTAATATTAGGGGGGGGGGGGCAATACAAAATCTCGATTAATCTGGAGACAAATATATTCTCCTTTGATTCCCTCCAGAGCCGCAGTGGTTCAGTGAGGAAGGTACTGACACACTAACCAGAAGGTACAGGGTTCAATTCAGGTACCCAAAGAAAATATTGATTTGTCTTGACATGAATCAGTGACTTGTATCATTTCTACTACTTTTAAGATAGATTGGTTTTTTTCAGGTTGTGGAGGTTATATCTAGTTGTATTGGTGATCTTATATCAGGTGAATTTACAGGTCTTCAAGATAGAAATGGAAACCCTTGTCTTAAACCAGATATCACTTTCTCTGATTGGACAAATCAAACATATTTGACATCTGGTAGCCTACTAGCAAAAAGTTGTCAAGCTGCATTGGAATTAGCTGATCACGACCAGAACTTTCAGAAAAAGGCATTTGAGTTCGGCAAAAATATGGCTTATGCTCAACAAGTAAGCATTGTCACTAGTTCCGATACTCCTAGCTATAAATTGACTAGTCTAGTTCATATGTATGTGTTGTGGCCCCTTAAATCTTAATTAGGTATTCAACTATGAAAACAAATGTCAGGAAAGTCATCTAGGAGTGATTAATATCTATAATTATCCAATCTAGACTTGACTCTAAGTAACAAAATTTTGTCAGAGACCTACCATGTTTCTTTGCTGGAAATGTCACAAAAAATAAACATCCAAGTAACTTCTGTGGTTTAAAACAAGGATTTAATTAGCCCAAATCAGTTCTTGTACAGAAATCAGCATGAATAAAATATCCAGAGTAGCTTATTCCATAGCCAATTCTAATGTCATTTGATATTTTCGGACAAATCTTTAACATATGTATATTTTTTTTTAAATATTGTCAATTTTTATTATTACAGCTTAACGAAGACCTGAAACCATTTATTACACCAGATGATAACATAGATCAAATGTCAATATCATCAGCTCCTGTTATTAAATATATTTTATCACAGACTCCAGGCCTTCCTGTTTCAACACTAAATAATTTAGACAATAGAAAGGTGAAACATTATAGAAGTAAATTTATAATATAAGTTGGTTGCACCATGGTTTACAGTACATGAGTTAGCTAGGTCTTAGTTATGCAGGTTGCAAGATTTTCAGAGCTTAAATCAGACTTACATTTGCTCAAAACAGTGAATTTTAATTTTAAAATACTAGGTTCTTTCAGGAACGAAATACTTGTACTGACATATTTTTTTGTGGGGGGGGGTTTCAATAAAAGAAATACCGCTTAACGTCTTACTGCTCTGCTCCGACTGGCATGGGCTAATGAAGAGGGGCATATGACATACAGTGCAGGATGAGCCACATATGGCGCAGACATCAGTGCTATGGTTAGATCAAATTCAAACTGCCAAGGGTTCTTTTATGTGTACACAGGACCTTGGGTTTTTGTCCCATCCAAATGACTATACATTGTCCCTTGCCAGGCCCTCCATCTTATACAATTGACAAGGGGTAACGACACCAGCAAATCCTGATGAACTTTATCAGTTAACCCCAGGATCGAACAGAACAGGAGCCAAAGTCTTATTCACAATAGGGGGGTTGGATGGCTTGGTGGTTAGCACGTGCGCGCGCGCTGTATCATAAGTCTGTCATTGAGTCAACTGGCGTGGTTTCGAATCCTCGGTTGTACGTAACAAGTATTAGGGTCGCCTGTCCAACCTCGTGGGTTTTCTCTGGGTCCTCTGGTTTCCTCCCACTGCTAAAGACCCCTACGCACAAGCGAATTATGGAAATAAAATTGAACCATATGTTAGTCCCGAAATGACCTAGTTTGTGTCGAGTGGGGACGTTAAACCCCATTTCTCTCTCTTTTATTCACAATAAAGAATAATAGGCTATTGTAGCCACTGTTATACACTAAAGAATTTGAAGCGGGCATTCTACCCATATAATATATGGAGCCCAAGCTTTTATTTTAAATAACCACAAGTGGTTTTATATGCTAATTTAAAACGAGATAATATTTATAGATGATTTGTGGATAACAATGTGGCAGGGATGGCAAAATTACCATTACCTATATAGTCTGTATAATCTAATTAGATCTTTATTTCATTTCATCTGTCTATTCTACATAAGCCAAACTACTTATAAGTTCTCTTTGAAGACTGATTTGAGCCACTTATTATTGCCAAAGGAAACATCTTTTCCTTGACGAAATAAGGGATCAAGTCAGGCCAGTTGAATGCAAATTGCAAACTTCTGAAAGATGTTGGACTGCACTGTAGTGTAAATATAAACAACATAGAAACCAATACAGTAGACTGTATGCAGGGGGGAGACTGGGTAGCTCTGTACCCTCAAACCAACTGGTTTCCTCGGGCTCCGTCGTGGCGACGAATATGGGACACGAGACACGACAAGAAAACAAAACTAACTTGATTCACCATTTCCACCACCACTAATAGATCATTTTCTCCTCAGATTTAGGCCATTTCATTTTTCGGTGGATGTGATGATCTATTTTTTTATTTTGAAAAAAATTATATGTCCATTTTTTTTCCAATTGGGCCGCTGACCACCATGGACCCCTTGGATCACATCTGACATTCAGAGGCCCGGTCATTCCCTGACTGTGTGAACACCAAAATTGAGACACTTGTTGAAACATCAACCTAATTAGTGATGTGAACAACCTTTAACATAGTATAATGCACATAGATGTACCAGTACATTCTGCACATATATTTATTTTCCAGATCAGGTTAAACCCCATTTCATTTCATTTATTTTTCAGATATTGAATTTAGTAAAAGAAGGATGTATTATAAAAGATTGTCAAAATCTGTGTTTAGAATATGGGCAAATAGCCATAGACAGTTTAGATGTTTTTCCCGATTCCCAGGCCAAATCAGCTTTAATCAACATTGTTCAGGCAGTGACAGAATAATACTATATGTAATATTAGAAAAGTTGCACTTATGGTTATTAGGACTTTGATTAGGATCATGCCCAGAGAGGAGAAATTCCGAACCCTAACATTAGATATTGGTGGACTAATGAACCCGCGGGCTAGTGCACCTTAACCCTATAACCCAACCCCTATAATAGATATTGGTGGACTAATGAACCCGTGGACTAGTGAGCATGTGCTGAATTGATTGTGATTTAATTGTGTGAATTACATGTATTATTATATCCTTTAGTCTTCTGTTTGCCAGTGTAACATATTTATACTTGCCAGAGCACAAAGGGGACTGTCTTAAAACAGAGTTCCAGCTGCTGGAGATTTTATTCAATATATCATGTTGAAAGTTTTAATCATCCATGGACGCCCCCCCCCCCCCCACCCAATTGTTTATCGCCTTTTTAATTATGTCATTTGTGATGTCATGGTGGATAGTGTCAGTCACTGTAAATAAACAGATCAGCAGCCTACATGTATATCCCCTGTTGGAAGTTTTCAAGCTTCAATGTAAAAATAACCAATTCTCTTTTTTACAGCCCTGTTAAACAAATTATTTGAAAAAATGGCAATAAAATGGCAAGTGGCACCTTTTCATTGATGTTTTGATGATTTAGAGAGCCTCGATGAAAAAAAAGAATAGTGACCCACATTTTGATGCGGTATTATTATGTCGTCGCCAATGTCCATTCACATTTGTTTCTGTTAAGCAGATCACTTAAAATGTAGGCCTATGTTTATATCCCAAAGATCTTGATTTTGGAAATGGCGGCCGTCACTTGAATTATACGAAAATCACTTGCATTGTCCGTGGACACCCTAGGTTACAATATTTATTCGATTTTGACGAAACTTAAAACTATATTTTTTTATCCCAAAGATTTCGGATGGGTTCAATTATGACACATTTATTAGGTTTTGATGAAACTTAAAATATATTTATACCCTAAAATCGCGAATGGGTTCGATTTTGTCACATATCGCAGTCAGTTAGGATTCCCCCCCCCACACCCATTATGAAATAGTGCAAATACATAGACCCCAGCTGTGATCAGTCTGGAGTTCATACTTTTTTTCCCTTCAATTTTTGATGAAACTTAAAATTATGTTACGAATCAAAAGACGAGTTCAATTTTGGAGCTCAATTTTGGAGCGGACCTTTTACACAAAATGTAAAACAAAGTTTGTGGGGTTTCATATTGTGGTGAATTTGGAACAGGAAAGCATTCTAATCGTTCGCTGGTGATTGTCCTTCCGTCACCAACCGACTATGGATAATCAGCATTCCGCGACCTTTGGTTGCGAAGCTACCCGCGTACCATTAGTCTTCAGTTGCAATGGGGGTTGGATGGTCGATTGGTTAGTACTGCGTGCTGTATCATAAGTCTGTCATTGAGTCAACTGGCGTGGTTTCGAATCCCCGGTTGTACGTGACAAGGAGTAGGGTCGCCTGCCCAACCTCGTGCGTTTTCTCTGGGTCCTCCAACTGCTAAAGACCCCTACACGCAAGCGAATTATAGAAATAAAATTGAACCATGTGTTAGTCCCGAAATAACCTAGTTTGTGTCGAGTGGATGTTAAACCCCCATTTTTCTCTCTTCTGTTGCAAATTCTGGGAGAAGTTTGCATGACAACTACTTGTTTTCAACTGCAGTAAAACACCATTTATTTAGTCTATAACTATAGATTTTGGCGTTTAACTAGCTGGAAGCTCTCTGTACAGACTTTGTATGTGTCATTCCATAAAAGTACAAGGATGCCTTGTTTACTTTTTTTTATATACAATGCATGTATTTACAATCGAAATAAATCACTTGACTTTTGAGCATATAAAGATGAAAAACCTGAAAAACACGTGCAAACACAAATTCGTGAGGTCAATCGTTGCAAGTTTGCTTAAACTGAACACGCACACGTAACTTGAACTGGAAAAACAAATAATTTTTTTTATTTTCATCTTTGTAAGAAAATGACGCGCCTTTCAAATGTAGAACGTCTCTATGCTGGTCAGTCTGTGGTCACTGTTGCAAGAGCCTTTAATTGTTCACGCCAGACAATAATTAATCTTAGAATGAGAGAGCTTTAAACTGGAACTATTGCCGACCGCCCAAGGGCGGGAGCGCCACGTGTGACGTCACTCCAGGAAGATCAAGCAATACGACTACGTCATCTTAGAAACAGATTTGTCACTGCAACCTCCACAAGTAGAGAGATGTTTGGTGGAAGGGTAACTGCACAAACTGTTCAAAATCGCTTGCAGGCTGCTGGTCTTCGAGCTCGGAGGTCCTATAATGGACACCTCTTCATCGCCGTGACGAATCTCGATTCACTTTGAGATTTGCCGATGGCAGGGTCCGTGGCGTGTGTTCCGCAGACGAGGTGAACGTTACGCTCAAGTATGCGTCAGAGAAGTTGACCGATTTGGTGGCGGCAGCGTCATGGTTTGGGGTTCTTTTTGTGCACATGGACGTTCTCCTCTTGTTGTCCAAGGGAATTTAAATGCTGTCCAGTACAGGGATCAGATTTTGCAACCTGTTCCTCTTCCGTTTATGCAGAGACATGGGCCTGGACTAACGTTTCAACAAGACAATGCTCGACCCCATACAGCAATTGCTACCCATAATTTAAGAAATGTCGGTGTCGCTTAGCCACGACCTTAATCCTATTGAACACATCTGGAACGAACTGGGTCGAGGTGTTCGTCAGCAAGTGAATCCACCACTGACGTTGCAGAACCTTCAACATGCTCTTGCTGAGCAGTGGTGAGGTCTTCCTCAGGGTAGTGTTTACCAATGTTCTGAGATCCACGAGAAGACGTTGTGTGGCAGTACGAGACGCTAGGAGGCCACAACCGTTACTAAACACTTTATTCCGATTGTTCTCCAAGTCTGTGAATTTCATTTTGGGGGGTACTGTGTCAAGGACTTTCGGCGAGACGTATTCTTGCTTTCTGTTGATGTCAAGGTCGTCTATGCACAACATAACACTAAAAGAGTTGCCTTAAAACAAATATTAAAAATCTAGTCCCAAAAATCCCGAGTGTCAAGTTTTTAATTTGGCCGAGTATACATCAACAATTACTCTTGGTGTCGAATAGAGGGTTAGTATCAGGGCTATCTTAAGTCTTTCATTCAGAACACGACCCCGATGCTTCATGGCAGTTTATTTTGTATGTTGTTCCTGTTCGTAATTGTATCACGATCATTCTTGAAAAAATTAGTAGGGGGACCTACATCCATCTTTATATTCTTAAAGATTATATAAGAGCTACGACGTAAATATCCCTCTAGTATATAGATCTTTCTCTTGGCCTCAAATGTTATATACATTTTTAATTAGACATTTCACATGCCAAGCCCATAAAACCCCTCAGACCATCGGATGGTTGTGATTTAAACGGAGAAAAACACAGTCGCCACTTCATAATTTAACAAGCGGTTGCCCTGCAAGATACATCCACATTTTGCAAGAGATGAACTGTGCCATTCTTCAAACGTTATAACAGACGACACGCTGGGCGAAACAATGCAACTACTTAACCACCAAAATGATAGGTAACTTAGGTAATCAAGCAACGAAATCACCAAATGAATGGAGGTTTAACGCCCCGCTTTTCTGCATTAAAAAATAGATAATGTAAAGGGAATTTGCGGAATATTTCAGTCAAATTTATCCACTCTGAACCGAGATTTTAGTGACTGAATTTTCGGCCTAGGCTTGATCATCATTACTAAAGTCGCTACAATAAAAAAAAACAGTCTCGATTACCCATTTCATGATTAAATTATGAATGGAAGTCGAACAGGAAATCAGAACCTAATCCAATAAACATCGCAGGCTAGCGGTGACATCGAGAGTTTATTATGGTCTGGATAAGTTAAAGATACATTATGGGAGATAAGATAAAGAGATGGCAGTTCTCGCTATAATAGTTAAAAACTAGAGTGTAAAAGGTAATTTGCTGAAAATTTCAGTCAAATTGATCCACTATGAGCCGAGAAAGAAGCGGGTGAAATTTTTGCAGTCTCGGTCATCATTACTAAAATCCTTAATATAAACAGCATAGTCTCGATTATCCACTATTGATTTAATTATCAACGGCCGTTGGCGGCATATAGGAATCTAATCCAGCCAACATCGACGGCTAGCCTTGACATCATGAGTTTATTATTGTCTGAATAAGTTAATTAATGCCTAATTGATAATTTAGATAATATTTCAGGCCTAAAGAAAGCCTTGTAATAAGCAGATTTTGCTCTTGCATAATGCATGTTTAATTAAGGCCTAATTAATAATTTAGATAACATTTCAGGCCTAAAGAAAGACCTGCAATAGGCAGATTAGCTCTTGCATAATGTATGTTTAAGTAAATGGTTAATATTTAATATTGTACATGTAAATGCACATTATTCGAACTAGAAATTAATGTCTTGGTCGCCAACCAGATGTTCTGATCTTTTATTGCTGGACTCGTACTCGTGTCAATGCCAATTTAAAAGGAGACAAGTCTTTAACACAATATCATAACACAGAATGCTTTTGAGCGCCATTTTGTTATGAAGCGACCCGATGATCAAGGCTAAATATATCGCATATCAAAAATATTGTGAATGTTGATGTAAATATAGCACTCCACTTCTTTATTACAACACCAGAATGGTCATACATCAGTAAAAGTAAAATACAAAAACAGAAATAAATGTTTAAGATGTAACCATAATGAATAAGAGCTGTAATTCACGCCTGCTGCCATATGTTCTGCAATTTTCTCTAGGATTACGACGTCCTTCACAAGCTACAATGGCCAATATATACTATTCAAAAAAAGTAGGGGATATTTGATTTTTAAGTGTTATTAAAGTCACCTAATGAAACTGACGAAGAAACAAATGACAAAATGAAATGAAGTTCGCATTCATCGATTTATTCCAAATGATCGTTAGACTAAGTAAGGCACAGACTGACCATTATAAGGGTAAAATGATACCCGGGGTCAAACAGCAAAGTTACCACAGCATCACAACCAAGTCAGTAACGGGTAAATCCTCCTCTGTTTGCCAAACAAGCATTGATCCGACGTGGCATACTCCTAATGAGACGTCTAAGGTCATTTTGGTCCAGATTGTTCCATTCCTGTTGCAACGAAGCAGCAAGTTCTTGGACATTGGCAGGACGTTGTTGACGTTGACGTAACCTCTGTCCAAGCATGTCCCAGACATGCTCGATGGGGGAGAGGTCGGGACTCAGTGCTGGCCAAGGTAATGTGGTGATGTTCTGTTGTTGGAGGTAACCTGTAACGATCCTGGCCCTGTGACATCTTGCGTTGTCATCCTGGAAGATGAAACGGCGGCCATGACGTCGTGCGAACGGCACAACATGGACTGCCAAGATGTTGTCCCGGTAGTACTGGCCTGTAACACGCCCTGCAACAACATGTAAAGCCGTTCTTCCAGCAACAGTGATGCCTCCCCACACCATAACAGAACCACCCCCAAATCGATCATGTCTGATGACGTTAACGTCTTGGAAGCGCTCGTTTCGACGACGCCACACCCTCCTACGTCTGTCCAAAAAATCAACCGTGAACCTTGACT